TATCTACGGCCATAGGACTGAGAAAATACCGCACAGCCTCCCCCCTCCACCCTTACTCCTGCAAGCCCGATCATACTCACAGAAGCCGACGGCGGTTGCACCCCTCGCGAGGCCACACTCGACGATCTTTTCCCACCCTCTCCTGAGCCTGCACCAACACCCATTCATGCCCTTCCCCCGCGTCCCCCAGCGTCTACCGCGGCCCTACCGAACTTCAAACGTACGAACTGCTGGGCGTTTGCCGCCAAACTCAAGGGCTCCCAGAAACGCACACCGCCCACACGGTCAACCCACCCATCTCCGAAGATCCTCTAGCTTGGAATGGCTGCCTGCGTCTGGCAAGTTGCCGGTCACTCATCTATCGCCTGTCTATCACATATGCACAAACTCCTGCAGCGGATAAACACCACTGAAGACGGCACCACTCTTGCCTCTGACCACCCCGACTACATTGCGTCCACCTTCAAGATCGACTCCGGACAGCCCGACAAGGTGTCGACCTTCTTCGACAACCAGGTCAAAATCACCTACGCCAATGACTCCACAGTCCCAGACGAAATGTACAAGCTCATCAACTGGCTGTGCAGTCTCGGCTATGAAACCCACTGGTCGTCCTCCGGAATCAAAGGTGACAAAGGCAACTGGACCCGTGTCTTCTATGAGGTGCTGGACCGACCTGGTGGTCCGGCTACACTGTTCGATGTCGCCTCTCCCCCCTACACTTACCCCAGCAAGCCGGAAATCCTTCAATTCATGGCAACATTCTTCAAGAAGCAGGGCATTGAGCTCGCAGAGATCATCGGCGACCCAAACACCAGCAAGCCTTCAGCCGGCGCACCCTCGCTGTTCTTCGTCTTTCAGTCACCGGCCCAAGCTGTGACGATCCGAACGACAACGACTACGGAGCACCGACTACACGTGTCGACCACATGGCAATCACCACACGATAACCACGCATCCTGATCACAAGGTGCTCCACAACTCATAACAGCGTCGGTACCGATCAGTACCCACATCGGGACCGCTCCCCTCGTATTGTCACATATATGGCATCGTCTTAGGATTTTTCCCCCCAACTCTTGATAATTGTCATATTCTCACCCTGTCATAGTATCATACTCTTATTGCACGCCTATCACAGTTGTTGAACTTTGAGTCATCAGGGTGGTGTAGCGGCATCCAGTGTACAGACACTTTTGTGCTCAACCACTCCCCAGCCTCCGCCTTTCCGAACGGCGCAGGGCCTGACATCGGTCTCCATTTTTTTTCGTCATGCCTCTCATGGTATGTTCAAGTTCATTTTAAGTGTGTTGAGAAATTGAACTTGTCATAAACTACCGCATATTGAGCTGATTATGGAGCTGGAAATGAAAACCTTGATCTGTTTGCTGAGGGGTTGAACTTTTGACAGCTTCCAAGGACCATAGCACTAACCTGCGGAACTGAAGTACTAATCAGGTAACCTGTACCAGATTCAACATGGGACTTTATAGAAAGAAATCTCTTCTATAAAAGAAGTTGAGCCCCCCTGCGAGCCCCAAGGTGGAGTGATTATAATGAACTCTAGTGCTGAAAACTACTGATCAGACCAACAAGTCAGATCACGCTGTGCCACAAGGGAACCCCCGGGAGAGCTTGTGTTCAGCCTGGTCCGTTGGCTAAGAGGTGCCCTGCCTTTGAGGAGTATGATTGAGGGAGAACGGAATGCTCCCCTCACAGTTTCCTATTGATATAGCTGTGCGGTAGACCCCCAGACCACCTATACAAGGCTGGGGCGAGGATGTGCATCCCTCGACTTATAGAGCCAATTATTAATTGCCCTAGACCAGGTTGACGGCCCTGGGGGTTGGGAGAATTGCATACTGTGGCAAGGTATGGCTTGTTACCCAACAACAACCAGGGTGCCTTAGGGGCTGTTCTGCAGAGATGGCTTTGCAATATCCAAAAAACGAAGATCTGCCTTCTTCAAAACGACCAAAAACTCCTGTTCTTGGAGACTATTTTCTGTTCAGTAAATCTCTGAGTCCCGTCTCTGAACAGAGTTCAAATCCTGTAGAATTCCAACAGGTATCTGGCCGTAGGAACCTGAATATGAAGAATACGGTAAGATTTGCTCTCAAAAACACAAATACCACATCCGCTGTAATGGTGTGGCGTGTTCTGGAGAGAAGGATGGGCAGTACTGCGTCAGGACGGGTCCAATTGTCAGGGGTCAGAAAGGTAAAGTACCACTCACAACGTCAGCTATTCGAAATTCTGGTTGATAAGAACTGGCTGATGGCCTCAAGCAGTCACTTGGTTTAACACACAAGGATTGACTTGCAGTGAGGCAACTAAACCAAAACCGACCTAGGTTCACTACCTCTCGGGATATTGAAAACGAGAAAGTAACCCGGTTTTGGCGTTTAGTTCCATGGGAGGATCCACCAAGGGTAAGTATGGCTCCTCCCAAAGAGAACACCCTCAAATCCCTAGTTTTGGCTATGTGGAATTCTGCTGGCACCAAAAGTAAGGAAGGGGAAGTAAGGGATCTCCTAGTGGGAAGGAACCTCGATGTCCTTGCGGTCCAGGAAACTAACCGGACCAAAAACGATTCTCAGCTGCGGATCAAAGGGTACAAAACGTACTACAAGACTGCATCAAAGCATTTTCCGGGTCAACTATTGTTTGTGAAGGAAACACTGCACTTGTACGAGGTAACTGCCACTGGAAGGAGGTTCCTACATGTCAAAGTTGTGGACTCAGATGGGTTGAAGTGGGATTTATTACCTTGCTACTTCCCATCCGGCACTTCTGCGACAGGCAAAGGACGGAGGAGGCGTACATGGCACGCAGTCTTAACTTATATTGCCAGCCTCATTGGGAAACCAGGGTATAACTCATGCCTGGTTGCCATGGGGGACTTCAACACACCCTACGAGTTAGCTATGAAAGAGGTAAAACGACTCGGAGGAATGTGCTTGAAAGAATTCAAGGGAGACAACGCCACTCGCATAGCACGACACCAGTGTGTTTGGACTACTTCCTTGTTAACTCTCCTGCTGACCAAATGACACAGTTATGCACTGTGGAAAAAAGGATGCAGTTAAGCAGCGACCACAAACCAGTTCTCATGTGTAAGAGGCTGAGTATGTCTGTGAGGAACGGACTTGAACGCTTTAGACCGTATCACTAAAAGGTACAATATTAGGGCTGATAGTCCCAATAGCAGTTCCACTTAAGCGAGATCTAGTCTCGGTACAGGCCATGACAATGTCGGTACAAACCAAAAGCCAAAGGAGTTGGAACTGTGCTACTATTAGGTCCAACAAATTTGAGAATCTCACCCACCCTGAGTGGCAGAGCCTTCTAAGCAATAAGGATATGCCACTTGATGAGCTCACAATGGCCACAACCACAACGGCGGAAAAGGTTATGGCTGACAATAATGCTCAAGTAGGGAGGCACAAAACTCACTGGTCCCGGACCACCTTGTGTGCCATTAACAGCGGGGTACGTCGTTGCGTTGATGTCTAACAGAAGCGGACTGACTTGGAGGTGAAACACCTGGTAGAGGATGATGACTGTGCCCTGCACAATTTAGACCTAGAGGGTTGACAACACATGACCATAGACATCATAGACATGCACATCAGTACTATGACAATGATACTGTTTGTTCAGCTATGGGCCAAGACAGTAACCACACTTATTCTATCTTATCTAAGTCACTTACTTTGCAGATGTACCATAAGGATTGTTTCGTCTGTATTACTATCCTACCCATGGCATGACGCAGAGCTGACCCCTCCAGACTTGAGCCCCCAATCTTGGGCCTCTCCAAGGCGTGACAGAAAGTGCACAGTCAAAAGCCTAGTCGTCAGTCGATGCAAACCTACAGTCGCTCTGCACCAAAGTAGCCGACCCCTGCCCCAGTACTGGTGATAGGAAGATGAGCATTGCGCCTGTGTGAAGCCATCCCCCGAAGGGCTGCATCAGCGGAGATTGCAGTAGTTCTGCCCTGTCTGTGAGAAAGAAGAGATCATGCGCCCTCCTGTCATAGCGCTCTCTATAAATGAGGAGTCCCCAGCGGGCTAAGTCTTTTCTGCCCCACCCTTCCGCTTTCGGGCCTGAACTCCCCGTGTTCTCACCAGAGTCAAGGTCGCGACCTCTGCGCGGTACAGTTGAGTTGTAACACCGCATCCTCACGCACTGATCTCTTGATGTGTGAGCCTATTGTTCGGCAGCTAAGGCCGTACCAGCACAAGGGCAGAAACCTGGCAGTACCATCGAGTGCGGTGCGCCGCGCAGTGGTGTTTGCCCCAGTCAGGCGTGATGGACAGCCCTCCGACCTAGAATGATGCTGGCCAATCTGAAGTGAGAGTCTACCAGGTCCCACAGACTTCCACACAGCACATATATCGGCCCTCAGCAGTGTGTGCGACGCAAACGGAGGTCTGCTCTACCGCGGTGAAAGGAACGGAGATTGTCATCAGTGTGGCGCCAGGCGACATTCCTCCACACTGTCCGTCCAGACCTGCATACAAGCCAGACGGCTGTTTTACAGTATTTGCCCAGGACCCAGCTCTCCATCCTGGCGCTGGTCAAGAAGCGTTCCATTTATACATAGTCGCATTAGTACAGCTGGTTACAGTCTGAGTCGAAGCACGAGCGCTGGACATTGTCTCGGCAAACGCCCAGTATCCGTCTTCAGCTGTCGCGAAATCCACGGCCACGGTGACGTTGGGTACTCCATGGATGCTGGCGGCACTGCTGACGGCACTGCTGGCGGCGGTCGGCCGTGGAATGGCGTTGTATGGTGTGGAGCCTCTCAAGCGACAATCAAGGAGTTCATCTTCATGTACAATTGACAGACCCATGCGCTATTCGCTACACCTACAAAATGCCCCCTACCCTCCCGCTCACCCGGAACTTTGACCCGATCGCACACATGGCGCCGACGAGACACACAATCCCTGTAAATATCCCTACCGCGCGATACCCCGCGTCGCCAACTATGCCGTCTGTGGTGTATCTATTGACGAATGCGCCATTTATTGGCGGGCCGGTGAGCGAGAAGCCGGCGGCGACGGCCCAAAGGATGCCGACGCGCAGGCCGATCTCGTGTGCGGGCCCCGTAGTGGCGATGCACGCGGGAATAATGGCAATGTACATACCGACGAAGAGGCCGTATGTCGACGCGCAGGCAATGACTTGCGCCACGGTGTGCAGCGGGATCCAGAAGGCGAGGCAGACCACGGCCATGCCGCTCGCCGCAGTAATGAGGACGTTGAAGGCGCCCCAGTGGTCACCGACGGCCGCGAGCATACGGCCTACAGTCGAGGCAGCGTTGATGAAGCTCACGCAGTAGAAGGCCAAGGAGGAGGATGCCCCGAGCTGCGATGCACGGCCTGAGACGTAGAAGAAGGGCGAGTAGAGGCTGGGGTCAGTGCTAGTATTCGAGGGGGATGAGAGCGAGGCATGGGGCGCAGCGTCGCTAGTAAAGACGACTCACCCCCAAAAGACGGCCGATACACTCGCAGTGAGCAGAATGAACGGCACCTCGCGGAAGGGGAGGAACACCTTACGCCAGGTTGTCGGGGCCTTGCGCGGCAGCCGCGTGCGGACCAGTGCACACCCGACGGCGAACAGGGCGAGGGCGATGAATCCGGCCGTGCGGAGGGCCCATGCGAATCCTGGTGTAAGTTGGTGTGTGTGTGAGATCATGGGGCTCCAAAACGCACCAACCCTCCCGATCAACTCGTTAAAAGCGATGGGCCAGACTGTGCCGCCGAGACCTGAGCTCGCGCCGACGATGGCCATGGCCAAAGCGCGCCGGCGTCGGAACCAGTGACCCGGCACGGCGATCGTCGGATGGAAGATTAAGGCTGACCCAATGCCGAAGAGCACGCCTTGAGCGAGCATGAGCTGGTAGAGCTTGGTGGATACTGATGTGAGCTAGAGCGCGAGGGGAGCGGCAAAGGTCTGCCGGAGCTCGTGAGAGGTGTCGAAGCAAGGGCACGTCAGTGCGGGAGGGGCACAGACATACTTACATGACACAAACATCAGACTTAGCACAATGATGATGGCGCCGGGCACGATGAGGATGTGCGCGCCGTGCGCGTCGAACCAGCGGCCGACGACGAGACCGCCGAAGAAAAGGAGGAACTGCTGGATGCCGCCGATCCATGCGATCGTATCTGGCGACGTGGTAGACAGGATCGTCTTCTCGTAGTAGTCCTGGAATACACCGAATGTGTTGACTGGGATCAGCGAGGAGGCCCCAGCGGGGGAGGTGCGTGGGGCGGGGAGCGGGCGGAGGGACGGAAGCAACGGTCGGCCGCAGCCACACGGACCATGGCAAGGTTAGGAGAACGGGGACGGACGTCGACTCACTCAGGCCGAACTGAACAAACTGCATGAGGAAGCAGCCTGCGATGCAGAGCCAAGCCTGCAGGCCGCCGTCGGGGGGGTCGGAGGGCGCACTGGTCTCGGTCGGGATGAGGGAGGGCGTGCCCTCGCTGGGCACGCTCTTCTCGTCGGGGCCTGCGGACATGGCCAGCGTGAGTGGAGCTGGGGTAGTGGCGGCGATGGGCAAGACTGAAGAAAGGAGCATCGTCCTCGGCGCCGCCATATATGCATCGCGTTCCTTACTCAGCGCCGAGTGGGAGCCGGAGGTGAGCGACCCGGAGCGCCAAGTTGTTGTGGCCGGCAAATAGATTTAGGGGCCGGTCGGGTCTTCCGACTGCGGCTATGTACAAGCAGTGATATGCTTCCGGAAATTCCTGGCCGCGGCAATTGCGAGTGGAGGAGCGGGAGGAAATATCATGAGATGATACGAGAGGATGCAGAAGGGCGATGATGTGCCGGCTAGGACAACCTCTGGTGACACTCTGAACAGCACTCCCCGCCTCCCGACACCCGGTAATGACAAACACGTATGTGCTAGAATAGATACAGTACAGGGCGCTCTAGAATCCGATCTCTACGCCTGTCAGCACGGCTCCAAACTCTAACACCGACTCACTTTTGAAAAGCATGTCTAGACTCGCAAGAGATACAGGTTTAACAAGGCTGTGGTTAGCTTGGTTCTCCTTCCCCGCCCGCCGACTCACTATCCATCTACGCCGCTTCCAAACGCCTGCCTCTTATCGTCGGCGGTCGCGAGGCCCGTGAGCGCAAAGATCTTACTGTGGTGCGCCACAGCCCCACGCTCTCTTTCGACCTTGGCTTCGAGCGCGGCTGCAACTGGCACATTGGATACGCCCTCAGCGTGCCGGCGCTGCAGCTCGATCGCTCGGATAGCGCGCGTCGCGTCGTACCCGTTCATGTTGGGCATGTTGATATCCATGAGGATGATGCTGTGGTCAGCCACTTCCAGCTGGCGTCAGAGACGGTGAAACTCACTCCCATGCGTTCGGCGACGTCGCCTCAAACAACTTGACACCCTCGAGGCCGTCCACGACCTCCTGGTAGTCACATCCGCGCTTCTTCAGAAAGGCCGTCAACACGCGGCGGTTGATGACGTTATCCTCGACGATCATGACACGTGGGGGGCGGGGCTTGCGCTCCACCGCCAGGTCGTCCGGTATGGTAATGGCCTTGAGGAGGGCGCCGCCGTCCGCAAGCGAGATCGTAGAGCTGGGCGAGGCGACCTCAGACGGCGGAGCCTCCTCCCTCGGAGTCACGACATGAGGCGACCCAGGATGGTAGGTGTTGCCTCTTGGCGCGAGAAGTGGGCGCACAGGTTTGACCTCGCTGTCCTCATCGGAACGACGGCGGGTCAGACCAGAGTTCGGCCGGAATGCTGATGCCACTGGTGGGCTGCCGGTCGGCTTGACCTGTGGCTCAAAGCTGTTGAGGCTGGAGCCGGGGGACCCATCATGCGGTGCGCGTGGGAAGATGTTGGGGCTGTCAAGCGCCATCTGGCTCATCTGAGTGGGAAGCTCCCCCAGCTCACTCCCGTCGCCCATACTCCCGCCTCGGATGTAACGCGCCACTCGCTCCAGCTCGTGCAGCACCGAATAGCGGACCATCGGCTTGCACATGACGCGCACGTACTTGTCCTTGAGCAGGCCGAGCTCGTTCAGCTTGTCACGGCTCCATATCTTGAACGTCACCATGAGCAAAGTAGGCTTCTGTCGAACAATGTCGACGCTGTCGTGATCGATGCCGCCAAGCTCATTCATGATCAGCACATCGGCATCCCGATAATCGGAGGCGATCGAGTATCCGAGATACTCGGCATACTGTTTCATCACCTCCTTGCTGAGCTGGAGCCCTCGGTGGTTGAGACTGTAGTTGATAAAGCCCACTTTAAGCCCACGACCAATAGTGCGATCCGGCGGGACGTGGTTGGGGTCGTTGACAACCTCGACGTCAAACGTGAGACGGATCTCGGTGCCCTCGTCTTCAATCGACCAAACCTCGACATTGCCCTTGATGGCTTCGGAACGCATGATGCTGTTTACAATGGCGAGGCCCAGACCCGTACCGGGCTGCAGTGGATTCTCCTGGGAGAAGGGCTGGAAGATCTGATCCTTTAGGAACGCCTTGCCGATGCCTTTGCCCGTATCGATGACCGCTAACTGCACCGAAATGCGTCCTGGACCGGGGCTGGTTGGAAGCTCGCGCAAGACAACCTGAATGTAACCATCCTTTGTGAACTTGAGTGCGTTCGAGTAAATGTTCATCAACGAACGCCGCAATCCGCCAGTCTCGCAGATGACGTTCCATCCGCCCTCGCGAGGTCCGAGGTCGAGGACCGTCTCCACGTGCGCAAGCGCGTGTTGGACCTGGACGCGCTCCTCCTGTGGCAGCAGGCCTTGAACAATCGGTGCGTAAAAGCTTCCATGCCCGCTTTCACTCTGCTGCATTGATTTGCCTCGCGCGCCAAACCAGCAACTCTCGACTGTTTGAAGGATCAAGTCGGTTAGATTGGCTTTGGACAGCTTAATCTGCGGCTTGGTTGGCATGTGCTTCGAACCCCCGCTGAGCTTGGTAAAGTCGAGAACATGGTTGACCGTATCGATGAGCTGCAGTCCGCATGTTCGCACGGTCGACAGCAGTGCGTCCTGGTTCGGATCAAGGTTCGAGTCGCCGAGTAGTTCGGATGCTGCAAGGATGCCGTGCAAAGGGGTACGCAACTCGTGGCTCACAGACGAGATGAGGACACTCTTCGCTCGGTCGGCCAACAGCATGCGGCGGCGGAGCACCGCCGAAAGGATAATTACCCCGATACCTCTCAGGAACTGGAGCTCGTAACCCTCGAGGAATTGCTTGCCTTTGTCGTGGGTGTATGCGCAGATGAGTGCGAACGGCTGCTTGTCTATGCCGATCACAGGGACCACCATGCCGTACTTTAGCGTCGATGGGAAGACGTACTTGATCCACGACGGCGCGACGCCCTCGAAAATGCGGCCATCGCGGTGATCGGCGAGGAATGCGGACATCTTTTCGTGCTCAACACCAGTGAGCGGTCGAGTCTCGACTGATTCGCCCGGTGCAGTTGACAGAACTGGGAAGGCCGACACAGGCCCAAAGACGCCTGCTGGTTCCACCATGTGCGCCTCACCTTCAGAATATGGGTGTGCGTGGTAGATGGTTTGGCGCTCGCCGTCTGCTGTGGAGATCTCGACTCGCTCAAACTGGCTAATGTCCAATATGGTACAACCGTCGAGCTCTAATGTTGTCGTGATTAGCTTGGCCGCTCTGCTGTACACCTGATCCATGCGGCTCGCTGAGTCAAAGTCGGCCGACGTGATCTCCTCGTCGATCTCGAGACACTCGCGCGTGAACTTTTCCATTGCGGTCTGAATCTTGTCTCGAGTGCGAAGTTGTAGCTGTGCGTGTCAGTCTCAGATGGCACCGGTAGATCAAAATCAGGGCAGGTTTGGCGCGCCCAACGCCACGACACTCACTCGATCACGCCACAGCTCCATCTCGCGCATCACGATCGCCGCGAACTCTTTCAAGATGTGCCTCGATCGTGGCGGAAACTCAGGACGCGGTGTGTCATCCACAAGACACAGACTTCCAACGTTGTAACCATTCGACGTACGCAACGGCGCGCCTGCGTAAAATCGCACATAGGGTGGGCCAAGGACATGCGGGTTGTTGCAGAAGCGCCAGTCTTTGGATGAATCCAGCACGACCATGGGCTCGTCGTCCTCTGCAAGAATGGTGTGTCCGCAGAAACTCGTCGCGCGGTATGTCTGCTGCGCATCAAAGCCGGCCTTGGCCTTGAACCACGCGTGCTCGCCATCGACCATTGTGATAAAGCCAATTTTGACCTTGAAAACGAGTTTGATCATGTGCACGATGCGGTCAAAGTTGACGTCGCTGGTGGTGTGCAGAATGTTGAAGTTGTACAGGGCCTTGAGGCGCTGCGCCTCATACAAGGGTGGAGGCGCGGCATAGAAGTTGTGCAAGCGATAGAAGACCTCTGCCTGGGTAACACTGCGCGGGGGGTTGTACTCGATGGTGGGCGGCTTCCCACCTTGCGCGTCGCTAGCGACTGCATCGCCAAAGTAATCGCCATTGGACTCTGCTTTTGGTTCTGTCCGAAAGATTGGCGCAGTGGCGGCCGGAATATTCGAGTACGCGACACCTCTTGCTCGCGAGGAGGGTGGTAGGCCGCTGAGATCGCCCGGCGTGACTGCAGGGCTTGCGCTTATGGTCGGCATGGAAGGGCTATCGCGAATGGTGGTCGCGCAGTGACTCGATGCGCTACGTGTAAAGGCAGAGGCGACTGGCTTGGTGGAAAGCCCTGGATCAGAGTTGGCCTTGAGAACGTTGGGCGTGCCATTAAACATGGCCGCCTTGGGAACGGGGTCCATGAGCATGCCATCGGGACTTGGGACATGCAACGGCGCAAAGAAGCTGGCCGGGAGGTTGGAGGACGCCAGACGCATAGTCGCTGCTGAGAGACTGTGGTCTGGGAGTTTGAGGTTGCCAGGTTTTATAGGTGGGCGGACCTTGGGCGGCGGGCTGGTGGAGACACTTGCAGCCGGGGCGGCCTGAGATGAGGAGAGCATGACAGTAGGTTCGAAACAGTCAAAGTTCAAGCTGCCGGACGGCGTTGGGTTGATGACACGAGTCGTTGGCGCCGAAGTCGACGAGGTCGATGCCGAGGATGAGGTGTGGGGAGAGAGGTGTGGAAGTGAAGAAGAACTTGCCGCCGTTGTGGAAGAGGTGTCTGTGTCTGACTCCGGGGCTCGACCGTCAAGGGCAGCCGACACCACTGCGTTCATGGGGAGAGCTTGTGAATGAGAGGAGGCGTCGACGAGGGCGGCAGGGGCGCCTTCCCGCGGATTAGCTACCGCCGCTGTAGAGAGCGCTGGGATCTCCTGGCGTCCATCTGTGGCGTCCGACGCCTCGTGTGGTATGCCGTCTCTGCTGGTTTGCTGGAATGCAGATCCTTGAACGGCCGGTACTGCTTGCGAGGTATTTAACCAGGGCTGGGGAACAGAGTTCGGCGCCGACGATGCAGAGGAATCTGCACGCGGCTCGTGCATGCGCCCTTCCCCCTCGAACGGAACTGGGGATGCAGTAATATGCCGCAGGGGAGGAGCTGTAGCACTTGGGGCAGTCTGTGGGCGTGTCTTGGAGGTGCCGTGTCTGTATCTGGGGGGCTGATGCAAGGGAGGATGTGGTGGGAGAGAGGGGGGCAGAGAGGCAGAACGGGAGGACGGTTCAAAGTCGAGGTGGTCACCGTGGAGGGGAGGCGGCAGGGTGGGGCTTGGCGGCGCTGGGGGCGACGGTGAGACCTTGGCGGCCAGGGACACTGGTGGTGCGACTGGGTCGTCGCTGTTTTGCGAAGAGACACGGAGGAATGGCACGCGCAATGGTTTGACCTCGGTGGCGGCGCGTGCCGGAAGATGGACATGGTTGGATCGAGGATCGGCGTGGAGGTGCTTGGCGAAGGCAGCGCCGCAGAGGGGGTACGGCAACTGTTCGGAGAAAGAGTCAGGATCGCTAGTCACTCGGTCGCCGTCGGCACCCATGGTGCGCGTGAGATAGTAGAGTTGATTGGAGTCTAGAAGGTCATGAACACTTCCGAGATTGCTTTAAAGGGGCGTGCGCAAGGACACTGGATGAGCAAGTGTTTGCCCGGAGGCCGGAGGCGCGTCGGTTAACAGTCGAGTCGACCGGTCGACGGACGGCGCGGGGAGCGTGCTAGCGTGCGAACGTGCGTATGCGCGTGTGAAGCTGGGCGTGGTGTGGTGTGCAGCTGAACGCGGAGGGAGAGGGGGGCAGCGGGTTGTGGGAGGACCAAACGTGGGCAGGGGGGAGAGGGAGGGGGGAATGTGGTGAAGACTGAGGCGTAGATGGTGGATCGCTGTGGATGAGACGGAATGTAGAGAGCAGAGTGTGTCGTGTATCGTGTTGGAGATGTAAGTCGTTGGGAGTGTACAGAGGGGGATCTCGATGCCGTTGAGATGAAGAGTGAGGAGGAGAGTGACGAAGAACAAGGTTGTTGAATGTTGTTGAAGGAGACACGAGGAGTAGAGTGTTGAAAGAAGACGAGCGCAAGCGTTGGAGTGGGAGGCTGCCAAAAAGATCGAAATAGAGCGAGGTGGGTGATTACATTATACATTAGGGTCATTAGGAAATCGGGTGGCTGCAGGCTGAGGGCTGAAGGGCAGGTTGGATCTATTCGCGATCCCATCTCTTGACCGGTCGCGGCCTGCTTCTCTCTTCTTCTCTTCGTTCCCATCACCCCCATCACCCCCATCATCCACCTCGATTCATCTCCCCCCCCCAATCCCCTCGTGCCATCCGTGCCCCCCCGCAAGTGCCGTTCAAGCCGATTTGCGCAGCAGCCAACGCCCAGTCATTGAGAGCGGTGGCCGAGCCCCTGCCCATATAGCCTATCTACAGGAGTTGTCTTTCCCTGCGCCGCGGTTGCTCGGGGATGATGCCCTTGGTTGACGGTCGCTGGAAGTCGGTAGCCCTTTGCGCCCGCGCCGGGAAGACTACGGCGAATATATAAATGCGGCTAGCGGCAGTGCGCTCGCTGTGCACACGGCGAGGACCGAGGCCGAGGCAGGTGAGCAGAGGGTGGGGAGCCAGCATTCCGGTAATGACGTTGGTGGAATCGGTGGTGGTGAGCGTGAGCCTGACTCTGTTCCTGCCCCCCCCCCCCCCCCCCCCCCCCCCCCCCCCCCCCCCACTCCATTCTCCGACAGCCACAGCCTCGGATGTGCTATTTCCTTGGCCGACCGCCATTGCAACCAGGGTACCCACGTGAAGAGTGGGAATTCGACGATCCCTCTCCCGATCGGTCCAGACCACGTGGATGAACACGTGACCATGCCGCACGCGAGCATTTCATAGAGTCTTGCATCATGACGAGTTCGACAGCTCAACAGATGGACGGTAGCCGACGGGCGATACTCGATCCGTCCACAGCGCTCACTCCATCTCCGCTCCCACAATGCAAGGCTCCTGCCTGTGCCGCGGCATAACGCTGCGCATCGCACAACCCCCCTCCGTCCATGTCTGCCGTACGCTCTCCCCCCTCCCCGTAACTCACGCAGACTGCACCGACTGCCGCCAATTCACTGGGGCGATGTAAGCCCCGAGCCCCGCTCTCGCGCTGCTCACACAGCGCCGCTTTCCTCCTCCCCGTCCCGCGCGACCACGTGTCTGTCACCGGCTATCCGAGCGGATATGCAAGTGCGAGCGACACGGGTGCGCGTGTCACTCGCTACTTTTGCGGTAACTGTGGATCGTGAGTCTTGGGTCGTTGTCATGGCCTCGGGCTGAGACAGGTCGTTGTACGACCGCGGCGAGGATCCGGATATGATATATGTCCATGGAGGCCTGTTTCCCCCACGCACACTGCCCAAGCCGAGCAAGGAGATCTTCGTCCGTTCCGCAGAGGCATGGACGAGCAGGTATCCCGGGTGCCGTGTGAGCGAGACTGAGGTGAAAGCCGGGGAGGGTGAGTAGTGGGTTGTAAGGGAGCAGAGACAGACAAGCGTAGCGTCAGCACCAGCAGTCAGCAGAATGTACGAATGCATGTAACTTTACACCGACCCTCGGTCCCTAATCCCCCGTCTACTCCCCTCCTGAGTCCACTACTACCCTCACCTCCTCCACTCAGTCCAGCTCCGTCCCCACAACCACCTTGATCACGGCCTTGCCCTCGGCGTCCCTACCAGCCTTGACGGCCTCGAACGCCTCGCTGGCGCGCTCGAGCGGGTATCGCTGCGTAACCATCTTGCCGACATCGCCCAGGCGCCCGCTGCCGAGCAGCGCAAGTGCCTCAGGATACGTGTTGGCGTACCGGAACACGCCGTGGAGGTCGACTTCACGCAGCAGCGTCGCCGACGCCGGCAGGAGCATGTTGGGTGTGCCCATGCCGACGAAGAGCACCTTGCCGCCGGTCGCGGCCGCATAGCACGCAAGCTGCATGCACGTCTCCACGCCCGTGCACTCGAACACGGCATCAAAGCCGGCCGCGAGCCCGCGCTCGGTGATGGCCGGGGACGACTTGAGGGTGTCCCATGTCCCCTGGGCCGCGGCGAGACTGTCAGCACCCGAGACGCGCGGGCCGCGCGGGAGCGTAATGGTCGCGTCGGCCCACCCCATCTCCTCCGCGAACGCGAGCTTGGCCTCCTCAATGTCGACGCTGATCACCGTCGACGCCCCGCAACCCTTGACGAGCGCGGCGGCCAAAAGGCCAACAGCGCCCGCACCGATTACAAGGACGCGGGCGCCCGGCCGCAGCGCCGCCTTGCGGTATGCGTGCAGCACCACGCTGAGGGGCTCGGCGAGTGCGGCTTCCGTCATGGTCACGCGGGGCGGCAGCTTGTGACACAGGTGCGCGGGGTGTACCATCACCTCGCACAGCGTGCCGTCCAGGTGCGGGTGGGTCTTGGCGGAGCTGCAGAACCGCATCTCAGGACACAGGTTGTACCGCCCCTCCTTGCAGTATGCGCAGGTGCGGCAGCTGATGCCGACCTCGAGCGCGACGCGGTCACCGACAGCCAGTGATGTGTTTGGACCGACAGCCGTGACGATGCCGCACGACTCGTGCCCCAGCACGAGCGGGTCGCGGATCTTAAAAGTCCCGTTTGCGCCGTGGAGGTAGTAGTGGACTGGGGTTAGCATACCGCAGCGAGTCCATGACCGGAAAGATCCACACAGCAGTACTCACGGTCAGAACCACATAAACCCGTAACGCCCATCGCGACTTGCACCTCGCCCTCTCCAGGCTCGCGCACCGGGCGGTCTTCCTTCTGGTAAGCCCAGTCCTCCTGTTCCCAACAGCACCCCCTCTCCTTTCCCCTGTTCAAGAGTTGGGGGAAATAGGAGTGGAACTCTCGGCGGCCTCGCCACTCACCACACGCAGATCCAGCGCGCCATGGCACACAGCGGCCTTCTGCTTGGTTTTGCCAGCGAATGAGGGGATGATGGTCTTTGAGGTAGTCATGGTAGATGAGGGAGGGAAGATGCTGCTGATGGAAACGTTTGTATATGAGGCGGGTGGGGACGGCCCGGAAGCCGGTCCGGACTCCGGTCCGGTTCTGCTCCGGGCGGAATTGACCGCCGCCAAGCCTTCCTTGCTCATCTCTAACAAGGTGCAAGTGGACGGCGAACTTTCCATGTATAGTAGCTTTCTGCATCTGGCATCTGGCATTCTGGGTCGATGCATTGACCAAGCTGGACTGGCGCAGCAACACATGTCCCACTACCTCTATTCATCGCTTCCAAACTATTGCATACCAGATATTACTTGACCTGCCGCGCGTGCGCACATCCGCCGCTCTCGCCTCTCACGACGCTCACACCTCAAAACGCCTGGCTCCGGATACTGTCTCTGCGGAACCGCGCCTTGTTGCGCACATGCCTGTCCATGTCGACAAGCACACCCGTGCGGCCGCCCATGACTTCAGCGAGGCCCTTGACGCCGGCCCACCACACGTCGGTACCACGGCGGCGCTTCATGTCCGTGTGGTTCTGCACGTCGCTCATACTCGCAAACACAATCTTGCTGCCGCGGATCGCGATCATCGCTGCCGTCTCGTGCGGGATCATGTCCTCGCCCGTGCGGCGCCGGTGGAAAGCCTGCGAGTTTGGCCGCGCGTGCTTCTCCAGGAACTGCATCGAGAGCATCGCCAGGCGCGCCGCGCGTGTCCGGTCCAAAGGCGACGGCACGCCGCCCTGCAGCGTGTGGCCCAGCGACGCTGAGCGCGCATCGAACAGCTCTGCGCCCTCCTCCTTCAGAATCGAGGTCAGCACCTCGGTCGTGTACACGCTCGAAGCCTTCTCCGAGCGGATGACCAGACGCCCCTCGCTCTTGCCCTTCTCGTCGAGCGCGTAGCGCTCCTTAAGGAACTCAACGTCTTCGACGAGGCATGCAAGGTTGATGCCCTGCTCAGGGGTGTAGACGAGCACGGCACCCACAGCAAGCGCACCAAGCACAGCAATGTAGCCGCTCATGCCGCCCTGCACGTCGACAACGAAAACACGGTTACGCGACGCGGCAGCGCTCTGCTTAATGGCGTCGGCCGCGACCACCAATGCGTTCAGCGATGTGTCCGAGCCAAGTGAGAAGTCGGTCATGGGGACGTTGTTCGAGATGGTCGCGGGTAGGTGCACCATCGGGATACACAGCGACGGGTAGTCCTTGCGCGACTTCTCGAGCAGGCGGACAGAGTTGTAACCCTCAAATCCACCGATAACAAGCATGGCGTCGATCTGGTGGCGCTGAAGCGCGCTCGCAACCTGGCCCATGTCGACGTCTGGCAGAGTGCGGTTGGTGCCAAGCTCAGATCCACCACGCGTCGTCCAGTTGTCCACGCGCAGCCACGTGAGCTCGCTCACGTTGTCCTCAAGCAGGCCCTCCCACCCATTATAGATCGCAAGGGGAACGTGCCCGCGCTCGTGACAGAAGCGCACAGCCTGACGCGTCGCAGCGTTCATACCACCGGCGGGCGCGCCGACGCTGGTGTCAGTTCTGCTTGTCACTCAACTCACTGAACAATCGCAATCCGCAGGCGCTTGTTGTCTGGCAGTCTCTCGCTCGCTGCAAGCGACGACGAGACCTTGAACGCCGTAAGCATGTCGGTAAACTCGGAGTCACGGTACGACATGGCGAGGTCAAAGTCCATGGCCTCGATAGCGTCCGCGACCTTTTTTGTCTGCGCGACGGCCTCAAGCAGCGGAATCTTGGTGATCTTGTTCTCCGAAATGCCGATCATGTACGATGGGGTGTCGGGCGTAGCCTCGAGCAGCGTGTCAACCGCCTTGACGCCCTGGAGTGTGGGCTAGGGTCAGCCAGGTACAAACAAGAGCTCACAAGAATGCGGTCGAAAGCAGCGGGAACACCGCCGCGCTGTGTGTGGCCAAGGGTGGTAACCCTGGTGTCGAGACCTAGGCGCTCGCTGAGCACGTCCTTGACATACTCAGGCTTGATGGGCTTGAGGTCGCTGTCGAGCGCACCCTCGGCGACAATGACGATGCTCTTACGCTTGCCGACGCGGCGGTGCTGCTTGAGCACATCGCACATTGCCGTCTCCCAGTCCTGCTTTGCGGGAGGATGCTCGGGGATGAAGATGAAGTCGGCACCCGTGGCCACGCCAGCCATCAGCGCCAGCCAACCGCAGTGCCGGCCCATAACCTCAATAACGAAGGCGCGCGAGTGCGACGAAGCCGTGGAGCCGATGGAGTCAATGGCCTCGCAGATGCGGTGAAGAGCAGTAACCGCGCCAATAGTGAGGTCGGTCATGGCCATGTCATTGTCGATGGACCCCACGAGACCAACGATGTTGAGGTGGCGGAAGTTCTCGAGTTCCTCGTCGTTGATGTCACCGTTCGAGTGCAGCTCCTTAATGAGGCCCGGCCACTCTGCACGTAGCGTGTCGGCACCGGTAAGCGAGCCGTCACCACCACAAACGGCGAGGCAGTCGATGCCGTAGCGCACAAGGTTGTGGGCGGCCTTGAGGCGGCCCTCCCGCGTGCGGAAGCTTGGGCAACGGGACGAGCCGATAAGCGTGCCGCCCTCGCCGAGCCAACCGCGCACATCGTCCCAACCCACGCGCACGATGTAGCGGCCGCGCAGCGTCTTGCCCCCCTCGACCTCCTCGGGGATGTGGAACATGCCGTCCTCATCTATGTCGGCTTCGCCAGCGCCATCGCGCAGCAGGCTGCCATATCCGAACGAAAGCGGGGCGGCGGTGAGAGGCGCTACTCTCATAGGGTCACTGAACTGGACAGGCTTGTCGTCCTCGGCAGCCTGCACGTCGCCGTGCACGCGTGCAGCCGCCGCGCCGAGATTGATGTCCTCAGGAGCGAACGACTGGGTGAAGCTAAAGCTCTGCATAGCGCCGAGAGAGGGCGAGGGTGCCTGCGAGCCGCGGCGCGAGACAGCGGGGGTGGGCTCGGCAGTGTTGCCGCGTACCAGACCCTCCCATCCCTCGCGGATGATGTAGGCCTGGCAACCGCTGTCGTCAGCCAATGCCTCTCTGACGGCGACAGGCGGCGCATAGGGCGTCGAGCACGCGCCATGACGAACGTGCGTCTGCGACTGGCTACTCACCGAGCAATCGTCTGTCTAACAACGGCGCGGACTGGTGTTAGCGCGCGGCACGGGGAGGAAGAGGGGGAAGAGGTGTGCTTTGGGGAGAAGGGAATACGTGAGCACGTTGTGACGGATAAGAAAGGGAAGAGAAGAAGTTGAGGGGAAAGATAGCGTATCAGAGGGGATGATGTCAAAGTCATGGAGATGGCGGAGATGGCGGAGATGGCGGAGCACATAGCAAGCACGCACCAGCAGCATTCATTCCAGCGCTATCACCGCCCGAAGTGAGGACAGCGACCTTTTTCTGCTTCTTCTTGCTTTGGACATCCCACTTGATTCTGGGCCCGGAGGGATTGAGCGGGGCGCGGGATGCGAGGGTGGGGGGCGTCGGCGACTGGGCGCCGTTGACGGGGGTGAAAGTGCCGGGGCCGAGGGGGGTGCCGGAGCCAGGGGAGGGTGGGATGGAGGAGTCCATCATGAGAGTGATGGATGGAGGATGGAGGATGGAGGATGGGAGATGAGAGATGGGAGAAGTGGGAGTGGGGGAATGGGGGGAATGGGGGAATGGGGGTCAACTGTTGATGTGAGAGATGAAGAGGAATCGAGAGAAGGTGCTCGTCGTCATTCATTCAATACGCCACGCCAAGGTCGTCGGCATCTGCCAATCCTCATTCATGCGGCATGCTGCCCATTCTCTGCTCTCACAACAAGGCTGAGGCACAAAATGCCCCATTCTCCCTCTTCTGAGCGCTCTCCCCAGGCCTGCCCGATCTCACATCGGCTGCTGCTTGCGCTACTGCTGCCGTTGCGGGCTGAGAGCTGAGAGCAAAAGAGCAGCGGCAGCAGCGCAGCGCCCAGCCCCAAGTCGCCAGCTTGCCAGCCAGGATCATCCTCCAATGCCGCCGGCACGCACTGGTCAATATTACCCACCACCCCCCAGCCAATCCTATCTCGTCCTCGCTTGCCCCAACGTCATGCTTGCCTCCCCTTTGTCTCCCTTGTCACCGATAACAAAAGCCAAGTCGACTCGTGTCCAATAGCCCCCAAAGACCCAAAGGCCCAAAGGCCCAAATACTGTATATACATACACGTCTTCAACTACATACACTTGATGTCTCTTTCGGCAGCCCAAATCACCCTAAGCTACATCGCCATGCTCTTCGTCGCCATCCGCAGCCTCCAGCTTCACCATGTGCGGCTTCCTGTCCATGACATTATTGTCCCCAATGCCATCGTAGATGCTGTGCTGCGGAATGCCCAGCACCTCGCCCTCAGGTCGCTTCTTCAGGACGGTGCCGACAGTCTCCACCCACTGCTGGCGCAGGCGCACCACCCGCAAAAGTTCGGGATTGACTGGTGGACGTCCTTCGCCCACCACCACGCCGTTGACCATCTTCTTCTTGCCCCCAGAACCGTGCTTCTTGGTACGCTTCGCCCACTCGGTCTCGATGAACTTGTCCATGGCCTCGAGGTAATTCTGGTACTCGTTGTACGCCAGTCGGCTTTCAGCCTGCTTGACGAGACGGGCCTTGCGTGCTTCGTTGATTGCAATCTGCGCCTGCAGCTCGGCCTGGCAAGTACGCAGAGCGGCCGTGACCTCATCATCCTCACGGGCCGTGGCGTCAAACTGCGACTGTCAGCGACCTAAACCTTTGACCACACTGGGATACCGCTTACCTCTTCGTGCTCGCCCAAGAGCATCATGTGCCGCATCTCCTTCTTGACTCTCTCCTCCATATCGGCGCTTTCCGTATTCGGCATCGCAATATCAGAAGGAAGGTCGCCCTCGGGCTCGGGGATACCGGCCACGTCTCTCTGAAACTTCTCGCCGAGATCGTAGCCACTAACGACACCCGAGACCAACCTCTCGGAAAACGCGCCCATTTCCTCGACATCCCCAGAACCGCCTTGAGCCGACTTGCGCGTAGTACGTGGGCGGAGAATAGGAGGCACCGCGGGCCGCTGTGTCGTGTTCGGCGGGTTACCATCTTCCTCGTCCCAGATCTCGGTGAAGTGGCGACCGCGCGGCGGTATCTGGAAGAGGTCTGGCTGGTCCGCTTTGAACGCAAGTACAGCAAGGTCGTCATGGCGAAGGTCGCGAGTATATGGCTCGACACTCTGCCAGAAGGTTTGGCAGGCAATCTGACCAGGAGGCGCTTTCCTGTCGCTGAAATCCTCGTCTACCTCGTTCTGTCGCTTGGGACCCGGCGAGAGCGGCTCCTTGACTCCTGGGCGCTCAGGAATAAGCGGGCGCAGCGGCTTAGTGGGAGGTGACCAGTCAATGCCTCCGTTGCCACTATTGCTTGGGGGTGCCGCGACCGAGGGCGCCGGGCTCTCAGTCGGGCGAGCCTTGTTCTGGGGGAGCTTGATTTTGACACCTGGCGCGGTCTGCGGCTGTGGTGTTTGGGCTTGGGATAGTCAGTGACAAAGGCAACACAATGTGGGTGGCAAAGGGGTGGATGAGCACTTACACAATGGCTCATCGTCCGAGTCGACGACGCGCTTCTGTTTCTTCTTCTTTGGCATTCCGTACGTCTGTTGCGAGTTTGGACGGAACGAGGCAGACGATGCGTTTGACGGAACTGGAGAGACTGTGGTACAGTCAGCTACGTCGTCCTTCCCTGCACGCGTAACGGATATTGCTTCCTTGGGTGGTTTCCCTCCAACATTCCAGCATCACACATTGCGCTGGGTGCGCTGGGTGATGGGCAGGATGGGCCACTGCCAAATTGGACTCACCACGCTCGTGTTTGACCTTGATGTCGGCACTCGTGTCAACGCGTCGTCGCTCGACAACTTCAAGTGCTGCACCGGCGCGCTGATTTGCGGCGAGGGCCGCTCTCTCTCGCTCGTCTGTTTGTTCCCTGTCCTTTCGCTTGTGTTGCTTCTTGAGAGTGCGCTCCTCTTCAGGGGGAGGGGCCATATTCGCGAGTCTGGCCTTGGCTGCCGTCCTCTGAGCCTTGAGGGTGTTTGAGAGCTGCTCCAACTCCTCTATGGTGGGTAGAGGAGGATAAGAGATAGACTGAACGAGGGAGAGGAGGGTGAGAGGCTTTGGCGGCATGATGGACGCTGGTGCAAGGGGGAAAGGGGGTGGGATGGGGGGGGAGGGGGGGAGTGCACTGCAGCCGACAGTCCAGTCGAGGAGTGCGAGTGCGAGTAAGAGTAAGAGTGTACAGTGCAGTAGTGATTAATGATGGAAACTAAACGAAAGAGAAAGAGATTGTCGAGGGGGATGAGGATGTTGATGAATTGATGGATGGAGGAGGTGTGGCAATGTTGTGAGTCCCCACAATGCAGACGACTGAATGGAATGCGGAGGCTACGAGTAAGGGCGGCTGGGAGTGGGCTGCGGAAGCAAATTGGGAGGTGCCATGTGGCTGAAGGAGGTAAGGCGGGATCAATTATCGTACTCTAGCCATGCAACCATGCAGCCAAGCCAAGCCGCTGACTGCTGGCTGCTGGCTGCTGGCTCGCTGATCGCTGGCCGTGATGAGCTCGAGTCTCCATCCTAGCTCCCCGTAGTCACCTCTACTTCATTCATCAACGTATAATCCTATATTCTCCCCACCCTCTCCGACATCTCTCTTCTCCCCACTCCTCACTCCCTGCTCTCCTCCCCTCCTCTCCATCTATTCTCATAATGGCCGACGTCAAGGACCCAAAAATCCAGGAGGGTAAGTCTACTGCCCATCACACTTGACGGCCTCCGCGCAGTGCCTGGCCGCCCGCAGCCGATCCATCACTTGCTTACTCTTCAGCTTACGAGGCTGTTCGCTCCGACAAGGACGACACCACCTGGCTCCTGCTCAACTACGAGGTGGGTCACCGTGGGCGTCTGCATTGCACGCACGACCATGCACGGGCAAGCGCGCTTCATGAATGAGCGCCGTCTGTGCTTGGAGCGTGCGGGTGTGCGACAGCCAAGTTGACGCTGAGAGGGCGCACTAACCCCAGTCGGACCGGTCTGACAAGCTCATCCTTTCCGAGACGGGTACGGGTGACATTGCCGAGTTTGCATCCAAGCTTGACCCCGCAAACGCGTCGTTTGGCTTCGTTCGCGTCAAGTACTCGAACGACGACCACTCCTTCCGCGAGAAGTTTGCCCTCGTCATTTGGATTGGCGAGAACGTTCGGGTCATGCGTAGGGCGAAGGTGAGTGCCCATTATGAGCCGAGTTGGCAGGCGAGGAGGAGGGCAAAGGGGCGTCGTCGAGCTTTTCGGAGCGAGTGGTGTCAACGGCGTGAACCTGGGTGGTTGGGCGGGGCAAGGCGGGGGGGGGGGCAAAGCGGGGGCGTGGCGGTGTGGTAGTGAGAGGTTATGGGAGGGGCGAGGTCACGAGGGAGAGGGCGGTCGGGACGAGCATCGGTCCGTAGCTACACTCCAGACACCCCTACCGCCCAATGCGCCACGTCTTGTCGCGCGCCCCGGTTTGCATTTCCGATCACGAAGAGCTCCTCGATCTGACGCTAGGTGTCCGTCCACACTGGCTCGGTCAAGGACGTGATTCGCAGCTACGCCGTTGAGATCTCTGCCTCATCTTCGGCCGACCTGCAGTACGACGACGTCGTACAGCTCATGCGTCGTGCTGGCGGTGCCAACTATGACCGGAGCAAGTTTGACTAGACACTACTGGGTCGTAGATAGAGCTGCACGACTCTGCGGAGCTGCGGTGTGATATGTCATCTCGGCGGGAAACTAGGGGCGGAAGGGGTTAGTGCTCGGCGTGAAGGCGCAGACGGCCGATCGAGAGCGGAGGTGGCGCGGGCTTTGCGGACTTTGCAGGTCTCTGCTGGTTTGGGCTTAATCAGGAGTACGGAGCAGCTGCCCTAAGCCGCGCAATCTCACTTGTATGCTTCAGCATCAATGTGATTGCGATTGTGAGTGTCGTTGATGGTGGTTCTAAAGGCGAGCGGACAATACATATAAGATGGATCAGACGACGCGTAATGCAGGGGAATAGTGGGGACAGAGTGGGGGCACGGAGAGAACGTGGCAACAAGGCGGGGGCGGATCAGGCCGCCACCCAGCACCCAGGCGGCCCACTTTTGACTCCACCACCCCACCACCCCTTGCCAGTCGTCATTCTACTACCTTCCCTCCTCCCAACTCGATCTCTCGTTCATCTCTATTCTCTCTCTTCATCTCTCCGGTTTCTCCTCGTCTTCCACTCCATTCGCAATGGCCGACGCTACTTCGTCTGCCTCTGACGTTTCCATGTGCGTTATCTCATCCCCCCTCCCCTCTGTCCATCTTCTTGAACGCTCGCGCCGCCTCACCGTCGCGCCCAACCGCATTACTAACCACAGCACCGTCAAAGGCCCTTCAGAGCTCAAACTGAGCATCACAATCTCCCCATCCAAGACGGTCGCAGACCTCAAGGATGCCATTGCCGCAAAGTCCGACGTCGAGAAGGACCGCCAGCGCCTTATCTACTCTGGTGTGCACGCCTTGCTCCCCCCCGCTAATGTCAGGCAAGGTCCTCAAGGACCCAGACACGATCGCCTCGTACAAGATTCAGAGTGGCCACACAATCCACATGGTCAAGGGCGCAGCCAAACCAGCTGCCGAGACCGCTGCCTCCCAGGCAGCCCGTCTCCCCACCAACATTGGCACCGGGTTGGCCGCTGGCAACATCGTCGATGGCGTCGAGAACTATCAGCACGTACGCGCACATACCGGGGCATCGCTGACAGCAGGGCCTTGCGGGTTTTAATCCATTCCAGGGCATGGGTATCGGCAACCTCAACGACCCCAATGCGGTGAGTGACGGCCCTCCGCCCGGTTATGAGCTAACGCTAGATGACAGGCCTCATGGACAACCCGGAGTTCCTGCGGCAGATGAGCGATCTTCTCGCGCGCCCAGAGGTTGTTGACCAGGTTGGCATATCTCGGCTCTGTACAAGCTAACAGCAGATGATTGCGTCCAACCCTCAGCTCGCAGCCATGGGCCCGCAGGTCCGCCAGATGCTGCAGAGCCCTATGTTCCGCCAAATGATTAGCAACCCCGAGACTTTGCGCGCGGTAAGCCCAACTTGGCAGTGCCCGAGCTGACCACAGATGATGCAGATGCAGGCAGCCATGCAGGGCGGTGATGGTGGTGCCGGCGCAGGTGGCTTTGGAGGTTTCCCTGGCATGTTCGGAGGCGGTGGCGCTGGCGGTGCTGGCACTACTCCGCAGAACCCTCCAACTGAGCCCTACCCCAACCTCTTTGCTGCACAGGCTGGAGCCAACCGCGCCGGTTCGCCGCCTGCGGGAGCGGCACCTGGAGCTGCCGGGGGCGCGGGCGCGGCAAACCCCTTCGCGGCGCTCTTTGGTGGTGGTGGTGCAGGGGGCGCCGGCCTGGGCGCTGGCGCCGGCGCTGGTGGCTTCAACCCGTGGGCAATGGACCCAGCGATGTTTGGCGGCAACCCCTTCGGTGCGCCGCCCCCGCCGGCTGACACCCGGCCTCCCGAGGAGATCTACGCGACGCAGCTTGGCCAGCTGAACGACATGGGCCTGTGGGACGCCGAGAAGAACATTCGCGCACTGCGCCGTACGGGCGGCAATGTGCAGGCTGCGATCGAGCTCATCTTCACAGGGCAGGTCGACAATCCGTAATCTGGGTTAATATCCGAGCTCGTCTAGTCAGTGTAATACCCGCGCGATTTTGCACGTTCTATGCATTGCTGCACTATAGATGGTGCAGACATGGATCTCACTCAACGGGCGAGATTGATTGTCTGACAGCTTGCAGCCAAACTCGACTCTGAACCGTGTTGCGGCCCTGCTGCTGCCCATGTGGCCTCTAGATGTTCACCTCCACGCAAGGCAAACGCATGTTCATCATCTTTCTAGTCTAGTGCGCCTGAGGAGCGCCAGCAAACGGCTCGCCCTTGGCAGTGGCGACCCAGTAGTTGCCATTGGGGAACGCGTAGTCGCTCATGCTCTTCTCAAACATCTCGATCGAATACCCACCCTTGGGATCCATGGGGACGTTGTATCGACCGTCCTTGTTTATGCTGACCGGGTAGAGGAAGTGTTCGTGGAGGTGGTCGACAAACTCGAGGACGTTGCGCTCCATGCTCCCGCTGACGCAGATGTAGTCGATGAGAGAGAGATGAATGACGTACTCGCACAGGCCTACGCCGCCTGCGTGCGGGCAGACGGGCACGCCAAACTTTGCGCTCATGAGCAGAATAGCAAGAATCTCCTGGATGCCGCCGACACGGCACGAGTCGATCTGGCACACGTCGATGGCGTCGAGCTGGAGTAGCTGCTTGAAAGTCATGCGGTTGTGTGCATGTTCACCGGTCGCAACGCCAATACCGTGGGGCTTGAGGGCCTTGCGGATGGCGGCGTGGCCGACGGCGTCATCGGGTGCGGTCGGCTCCTCGATGAACCACGGGCTAATGGGCCGCAGCTGCTTCATATACTCGACGGCCTGGGGCACATCCCACACCTGGTTCGCGTCAACCATCAGCACGCAGCCGGTAGGGCCGGCGTTCTTGCCCTCGACGGTCTTGGGATCCACGACCCGCCCCGGGGGCATGTTCGCGGGGTCGTCGATGATGCGCCGAATCAGGCGCCCGCGCCGCAGGTCGTCCGCGACATCCGCGCCGACCTTGAGCTTGAAGTGGTTGAAGCCCTGCGCTAGCGCCTCCTTCGTCAGTCGCTCGACCTTTTCGTCGTCGTATCCCAGCCACCCCACGCTCGTCGTGTATGCCGGGTATCCGCGCGCACGCACATCCGCCTCGCGCTCAGCCTTGCCGCCCTCCTTCGCGCGCAGCAGTTCCAGCGCCTCGGCCGGACTGATCGCGTCCGTAATGTATCGGAAGCAGGTGGAGCGCACGAACTCCTCCGGCGAAAAGTCCACGATCAGCTTCCAGAGCGGCTTGCCCCGCGTCTTGGCGTACATGTCCCACAGGGCGTTGGAGACGGCCGCTGTCGCGAGCTGGATCACGCCCTTCTCGGGCCCGAGCCAGCGGTGCTGCGGGTCTGCAACGACTGCGTGTGAGCTAACAAGCTAGCGAGCGTACGAGAAAGCCAGAACTTCTATAGAACTCACGGAAATCATAAAACTTGCCCATGTCGGCAAAGATGGCCTCCGCGTCCATCCCGACAACACGCTGCGCGACCTGCTCGATAGCATAGCACACGATATCGTTGCCGCGCCCGATCGTGAATGTCATGCCGTGGCCCTTGACGCCCGTGTCCGTCTCGACGACGCTGCGTAAGCTCCATCGTCACAGCACATACATCATAGCGGCGGAGTAGTCACACTCCTTGTTCATGGCGTCGGTTCCATCACCTGTGACGTTCTGGGTCAGCTCCGCCTCCACACTGGCTTACGGTCGGGAAGCGCACATCTGGTGTCAGCACGTCGCTGTCTCCGGCTCCCGCCTTAGCCCCCGCAACACGCACCGTGCACCGTAAAGCGTGCGATCTTTCCTGTAGTGGGCGACATGGTGCTTGGGGATGAGTGGGCGTGAGGCGGGGGTGGTTATATGCTGGGCTCGGAGAGAGCGCCGATGTCGATGGACCGCGCCAGGAGGCCGTGGTTGGCCGGTTGGCCCGGCCGGGCCGTCGGGCCGCACGCCGGTCCGGGGATCTGGGGTTAGACGGTCACGTGCGAGAGCCGCACGGATGAGCTTAGCCGCGAGTTGTTGATGGGATGGTGGACTGTCTCCTTCACGCAATTCTCCAAGTACTTGTGCACTCCGGAGGTGCATTCAAGCGCGTCAACATTGCGCAAAATATACAGGCATCCATCATCACCTTGGGTCTTGTGCTTCTGTGCGATGGCCGCACACACAAGCCACCGCCATCAAGGGCGGGGGAGTACCAGAAGCGGCGACGCCACCCGCCAACCTGCCCATTCCGCCCCTCACGCGCACAGACAAGCCCCCATTCTAACCCATCCCGCTCTTCTCGGCCCCAGCCCGAGCATATCACACTCGCTGCACACTCGCGCTCGCACTCACAATCAATAACTGACAAAGCCTGATCTTGATCTAGAAGGCGCAACGCAAAGGATGCTCGCGCCGATCGAGGTGTGTCCACAACAATGGCGGCGGGGACGACTGCGACCAGCTGCTCCAACATCTGCATCTGCAACTGCATCTGTAACTTCTGCGCCGGCAGACTTTTAAATGCTACGCCCACCTCGTTCTGAGCCCCACCATCACACCCACCACCCTCTGACCACCCAACGCCGACACCCAAGGACCGCGCTATGACCCCGCACGCGGCCGCCGAGCCACGCCTGGCGCGCTTGCAACAGCCGTACGACATGCACCACCAACAAATGCACCTGCCTGCCGCTCCCTCGCCACCTCCCTCCCCTTCTCCTACTTCGTCCCACCGATCTCCCTCCCCGTCCAGCATTAACTCACTCAGCCCGCTCGTCAAGCGCTTCTCACGACCTCTCCTCTCGTCTTTCCTCTCCGCACTTCGCCCGCGTTTACAATACGACATGTCCGAGTCCGGCGAAGCGGCCGTCGAATCGCCTACCTCTCTGACTTTGCCTCGGCGCCACTCGCCGTCCAAGCCATCCAGATCGATGCGCCGCAAACCCGCACCGAGCTGGGATACGGCAGATGACAGGCGTTTGGACGTAATCGATTCAGATACAGACAAAGCCGACTCGCCCCAGCTCGCCCCCGACATAGCAGAGAGGCATGCCACACTCTCGCCCACTTCTCATTCCCCCAAGCAGCCGAATTCTCTATCCACAAAGGATGCCCGCCGGTCAAAAGACAAAGACACCGAGTCCAAGTCACCCAAGTCTTCAATACGCGAAGCCCGGGGCCGCGACAGCATAGACCTCGCACAAAAGCGTTGGAGCCCGCTGCTCTTCGACACGCTCGCAGAGAGCGTTGCGGCGCAGGTGCAAGAACAAGGAAAGAATGAGCCCGCCATGCCACCACGCGAACCCAGCGCCGCCTCGCTGGATCCCAACGACGGTGTGCGCCGTAAGATGAGCCGTGCACGCACTCAGCCCGGCTACGTGCACTCGACCCGCTCTCCGCCGTCGAGCGTCAAAGGCCCCTTCGACATCGAAGAGCACTACCGCGCCATAGCAGCGGCCCAAGCGGCAGCCCAGGACACTTGTTCCTCGGCGCGCCTCAGTGCGGCCAGTCCGCCGATTACCCCGGTATTGTCCTCCAAGGCCGCCAGCATTCCCGAGGTTCTCTTGCGTCCCCAGTCGCGTCCACCCCCTCCACCACCCATCGCTCCTACCTACCGGCAGTTCTACAGCCTCATCCCGCTGCGTCCCCGCTTGGCATACCTTCTTCCGGCACTCGCCGCCTCATTCATTGGCGCGGGAGTACAGCCATTCGTATCAACCGTCATTGGAGACACCTTTGGCGCTCTTGCCGCCTTTCCGCCTTACTCAGTTGCGACGCATGCGCATAACGTCGCGCTCCTGAACGTCGTCGGCACCGCGAGCCTCAAGCTTGCCGGCGCGGCCGGCGTCTATGCCCTCTGCGAATACGGCATGGCGGTAGGCTGGACGCACTTTGGTGAGACGAGCGCAGCATGCCTCCGCGAGCGGGTGTACGAGGGCGTGCGGACCAAGCCTATGGCGTGGTACGACACGGGGATGGGCATGGAGGAGGCGGTGGCGGGGGGCGATGCGGTGGGTTCCGGCGGTCTAATGGGCAAGTTTGCGCGCGAAACCGACGACGTGCGCCTCGGCGCGAGCCAAGCTACAGGCCTCTTCGTGCAGAGCATGGCAAGCTTTTTGGCTTGCTTCATTCTCGCGCTGGTCAAGCTGCCGACGCTGGCGCTCGTGACGCTGTCATCACTCCCGCTCCTGGCAGCGCTCAACGCCAGCACCGAGCGCGTGGTGAACAAGTCACAGGTGGCCGAGCGGCGCGCGTTCGCCGAGGCGTCTACGACGGCGGAGCGCACGACAGCCGCCATCGCGACAGTTAAGGCGCACAACGCGCAGTCGGCCGAGGAGGTGCGATTCGAGACGCTCGTCGCGCGCGCACGCGCCCAGCTTGTGCGTCAAGCGCTCGTTTGGGCACAGTGCCTTGCCCTCAACGACTTCCTCGTCATGCTCATGTTCATCGTTGGGTTCTGGTACGGCGCCATCCTCGTCAACCAGGACAAGGCTTCCGTTGCAGAGGTCATGACGGTCTTCTTCTCCTGCCTGCTCGGCGCAGCGGCGCTGCAGGGCGCCCCGCCCCAGCTCATGATCATGAACAAGGCCAAGGCGTCGCTTGCCTCCCTTCTCTCCGTCATTCAAGATACGGAGGAGGCCGTGCCGGTAGGCCGCAAGGCCGCCCGCTTGCGGGGCGAGTTCGAGTTCAAAGCTGTCTTCTTTGCTTATCCCTCGAGGCCCAGACAGCTCGTGTTGCGCGGCATCGATCTTTTCCTTCCATGTGGCGAGCTGACGTTTATCGTTGGCGGAAGCGGAAGCGGCAAGAGCACCATCGCACACCTTCTGCTGCGCCTTTACTCCCCACCTGAAGGCGCGGGCGTAATCAACCTTGACGAGAGACCGCTCTCGTCCTACGACCCAGCATTTACGAAAGGACACATCGCTGCTGTGTCGCAAGGATGCCTCATCTTCGACATGAGCGTGCACGACAATGTCGCCATGGGCGTGCTCGGCGCGGATGCAAGCACATACGGCCGCGTACGTCGGCCGGAAGAGGTGACGCGCGACGAGGTCATCGACGCGTGCCGCTTGGCGCTGATCCATGAATTCATCGAAAGTCTTCCGCAGGGGTATGACACAATGCTGGGCAATGGTGGGAGTGCGCTGAGCGGGGGACAGAAACAGCGGCTGGCGATTGCGCGCGCGCGCATCCGCGACCCGGCAGTCCTGATTCTGGACGAGGCCACAGCCGCTCTGGACGCAACGGCCCGTGTGGAAGTCTTCGAGGCGGTGCGCGCTTGGCGTGAGCACTCGTCAACGATCGTGATTACACACGACCTCTCGCAAATCAACGCCGACGACTTTGTCTACGTCATGCAAGACGGGAGCGTGGTGCAACAGGGATTCCGGCGCGACCTCGTGCTGGTGCAGGGCGTATTCGCATCCATGGCCGCTGAGCAGAGCGCCGCGCCCCTTGAGCCCAAGCTCGACTTTAGCTGGCGCGCGGCGGCTGACGTCGATGTCGACGAGGAGGACGACGAGGAGGACTTGGACGAGCTTGCGCGCATACACACGACGACGTGGCGCGTCAGCATGCGGCCCGCGCCAGCCAAGCGGCGCACCATGGCACGGCCGCGAAGCATCTCGCTCAGCCGCGCACGAGCAGGGAGCCTTAGCGAGGCTCCGGAGCGGTGGAGATCGAGCGCAACCAGCCTGTCGCACGTGGCGAGGAATGCGGGGGTCAGCGTTGTCTCCTCGATCCCCCTCAAGCTCAAGCGCAGTGGCGAGCACCGCCGCTCCATTGAAGTGCGCAGAAGCGTCGACCTACGCATTTCGATTGACAAGGAGGCACTCGCAGAAGACGACAAGGAAGTGCTTGCCGACGACCACGCAGAGGTACTTGCAGACAACGGGGTCAATGACTCGAACTCCGAGAAGCCGCAAATCTCGCCTCCGGAGCGTCACTCATCTCTGGCATGGGGCGGCGCGGACATCAGGAGAGAAGTCGACGTCGACACCGACGCCGAAGACGACGCCGAGCTCAAAGTCTATGGTTTCTTCCGCCTCATGTGGCGCTTTTTTCCAAGCATCCCGCACAAAGGTGTCCTGGTCCTCGGCACACTGGCCTCAATCGGGCGAGGCGTCGCCACACCCGTGTGGTCCTACTTCCTCGCGCAACTCATGGCGCTGCTGGGTAGCAGCACGAACCGCGCCGTCGCGGAAAAGTCAGGCATTCTGATCGGTATTATTGTAGCGCAGGGGCTTGTGGTTTTCACGCAGCACGCGTCGCTCGCCTCTCTCGGCGCCGTGTGGACCGCGCGCCTGCGCTCGCGATCCTACGCCCTCGTCCTGGCGCAAGACAAGGGCTGGTTCGACCGCGAGGCCAACTCGCCTCCTCGTCTCGTGCAAGGCCTCATCAAAGATGTCGATGACATGCGTCACCTCGTCGCGACCGTGCTTCCGCGCATCATCGTTGCGGTCTGTATGGTTGCCCTTGGCTTTATCTGGGCCATGGCCGTTGGCTGGCAGCTCACGCTTGTCGGCCTCGGCCTTCTTCCCGTGTTCGCTGTCATCGGCGTAGCTAGCACCGTGCTCCTCTCCAGGGCCGAGGTGTACAACAAGGCGCGGCGCGAGTCGGTCTCGCGGCTCTTTTTCGAAGTGAGTATCGACTATCGTTGCAGCCTTGGACCTCATATGGCTGACATAAGGCTGTCGCGAACGTCCGCGGCATTCGTGCCATGGCTCTCGAGCAAAGCTTTACGCAGCGCTTCGCTGCTGAGTCGGCCGAAGCGCGGCGGCACGCACAGCGCGCAATTTGGACAACGGCCATCGGCACCAGCATCAATATGAGCATGCCGCTGTTTGCACAGGGTCAGTGGCGCTTGTCCCGCCAGCGTAGTCCGCCCCTCGTCACCAGCACTCACCCCAGCCCTTTTGAACTACGTCGGCGCAGTCTTTATCCGCAACGGGACCATGGTCCTCGCAGATATGCTGAAGGTATACACGCTTGTGCTCTTCAGTGTGACCTTTGCCGTCTCTCTTCTCGGCTTCAGTACGTTTTCGCCTCTCCCACCTCCCCCACTCCCTTGCTCTGACGCCAGTGCCGCTCCTGACCAAGGCCAAAGTCGCCGCAGCGGACTTCGAGCGCATCCGCACGCTTTCACCTACGACGTCCGACTCGCACGGTACGGCGCACTTCGAACTCTCCGGCGCCGTGGCCTTCCACAACGTGTCGTTCCGCTACCCGACCCGCCCTGACCCCGTGTTCGCCGACCTCTCCTTCGCTCTGAAGCCCGGGGAGGCCGTCGCGATCGTGGGTGCCAGCGGAGCGGGGAAGAGCACAGTTGCCGCCCTCCTGCAGCGCCTGTACGCTCCGTCATCGGGGCGCATCACACTCGGCATCACACTCGGCGGCGTCGACGGTGAACACGACCTCGCCACGGCCGACATCCGTGGCGTGCGCGACGGCATCGCGGTCGTCGCGCAAACGCCGCACCTCTTCGATGCCAGCGTCGCGGATAATATCCGCTATGGGCGGGCGGAAGCGACTCTCGAGGACGTGGTGGCGGCCGCCAAGGCGGCGCGGATCCACGATTTCGTTATCAGCCTGCCGGAGGGATATGAGACGCGGCTCGGAGAAAATGCCTCGCTCATTAGCGGCGGGCAGGCTCAGCGGTTGCAGATAGCACGCGCGATGCTCCGCCGCGCCAAGATTCTCATCCTGGACGAAGCCACGAGTGCGCTCGATCTTGAAAACCAGGCGGGGATTCTGGACATGATCCTCGCGATCAAAAAGGTGGGTGGAGAAGAGAATGGGCTGACCTGCAGGACCATACTATCATGTTCATCACGCACAGCATTGATGTCATGCGGCGATGCGACCGAATCATCTGTCTGGGCAATGGTCGGGTCGCAGAGGATGGTACATATGCCAGCCTTCTGGCTCGCGGGGGCGTGTTTGCTCAGCTGCTCAAGACCGGCGAGTGGCAATAGATGGGCTCTAGATAATAATACTTTACTCGATGCTACATACGCACTAATGCTGCTTGATGCCGCCGCCCTTGAACTGGTAGTAGTGGGGTCTATTGTCAGTTGAGTACACACTGTGTAAACTTACGCTAGCTCGACAAGCCACTCCTCCTCGACGACGGTGAGATCGCGCATAAAGCTCTTGGTTGTCTCGATTACCTCGTGGAAGATAACCCAGCCTGTGGAAGGCTGACGTGTGAACATGACCGAGGACGGGTGGACGTGAAGGATCTTTGTAAGCGAGGTACCTTGCGACTAGGACTTACAGCCCCCTCGCGTGCACTCTTGTACGTGCCGTCAGGCAACATACGTGCAGCGTTCTGCTGTCAGCTGGGTCGGCGACCTTGAATTCACCTTGAAGTATCCCGATACCAAACACTTGCGCAGCGTCACATGGTCACTTCCACAGCTGACAAGCGGGATATTGAAGCGGCCGAGGAACTTCTTGAGCTGCTTCCGGATGGCAACAGCGCGCGATAGTGACTTGAAGTTGATACGGTGGTTGCCACACCACGACTTGTCCTTTTGCCCGTAGCGCACGAAGGCATTGTACGCTGTTTTAGCTGACTTCGCAGAAGTGGCTCACCATTCAGCAATGTCAGATGGTCGCCCTCTTCAGCAGTGAACTTGCGCCGCTCCAGTTCAGCCATCGTCGCGCGCATACCGCCTTCCGGGATGACGAAGACGCTCTGCACCTGTGTCATTGCCGCGATGGTAAGGACCTCCTCGCTGCATTTGAATGTAAATGAGTTGAGAAGCTGTGGTCAGCTTGCGAATCCACGCCAGCTTACGATGGCTGCCATCATCGGGTCGAGAGGAAGTTCAGCCATGCGCTCCCCTAGTGGCCGTGTCAACCTTCCCTCTTCGTCGAGCGCTTTCAGCGAGTACAAAAACTCGAGGGACCGAACCATCATCGCGCTAGGCGGTGGGCTCATGAAGTCAAACTTGGCGAGGTTGTCGATACCCAGTGCCTTCAGCTGGAGAAGGTACATGCTGACATCGGAGCGGACGAGTTCGGGCGGAGTGGTGATCGGCATGGGCGAGAGCGGGTTATTTGAGGGCAGGACGCTTAAGGGGTAGAGGCGGTAGCATTTGCCTGCGGACGTTCGTCCCGCACGGCCTGCTCGCTGGTTTGCCGAAGCTAGGGAGCATGGTGTAACGGTGAGAACGTCCATGGCTGTTCGCGGATTGAATGTCTTCAGCTGTGATGGGTGAGCTCCGCGACCGCATCCCGACCCACCTTGACAAATCCGGTGTCAACGACATACTTGATCCCATCGATGGTGACACTGGCTTCTGCGATGTTGGTCGCGAAAATAACCTTGCGAGTGTCTCGTGGTGGTGGGTCAAAGATGACGTCCTGTTCTTCCGGTGGAAGCGTGGCATACAGCGGTAGTGCAAGTATTTGGGGAGCAGCACGAGGTAGTCTAGCGTCAGAATTGCCGGCTTTCAGCTCTTACGTCTGTAACCGGTCTGCCACCTGCTGGACCGCGCCGTCGATTTCATCACGACCAGTGAGGAAAACAAGGACATCACCTGCAGGTTCCTGTTTCGTCAGCTGCCGCTAGTATTCGCTGCGCACCTTCAGATGAATGTTGAAAACAGTGTCAACCGCCGCTTGGACGTAGTCGACCACCGGTTCTCTCAAGTACGCCACTTCGACAGGGAACATCCGTCCCTCGATACTGACGATGACGGCGTCGTCCTTGGACCGGTCTGACCCGTCCGCGTTTGTGTTGAAGTACTCAAGGAAGTCCTCGCTGCTGTAAGCTTTCTACTCAGCCTACGCAAGCTCACGCATCAATGGTGGCGGACGATATGATTACGCGTAGCTCTGGACGCTTCTTCATGATCTTCTTCAGCAAGCCCAGCAGGAGATCGGTATACGCGCCGCGCTCGTGCGCCTCGTCAATCTGGAGGGGTCAGTTCTACAGGCGGAATCCTACTAACCATGATGACGCTGTACTTGCTCAAAAGTGGGTCGATCATGCACTCGCGGAACAGCATACCGTCTGTGAGATACTTGATGCGTGTGCGCTCGGGATTGGAAAGGTCCTCAAACCGGATCGAGTACCCCACCTCATCGCCGAGGACGCTTCCCACTTCTTCAGCAACGCGCGTAGCGACGCTTGTCGCAGCTACCCGACGGGGCTGTGTGCACGCTACGACTCGGCCTCCCGCCGTCCACCCCGCCTCGTGGAGGTACTGGGGTATCTCTGCTGTCAGATGCACACCTGGTGGCTTACTCACGCGTAGACTTTCCGCTACCCGTCTGACCCACCACAATCGTCACCGCGTATTTTTCGATGCACCACAGCAGCTTGTTACGGTGCTTGTAGATCGGGAGCCGCTGCCTTGCGCTTTCGAGGCTGAGGTTGCCGGCGCGAGCCGAAGACAGCGCAAGCGCGCCTTCGGCTTCGGCCTCACGATCTAGTGAAGAGCCGGGCGCAACAGTACCAGGCTTCCAGAACTGTAGGGGCGGCATGAGTCGAGAGATGTGGAGAGGGAGAGAAGGTGACCGCCGAGATGTTGTTGCTGGCTCACCTCCACCTGCTTGAAATCGAGACTGTATTCGGTACTCCGGTGTAAGCACGTGGAGGGCCGCCGAGGAATGTCCGGTCTGGCCGGCAAGGGCGTTATGTCATTTGCTGGATTGGCTGAATGTTGATAGCCGCCCACTATCTCTGCTCAATAACATTTCCCAGCCGTCCGCCTCAAGGCTGCCCTGCAATTCATGCGCGGCTTCGGTCCTCTCGCTCTGCAGAGATCGCAGAGAGTCAGGCTGCCGTCTGCCGATTGGTACTAACCCGCCGACTGACACCCCCGATATTGCCAAGCCGGAGTTACACCTCGCCCGACCGAGTCCTATCTGGACTGCTTCAGGCGTATATTACTTGGTTCCCACCACTGCTGTCGTTTGTTCGACCGCAACAAGTTTCGCGTCGCAAAGCTCATAGCATGCGCTCCCTATCGCTGCGCCCAACCCTCGTGGGACGCGCGCTTCTTCTCGTCGCCGGCTTAGTCCTCGCCAACGCAGCAGTCTGGACAGCAGCCGGCATCGCGTACCGCGGCGCGGACGGGCTGCTGGGTATCGCCATGCTGGCGTGGACGCTGGGACTCCGCCATGGCCTCGACGCGGACCACATCAGCGCGATCGACAACGCGACGCGCCAGATGGTCAGCCTCGGCCAGCTGCCCATGACCTGCGGCCTCTTCTTCTCCCTCGGCCACTCGACCATCGTGATCGTCGTCAACATCGCGCTGGCTATCAGGTGGGTTGCGGCTCAGCAACCGCTGACTCCAGCGTGGACATTTACGACCGCCTCGGCAAGGTCGGCGATGTCGGCGGGATCATCGGCACGTCCGTTTCCGCCGTGTTCCTCTTCCTCGTCGCCGTCATCAACTCGTACTTCCTTGTCGGCGCGGTGCGCGCCAGAAAGCGGGCGAAAGAGCTGGAGCGGCTCGGCCTGCCGCCCGACGAAGATGTCACCGTGCAGGGGGGCGGATGTCTTGTGCGCATCATCGGGCCTATTCTCAAGGCTGTCGACAAGCCGTGGAAGCTGTACCCCGTGGGCATCCTCTTCGGTAAGTGGAGCATATGTAGGTGAAAGTAGCTGACCGCAGGTTTCGGCTTCGACACAGCTTCCTCCATCGCCCTTCTTGCTCTCAGTGCGATTGCCACCCGCGGCCCCGACGGTGAGGCGATTGCACACGGCAAGATCGTCATTCTCCCAGTAAGCTGACACTGTGAGTGTAGCTGATTGCAGTTCCTCTTCACGGCTGGCATGTCGCTCGTCGACACCCTCGACAGCATCCTCATGCTGTACGCGTACGCGCAACCCGAGCTGCGAACGGAGGGCAAGCTCGCCCTCTTCGAGCGGGACAAGGAGGCGGAAGCCCTCCTCCCCGCTGTGGAGCGCACGTCCTCTACCATCTCCGAGGGAAGCGACCCTACCAAGCCGCAGGCGATCTACGGCTCCACGGCAGAAGGCACTGGTGTCGTCGTGATCGTAGACGAGGCCGAGGCGCGCCGCCGCCGCATGCTCGCGGCCAAGACGGCAACCATGGGCAGCTTGAGTATCAGCCTCACGCTCCTCTCGATTGTCGTGGCCCTCAGCATCTCGCTTATCGAGATCCTCGGGCTGATCGGGGAGAATTGTGCGCGGTGCACGGCGGCGGCTGAGGCCGAGGACGGGGGTGGCCTCGAGGGATCGTGGTGGCGCGCATGGGCGGCTGCCAACGACGCGAGCGGCTATGTTGGTGCGGCGATCGTCGGTGTCTTTGTCGTTATTCTGCTCGTGTATCACGGTGCGCGGTGGTGGTGGAAGAAGCGCGGCGGAGAGGGGCGCGCCCTCGTGCACGCAGGAGTGTAGCTCCTGTAGCCCCATGCATCGCGTTGGGCTACAAATGTCGTGACATGGTTGTGCAAAAGGGCCTCCGTCAATGTTCCTCGATTCAAAAGCACAGCCTTCGTGATAATGCACTCGTTGACCACATCCACCCGCATCAAACAACCCTCGTCGCATCTCAACTTTCGTTTATGACGTTCTCCAAATCGCTCAGTATCTACAGATCAAGTCCTCTACCACCGGTTGCCGGGGTAGCCGTCACCACCGCCTCCGTAACCGCCACCGAAGCCGCTGCCGTGACGGCCCTGGCCGGGTGGGGGCGGGCCCGAAGGCGGGTTGAACGACCCATACTGGCCCTGAGGCTGGAAGCCACTGGGAGGCTGCGGCGAGTGGCGACCAAAGCCGCTGCCGTGCTGGGGACCACCGTAGCCGCCCTGGGGCTGGAAGCCACCGCCCGACTGGTACCCACCCTGCGGCTGGAAGCCTGGGCTGCCGTGCGGCTGGAAGCCGGTCTGGTGCTGAGGCGGAGACTGACGCCCGTAGCCACCGTGTTGAGGAGGCGACTGACGACCGTAGCCGCCATGCTGAGGAGGTGACTGGCGGCCGTAGCCGCTGTCGTGCTGCTGGTAGCCCTGGCCGCCGAAGCCGCTCTGCTGACCACCAAAGCCGCTCTGGTTGCCTCCGTACCCGCTGCCGCCAAAGCCGCTCTGGCCACTTGAGCGACCTCCGCCGCCCAGCGAGTCAAGCGAAGGGGCATTCTGGAAGCGCTGGTTGTTGTCGCGCTTGCCACCCTGGTTGCCCTGGCCACCGCTGAAGCCGGGCTGATTGTCAGCACCGCTTGCCCTAATCATACTCACAATCTGGATGTTGTGCTGGGCGATGACCTGCTGAAGGCCGCCCTCAGGGAGCATCTGGTTGTGGACGTGGCCCGTCGAGACCGAGTCGTCGCCGATGCGCTTGTTACGGCCTTCGCGGACAGCCTGGGCGGTGAGACGCTGGAGGCTCGCCTGCTGGTCCTTGCCCTGCCCCTGCCACCACTTGTGCATGTGGTCGAGCATAATGCGCTGAATCTCAGCTCCGTTGGAGAAGTCGGGGTGGAAGAGGCACTGGAGGATGTCCTCGACAGGCTGGCGGGGGTCGATGTTCGAGTCGCTCCAGGCCTGGGCGATGCGCTCAGCCGAAAACTTGACAATGAGCTGGGCGATCTGGCCAGCTGGCTCGTTGAGCAAAACGTCAAAGTGGTCCTTGGAGAGGAACGAGTGGGTAGGATCCGAGGCATTGGGGTTGTTCCACACCTCAAACTGCTCGTTGGCGTGGGCGTTGAGGATGGCGTGCGACGAGTTGGCAAGGGTCTCGGTGGCGGTACCAAGAAGGGGCTTCACGTAAGGCTCGATGGTAGTCATGACAAAGACCGACACCGAGTTGCCAATCTTCTCAGTGAGAGAGCTGAGACCGGGAATCCTGTCGATCGTGTTCTCGATGCTCTTCATGACCTTGTCACGGAAGGCAAGAGCCTGCCAGAGAACCTTGTAGAGCTCCTGGGGGCTCATGGTGCTGGGGTCGGCGGTGGTCGAGCGGAGGTTTTGGAGGTTGTCCATCTCTCTGTTGAGGTGATCGGTGTCCTGGCCTGGCATCTGGACAAACATCTGACGCAGGGCCTGAGCAGACGCACCCTGGCCATCCTGGATGCTGCGCGAGTCCGAGAACGACTTGCTCAGGTCAGAGACGGCAGCCGAGGAGAGGTGGTCACCAGCCTCGCCCATGAGCGAGTGGATAAAGTCGGCACCACCAAAGGTGCCGGTGACAAGGGGGAAGACCTCGCGACCCTGGGGAGTGCGAACGCGGCAGTTCTGGCCGACGTGAGGGAACACTTGATGGTTGCCCATCGAAATGAGGGCAAGCTCGCAGAAGTTGGAGTGCGCGGTGAAGTCTTCAAGGGTGTGGAGGGCAGTACCGAAAAGACGGAAGGCCTCGTATTCGTCGTTCTTGTTGCCGGTCTGCTGAGCGCGACGGCCAACCTCAATGCACTTGAGGAGAGTGCGGCGCACAAGGGCCTTGGAAGTATCCCAGTTGCCATTTTCTGAATGTCAGGTGGACGCAAATTGGGTCAATTGCACTCACCGTTGGCGATGTAGTTCTTCATGCCAGTCTGTGGATCAATCTCGAGCTCGCGAGGGTCGATAGGACCACGAAGGCGTGGGTCGTACTTGCGGGCATCCTCGCCTTCGGCATAACCCTTTGGGTTGTCAATGTGCTCGGTAGGGAGGTAGCAGCCGAGACGCTCCTTGGTGACCTCAAACTCCTCGGTCACATAGCCGTGGGCTGAAAGTCAGTCAAGTAACGGGGACGTCAAGATCTGCCAGCGGATCAAGCTTACCGAGGAAGCCAAGAACCATAACAACGTTCAAAACAGTCTGGAAGGGCACCTTGGAGAGTGCGGCGACGTCGACGGCCTGTAGTCGGATTAGTAACCGCTGGGCGCTGTTTCGAGCAGATGCATACCTGAGAGTAGTCGCGGAGCCAGTTGCCCTGTGCATGTTAGCTTGGTGCCACGGACTGGATGGGAGGATGGGTCAAGGAAGACGGCGTGCCAGTCAACTTTGCCACTAATGCTGGTGTAGCTGCTGGCTCTCCTTGTCGTCGCACCGACCCCGACCCCGGAGCACAGAGGCATCCGGCACAACCACAAGAGCCAATACAGAAAGACTCACAAAGTAGACGCGCTTCAAGTCGAGGCCGGTGAACTTTGTGCCGCGAGAGAGGAAGCCGGTGCCGACGACCTTGTACATGTTGGCCATGACATCCTCAATGTCGCCATGACGGAAGGCCTTGTCCTCGAGGTAAGAGTAGGCAGGGATGTTGCCTAGTGGGGTGGTTAGAAGGAGTGCGTGGTTTAGCACTCACCTGCACCGAAAGCGAGGACCTGAGGGGCGAAGGAAAGGGCGACGACGGCCAGTACGAGGTAAAAGAGGGCCGAGCGCGCCATGTTGGGAGCTAAGCCAGATGTGGTGTGGTGGTGGTGGTGGTGGTGGTGGTCAAGCTGCAGAAGCAGAGGAGAATCGAAGAGGTGAAGGGAGAGAGAGGGAATAGAGGAGTGTTTTTGACTCGTATTTGAATGACACGAGAGAGAGAGAGAGAGAGAGGGAGAGAGAGAAATAAAGAAAGAGTTGAGAGCTTGAGAGGAAGCGAGGATGAGGTGGAAAGGGGGCGGCCGGGAGGGAAGGATGAGAATGAGACCACGGCTGGACGACTGCACTGGATGATCGGATGACGCGGATAAGAAGCCCTGGCCTTGCTTGTCCTGGCCTCTTGGCCGTGGCTTGCATAGCTTGCTGGATGCTGGCAGTGCGAGGCCGACCATGGGCCGACCACGCGACCGACGCTGATCCGCCTCCATCCGCCCATCCGCCGTGCAATTACGTCAACTCGCGCGCTCCTCACGTGTCATCCACCTGGCCGGCCTTTTCGACGCGTTGTTAATTGACCCGACCTCGAAGGAGGGGTGCCTGGTTGCTCGCGCTTTTCACAGACACGTGTCACATCTGCCCCACTACTTACTAGAACACAGGCCCAGGGCCCACATTTGTTTGGTTGCCGCGAGAGGAAAACAATACCGCCCTTTGGACAAGGTTAGGATACAGTGTAATGATACCTAATGGCGTCCTAATTTGCACATTACCCGTACCGTCCCCCGTCTGTCCATTGATTCCCCCCGCGGCCTCTGCTTTGGTGCCCTCTTGTTGAATGACCCTTGATTGTTGTCGCGTCACCCCCGTCGTCGCCGTTCCGCCGGTCCCCGCCTGGCGTTGGGTATCCAGCCTTCTCTCACCCCCCATCTCATGTTCATGTCAACAACCACCCCGCCGTCTCCATCTCTCATTTCTCATCTTCAGTTCCATCATCTTCTATCGACCATCGACACCAACAACAACAACAACCACACGCACTACAGTACCCCCACACGATCGTTCACGCCATCTTGTCATCCGCCCTCGTCTTCCGCCCTCCCATCACCCATCACCCATCGCCCTTGGCCCCATCTGTTCCAACGTTCCTTGTGGTGATCCCCGGCGTCTTCGCCCTTTGCACTCTTCTCCCTCGCCTTTGACAACTAACGCTCCACAAAGCTTTGTTTTGTTTCCATTTCAAAGGTTAGTTCTCCGCAATCAGCAAACACGTCGCTCCTGTTGCAGTTGTTGTGTTGTGCTATCGGTCGGTCGGTGCACTCTCGCTTGGTCATGCGGCATCAAGTCATGCTCGACGTTTCTCTTCATTCGAAACCTCATCCCCCCCCCCCCCTGTCGCTTTCCCCTTTCCTTACAGTACCCCTTTGCTCCATTCCCTTGCATCGCCAACCCTCGTGCACTCGGGGCTCGTCTCTTGAGGTCTTGGCCCATCCCTTGCCATGGATCCATGCGTCAAAGACGCTCATACTCCCCTCCTCGCTGTCAGCTCGCAGCTCGCAGCAGCCGGCGGCAGCCATCTCTCTCACCCACTCCATTCTCCTACTCGGCATATCCCGCGAGGCAATTGCTCGACCGCCCGAGTAAATTGACTTTAGGCGTTGCTGGAATTGCTATTGCTGGATTCACAGTGGGCCCATGCGCTCTAACCGTCTCGCCTGTCTCGTCGTTGTTGTTGGGCCGCACATACCCCTCCAACGACTTGCAGCAGCAGCGTGCACCGCGTGCAGGCCGTGCTTGATCACAAGGCGATAGCCACTCGCTCCTTGCTTTCACTCGGCGCACTCCGCACCCTTCCCTTGCTGCTGCTACAAACACAAACCAAACATCCTCCTCCCATCACCTCTCTCAGCTCTCATCTTGTCTTCTTCTCAGCTTGCCATCATCGTTTCCTCGTCTTACTTCGTACGCCTCCTCTCGTCAACTCCTTCTACCCCCTCCCTCGTTTAAACGCTCGCTCACTCCCAAACAGCCCTCGCCTCGACACCTGCGTTTGCCTCTTCTTCTTTACCCTCTGCTCCCCGCCATTCATCCCCGTTCATCCTCAACACTGAGCGTGTTCTCCAACACCAACATTCACCAACACCCTTCCTCCCAGTCGTGGGCCTAGTTGCCTCATGGACGACCCATTCACGTCGCCATTGGCGGCAAGAACACCACTACAACAGCACCGACCAAATGTCGTCGTGACCAGCTCCCTAGAGCACACCCCATCACCCGAGCTCCTCACCCCCGACCTCAACACTGCAACCCTCCGCACACGCCTCCAGGCTATCCTCGATGACAAGTCGCGTCAGCTCGCCAACGTGGGCAGCTTTGGCCAACGTCTGCTCACCCAACAAAGCGAACTTGAGGACCGGATCAAAGCCCTCGGTGACGAGCAGGATGGTGACGACATCAGCGAGGACACCCGCGCCAAGCTTCGTGAGCTCGAGGATGCAATGAAGGGTTGGGAATCGGATAACCAGGACATCATGCGTGACCTTCACGGTTCAGAGGTGAGCTCGTCTGCCTTCTGTGTTCGCACCCAGCTGACCCGCCAGTTCCTTGACGTGGCCATGACTCCCGTGCCCGCCCTGGCCACACCCGTAAAAGCCAACGACACGGGGCCACCACCAAGCACCCTCACACGACGACAACGCAATGTAAATCAGCATCGCGCCATGGACATGGAGTTTGCGACAGAGATCGGGCAGAACCTCTTGCACGAGGTGCGCAGGTTGCAAGCGCTTCTCAATGAGCGCGACCGAACGATCGCCGAGTCCAAAGACGCATGGGAGGCCGAGCGCGACACTTTGGTCACCGCTGTACGCACCGCAGAAGCCAACGCAGGTGCGTTGTTGTTGACTGGGGTGTCATACCATTTCGCTCCTGCCTGCTGACACACAGACCAACTAAAGGACGTCAATTGGAGTCTTGAAGTCAATCTCCAAGAACTCCGCGGTCAGCACGGCGATGTCACCGGTAGCTTGACCAAGGCGACCGCTGAGCAGAATCGTCTTGCCAAGACTCTTGCTGCTGTCCGCGAGGCTGCCGAGACCCACAAGCTCGAGGCTGAACGTCAGCGCGAGATTGTCGAGGAGCTCAAGGTCAAGCACGAGACCGAGATGGCACAGGCTCGCAAGACTCACGCAGGTCTGACCCGCGATAAGAGTGACCTGCTTAATGACCTCACGAGGATGCGCAAGGACAAGGAGGCCTTGGACAAGCGCGGCGTGCGCGAGGGCAGCCCCTTGGTGCACTCCTTTACTCATGATACTTCTTCCGACGACGTCTTCAACGACGATATGTCGTTCCGGAAGCGCCCAGGCTTTGATGCCAACGACAATGCGCTCTCTCCCTCGCAGCTCTACGCGTCAGACTTTGACTCGCCAGACAACACTCCCAACAAGTCCATGTCTCGGTCACCGATGGGTGAGATGTACGCCGAGGAGCTTCGCATCGAGTACGAGAAGGCTCAGCAGGAGATTGCCCAGCTAAAGGAGCAACTCAACTCTAGGCAGCAAGTTGAGGACGTCGACGAGTTTGGTGCCTTTGGTGGTGCCGAGGAATCCACACTCAAGGCTCGCGGCGGCAAGACGCCCAGCCGCGGACGCCGCGGTCGTGGAGGTCGTGGCTTTGCATCAACAATATCTAGAAAGCTTGGCTTCCCTCGGTCCAGTTCTGGCCTCAGCGCAAGCGGTTCTGCGGCCGATGCCAGCTTCCAATCCTCTCCTGGCACACCTGATCTCCTTCGTCCTGACCGCGTGGGCTCGCCGGAGCATGCCTCTCCTCTGGCTCGACGCGGCAACCTCGCCGACTCTCTTGGGGACGACTTTGACAACGCCTCACCGACGCACTCGCGCAATCTTTCCGACTCTAGCTTTGACGCTCTACGTCTCTCCCGCGACCTCTCACGCCAATCTCAAGATCTCACCCTTGCTGGTCCTCCTCTAGCCCTGGAGCTGACTCAGCCATCATCGTCCTACGCCGATGCTAGCGTCATGACGGACGACGACGACTGGTCGCGTCAACATACCGCCACGATACGCCCCTCGGAGACGATGCGCCCCTCCATTCCTTCCATGGACCGTACATCCCCTGCCCGCGACGTTTCGGGCGAAGTTACTCCAAACACTCGCACGATACCGCTCCCCGCGCGACCTGCCACGGCCGACGGCTTCCGTACGGACACTACCGACGCAGAGACCGACTTCGAGGACGCCCGCGAGACTGTCGGCACGCTTACACCTGTACAGACCCAGTCGGAGCTGCCTACTGACACGGAGGCGTACGCCACGGCTACTGCGGGTGAGGACTCTAGTGCCTCGGACGAGGACAGTGACCAGGACCACTCCGCTCTGATGCGCCGCCCTGGCGGATTCAGCGGCAGTCTAGGGGCAACTCTTGGGCTCGGCCTCGGCGCCGCTGCCGTTGGCACAGGCTTCTACGAGGCTCGCCGGATATCGCGCATGAAGTCTAGCGACAAGGTACGCGAGCGCACTGTCGAGAGTCCCATCGACCGTGAAATTGTCCGCGAGGTCATCAAGGAGGTGCCCGTGGAGAGAATCGTGGAGAGAGAAGTCATCAAGGAGGTTCAGGTCCCTGTCGAGGTCTTCGTCGAGAAGATAGTCGAGAAGGAGGTCCCTGTTGACCGCATCGTCGAGAAGGAGGTCTTTGTCGATCGCATCGTCGAGAAGGAAGTTTTCGTCGACCGCATCGTCGAGAAGGAGGTCATCAAGGAGGTTCCCGTTGAGAAGATCGTCGAGAAGATTGTGGACCGTCCCGTCGAAGTCATCGTCGAGAAGATTGTCGACCGCCCAGTCGAAGTCATCGTCGAGAAGATTGTCGAAAAGGAAGTGATCAAGGAGGTGCCTGTTGAAGTCATCAAAGAGGTTCCCGTCGAGATCATTAAGGAGGTCGAGGTCGAGAAGGTCGTCGAAAAGATTGTCGAGGTCGAGAAGATTGTGACCAAGGAGGTATTTGTCGACAGACCAGTGGACAAGATCATCGAGATCGAGAAGATTGTCGAGAAGGAGGTCATCAAGGAAGTACCTGTTGACCGCATTGTCGAGAAAATCATCGATCGCCCCGTGGAGGTCATTGTCGAAAAGCCTGTCGAGGTCGAGAAACTCGTCGAGAAGGTCGTCGAGGTTCCCAAAATTATCGAGGTCGAGAAGATTGTCGAGAAGGTCGTCGAGCGACAGGTCGAGGTCCCCAAGATCGTCGAGGTCGAAAAAATCGTCGAGCGGATCGTTGAGGTTCCCGTCAACGTCGACGTTGAGAGAATCGTCGAGAAGCAAGTCATCAAAGAGGTTCCCGTCGACCGCATGATCGAGGTTGAGAAAATTGTTGAAAAGATTGTCGAAACCAAGATCGAGGTGCCCGTCGAGGTCCCTGTCGAACGCATCGTCGAGGTGGAGAAGATCGTCGAAAAGACGGTCGAGGTACCCAAGGAGGTCATCGTTGAGCGTGTCGTCGAGAAGATCGTCGAGGTCCCCGTCGAGGTCGAGAAGCTCGTCGAGAAAGTGGTGGAGAAGGAGGTCATCAAGGAGGTCTTCGTTGACAGACCTGTTGAGGTTGTTGTCGAGAAGATCGTCGACCGACCTGTCGAGGTGGAGAAGATCGTGGAGAAGGAGACGATCAAGACGGTCGAGGTACCCGTTGAGGTCATCAAGGAGGTACCGGTCGAGGTCATCAGGGAAATAATCAAGGAGGTCCCTGTAGAGGTCATCAAGAGGGTCGAGGTTCCCGTCGAAGTGATCAAGGAGGTCACCAAGGAGGTGCCCTTTGAGGTCATCAAGGAAATCGAGGTCATCAAGGAGGTGCCCGTCGAGCGGATCATTGAGAAGGAGGTTGTTCGTGAGGTTCCTGTGGACAGAATCGTCGAGAAAATTGTCTACAAGGACGCTCCCGTTACTGTCACAGAAACTCCAGCAACTCCGGCCCGTGGCCGTCCTCAGACTCCCAACCGCGACCGTGCCCTTACCCCTACCACCAGGCAACTCAACGTGCCCACACCGACTACCTCCCCAGGCTCTCCTCGCACGCCCGACCTTGGATTGTTCCGCGTTAGTCCGGGCGCCAACTATGACTTCCTCAAGTCGCCCCCTCCGCCTCGCGAACGCTCGCGATCGCCCCGGCTCATTGAAGGCAACGCCGCTGCCGGTGTACCTCGCTCTCGTGACCTTTCCGCCGAGGACGGCGAGGACGAGGGTCCATCCCCACCAACTCCCGTCACTCCATCAGCTGACCGTTCTCGCCCTCCCAAGATGCACCTGCCTCCTCCTCCCTCGGCACCTCCTCCTCCCGGTACTCTGGTTAAGAAGATGTCGATGGGTCCGCCCCCCGTCCCCGTGGCCCGTGCGATGTCGCCGGCCGACGGCATTGCCCGCGCCGTCTCGCCGACTGGTTCCACCTACAGCCGCAATCGCCGCTCCGCTCCCTCTTCTGCCGGTCCTGCCGTTCGTGTCGCGAACGGCACCGCGACAATACACCCGCCGCAAAAGCTTTTCCGAGAGACGTCCAAGGCGAGCCTCCGCTCGCAGGGTGGCTCAAGGACTACAGACGCCGACGCATGGGCAAAGTCGAGAGAGTCGGTCAAGCGCAAGGCGACACAGGTCATCAACGAGCACCCGCGTCAGAGCACAATGAGCGGGTACACGTCGGCCAGCTCAAGCGTAACCGACTTGCGGGAGCTGCGCGAGGGCGCGCCTTCCTTCACCTCCTCGGTCGACAGCCTTGTCGCTCAAAGACGTGGCGGCGCTCCTCGTCAGCCTTCGACGGATCCCGCTACCATTCATGCAATTACGCAGACTATGATTGGCGAGTATCTCCACAAGTACACGCGCCGCACCATTGGCCGTGGTATGTCCGAGAACCGGCACAAACGCTTCTTCTGGGTGCACCCGTACACAAAGACGCTGTACTGGTCTTCGCAAGACCCCGGAGGTGGTGGTGCCACCGAATCCAAGGCAAAGAGCGTGTTCATTTCGGGCATCCGCGAGATTGACGACTTCAACGCCACGCCGCCTGGCCTCTACGTCAAGAGCATCGTGATCTCGACCCTTGGCCGTGAGATTCAGCTGACGGCCCCGACCAAGGAGCGCCATGACCTCTGGCTCTCAGCGTTGAACTTCCTGCTGCAGCAGGGCACCGGCACGGGGGGAACTCTCGCCACCAGAGGGACAACGGAGCGCCCACGCCGCCTCAGCGTTATACCTGATGAGCACGGGGCACTGCGCTCTCCGGTCAAGAACCAGAGCCGGCTGAGCGTGCGCAGTGTCGACCGCGAAATGCTGTCGACCCCACGAGCACGGCCTGCACGTCCAGCGAGCGCCATGAGCACGAGCGGCCGTGCCTCGAGCATGCGTGCACGTGCATCCACAGCCGCTGATACGTATATGCGTCGTCACGCCGTCCCACAGCCGCACTTTGGCGGTCACCGCTACAAGGGCGCGTACAAGGGCGCGCCGATCTCGACGGCGACGGACTACGAAGAGGACGATGACCCAGATGCGTCCTTCGAAGGCCTCGACAACGTGCGCGCCTGCTGCGACGGCCGCCACCAAGTCGGCGGGCACGTTGGAGGTCACCACGACTCGGGCCGCGTCACACCTGCCACCCCTATTCGTCCCAACACGCCCGGTGCATCGATCCGCTCGCGTGCGAGCTCCATTCTATCCACTGTCCGGCGGTCTAATGCCTACAACTAAACGACGACTGTTACGAGCCGAACGACTTGACGAAACGCGAGCTTACCTTTGACCAGTCCTTTATAGTGTGTATACCCTACCATGCATTGACAGTGGTCTCGCTTTCTCATCCTTGCTTCTCCCTCTACCAGCACTGTTCGTAACTTGAAGCGCGGTGGAGGTATCAGGAACGTGGAGTCCCCGCACCTCCACGCAGAGAACGGCGGCTGGCACGTCACCTCGGATATCCTCCCCTTGATTCGACATCTCGACATCGCTCACTCATCATGAAATGGTTAGCGGCAGCCCTAGCGGCCGCCACTGCCTTGGCGGCGCCGCCGCTTTCGGTGTCAGTCGAGACGGCTTGGTCAGCTCCTCCACTCCTCCTTGAGATCCTGTGCGTGCCCGCCCCGTTGACCCCGACTTACTCGACAGTGAGGTGGCCTACGACGAGTCGCCGACATCCTACTTTGACGTTCTGCACCTCTTGTCCTTCCACCTAGCCCCACTTTCTCTCACGCCTCAAGCGACGCTCGAGCGCGCCACCTCCCTCCTGGACAATCACGGCTTGTTAACCGCGGAGCGGGACACGTTCCGGCTCGCGCTGGGGCTGCACACCGCCGCGCCGCGCATCGCCGCGGCCTTCTCCGCCAACGACGAAGACGTGGGCTGCGCGTCGTGGGTGCAGTTCCACGGCCACGTGTACTGCGACGCCGAAGAGCTCGCGCGCGCCGTGACGCACGGCATCGAGTCGGCCGATTACGTGCCCTCGCCCATCGAGCCGGGACCGTTCGATCGCGTCCGCGGCGCCGAGCCCCTCTCTGCGGTTCTTTACTATGCGCCAACCGAGGCGTCGCTGCCGTTTTTGGAGTTCTTGGACGAGTTTCATGCCGCCCACCCCCAGTTCTCGTATGCCGTGCGCTACGCTCCTCAGGCGGGGGAGGAGCGCACCAAGCTCTCGGGGTACGGCGTCGAGATGGCACTCAAGAAGACAGACTACCTTGTGGTCGATGATCGTCAGGTCAAGGCCTCTGGCAGCGCGGAGGAGTACAAACAGCAGGACCCGTTCGAGGACGTGCTTGGCGCGGACCCGTGGAACGAGCCAGCGTTGCGGAAAGGCGAGGCTGGAAGTGAGTCGGGCGTAAGAAGGTGCTGACTTTAGAAATCGGCATCGCGGCGACGGCTCTCATCAAGGCCGCGTCTAATCCCATGTCCGCGTTCGTGTCGCTTACCCAAGACATCCCCAAGTACGCCGCCGCGCTGGCGCGCAAAGTCGAGGTGCCGGCGTCGATCCGGAAACGCGTCCTCCGCCTCGGGTTCAAGCGCCCCTTAGGGCCGGCACTGTACATCAACGGGCGCGCGGTGCACGAGCGCGACCTGAATGCGTTCAGCTTGCTCTCGATTGTGCGGCGCGAGCGGCACCACATCAACTCGCTCATGGCGCTCGGTCTGTCGTCGAAGCAGGCGTACGAGCTCCTCTCGGACAAGCTCATCGGCGAGGCGGCGACGGATGTGGACCCGCTGGAGGGTCTGGTAGACGCTAGTGACCGCGCGGAGGGCGGCGGCGTGGTGCTGTACCTCAACGACCTCGAGAAGGACATCGCATACTCGCGTTGGCCTGACTCGGTACAATCTGTGCGTAAACGATGGGCTAGCTAACCCCAGTTCCTCCGCCCGCTTTACCCCGGACAGCTGCACTACGTGCGGCTGAATGCGTGGAACGCCATCTCGGTGCTGGATTTCGCGACCATGCGCGGCGCCGAGACGCTGGCCGGCTCGATTGCGCAGCTCGTCCAACGCAACGTCCCCATCCACATGGGCGTTGTGCCAATGTTCGACAGTCCCGACTCTCCGTCGGCGCAGATGGCGCGCGTGCTCTACTACGTCGCGGATATGCAGGGCGCCACATCCGTGCAGCAGCTGTGCTCGGCCATTGTTATGGCGAATTCTGGCGTCAAAGCTAAGAATGTCGACCTGAGTGTCGTCCGCCAGCTTTATGGCCAGATGCACGCGCAGGCGACGCAGGAGGGCAAGGAGCTCCTCAGCTTCGATGAGGTTCTCGCTTCTCCGGAGCTCGGCGAGCGTCTGAATGCCACAAAAGCTTACCTCGAGCGTCTGGGTGCCACACCTGCCGACTCGGCTACAGGACACGTCTTCATCAACGGCATCCACTCGCCGATGCACAACGTGAGTATTGCGCTACAACGCAGCTGATAGCAGCAATGGACGCACCAGCTGCAGGGCGTTGTATCCTCGCAGCTCGGGTACCTCCAGGAGGCGCTCCAAGCCGGTGAGGGCCCGACCAAGGAGACTATCGGCACCTTCTTTTACGACCTCCCAACCACTAGCAAGCGCCGGAACAAGGTGATAATCCCGTCGCCGGACAACGATCTGCGCGCGTATAGCGTCCTGGACGTGTTTGACGGGACCGCGATGGTGCTCGCCAAGCAATTCATCTACCCTGTAGACGCCAGCCGGGCCACCCCGCTCTCTGTGTGGGTGGTCGGCGACCTCGACAGCAAGGAGGGCCACGCGCTGCTCGAGGGCGCACTGCGCAACATCGACCGCGAGGGCGGCGCGACCCGCGTCTCCTTCGTGCACGTACCAGATGAGGCATCCAAGAACGTCCCCGGCCCGCGTCTCAGCACCCTGCTCTTCCAGCTTACTGCGAAAAACGAGCACAGCTCGGTCCAGGCCGAGGGCCTGCTTGACATGATGGAGGAGGTGTCACGTATCCGCACCAACCTCGTTGACGTGGGCGAGATCCGCGCCCACTCCGACCCCGACGCGCCGCTCAACAGCTTCTTGGCTGAGGGATGGAGCAGCCCCGACACGGCGCTCGCTGCCGAGTTCTGGAGCACCGTCGGGCCGCAGGTTGCGGACAAGCTCGGGCTCAAGGGGCTCGGTCTGCTCATCAATGGCCGTATAATCAACGCCAAGCACTTCACGACGGACGACTTCGCTGCCCTTGAGGCTTACGAATTGCGCAAGCGTGTGCAGCCCGTCGTCAACCTCCTCAAGACATACGTCGGAGCTGATACTCCCAGGTAAGCTAATGAACACGGGGAGAGGCGGAGCCAGATGAATGTCGTTTGCTGATAGCAGGGACGACTTTGGCGACATGGTCGCCGTTGCGTCGTCAGTCATTGCCGCCGCGTACATGCCCCAGGGCTCTGAAGGTATCTGGGTGCAGCAGCAAGCTGGCCGTTCGCGCGACTACGAGGGCATTGACGAGGGCGAGATGTGGGTGGCAAGTGACTCCGAATACTGACGGAAGCTCGTTCTCGGTTGGGAACAAGGAGGACGCGCTTGTGCGCGTCGCGGCTGTGCTCGACCCCGTGTCCGAGGAGGCGCAGAGATGGTCTGCCTTGATCCAGTGGTTGTCGTCTCTTGACAGCGTTTCCACCACCGTCTGGCTCGATCCGGATATTCAGGCGGAAGAGTTCAAGGTCAAGCGATTCTATCGGTCCGCATTGCGCACATCCCTCACTTTCGACGTGGACGGGAACGAAGTGCTTCCAGCCCCGACCTTCCACGGTCTCCCGTCGACTCCAATTTACACCCTGGGCATGGAAGTCTCCCCATCCTGGATTGTGAGCCCGAAGGACTCGCCGCTGGACCTCGACAACATTCTCCTTTCCACCCTCTCGGCGCCGACCACCGTCGCATTCGACCTGAAGCTCCTCGTGGTGGACGGGCACGCGCGTGAGTCGGCTTCGGCACCTCCGCGAGGGCTGCAGCTCCAGCTGTCGACGAATGAGACCGTTAGCGACACACAAGTCATGGCCAACCTCGGCTACTTCCAGTTCAAGGCGCGGCCGGGCGTGTATGACTTTGCCATTAGGCCCGGGCGTGGGCGAGAGGTGTACGAGATCGAGAGCGCTGGCGCGGATGGGTGGGACTCACCGCCTGTGAATGTCAGCGGAACAAAGATCCGCCTGGACAGCTTTGACGGCATGACTCTCTACCCCCGCTTCACGCGTCGGCCGGGGATGGAGGATGCCGACGTGCTGGCTAGCCCAGAGACCAGTGTGTCTGTTGTCGGCGGAATCGTCTCCAAGTAAGTCCAGAGTGTAGCGAGACGCTGACGGCAGGCTCAAGTCGCTTGTCGGAATACAGGAGGTCAAGCCGGCATCGCGCCACGCCGACATTAACATCTTCACAGTTGCATCGGGGCTGCTGTACGAGCGCTTCGCGTCGATCATGATCCTCTCCGTGCTCAAACACACCGACTCGACTGTCAAGTTCTGGTTCATCGAAAACTTCCTCAGCCCGACCTTCCTGCGCTTCCTGCCTGCCTTCTCGGCGAAGTACGGGTTCGAGTACGAGCTCGTGACGTACAAGTGGCCGCACTGGCTGCGCGCGCAGACGGAGAAGCAGCGCATCATCTGGGCGTACAAGATTCTCTTCCTCGACGTCCTCTTCCCCATGGACCTCGACAAGGTCATCTTCGTGGACGCGGACCAGATTGTGCGCACAGACATGAAGGCGCTCGTCGACCTCGACCTCCACGGCCACGTGTACGCGTACCCGCCGATGGGCGATGACCGTACCGAGATGGAGGGCTTCCGCTTTTGGAAGACCGGCTACTGGGCCAAGGAGCTGCAAGGGCGACCATACCACATCTCGGCGCTGTACGTCGTCGACCTGGTCCGCTTCCGCGCCCAAGCCGCCGGCGACCGCCTACGCGGCACATACCAGGCGCTGTCCGCGGACCCGAACTCGCTCGCCAACCTCGACCAGGACTTGCCAAACGCCATGCAACGCCAACTGCCCATCTACACGCTCGATCGCGACTGGCTGTGGTGCCAGACGTGGTGCTCGGACGAGTCGCTCGCCACGGCCAAGACGATTGACCTGTGCCAGAACCCTCTGACCAAGGAGCCCAAGCTGAGCCGCGCGCGCCAGATCCCGGAGTGGGATAGTTACGACCGTGAGATCGCAGAGTTTGCAGCTACGCTCGGGGACGGAGCGCTGGCGGCGAACGTGGACGACCTTGCCAGCGGGCCGGGCGGTGCTGGGGCAGGGGCAGTGGGCGGTGCGCAGCCGGACGCCGAGCAAGGTGAAGAGCAGCCCCCCGAGGCCGAGGAGGCCCAGGCTCCCCTCGGTGACCGTGGCAAGGACGAACTCTGATCCACTTTATAGACATGATGCACAAGCGGTCTTGATTTGCTCTTGAAGCGTGAGAGTACACATCAGTAGGCCAGGACACAGGCACAACAGATTCATGCTACAACGACTACGACACCTAGTCATACTCCTCTTCCTCCAGCGCCGCCTCAGCCTCTTCCTCACTAATCCGTGCGACCCTACTGCCCGCCTTCTCAAAGTCTACCGTCAGCCGTGTTCCACGCAGGAGCTCACGATCCCAGAAGTCAGGGTGCTTGAACCCGGGGCTCTTGACTGTCCGTTCCAGATCTTCGATCGCGCTGCCGTCAGCCCCACCCCGCAGACTCAACGCACTCGTTGTATGTCTCTACCTCCTCGAAGGTCAGTGCGGTCGTGCGCATCGCCTCGAGACACTCGAGCGCAAGTGGGAACGCTTGCCGGCTGAAACTCGCCGCCACGTTCTCCTTGACGACCGCCGCGAGGTCGATGATCGCCTTGCGAAAAAGGTCGCCCTCGCCCTGCACGAGGCGACGGTAGTCCTCGAGCGGGCGCTCGTTGGAAATGAGGCGGCCGGGCTTGGCCTTGGCTTTGGCTTGAGGCGACACAGGCTCGGCCTTGACCGTGGGCTTGGTGTCGCCCTGACTGTCGTTGTTGTCTGCAGGCTTGGCTTTCGCTTCGGCCCCGCCTCCCGCACCCTCCTCCTTCACCGTCACGTTCTGCACACTCGGCGCGCCGCCAAAAAGGTCGTCGATATCCAGGAATCCCTCGTCGTCGCGCAGCACCTCCTTGTTCGCCTGGCGGCGCTGCTTCGGCGGCACTTTCTTGATGTCGAGCGCGTCCTTGAGCCGTTCCGTCAGCTTCTCCACCTTGTCGGCGAGGGGCGCGGGCGTGTGGAAGTACTGCGTGATCTCGGGGTGTGGGGGGCCGAGCGGGTGCGCCTCGGGGTCGGCGGTTAGAGACGCGTGGAAAATCGCCTCCTTTATCCTATGGATTGCGGGGTTGACGGCGCGCGCAGACGAGAACCACGTCTTCGACTCTTCCTCATCATCTTCCTCTTTGTCCGAGTCTTCGGAGTCGTCCTCGTCCGAGTCGTCTGACGTCTTCTCCTTAGCCTCCTCGCCGGGCGGTGGGATTGTGTCCAGGTCCATCTTCGACACTAACTCGTCCATGAGGTTGCACTGCTCGTCTGTCGGGATGTAGGGATGCTCCGTGATTTGCTTGCCTGTTGTCGAAATATACTTCTCCAAGCTCGGGAACCAGAACTTGTGCTCGTCGTCGGCGTATGGCAACTGTTGTCAGCTCTCTTTCACTCCCAGCCTTCACCCTAATCCAGTACATCAGATCCAGGCGCTGATTCTCGCCGCGATAGTCCATTTCCGGGAAAGCAACACCCAGCACTGGCTCGGCGTAATCGCGCGCCACAAATCGTGTGATCGCCACCAAGCTCGTCGTGTACAGCGCTGACACGAACGCTGAGAACTGAATCTGTGCCCGTTTCGATGACATATCCGGCCACAGGTAGCGCACCTCCCCCATGAGCATGTATTTGCGTACGTTGGCCTGCGGGATGAAGCCCAGCACCTCGACACTCTTCTCGGTTCGGAGGGGCGCGAACGTGTCCGCCTCGACGGGGATGAGCGACGAGCCAAAGCGCCACGCCTTGACGAGGTCCTCTTTCTCCACGGGCTCTAGGTCCTCCTCTGTGCGTTGGGTGGGTGATAGCGTCTGCGTTTGTGATTGCGATTGCGGTTGTCTACGCCCTCCAATAATAAAGTCCGGGTCGTCCTCAATCCGCGTCTGTGACTGCGATTGCGTAGCCTGCGTGGAGGCAGGTTCTCCGCCTTTCCGGATGAAATACACTATATGGCGATTGATTTTGCCTGATATAGCCCCGGACGCGTCGGCGCCCTGGCTTTCAAGCTGGCTCAGCAGCTGGCTCGCCTCCGCGTCACGCGCAGGCGTCTGCACATCCACGGCGGTCTTCCATGTCTTACTCAGACTTGGAGGACGCGCCTTCATCGTCGCCTTCGAGTAATGCATCGGGATCGAGATCGCCTCGTCCGCGTCGACCCCCTCCGCGCCGATGTGTAGTTTGATGCTGCTGACTGTGCCCTCCGTTGTGGCGGGGTGCGGGCGGCGCGCTTCGGCCAGCTCGGAGTGGAACACGAGCAGCTGCGGAAGAAAAATCTCGGAGTCGGTCGCGCGCGACATCTCCTCGTGCAAGCCCTTGACGAAAGCGCGCCAGAACTTCTCGCTGAGCCGCTTCGCCTTGCTCTTGCTCTTGTCGACGGCGACTTTGGGGTCGTCAAAGTCGATCCCACTGGGGTCAGCCCACGGAAAAGCTTAGGCGCCTACATCACTGTGAGTTTGACGCCGAGCTTGTCGAGCCGCTTCATTGCCTCCTCGTACTCCTCCTGCACAAAACTGCTCTCGCCGTCCGTCACGAGCTTGATTTCAATGGTCCACCGCTTCGTGTGTTTGTGATGCTCGACCATATCAAGCGCAACCATGAGCGCGGACACGGCTGACGTTAGCGGACTTCGGCGGCAGCGGCTCACGATTCCCTTCCTCTTCCCCTACCTCGAGGTTCATGAGCGCCTCGAGGATCTTGGGCTTCGCGCTCTGGATCGCCACATCACTGCTGACGGCGATATACGGTGGGTCCTCATCCCCGTGCTGGGCGACCCATGCAGCGTTGGCCTGGTTGTGCGTCCGCCCGCCAAAGGAGACCAGGCCAACGTGCTCGGTCTTACGCCCGCTCTGGATCTTGGGCTCGCACATCCGCGCAATGTACTCCTTGCCCAGGTCAAGCTTGGCCGCCTTGCCGCCCATCAGGTCGGCCGTGAGGCCCACCATCGACGGCGAAACGTCAAGCGCGTACACGACGACCGAGTAGGCCATTGTCGTTGTGGAGTGAGTGGATGGATGGGGAGAGTCGACACAAACAGCAGAGGTGGAGGTATGCGCCTCACACGTAACCCGCGCGGAAATCCCGACGTATATCCGGCCCGACGAAGATACGTGAATGATGATGGTGTGTCATCGCTCTACCCACATCACAACATGTCCCTCTCCGACCTCGACCTTGTGTCCCAAGCTATGGCGAGCAGCGAGCCGCCCAATGCGCGCGGCACAGCATCCGCGAATGGCGCACCCACTGCGAATGGCGTCAACCCTACCCCCGAATCAGCGAGCGCGACCGACGCAGCAGCTAGCGATGCCGGCGCCGACTCGGTCGCGGGCATCGACCTCTCCTCCCTCTCGGTCGAGGAGCGCGCGCTGCTCGCGCCCATCATTGACGCTCTTCGCTCTTCGGACGACAGCCTCGACGTCGACGACATCATGAAGCAGCTTGATGCCGCGGGCAACGTGGCCGACAACATCGAGGACCGGCTCGACTCGCTGCTCGCACACCTTGGCGAGCTCGAGGCGCAGGCGGCCAAGAACGAGGCCGAGGCCGAGAAGAAGTGACACGCCACTTCTCCGTCGGCCACCAGCTCCACCTTCCCTCCACGGCCATCATACCCACCCACGACGCTCTATCATACCCAGCATCACGATACCTGGTCTATCAAACTCTACCCTCCTTGCTCGAGCAGTGCCTCGACCGCGAGCGCCGTGTTGTAGTCGCTGGAGTCAGTCAATGTGATGAATCGCACTTACTGTCGTTGGAGGGCTTGCACAATGGCGTCGCGGCTCAAATTGGGGAACATGCTCGAGATTCTGTTGTCAGCTCACGTCTGGTTACAAGCTCACGCTGTGATCTCGGCCTCTGTCGGAGCCCGCGCCCCGCCCCGTCCCGTGACCCACTCGCCCACGGCAGCGCGCGCTCCGCCGCCGCCCGGCGTCTCGGGGGTGCCAGTCTCTGGCGCCCTCGCGGGCGTGTTCAGTCCAGCGCGGGCAGCGAGGAGACCGCGGATGCCCCCTTCAAACTCCTCGCGCCCATCGCGCACCTGGCCAGGCAGGACTCTAGATGAGCGGCGTGGAGCGGTACTTGAGCCGATGAGAGGGGCGAAGAGACGCTCGAGAAGGCGGAAGACAGATTCTGGGATGCGATAAGCCTTGAGAGGGCGCCAAAGACGGCGCGGACGATTAAGTGAGGGGAGAAGGAATGGCGTGTCTGTTCGGTAGAGATAGCCCGTAAGAAGGCCGGCGAAGGCGGCGAGGATGGAGCCAGGCATCCAGCTTGATGCGAGCTGCGCGGCGAGGATGTATACGAACATCTTGGAGGTGAAAGGCACGCCGCATACCTTGAAAGTGTAGAGCGAGGGGACGGTGCGGGCATATTGCCACAGCCTGGGGTTAGAGGGGCGAGGGACGGAGGAGAGAGGAAGGCGGGGACTCAGTGGGCTCACAATGAAAAGATGAGGCCATACGGGCCAGCGGGGACGGCGTTGAGGCCAAAACGATGCAGGAGCACGAGAGTGACGAAGCAGAGTGCTGCACTCATCGCCGTGCTCACTACAACAAAGGAGGCAAACTTGCGTCCGCCAAAGGAGCGTTCTATACCCCGCCCGATGTTGTATAGTAGCAGCTCGCCAACAAGGAGCTCGGTGCTATTGGCGAAAGCGAATGGATGCAACGGTGCTCGCCAGTACTTCCGTCAGTGACGGCAGAGGGGAAGCGCACCTGGCGGTACTTTGTGATGTGGGGAACGAGTTGTAGGTGAGCGTAGGGCTTGGCGCCGAGGAGCGAGATTGTCAGCGTCGTGATGCCGAGAACGACCATGATACCTGCGGTCAGTTCATCCTCAAGGCAGCCAACCCTTCGTCACGCCGGCATGCTGGAAGCCTGGTATCAGCCAACCCCTCAAATCTGCTGGCTCACCGGACATGATGGGCGAGACGACAAGGAAGGAGAGTGGGCGGTAGTGGGAGAAAGTACATGACCTTCCCAGCAACGTTCATGAACGCGAGCGCGATCCAACAACACGTCATCGGACTTGTCCGCATCTCCGTACCCCGGCCATGACCCAGAGGGTTGGGTACCCTCCCGACTGTTGATATGCTGAAATGCTGCTACAAACCTACACACCGCATGACATATCGCATCCTAGATGGTATGCATATGCTGACTATAATCTAGATATCGCCTCAACCCCAAGTTACATTGTACAACTACTCAGGCGGTACGCCCATGATCTTGACCTGACCCTGCTTGTCAGCTTGGCCCCTGCTTGACAAAACAACTCACCTTCGAGCCCATCGTTGCGTTCTTGGTGCTTGACCTCACCCCCAAAGCGAGGTTGGCCGCATTTTGTTCGGCACCCAGCCCAAGCTCGTCCACAGGGAGCCAGATGGGGGGCTGAGGATCTTTCGTGGCGGGGTGGAAGAACGCGCCCGGATCATCAGCCTCTTCTGCGCTGTGAATGATGACGCCTGGACCACCAGGAAGAGCAAAGTACTGCGTCTCGGGGTCCTCTTCAGGTTCCTCGTCCTCATCCACTCTGCTCCGGCGCCGCAGCGAGATCCGCGAGTTGCGGCGAGTCCGACTCAGCCGCCGCTTGGAGTCGCCGATCTCTGCAAGCTCGAAAGACTCGGGATGCTGCTGCGGGAATGGCTGAGGATGAGGATGAGGATCCTCCTCGCTGTACGACGGCTTCTTCTCCGGTGTAGGATCGCTGTATGACATCTTCTTCTCCGGCGTCGGATTGCAGGGTGACGTAGAGTCGCCTGCTGAGGTCGCCGAGGTGGTGCGCTCGACCTCGTCGCCCGAGCTTGCTCCCTCGTTCCATTTGAGAGCCGTGTTGTCCCAGTGCACATCCTCGATTTCGGGGTGCTTCTCCTCGACAGGCGGCTTGGGCACAATCTCGCCGCGAGACTCTGCACGCTTGAGCTCCTCCCCGGCGTCTGGCATGCCGTACGACAGGTCGGCCATGGAAAGGGGAAGCGAGACCTTCAAGGGGTTGTACATAGTCTTAATGAGCCAGTTGAAAGCGGCCTAGGGTCAGCTGACATGTGAGAGCTTACGCACCGTAAGGACAATCAAGATGATCATCAAAATGGCTTGTGGCAGCGCGGAGACCTTATTCTGCTCATTGCGGGCGAGGAAGAAGAGCGCGCAAAGACAAACCTCCTGGATGTAGAAGCCAATGAAGATCTGAGTGATTGCCTTCGGGAAGAACAGGCCGCCAGTGTCGGCCGACGGCGGGAGGTCCATGACCCACATGTACAGGTACTTGTACACAAAGTAGGCGAGCATGCAGAAGCAGGCGCCGAAACCGTTGATGACGGGCGAAATGATCATATACGTGATCACTGTGGTCAATAGGAGAGGTGCTGAAGCGCTCACTGATGTTGGCATAAACGGTGACGTTGGGGTACTCGGTGCCAAATTCGGGCTCCTCTAGCTGATAGCGCGAGTTGAAGATCCTGCGGGGAGTACCGCCTCCGAGGATAACGCGAACGTAGTACAAAACGACAGTGACAGGCTGGAGGAGGTTGCCGATGAGACCAGTAAATTGGAGGAGGATACGAGTGATGAAGAAGGTAGACGCTGTCGGAAGGTTGGTGGCCAAAATCGACGCAATTGAAGCCGGGTTATCCATGAGCGGCTTGATGGCAGCAACGAGACCGGACGCAAGCGTTGTGATCAGGAAAGCGTGCTAAAATGTCAGCAGAGCTTCAGCATTGCTGGACTCACGATGACGAGGAAGACGAAGTAGCGGTTCATGACGTCAAGCTCAACCTCGGTCTTGCTAACCGTCCCCTGGAACGTGGAAAGAAGACGTAGAACGATTGGGAAGATCATCGTGAGGAGGGCAAGAAGCACTGGAGGAATGATACCGGTAAAGATACCCTGGAGAAGCTGCTTGCCGAAGCTGTCGCCGATGAGCCATGATAGCCACTTCCACTTCTCGACGAGAGTGACAACGTTGGCAAGACCACCGACGAGGGCAGTCAGAGGAGCCCAAGCAAAGATGAGGCCACCCGTGATAGCATACGAGATTGCCCGGCGAACGTTGATTTCGTACGCGTTGAGTCTCATGTTGCCCCATATGACGTTCTCGGGTGACTGCTCGATGTATCGGTAGTTCATGCGGAATGGCTGCTGGTAGGTCAGACATTGCTGAGCCATGTGCGCAGCAATCTGTTGGTTGAAGTGGACAAAGGCTGAGGAGCGTGCGGGGTAGTTCTCGTTGCTGAAACCGGGCGTGTCAATGTCCTTGGCGAGCTTCTGCCGCTCCTCGGTGAGCAAAGCCGTGCACTCCACAATCTCCTTCTGTGCCCACTCGATGGCGTCAACCTTTTCCCCGATGCCAAAGAAACCAAGTCTAAACGGCGCCCAGTGCGGCTTGAGGCGATGAAGCGGTCGGTCTTTCCGTGGCACGAGCTCGTCCGCCAGAGAGAGGGGCGTACCATCTTCGTTGGGTGGGTTGGCTGGTGCTGTGCAGTGCTCCGGAATAGGCCGCCCCTTTCTTGTCGCCTTCTTGATTTCTCGTGCAAGCTTCCTTTTACGCATGCAAGCCTTCTTCATTAGCTCGACTTGAGCAGATTCGAGAATCTTGCACGCCTTCTCGCGGCGGTCGTACACGTCCGGCATATCCTTGAGGTTGCGGACCAGCCAGATTCGCCTGACGCCGCCAGGAAGATGAGAGAACAGCTTGGCCAGCGCTCTCTCTTCCATGAGGTGTTCAGGAATGCCGGTAACCAAAATGGTGCTTGCCTGCGCGAGCTTTGAATGTGACGGCGAGACGAGATACTGTTGACGGATCTCCAGCCAGTGTGCCATCTCCTTCCAGATAAGATAGAACCACCAAGCTGTGTGAGTCAGCTAATTATGCACGGGCCTGAACAATTAACCGAATATACACTCACCATTGAAGACATAGATAAGGACGAGGTGAGCCCAGTAGCGATCCTGCTGGTTCCTAGCAACATTTCCGAAAGTGAATTGGTCCAAGCCGTCCTTGCCACTCATGCGAGCCGAGTTGACGGGCATGAGTACGATCCAAGACACGAACCAAATGGGGATGAGGGCCTTGGCGAGCATCGCTACAAAGCGAAGGAAGAGGTAGGGGTCGACACCATTCTTTCTCAAAATGTCTTTCGGGTCGGCTGCGGTCAGCTCCACGCTTTCATTAGGTGCACCTTTGATGATCTTCCAGATGGGCAAGATGAGGTTTCTGCCCAACGGCTCCGCCTGCTTTTCTCGTGCCGGGATATATGTGCGAGGCTCATAGCTGGTGTCAGCTGTTCGATCGATGCAGACTCGAATGGAAGCCACGGCCCCTCAAGCTTAAATGGCCAAAGGCTAAGTGAACACGTGAGCGTGAATACTTACACTGCCTTGACCCATCCTCGGATGATGATCCATGCTAGAAGTTGGGCACCAGCAACGGCAGCGTTTGTTGCAAAGGCAGTGACGAATGTTGCTGTCGAGGCGGTGGCCGCAGCGTTGAGGGTATTTTGGGAATAGTCGGTGCTAGCGAGAGTCAGCATGGCGGAGGGGAAGGCGTGCGGTAGCGCGGTAGGGCGATGTGGGACATTCATTACATGGTCGCGGCGAGTGATGGCACACGCCTGCTGGCTGCTAAACGCAGACAAGGACAAGGACAAAGAGGAAGGAAGGAGGCTTACTTGTCGTCGCGTTTATCCCACATTGCGACGGCGGGGCGATAATGTCGGAATCAGGCTGTGACAGTCTGTGCAGACGTGATGGTTTGTCGCTCCGTTTGCCAGTGTGCAAGTGATGGGTGGTCTCGAGTGTGGCCGCGGACGGTATATACGCAGGTGCACGAGAGCGCGCGCGCGCTGGATTGAGTGCAAGTGCGGGGAGGCGATGGTGTCTTGGAATGAGGTGGCGTGAAGTGTAGAAGCAAAGACTAGCGTAACGGGAGCGAGGGAGGCAGATAGGAACGGAATGTGATATGTGAGATGAAGCCGAGTAGCAAGGAGGAGGGAGGATTGATGGAGAGTCGACGGCGTGCGTGTATGGCGACGAGCAGACGAGAGAGAGGAGTGACGAGGAGGTGGAGGAGGCAGAGCGCAATATCGAGAAGACAAAGTCGAGTAGAGAATTATTGTTACGAGAGGGCTCGAAGGATGGGAGGCAGGTTCGGCAGGAGGAGAGGGATGTGAGACCTTGAACCTTGTTGCGAGCACCACAAGGCCACAAGGATGATTGGATTAGAGTGTGATTAGACTGGCAGGAATGATAATGATTAGGGTCGCTTAGGTGGGGCTTGGAGCACGCCGGAGGAGAGCGCTCGAATGAGCTGCGGAGCTGCTGCGGTTGACTGGGAGCGGAGCTCGGGCGGGGCGGGACGAGCGAGCCAAGAGATGGCCGTCTCCGTCCAAGCCCCGTGTTTCGCGGCCTTGCGGCCTTTTGCGCCCCCTGCGTGCCGTGTGCCGTGTGCCGAAAGAGGTTTGGGGAATTAGGAGAACATACCAAATGCTCGGACATTCGCTAATCACAATTAGCACTCTACCCTTAAAGGATCCTTGATCTTGGCCCAAAAATCAGCTGAGCGTCATGAGGTGCATGAGGTGGGCGAAGGGGCAAGGCAAGGGGGCGCATGCAGGGAACATTCCCAGGTACGCGTCTCACTCCCATCCTTCCTTTTGGTCAGCCTCACCTCTGACTAACCTCCACGTTTCTCACCCACTCAACGCCACCATGCCCCCGTCTTGGCCGGGCCCGTGCACCACGCAACTATGTACATTATTGGAAAGCCCACCCGTGAGCAAACCCGTGTTCCATGCGAGGGCGTCGTATTGTAGACGACGTACGTAAGGTCTACGATCTACTGTACAAGCAATTTAGACGAGGCCATAGTGATGGGAACATTCTTCGGGACCGCTGCTCCAATTCTCCACGATCCAAGACGTGCAAAGGGAGGTCGAGACCCAGGGCTAAGGGATGCAAAGGAACAATGACAGAAAGCACGGGTCGCGCGGGTCGCGGGGATGGATGGCAGGGATATGCAGGGTCCACCAGGTCGACATGGCGAATCAGGCACGGTTGTCCAGTCATGCCACTCACCTTTTGGCAGGGCGAAACTTGACGCCAGGGTCGCTTTCAGAAATCCTCAGTGTACGTAAGAGTGGGGGCAAGTGCTCTCGGCAGCTCGGCGGCCCGACATTACAAAGTCCGACGTCCGAGACGCAAAGCTGCGGTGCATGGGGGATTGAGTTTCGTATGAGCGGTTGACTGCGCGTACTGCGCCGCAGTCCGAAGCTGAGGGAGCCCGACGACGATCCGGGATCGACAAATTGCGGTCGGGCGCGTTGGGAAATCAAAGGGCGTGATGATCTGTACATCTGTGGCATGTCGAAGGGAGCAGATCCCACAGCCGGATCCTGGAGGCCGGAGGGCAGCAGGCCCGTACGGCCCGTGCGCCACATGGCCGCGTACGCCGCATTCTGTCGGCGTGTAGGATTGATTTGGCTCACCTTTGATTATCATTGCGTGTACACACATGTAGGTCCATTCATCCGTTGCGCAGTTTATCAGTCTGGACGCGTTTCAGCTGATCGTGGAGAATGGCTGCTCCGCACAAGGAGCGCCACGTGCGGCCCACATGCTCCGTCATCGATCCCATCACGGGCCACCGGACGCAGGGGTGCTCAAATTGATCAATGATCAATGATCAATGATCAACGAGCGTGCCAGCGTTACGGGTGGCACACAGACCTCGAGTGGCTGACGGCGTTTGAATATGCACGGGCGCCGCAAAAGTCAGGCGCCAGAAGCTCGAGAATTCGAGAAGCAAGTGGACGTCATCAGATGAGTAGTGGGACATTCCAGGTACGAATGATTCGTCACTCCCTTCCCATGGGCAGGCCGCAGCACCTGTGACGCGTTGGTGCGCGTCACGGGAATGGCAGCCAGCGGGGTTCGGACAGCTTGGTCGGTGATCCGTGAGGTGGACCGAGCCATGGCGAGTCAGACACCGGACCGCCGAGATAATACGGTTTCAAGCATGATGATAAGATCAATGGCGGCCTTGTTGTTGGCGGATTGCACCGAGGCACGGAGAGTGGAGGCAATTCCACGATGACGGTGGTGCTGGAGATTCGTCTCCACCGCCACCACCTACGACGGTACGACGCCAGCGCCGTGCACAGCCTTCCCTTTCTTTCCTTCATTTCTTCAACACATCTCTCATCACACCAATGCACGATCCACCCTCGCCCGTGCCCAAGGACGTCCATTTCGTCCTCCTCTTGCACGGGCTCTATGGCTCCGCCGCCAACTTGTGGTGTCTCGAGGAGGAGATTGAGCGCGCCCACGACTCATCCGATTGCGCCCTCGACCTCCACATTCTCAACGCACGAGAGTACGGGGGTGCCTTGACCTGGGACGGGATAGACGTGAACGCGCATCGCGTCGCGAATGAGGTGGGCGCATTCCTGCATCGCGGGCGAATGGTGGCTAACGGTAGCTAGGTCGATAAGGAAATCGAGGCTTTGGAGCGCGATGGGCGACGCGTCGCTGTCTTCAGCATCGTATGTGAACTTCCTGGCCTCCTTTCTTGCACTGATGGCTGAGCTGACAACAGACCGGATACTCCCTCGGCGGACTTATCGCACGCGCTCTTGTTGGCGAGCTAAATGCACGCTCCCCGTCCTTCTTCAGTCTCCACCGCCCCGCCTCCTTCTGTACAATCGCAACCCCCCATCTCGGCGTCCTCCGATACGGATCATGGAGGAGCACCTGGGTGCACGCAATCGGGCAGCGTCTCTTCAGTCGCACGGGACAGCAGCTATTCTGTCTGGATAACGACCTGGGACGACCGCTGTTGGCCCAGATGGCAGATCCTAGTACGTCCTGCAATCTGATCATACGTACGGTGCCCAGTACTGACATCTTCATCAACTACTCCACCAACTTCCCTTACCAGACGACAAGTATCTCCGGGCGCTCAACGTATTCCCTCGCATCGTGATCATTGCAAATGCTGTCAACGACCTTACGGTACCCTATGCGACTGCCGCAATCTGCACTCACGACCCTTTCATCGACCATGTCCGCGACTGTCTTTGCGTCGAGCTCGAGGGCAAGACCGTTACGCGATACTATACTGCCGACCCGGAGGAGGAGGAGCTTGAGCTCGAAGTCGCGCCTTCACCCCTGCCCTCCCCCCCAGTACCAATGGCACGAGGGACCGAACGCCCATTGCTCCCGCCAGTGTTCTACACGAACTGGAATGGGCCACTGCGCTATGCGTTGTTTCCCTTCATCCCCCTCCTCATTCCGACCGTATTGACCTTTGTGTGAGTGGCTCCAGTATAGGGTAACTAATCTTAGCGCGGTGACCTTTGCCTTCCACTCTTTCAAGTCGTGAGTGGATTGAACGTAACCTAAGCTGATCATAAGCGCCCAGCGCATTCGAGAGCACTCTGAACGGCGCCGTGCATTACTTGCCGACGCAGAAGATACAGACACCGCTACACCCGGCGACACGCCGCTCAACTCGCGGCCCTTGTCGCCTGTGCAGCTATCCGATGTCGAGGGCGCGTCCACGCCGCCCTTCGCAAAAGGGCCATCGAATCCCTCTCAGCCCATCATCTCGCCGTTGCAGAAAGAGATGGTGCGAGCCTTCAACGACTTGCCACAGCTCGAGCGCATCACCGCTTGGTTCCCAGGCGTGTTCAATGCGCACGCGGTGATCATCGCGCGCAACGCCCGTAACCCAAGATGGGCGTGGCAAGCTGAGGGTCGAGAGGTTGTGCAGACGTGGGCGCGCAAGGTGATTGCAGCGGTGACGGAGGCGCTAGAAGCTCCGCTTCCTGTGGCTGGAGCTTAGATACATGGAGCGAATATAGAGCTGTGCTGGAGACGATCATGAATAATCATCACGATAGCTTCAAGTTAGCGTCCATCGACGAACAATCATGCAGAGTGCGCTGGATTGCATCTGCGGAGTCGGTGAGTGGTGGGATGGGGTGACGGACATGCCCGATGGGAGGAGCACGGCAGCTTCCGAGTCAAGTATCCTCTCGGTCTCGCTGTGGTGAGTCCTCGCTTCTTCGAAGAGTCCAGCTCTCGAGGCAGCGCATGCCAGCTCTGAATTGTGGCGTTGGGCGTGTGGGCATCGTTTGTCGCAATAGAGAAATGACAATACCAGCCCGAAACCGGCCCGGCCCACACCGGCAACTAACGGCCTAATCCACAGGTTCGGTCTCGGTGCAATGCTGCCCCGAAAGCCTTCCACAGCTGCTGCAGCCATGTTAACACTTTCGGAGTTGCAATCTGGACTTGGGAATCCCCTTCAACTCCTTCGATGTCGCTACCTCGAGCCCGCCTAGCGCTCCGCCTATTCTCACGAGCACTGCAGCCTCGCGGAGCAGCCCAGCACTTCTCCAGCTCTTCGTCTGGCCTCAGAAGGTCGTCGTCACATCAAGCCGCATTCTCCTACCGCCATGCGGCGGTGGTGGGCGGGGGAGCCCTCGTACTCGGGGCTACACTCTACTTCACCACATGGGAGGTACAGCTCGACGCGCCCCACTCGTCTAAACTGATTCCCTACGCCGAGGTGCAGAAGCACAACACCCCAAACGACTGCTGGGTGGTGATCGGGGACAAGGTGTATGACCTGACCAAAGTAGGCTCCTCCGCCTCCTCCCGCTGACCATAGTTCGCAAACATACATCCGGGGGGCACAGGTCCGATTCACAAGGTCGCGGGCGCGGACGCGACGGTCATCTTCGAGCCGATCCACTCGCCCGGCATCATCGCGGACAGACTGGAGCCGTCCGCGTGCGTGGGGCCAGTCGACCCCGGGACGCTTCCGCCACGTCCAGTCATTCCGGAAGTGGCGCAAGAAAGCGGCGTCATCCCGCTCGATGAGATCATCGGCCTTCCCGACTTCCACGAAGCGGGCCGCCGCAACATGTCTTCCAAGGCGTGGAGTTACATCTCGGCGGGCGCGACGGACGAGTACAGTCTCGACCTGAATCGGCGTGCGTGGAACTGGGTGTTGTTTCGGCCGCGGGTATTGGTCGATGTAGCGGAAGTGGACACGCGCACATCGCTGATGGGATGCGAGACCAGCTTGCCTGTGTTCATTGCGCCGACGGGCATGAGCAAGCTCGCCGGAATGGAGGGCGAGCCAGGTCTAGCGGCTGCAGCGGGGGAATGTGACATCGTCCAGATGGTGAGGGAACGGAGGTATGGCGCTCACCCAGATCTCGACTAACGCCTCGGCCTCGCTCGAGGCGACAGTTGGTGCCGCCTCCGCGCCCCAGATCATGCAGCTGTACGTGAACAAGGACCGTGCGAACTCGGAGGCGCTACTGCGTAAGGTCACGGCTCTTGGCCTGAGGGGCGTGGTCGTGACAGTGGACTGCGCGTCGCCGGGCAAGCGGGAGGCGGACGAACGTAACCGCGCGACAGTCGAGGTGGCGAGTGGGCTCGCTGGCGGTGCCGCGGGGCGGGACAAGAAGGGCGGCGGCGTGGGGCGCACCACCGGCGCCTACATCGACCCACGCTTGAAATGGGACGACATCGCATGGATAAGGCAACACACGTCCCTCCCCATCGGCGTCAAGGGCGTGCAGTGCGTCGAAGACGCCGTGCGCTGTGCCGACATGGGCGTGGACGCAATCTACCTCTCGAACCACGGCGGGCGGGCGCTCGACACCTCCCCGCCAGCCCTGTACACACTCTTGGAATTGCGGCGGCTGCGGCCGGACGTCTTGGAACGCTGCGAGGTATACGTCGACGGCGGGGTGCGGCGGGGCACCGACGTTGTCAAGGCGCTCTGTTTGGGCGCACGGGGCGTCGGGCTCGGCCGCCCGTTCCTATACGCGCTCACATACGGCAAGGAGGGCGTAGTGCATGCCATCGACATCTTGCGTGACGAGATCGAGGTTACGATGAAGTTGCTCGGTGTCACGCGGCTCGACCAGCTTGGGCCGCATCTGGTACGGGAAACCACGTTGAGACGTCGCTGACAGCAGCTGAATACCAAGGCCCTTGATCCTCTGGTCATCGACAAGCTGGAGTACGGACCGCAGGAAGGGCATTTCCCGAAATAGCGTAGTGGCAGAGTGGCGGCTCATATGCATGGCTTGAACATTACATCTGCACGGCCCCGCATGAGATGCATACAAAGCTCTGTATTACCACTGCAAAGCCCGAGGCCATACGCCTCGTTCACGTTGTCTTGCGAGCCGTAAAGCGCCCAAACATCCCCATGCCGCGCGAGCCGCCGGCGGGTCGCTCGGGTCGTACAGAGGCAGTACGCCTCATTTTGATGGGTTCGCTCATCGTCACCTGTGGAAACCTGGGTTCGATCCCCAGCCCGAGCTACATACGCGACTGTTTTTGGAGGTGATGGGGCTGATGTGGATCTATGTGCACGGATCCGTACAAGAGAGACAAGTTGTCTTGAAATCTCGTGGCACCTTCGATTTCGGGGGGGCGAGTGGATCAGTGCCATGGAGGCGGTGCCGGTCTACCATAATTCCGGCGTGCTGCTACGTGGGCGGCAAGGAGACAATTCGTAAGTCGCAGAGAACTCTCAGTAGAGGAAGGGACAAGGAGGCAGAAATGGACAGGGGAACTCTGCAAGCACGATCACCTCGACATGCGAAGTGGTTGCTGACTCCTCACCAAGTCAGTCGCCACTCCGCAGTACCGCTGTAGCACTGAGGGCAAGCATATGTCCACTTCCCGCCCTAGCTCATGTGGCGTGAAGTATTGCATACAACAGGGAACAACGCATCCTCAGATCAACAGCCCCGCATTCGGCTTCATCCACCGCAATGTGACGCTGAGCCGCAGCCCACGCGGGATCATACGCTCCTCCTCGCCATCCAACACCACATCCTCCATGCGATACGCAATGCCGTGCGCCCACTCCCATCGCGCTGAGCCAGACATGACATACACGCTCCGCGGGGGGAGGTATACGTCATGTCGCGCCGCGCCGCGTGTAAAGGTCATCACACATCCACCTGTTAAGGAGGCACCGACAATGCCGTCCGCATACCGCCGCGGGAGGTCGATGTGCGGCGTGATCCCCGAGCCAGGGGTGTAGAGATTGAGAATGGCCTGGCGCCCCAGCTCCTGATGGAAGGCGAGAGCGTGTATATCGGGTGGGAGATGCGGCTCCAAGAGCGTAGCGAGTGCGGTGTCAAGTGCCGCAATGTGGTGTGGGAGAGAGGAGGGACCCTCGGAAGGCGGCCGCGAGAAGAGCATCACCTGGTCGCGTTGGCCTCCGGCAAAGTGGTCTGCGTCAGATATGGCGCCGAGGACAGTACCTGGCATCAGCGCAAGCGGGGAACCCAACCTCACTGGCGACTTCTCGTGGAAGTAGACCGGGGTAGACGTAAAGACCGGGGATGGGTGGTGGGTTCCGGGACGCGGGGACTACCTCCCCTACAGCGCCCGCGCATTCGCCATCGGACTCCTCGTCGAAGAGCGAGTCGAGCGAGCCCGAGCTTCCGTTCTGACTGAGCATGGTGGGTTCACGACGACCCCGCCCACAGGTGGACCTCTGATGTGGAGGTTCAGGCACGAGAGCCACTGCGGAGATTTGTGATAATCCCGGTGAATTTTCGAAAGTTGCCACAGGCCAAATTCCGGTATTGCCGCAAGGCGAATTCGGGGTCTAGCTTGGGCGGCGACGAGTTGGTCTCTTACACTTCAAGCAAAAAGGTGACGCCCAACATGGTGAGTACCGACGCTTGCACAGCGACAGGGGCACGATCACGACTACACGACGAACGCGCGCGCGCAAGCGCGATCGACATGGCGGTGTGGCGAGAATGAAAGCGGAGTCTTGGAAGATGAAGTTGTGGTCGTGTGGACAGGTCATCTGTCCCTCGAAGAATCGAGTCTTTCCGGCGCGCGTCGTGTTGTCAATGGCCCTCTGTCGCTGTGCTTTCCGCGCGCATTTGCGCAATCTTCCGGCATTTTGCTGACCAGCAGGACCCCAACGGCCCCGTCACTCTCCGCACCTCCAAGTTCATCACGAACCGCCTGCTGCAGCGCAAGCAGTTCGTCGTGACCGTCACGCACCCCACTCGCGCCAACCTCTCGCGTGACGAGGTTGCCGAGCGCCTTGCCCAGCTCTACAAGGCTGACAAGGAGCGTGTCGTTGTCTTCGGCCTCCGCACCAAGTTCGGTGGCGGTGTCACTGTCGGCTTCGGTCTCGTCTACGACGACGAGGACGCTCAGCGCAAGTTCGAGCCCCGCTTCCGTCTCGTCCGCAACGGCATGGCTGCCAAGGTCGAGAAGCCCTCGCGCAAGCTGCGCAAGGAGCGCAAGAACCGTGCGAAGAGTGAGTACGCGTGACGGTCATGGCCGACTACATAATCCTGAGCATGAGTGGACACGCTAATCCACAGAGTTCCGCGGCGTCAAGAAGGTTGGTGCCTCTGCCGCCAAGAAGTAAATGCCCGTTTTGCTTCTCGCGCTTCGTCTTTGCATATTCCCGGGAGATGTACATTTGGCCCACCCTTGTGGTATGGCTATCGCCAGGCCGGAGTGCCGTTCTCGAATATCCCGAGGCAAGTTTCGTTCATCGTCAGCAATCGTCAGCAAGCCCAGGTGTGTTGCGGGGGGAGGAGGATGGGCAAAAGGTTTTTGCCTTGTGGTCGGAGACAGCGTCGGCGTGCTGAGGCGTTGTGGTCGTTGCTGTGTGGGCTGGGTTCCCCAAGAGGTTATGATGTTGACTGACGAGTCTAACGGCTACTAACCACGTTTGTATCTGTGCGATGAATTTGTGCCACTCGGTTGTGCAGCCAAGGCAGCTGGAGCGTCAGCATTGCCGATCCTTTCAGTTTGGGCACCGGGGATGTGAACTCGTCGTTATCGCAGACGACAGCAGCAGTGGGCGTGATGAGTGAAGCTGTTTACACCTTGAGTCGGCCGGCGAAGGGCTCAAGGCGGAGGAAGACTTTTCCATAGCGAGGCATCCCCGCGAGCAAAATTCGACTGTTGCTTGTCAGTCACACAATCATGCATGCAGCTCCTGGCCACGCGCACGACCTGCGAGAGAGCCACGAAAGTGCTGCCTTCCACGCGGCGGCGCTGGGGCGCTGCTACTGATCAGTCGGTACCGTCTTGAACGACAGTACCGTCTTGGGACTAAAAGTTGTCCCTTGGACATGCTCTGCTTCACTCTGTTTGGGATCATGCATTGTGCAGCCCGCACCCGTCGTAGGTGCTCATTCCGGCGTCCGCCATGTGATGCTACGCTTCTAGACCCCCGCCTCCTCGCAACCGTGCTGAACAGTGTAGTGCATTGCTACTGAAACAACAGTCTATCGTTCTGAGTGGGGGTAGTGATGAGAGGGTACTAAAGATGCTATGAAGATGCAAGCTGTCTAAAAGAGGTCGTCGTTACGGTTGGACTGGCGGCGTTCACGGCCGCCGCCAAAGTCAGAGCGCCCGCCGCGGTCGCCCCGGCCTTCGGGACGGGGCCCGCGGTTGAAGTCGCGGCGCGGTCCGTCACGGTCGCCAAAGGTGCGCGGCACCCTGTCGCCAAACGTCCGAGGCGGGCGGTCGCTGCGGTCGCCAAAGTCGCGACGCGGGCGGTCACCAAAGTCACGACGGGGGCGGTCGTTGCGGTCGCCAAAGTCGCGGCGGGGCGGTCGGTCATCGCGGTCCCCGAAGCGGCGGGCCGGCCTGTCGTCGCCGCCAACGCTCCGGCTCACACCGAACGACTTGCGCTCCTGCCGCGGCCCGCTGCCGCCGCGGCCACCGCCGCCACCATACCGCTTCTTCGGCGAGAGGCCGAGGCGCTGCAGCATGTTCGGGCTGATGTGCGGGGGCTGGGGGAGACCACCAGCCTCCACCGACCACTGCTTGATGCCCTCGTAGATCTCCTCCGGGTGCTGGGACATGACGTCGGACTTGCCGAGGTAGTAGCCCATGAGGGACATGAAGACGTCCTCGATGGCTGTGGGGTCAAGGAGCGGGAGGAGCTGCTCGACCTTGCCGTCGACACCGTTGAGGCGGGCCTCGGCGGGCGTGTCCTTGGCCAGGCTCTCGACCTCGGACTGGAAGCGGTCTACAGAGACCTCAGTGACAGGGAAGCCGCGCAGAGCGTCCTGGAAGCCGGCCTCGAAGGGCTGGAGCACAATGTCACCACGGCCGCCGGTCACACCGCCACGGCCGGTACGGCCGACACGGTGCACATACTGCTCCGCGGATGAGGGGACACCGATCTGAATAACACGGGTGACGCCCGGGTAGTCGACACCACGCGCCGAAACGTCAGACGTTACGAGGATCGAGTCCGACTTGTCGGAGCGGAAGCGCTCGGACGCACGCGTACGCTGGTTCTGGCTGAGGCGTGAGTGAATTTCGTGCACGTTCAGGCGGTGGGGGAGGGATGAGGACATCTCGCGGAGAAGAGTCGCCGTAAGCATGGTCTGCTTGGTGGTGGGCAAGAAAACGATGATCTTCGACGCGCCCTTGTTCGTGAGCTGGTCGTGGGCGATAAGACGGGTGAGGTGGCTGAGTTGCTCCTTGGGCGAAGGCAGGACGGTGAGGAACTGGGGGATGTGCTTGTGGACGTTGGACTCGTTGGCGGGCACACAGTCAATGAACGAGTGGTTCTTGTCAAGGAACTCGCGTGCGATACCCTTGATGCGCTGCGACACCGTAGCCGAGAACAGGAACGTCTGGCGCTTCTTGGGCAGGTGCGCGAGGATACGCTTCAGGTCCTCAGAGAAGCCCATGTCCAGGAGGGTGTCGGCCTCGTCGAGAACAAGGACGTCGGTGTTGGCAATGGCCTCGGCGACCTCGGGCTCGGAGAGCAGGTCAACCAGGCGACCGGGTGTGGCGACGACAACGTCCTTGCGGCCGTAACGGATAGACTTCCAGTTGCGGAGTTGCATAGAGCGGCTCTCGCCACCCACAAGAAGCTGCACCTGGTTCTCCTTCTGCCACGTGAGAAGCTTGAGCGCCTCGTTGGCGATCTGCGTTGCGAGCTCACGCGTGGGCGAGATGACGAGGGTGCCAACGTGCGAGCGCGTCGCCACACGGCGGTGCTGGCCCTGCTCGGCAAGGGTGGGAAAGCTGCCATCCTCCTTGGGCGCCGTCACAATCTTGTCGATCTGGTGCACGCGCGCCTCAATGCCTGGAACGAGGAACGCGATGGTCTTGCCAGTACCGGTTTTGGCCTTGACCAGGAGATCCTCGCGGCCGCGAGTTTCACGCTCCTCGCGCGCGGCGAGCTGCTCGGGGTCCTCATTTTCGCGCACCGACTTGTGGGTGACGCCACCCGCGAGCTCGGGCATGCGGGACAGCACACGCTTCTGCACCTCACTCATGGCGATGAGGTTGAAGGGCTTGAAGGTCAGCGCCTTGAGCAGGTCGGCGTTCATTCGCCCCTTGAGCGAGTGGAAGGGAACGAGCGCCGTGGCAGCCTTCTCGTCGTCAGGCGCATCAGGCGACTTCTGAGCCTTTTGGGCCTTCTTCGGCTTCTCCGAGTGCGTGAGCTCGTCGGCGAAAAAGCCGTCCTCTTCGGAGGCCTGCTCGAAGTCTTCGGGGATGACAGAGCTCGCTTTGGTGGCGGCCGGGGCCTTAGCGGGCGTGTCCTCGGCCAACGCGAAGAAGTCCTCCTCCTCCTTGAGCTTGGTCGCGGCCGAGTAGGCGCGGAGAGCAAGTGTCACTGGGGGTCAGCGCAGTCACGTTACCGTTCTCACGAGATGGCCGCGGAGTCACGACGGTGGAGGTGAGGACGGGGCGGGCGATGGCGCGCGCCGCAAAGGCGGGGCGAGCCGCGAGGAGAGATGCAACTCCCCTGGAGCTGCGGAGTGCCGTGCGAGGAAGCATGGCGTTTTGGAGGATTAGTGGGTAGTTGAGATTGAGTACGTCTCGGAGAATCAACTTGGCCGCCGCCACTCTCTGCAAAAATACAGAGGGGGGTTCAAGATCACAAAATAAGGCCCCGGAGTGTCACGTGTGATCAGCACTAATCTCGCGTGGGATTCGCGTGGCATTGAAATTCCCCTTTTAGGGTGGAGGTGGACGGGGCGAAAGGGAGTGACGGGCCGCCGGGCCGAACGCCGGAGGTGTAGACCGGTCCGGCCTTCTTACCAACATCTCGTTCACATCCTTCTCAGATCTCAGCGATTCTTATATTATCTCACACCCCTCTCGTAGCATTCACAAGTTTATTATCTCCCAAAGCTCCAATCTTTTTCTCTTCCCCATCACCAATCTCACACCATGACGAAGGAGATTTCACAGAAGGACATGCCCATCAACGTCGGCCTCATGGGCACCGTGAGCACCCCCCCCATACTCCGCTCACCCTAGGGCGAGTACACCACCGGTATTACGCCATCAGGCCAGTCCAAATCCGACAAGAAGGTGCGCATCGCTTGTAGCGCCATTAACGTCAGATCGGCGTGGTAGGCATCACGATGTTCGACCTCCGACGCCGCGGCAAGGTTGGAGAGTGAGTTTTCAGGCAAGGAGCGGAGCAAGCTGACATTAGCGTCGTTATGGCTGGCACCAACGGCGGCAAGTTCCCCGAGATCCGCGAGCACTTCCAGAAAAACATCGGGGACGTGTACAACGGCCTCGACCTCACCTTCCGCGGCTTCCCCGAGGGTAACGTCCGCAACGCCGAGGCATACAAGGATGCGCTGCGGGCGCTGCCCAAGGGCTCGGCCGTCATTATCTTCACCCCCGACTCGACCCACTTCCCTATCGCCAGCGAGGCGCTCAACCTCGGCCACCACGTTATGGTCACCAAGCCCGCGACGCAGAAGCTCGAGGACCACCAGAAGCTGATCGAGCTCGCCGAGGAGAAGGGCCTCGTGTGCTTCGTGGAGCACCACAAGCGCTTTGAGTGAGTACGAGGTGTCAGAAGCCACCTCTGAATTGCACAACTGACCGCAGCCCGGCGTACAACGACGCCCGCGCTCGCGCCCAGAAGCTTGGCGACTTCAACTTCTACAACTCGTACATGTCGCAGCCCAAGCTTCAGCTGGAAACATTCAAGAGCTGGGCCGGCATCGACAGCGACATCTCGTACTACCTGAACTCGCACCACATCGACGTAAGCGCTTGCCTTCAGGACCATTGCTAATCGCAGATTCACTGCTGGATGGTTGAGGGCCGCTACCGCCCGACAAAGGTGACGGCGAGCGCGACCAAGGGCATCGCGACGGACATGGGCTGCGACCCGCGCACCGAGGACACGATCACGCTCCTCGTCGACTGGGTCAACATCGCGGACGAGAGCAAGCGGGGCACGGCCGTGTACACGGCGTCGTGGGCCGCGCCGCTCAACGCCGGTGTGCACTCGGAGCAGCGCTTCCACTACATGGCAAGCAAGGGCGAGGTGCGCGTCGACCAAGCGCACCGCGGGTACAACATCGTCGAGGACGACGTCGGCAAGATCGACTACAACCCCTTCTATGTCAAGTACTCGCCGGACGAGAATGGCTTCTTCGACGGCCAGCGCGGGTACGGGTACCTGTCGCTGGAGAAGTTTATTGATGCCGCGCGCGCGGTCAATGCTGGCGAGAAGAAGGCTGCAGACTTTGACGGCAAGGGCTTGCCGACTATCAAGGCGACGGTGCTTACCACCGCCATCCTCAACGCCGGCCGCATCTCGCTCGACGAGCAGCGCAGTGTTGAGATTAGCGAGAGCGGAGGCAAGTGGAAGCTCAACTAGAGAGTTGCATGTAGAACAGGACGGTTGTAGGATATGGAACGGGTGTTTGGCATTGTATGGGTAGCCTCAGAACATTGTGAAGCAGACTGTAACTCGCTGAGGCTTCATATCTGCTCAATGTGAGTGGACTCCACCGATCACAGCTCGTTCTCGCAGGCGCGATGGCCCACCCCATATCCACAACCGGTCCCGGCTAAACCCAACATGCCGATCTCGAAACTGCCACACTTCCATGCACATGCTCTACGTCTCTACTGGTCCGCGGCGTCGTACCCCTCGTTCTTCCGGATGTACACCAACCCCTCCAACACACCCGTGTATGGGAAGAACTCGTTTGTGCCCATCTCGGCGCGTTCGGTCGTGCCCACGCGCACCGGGGTCTGATGCGTCTGGAAGCCAGAAATGCCGGAGCGTGTTCCGGCGAGACCGACAGTGTTGACGGCCTGTCCCACGCGCACGGTGACGGGCTTCTCCTGGTCGTTCTCGTCCACCATAATGAGGAACTGGGGGTACATGGCGAGCGCGATCCAGAAGAGCTGCCAGTGGTGCTTGCCAAGCACAAACTTGCGCGCATCGGTGAACGAGACGAGCAGCGCCATGAGGCCCGCAACAGCGTTGCGGTTCAGAATCTGGCGGTCGTTGAAGAAGGGGTTGACGCCGATGGTGCCCTTACCCATGTGCACGAGGCCCTGTGCGATGCGTACCATGAACAGGCAGTCGGGCTCCTTCTCATAATAGGTGGCGAGACCACGCAGCATCTGTGCCAGACGAGCGTTGTTCGTTCCCGCGCCGACGAGACCCATAGCCAGGATGGCGTTCACCGCCACGTCCAGGTCCGAGTCATGCGAATACTTGGAAAGGGTGTCGAGAATCGGCAGCTGGGGGTTGGAGGCAGAGATGAGGCCGAGGGCAAGAGGTACGGCCTTGCGGATCACCGGGTCGCCATATGTCATAAGATGCTGGAACTGGCGCAGAGCCATCTCAGCACCGACGTCCTCTCCCATAGCAATCAGCGCAATGCCAATAACGGCCATGGCGTGATGCCTCGTGTCCTTCTTGACGGAAGGCGTCTCGGTTTCCTTTGACGAGTCGGTCTCAATAGTCGCGCCGCCTAGGGGTGCGCCAGGCGTTGGCAATGACGTAGCGGCTGTTGTGCTCTCAGATTCCCCGTCCTTCTTGTCCTCGCCCTCAGCAGACGCAGGCGTCTCAGCTGTTGACTCGGCGCACACGTGCAGCATGGACTGTACCTTGAGCACGTTGCCGGTGGCAGCGTACGCGCACACCTCGACGAGGATCTCGGCTGAGCGCGCGATCGGGTGCCCAATGACCTTGAGAGTCTCGAGAGTCGCGTCGGCGGCGTCCTGCCGACCCAGGAAGATGAGGCCGAGCGCGAGGCCCAGGAAGATAGCCCACTCGGAGTCGAGCTGCGATTCCTCGCGCTCCATCAATGTCTGGAGAATGGTGGACGCAATGTCACCATTGCCCGAGCCGACGTAACCGAAAGCCATGTTCAGAGCTGCGTTGGCAGCGATCTCAATGGACGTCGATTCGTCCGCAATGTACGGCAGGAGCTTCTCCGCAAGACTGTGACGCTCTGAACCCGCGTAAGCAATGCCGAGGCCGTTCATCGTCGCTATCTTGATGATTGAGCTGGGATTCTCAACGTGATCCTCGAGCAGCGCCCACGCCATGTCCGGGTTGCTGCGCGTGTTGGCGTACAGAATGCCAATGGCGAGGTATGCACCGGCCTTGATGTCCTCCTCGGGCGAGTATGTGTACTTGTCGATGTAGTCGATACCACCGTCATGATCCCACAAAATACTCATGCCGATACTTGCTGCTCCGGAAAGCATGCCGCGGTCCTTTTGCTTGTAGATGAACGACTGACCCTCGGGGGCCTTCACGACGAGCTCCTCGTTGCCAAATCCGGCGTTGACGAAAGCGTTGACGAACAAGGAGGCGAGGTTGTCGCGAGCCGAGGCGTAAGCTGTCGGCTCATGGATCATCTTGTAGATATCCGCAGGAGTCTTGGGCTCCTCGACACCAACTGCCTTGCCAAAGCTGCGGAAGTGGGTGGAGAGGTCCTGGTTGTGGAGACAGATGGAGAGCTCGGTGTCGCTAATGTCCTCGGGGTCAGGCCCCCACTCGTCAGTCTCGGGGTACCCGGCCTGGTCCATGTAGTGGACCATCGTGACCCAGTGAAGGGGCACGCATGCGCGCGCCATGAGGTACGCGAGCTGCTTCTTCATAGTGGGATTCACGGGCGCTTCAAAGTACTTGCGGACAAGGCGGCGGTCGTGCAGGCGGATGGCGATGGCCATAGCCTCGGGAAGACGATCGTGGTTCGAGTAGATCGCAGCAGCAGTGCGAAGGAAGATTTCATCGTCTGGGGGAACGAGGAGTGGCACGGCCTGAACCATGTACTGGCACACGCGCTGGTACGTCTTGTCGTCGACCTTGTCCTCGAGAACCGGGGTGCATTCAAGCTCGAGACAGAGATCGACGGCGTCAACCTCGGCGTTGTGCTTTAGGAAGAAGTCGACGAGCTCGAGACCAAGCCCGCGCAGCTGTTCCACAGTGTAATCGCGCTTAGGCTTGCCGTCCTCCTTCTCGCCGTTGGTCTCGCCATTCGCCTCGGCGCCTCCTTCAATGAGATTGATGTACTCCTCGCCCAGCTCAGCCGCCAGATGGCGGACGTATTCGTGGCCCCATGTCCCAGGACCTTCCTCGGACCCAGAAATGAGGCGGTAGTAGAGAGTGTCGCGCCTCCCGGTGTCCGAGTACGTCATGGCCAGTACTGAAAGAATGGATGCGAGGAGCGCGCGCTGCTCCTTGAGCTCGGTCGACCAGCTATCGCGAATCTTGCCCATGTCCTCGTAGTGTGGTCGCAGGAACTTGAGAGGCTTGGGCACGCTAGTCATGGAGGAGGTCGAGGTGCGAATGAGAGTGCGCAGCGACTCGAGAGCAGGAAGGTAGAGAGAGGAGTCGGATTCCTATGCGTTAGCGGCAGCGGCGGGAAATGCGCTAGGCAACAAGGGCCAGGCGCGGCTGATGACTCACCTTGAGTCGCTCGACAAGCATTTCGAGCTCCGCCTTGAGCTGCAAGTCCTCCTCCGACTGCAGTTAGCTTTAGTGCCGCGCAAGGCGCTCACAATCTCGGGCACATCCTTGTCTCCTGGCTCCTTGCCCTTGGTGTGCTTGGGTGTGGGATCCTCCTTCTGCTCCGGGTCTTTGGAGGGGACCATGATTGTCACCGAGTTTGGGTCGTTTTGGTCGGCCATGGTGGATGAAGCGAGAAGTGTCAGCCGTCAGGCGAGCAGAGGTTGAGAGAGGCGGGTGTGTTTGCTGTCGCCTCTGGCCTGATGGAGAAGAAGGAAGATGTAGTGGAGGTGGTGAGTGCTCGTTGTATCTTGTGGACGCGGGGACGATGAGGGACGACGATTCTAGGCAGTCGATGACGGACGCGCGTCGACCAAGCACGTGGGTGTCGCGTGGAAGGAGATTTCACCGTTGTGGCACCTCGTGAGAGGGCTCGAATCTCGATTGGTTACTCTAGGATTCCGTCAAGGCCCTCCTGATTGGCTGGAAAGACGAGAAAGATCCCACGCCCCCGATGAGCCTCTGCAAGATATATTAACCCCCCCCGCGCCGTCCCCGCTCTCTTTTCTTTTTTCTTCACCAGAGTGTCCGCGCCTCGCCAGCGCGTTAAAGATTGTGCCGATCACCCGGTGACGTTTCGTACCGTCGACCGACCTTGGCCTTGTATGGCATTTGCGCGCCGGCCGGGCGCTTTAGAAATTCATCCCGTCTACCTCGCTACTTCGCACCTCGGATTATCCAGTACTGGCTCGACTCCCAGAGGGCCCCCACAGACCACGGACGGCTGTGCGGGCGCCGGGTCGGGGTGCATCCTGCAGCCAACGCGACGGCTCAAGCGCAGGGTGCCCGTCGACTAGACGCACGCATTGCGAACATAACTCTGTAGTCTTCTTTTTATGCGAGTGCTTTTCGCGTACATGTTGTGTGGGTCCATCATTTGCTGTCTACTACTTGCACTGCACATTGCCGCGCCACACATCCTCACTTCAAGTCGTGCTTGTACTGCACAAAGTCCGTCTTGTTCGCGACCTTGGTGTACAACAACTGCGCGCGGTGGTTGAAATGCTGCGTGTGCCAGTACACGCTCTTGATCCCCTTGTCCTTCGAGTCGGCATACACAAACTCGATGAGCGCGCGCCCCGTGCCCTTGTTGCGCTGCGCCTCGTCGCTCCACAGGTCGTGCAGGTAGACAATGTCCTCGATGCTGCCCGTGTAGATGTGCGGCAGCCACGTCACAAAGCCCACGACGTTGGCGCCCGCCGGCTTGTCCCCGTCCACCGCCACCGCGCAGTACACGCGCACCGCCGGGTCCAGGAAGCGCCGCCACTGTTCCTCCGTTACGTCGGACGCGACCGTGCGCTTGTAGAACTGGTTGTATTGCTCCCACCGGTCGAGCCACTGCTGCTTATCGGCCTCTTCGGCGAAGCGGACGGTGATGGTCATGGTGGGGGCGACGGGTAGGAGGGTGGGGCGAGGATAACAGGGATGGAGCGTGGAACAACGAGTGATAAGACCTGACCGATGAGATGTGGCTACGACTGAGAGCAAGTGGATGGGGTGAGCGCGTCTTGGATCCCCGACCTTTCGTGTCATATATCAACATGGTCGTCACCATGTTGGCACTGCCCACCACCCCTCCTGCCTGCCTGTCCCGACCTAGGAACCGACTTGGCTAAACGGGAGATAAGCGATACATGATCCTGTTTAGCCACGGTGAGCACCCAGATCGCATTCCTCGCCTATCTCGCCAACGGGCCCAAGCTCGCCTCAAGCGAGCATCCCTCACCAGTCTTGGTCTTGCAAGTGATCGACCTCCACAACTCTGACTCAGCTCAGCATTTCAGATACAGAGCGCATTGATTATCTAATAAGCGACAGACGTCTTGTGAAACCCAGTGGTCGCGGGCAGGTCATACCGTCCTCGGCTACTTCATCAGGCCCCGCTTGCCCTCTTTGCCCTCCATGACGGCGCGCTTCTCCAGCTCACGCCACCACGGCAGTGCGTGCTTGTACGCTGCAGCAGCGGCCGTGGGCAGCGCCGCGTCATACTTGCCGTTATCTCCCGGCGCGCCAGGCGCCGTCGCCGCCTCAGCAGGGAGCGTCGCGCGGGCGCGCGCATGCGCAGCCGCCACAAAGTCATCAAAGGGCACGTGGGCCCGCGTCTTGTCCACTGACCGCACCCACCCCCATGCCGCCTTGTACGCGACGCCGACGGAGCATGCGTTTGTGTGCGACTCGCCCCACGCGCCCTTCTCCGCGTCGTACTCCACCGCCTTGGAGACGGGGCAGCCCATCGCGTCCGCCATGACGTTCAAAAGCGTCTTGTTGCGCGCCGCCCCGCCGGCGACGTACACCCGCGCCAGTGTCGCTGCTGTCTCGTCGCTCGAGAGAATCGCAGATGAGCGCGACGCGTAATTCATCATCTGGCACTCGAGGATCGCCAACGCCTCCATCCCCACTTCCGAGAAGTCGTCGACGCGCTCAGCGGTCGCGGCATCACTCCCAATGTACTTGTACACTCCGTGGGCGCCGGATGGCTGCTGTCAGCTTGCGTTCCCGCCTCAGCTCACAATAATAGCCGGCAGGAGCCACCAAAATGCCATGCGCTCAAGCGTCACGTCCCCCGATTGAGGACGCAGACGCTCAACGGCCGCATTGAACTCGTCCCACGATGTGCTGCCAAAGTACTTGTCACGGACATGCTCGCGCGCCAGCGACCCGTCTGCAATCAGCTCCTGCGGCACCCCCTCGCTCACTCTTGTACACGAGCATGTTGAAGTAGCGAAGCGACTCGGCAGTCTCTCTCACGCTGTCCTGGACCGATGGCGGCGCGATCATGGCGGGGTGGAAGAATGCGTGGAACTCTGGGTGGGGACTGTACTCGGCCGTCGAGACCAGAACAACATCGCTCGTACCGAGGGACACCATACCTTCCCTCTCGCGCAGTGAGAAGGAGAGGAAAGTGGCCGGGTTGTCGCCTGTGCCAGGCACCACGACGCACTTGGGGTCGAAGCCGTGACGCTCGACGAACCAGCGCCCGATGTTGCCGACGACTCGCCCGCCGTCCGTCTCCACACGCCCAAGCTTGCGCGCGAGCTCTTCGCCCTCCCCGGGCGCAATGACGTCGAGCACAGCTCGACTCCACCCACGCCCGGCGCTTTCCATATCCCACAGGTTCATGCCGCACGCGTCACTCTCGTCGATGCCCTTGATGTCGCCGTCCGCGCAGAGGAGGGTTGTGATGTAGCTCGACACAAGGGAGATGCGATCCGTGGCGCCGTACGCGTCGGGGAAGGTGTTGCGGAAGCGAAGGATCTGCGAGGCGGTGAACCGCGTGTGCGCCTTGGAGCCTGTAATGCGCGCGAGCTCCTTCGGACCACCGACACCAGCCTCGAGTGCCTTGCATTCCTCCACCGTCGACGAGTCCTGCCAGTTCGGGATGATGGCACGCGAAAAGGCGCCCTGCAGCTGAGGCGCCATCGGCTCGCCTGCGTCAAGTGAGGAGAGCAGACGCCCCGCCTGCTTTGACCAGTACACGGAGGCATGTTGCTGGGCTTCAGCTTTGACTTGGACGAACAACTCACCTGCCCTGCGGCGGAAACGGCCTTGATCTTCCCCAGGGGCCACTTGGCGGCCTTCATGCGGTCGAGGAGGAGGTCGAGCGCCTCTACAGGCTGCATGACAGGCGAGAACACCTCGCCGCTCCCCTCGGGACCATGGAGAACGCCGCCGCGCGTCTTGAAGTGTGACAGGTCGGCGTCGAAGCGTACCTCGGCCTCGGACAGCACCCGAAGGTCCTCGTCTAGGAGCGAGGCTTTGAGCGCCTGTGTAGAGCTGTCGAGACCTAGGAAAAGGCAGTCTTGCATGTTAGTGGATGAATGGGAAAGAGAGAGAGTTCATGGCGCAGATTATAGGGAGATGCGGAGTGTCGCGCCCCCGGTGCGGCGTCATGGGGATCGTCTCTCCCGGAAACCCGCCGGAAATTCCCCGGCTGTTTCGTCGGCGGACTCCGAGAGCGGACTGCGTGCCTCGAGCAGGCTGTTGTGATGACGTACATGCAAGTATAGATAATGAGCTTCAAATCAACATCTCGTTGCCGGAGAGGCTCGCTCGAGAGGTGGAGGTGTCATTGTCCGTCGTCTTGAGCCGAGGAGGTACTCGAGCATACATTCAAAGAGAGATGAACTCGGAGTTCCCCTTCGGCGCTGACAGCCACGGTTCGAACGGCTCGTGCGGTAACGAGTCCTGCAAGCCGACCAAGGCGCCGTTATGAAATGTTGGCGCCGCTATTCTTGGCGGGGACAGTGGAGGGGCGCGAGGGGTGTGGCGAAGGATGCAAGTGGATATCATCAAGAGATGGAGACGGAGTTGATGAAAGTTGACTGGATCTCGACTGTCATAAGCATTGGACGATCCAGGCCCCTCGTGTTTCCCCCCAATGGCCCTTTATCCGCTTCCCGCACTTTACACCGTCACCCATGCCTCATAACCCATCCCACCTTGGCCACCTTCCTCGCCGCTCGCCGCCTCCAAGACATCTCTTGCATGTACTGTGTACTCATCTCTCTCTCTTTCTCTTTCTCTTCCTCTACAACCACCACCACCCACTTGAGCATCCTCTCCTACTCACCACCTCTCATCTCCCACCCCCAACATGGCACGCTCCAAGCCGACCACACGACGCGGCAAGCGCAAATCCACCACTGGCCACACTGATCCCCCGGCGTCGACACCTGGGTCTTCCAGAGTCACCGCCGAGCATTCCAGGCCTGCTGATATGTCTCCTCAAAGTGCCGCTGATTCCCCACTACCTACACGGCCTTCTAAGGCTGCTCGACTTTCCAAAGCGGCCACCATTTCTCGAACCTCTCCTGCACTTTCAAGTGCCACCGCCGCCCCTCTTCAATCCGCTATCTCGGGCGGCCAAGAGACGTCTGCCGTGCTTGAGTATCTCAAGGCGCGAGGGTTCAATTCAACACTGGCAGCGCTCACGGCTGAGCTCGCCGATGTAGAGAAGAGGGAGCGAAGCGCCGCCCCGCTCTCCGTCACAGCTTTGCTTTGGGGCAACCAGGACATTGTCGCCGAAATTGTGTCCTTCCTTGGCATGTCAGATCTGCGTAGTTGCCTCTCCATCTCCAAGGCATTGTGAGCTCCCCGCCCCCAGTTTGTTGCTAATGGCAGCTATAGCGCCGCGACTCCTCTCTTGTACAGGCGTCTCCGCGTGCAGCACCTCAACTGCCACTGTCGCCCGCCACCCGACCGCGATATGGAACTCGTCGCGCGCTACACCACCGCCGTGGAGCTCTTTCCACATCAGCACGTGCAGCACTATCTCAAGCCACTGAAGATTCCTCGCCTGCAGACACTCGTAATCAACTACAACCCCGATCCCCGGGCTGAGATGACGGGCCTTGGCTCCTCGCTACACATGTGCAGGTTCTGCCCCGACTCTCATCCAACCGCACCACGCCTTGTGGTTCGCCCCATCGCCGGTCTCTTCAAAGGCAGAAAGCCCGCCACGACTATCATCGTACCCACTGCTACTTTTCCCGACACCACGTGCACGATTGCGCCTGAGACAGTCATTCATATCGCCCGCATGACTTGCCAGACCAAGTACACCCGGTCGTTTTGGATGACGCCTCGGAGTCCTGTTGCCAACCCGACGCGCTCCATCACCTTTGTCCTCCTGCCCATGATGTGGGACCACGGACCTGTGGGCCACCGCCGCCCCCCGTGGGGCGAGGCTCAGTCTGTCGGCAACCTCGGAAGCTCGCTCATTGACTCGCTCGTACAGTACGCCCTGCAGTTCGGCGACCACAGGATCAACATCGTGGGACTCGAGGATGCCAACCCCTTTGCAAAGAAAGAGCACTGGGACGTGCGCGCGCAGCGGCGCGAAATCTTCGAGCAGGCGCTCAAGACGAAGCTTGACTGTCTTCTGAACAACGGCTTCCGGTTCACAAAGTGGTCCAATTCGGAGCGCGAGTGGCGCCGTGAGAGTCTCAGGCTCACGACATTTGCCGACTATCTTCGCTCTGGGGAGTGGGGAGAAGAGATGGACTGGCAGCTCGTCGGGAGGTGGCTTAACACATGCGAGCTGCGGGAGAAGGGCTTACTCGGCACACTCAAGCGCAAGTCTCAACCACGCAAGAGTGTCCCCCGCAAGCGGAAGGCCGCCAGTCGCGATAACGGCGCGACGATCGATACCAGCGATGTCGACGATGAGGACTACACTGATTCGTAGGAAAATGAGATGTCCCCTTGACCTATACCAGCACCAAAGTTCCCCTCCCCTTCGGCGCGACTCCTCCTTATTCTGTTTTCTACTTCACCTCTAACTGTGTGCGCGTGAAGATATAACCACGCGCTTTTCTTTATCCTTCAGCTGCAAGCTTGTTGTAGATATCATGTTGTTACATGACGACCGCGACTTGTGACCCTACGATTGCATCCCCCCCGAGCCTCCTTGATCAGTGGTCATTGATCATTGAGAGCAAAGCCGCCCGCACACATGCCCTGCAGCGCTTACCTAGCTTAGTAAAACACGTTGTCGCATACTCTACACTGATACAGCGCTACCACCCAGAAAAGTCGCCGAAGCCTCCTGGCTTGCGCTTCTTCTTCTCTACCTCAAACTCGACTGGCGCAACCTTCGGCGTCTTGCTCTTCGCCTGCGCGATATACTTGCCCACCCCATCGTCCTCGAGCTTGCGCTTACGCGCCTCCTTCGCCTCCCTGCTCTCGCCCTTGGCGCCGAGGTCCGTCCCGAGCCACGTCGTGCGGTCCTTCTCGCGCTTCTCTCTTGCCGCTGCGCGCTTCGCCTGCGCCTCGGCGCTCTGGTCCGACCGCGCCAGCTTCGCCGCCAACTTGGCCTGGTACTCGGCAAACGGGTCCTGGAGGACCTGCACGCCCGTGATCTTGATCGTCTTGGTCGGCGTGTCGCCGCCCGGCCGGACCGGGATGCGCTCGAGGGCACCCAGCACGTCCAAGCCGCCCACGAGCTTGCCGAACACCGTGTGTTTGTTGTTCAGGTGCGGCGTCTCCCGGAACGTAATGAAGAACTGGGAGCCGTTCGTGTTCGGCCCGCTGTTCGCCATGGAGAGCACGCCGCGCGCGTCGTGCTTGAACGCGCCCTTCTCGCCAAACTCGTCCCGGAATGGTTCACCCCAGAACGACTTGCCGCCACGCCCAGTGCCCGTTGGATCTCCTCCTTGTATCTGGGGTTAGCTCGACTGGGGCCAGTAAACTCACCATAAACCCCGGGATGAGACGGTGGAAGACGACATCATCGTAGTAGCCCTGCTTGGCGAGCTGAACAAAGTTGTACACCGTTTTCGGTGCGCGGTCGCCGTACAGCTCAACATTGAGGCCGCCGAAGTTTGTCATGATCGTGGCGTACGCCCGTGACTTCAGTCGTTCCTTGTCCTTGGTCGGCTTCGACAGCTCTTCGAACATGACTGCGGTCAGGCCCAAACGATGCTGTGCGACTCACGCTCCTCCTCATTATACATCGCACGCTCGTTCTTGACCTCCGGCCCGAGTGTTGTGCTGGTAAGCGAAGCGGCCGCACGCCCAGTGGAAAAGTTGGTAGCGTTGTCTGGTGTGAGCTGAGACTTCGGCATAGGAGCTCACATGCAAGTTCCTCTTTCCTAGGTTTGGCGACGACGCCCTCCTTCGCTTCCTTCTCGGGCGCCGGCGACGGAGACGCGTTTTCAGACCTTGTCTGCTATCAGCTCGATTACTGCCGTGGCGCTCACCTTCTGAGCCAGCATCTTGAGCACCTTGCTCGCGCCACCAGCTGCGTCGACATTAATGCCCTTGAGCGGGTCCGCCATGTCCTCTTCTGCCTGTCAGCCGCGCCAAAATTGCATGGGTTCACCTGACACCTTCTTTTGGTTCTTGACGTAGTCAAAGTCTCGTGCGTCGCGCGCCTTCACGTTCGCGGGGTCCTGTATCGTGATGATGTCTTCGCGGGTGAAAGGCTCGTCGCTGACCAAGTCGCGCCACATCTTGGACTTGATAGCAAGAAGCTGGAGCGAGGCCATATCGAAGACGTTGCCCTGCTGTTAGCTGAGCACCACTCGAGCTAGCTAGGCCTACAGTGTTCTTGAGGAACACGATGTGCACGTGGTTCGAGAAGACCTTGAAAGTGATCGGGTCGTGGTAGTTACCCTCGGCGTTCTTGAAGAAGTTGAGCTTAAGCAGCTGTGAGGTCTCGAGGGGCTTGCCCGTCACCGGGTCTGGTCGGTCAGCTCTGTCCGCTTCGCAATCGCTCACTCGTCTTGAACTTGCGCACGTAGGGCACGATGTTCAACAGATCAAAGACATCGGCACGCCTCTCCTCGCCAGGCTTTTGCTCCTGAATCACAGCCACGGGGTTCTTAAACGGCTGCAGCGAGAGCGCACAGCAGTCACTGTGGTCAGTTCAGTTGCAAGTCAAGTACTCACAAGGGTAGACGCATGAGCTCCTGGCGACCCTTCTCTGCCGCCTTGCCGCCACTCGAGGCCGTATGCCCACCGGCAGCATGCTCGGCATACGTGACGTAGATCTTGTCCGAGTTGTTGCCCATGGTGTCTGTGGACGACGGTGACGGCGGTGGAGGCGGCGATGCGAGATCAAAACAGAGTCGCTCCTCCACTTTGTGACTGAGCCGCCGAGGTTTCCCACGGTGATCATGAAAGAACACGTGGGGCAGGTGACGCCGATTGCCCCTCCACCTTCCTCCACCGGATTGGCGTCTGCGCAGCGAGCATCTTGGCTGACGCGTTCTACAGCTCTGCAGCGTCTCCGCAGCCCGACGGCCAGCAAGCACATCTCTCTCTTCTGTTGTCTCATAAATCTCATCTCTTGCACATCGGCGACGCTCTCTTCATCCCCCCCACGCTCAACACTCACGATGGCAGGCGAGTTCAGCACGGAAGTGCTGGTCAACTACGCCATCCTCTATGGCTACTTCGCCATCATCCTCGCCTGCTTCGCTGCCGTCATCGCCTCCATCCTCGACCAGAGGCCTTCCAAGGAAAAGGTCCTCAGCGGCCGCCCGTTCCTCTTCATTCGTTGTGCTGTCGGCGGCCTTCTCTCAACATGGTACTGTGAGTCGGGTGACCGGGGGGCCATGTGCCAAGGCCGGTTTCCTCGTAGTGGCTCGTTCGAGGCAACCGCTGACAGCCAGTCATGATCCTTTTCATGAAGGTGAGTCACGCCGCGAAACTGGACGCGACGCAAAGGCGTTGTTCTACCTATCATACTGCGGAGGCGGTCAGGAAACGCGTCGATGCTGCCCAGGCCTGCGCAGCATAGGGCCTACGACAAGCCGCTGACGACAGTGGTCTTACACGAACTACATTTCCGTTCGCCCCGGCGCGACTGCGGGGGACTGGCTTGTCAACACCTCGCTCTTTGCACAGGCATGGCGAGCAGTCTGCGTCGGTGCCCCCAACTGGTGGTGGAGCAGCTGGATCTGCACCGCCGCCATCTTTTTCGCGGCCATCATTTGGTCTGAGAGTGAGCCAAACGCTGTCCGGCCCAGCTGATCGCAGCCTTCCGCCGCGGCATCAAGTACCCCGCGGTGTATATGATTCTCGGCCAGCTCGTCGCTATCTCGGTCGCGGTCGCGCTTTTCCTGACCGCCGTGTATCTTCATGAGCCTATTCCGGGCCGCAAGCCGAGGGCGCCGCTCATGCTCTGCTTCCTGCTCATCTCGGCGCAGGTAGGAATGTTCATCCTTCCCGAGCTCGCAGATCAGCCGGCCTTCGTCCACGTCCTCGGCTTCATCCACGGCGCGGTGGTGATCCCGCTGTTCTTCATTCCCAAGAACGGGCGAAACGAGTCGGGCTCCCTCCCCTTCGGCGGCCTCTACGTGCTCCTCACAGTCCTCGCGGCCATCATTCATACGTTGACTACCATCCGCGTGCTCGACATGCTCCCAGCCGCCAAGTGGCTGCCGCAGTATCTGTACAAGATCTTCCTCAGCCACCCGGCCCAGGGCTCCGTCTCATTCGATGTCGTGTGGGTCGCCATCATTCTTGTTTCCTGGTGGATCGCCAAGGGGTCAACTGTCAGCATCATCGCCAAGTTTGCTCTCCTGACAGCGGTCGGCGGCGTTGCCGCTGCTCGTCACTACGGAGTAAACTGGTACCTCCTCGGCAGCTTCGTGCCCATCTTCGCTCTGCTTCTTGTGGCAGGCGCAGCGTTCGGACTGTCAAATGTGCGATCGCGTAACGACGAGAAGCGCGCCGCAGTTCTGGATAAGCTGGGCATCAAGGAGCAGGGTGTGATCCCTGGCACCACCAAGGAGCCACCTTCGATTGCCAAGAAGCGTCTGATCGTTGGGTTTTGGCACCCGTACTGGTAAGCTGGGAGAGACGGAGTGGTATCTAACGGCAGCAATGCAGGAGGTGGTGGAGAGCGCGTGCTCTGGACCGCAATCGCATGGCTTCAGCGAGTCCACCCCCGAGTGATCGTCCTGGTGTACAGCGGCGACTTCCCTGCCGCGTCCAAGGAGCAGATCATCGCCAAAGTCAATGTACGTTCATAGGCGCTAGCCCAGCGAATCTCGCTGATCTGCAGGAGCGCTTCTCGATCAAGCTGTCCCCAGCGACGCTGGTATTCGTTCCCCTGCCTTCGCGGCACCTCATCTCCGACGACTACTGGCGCCGCTTCACGCTTCTTGGCCAGTCCGTGGGCAGTGTGATGCTGGCTTGGGAGGGGCTTTGCGGCCGCGATGGCCTCTGGGGAGATATTTTCATCGGTACGCTAGCGGTGCCATCTTAACTGACAGCAGACTCGATGGGGTACGCCTTCACGTTGCCTTTGGTGCGCCTCTTGGCGGGCCGGGACATCGCCATTGGCTCGTACACGCACTATCCCACGGTCAGCAGCGACATGGTTAAGCGTGTGCGTGAGCGTGTCGCGGGTGTCGAGAACGGCGGTGCCTCGAAGAGCGCGTCCCGGACCTGGGCAAAGCTTGTGTGAGTTGAGTTTGGCGCCAAATTCCGAATGTGACTTGGCATGCCCCCCACTGAACTGCGCCGATCGCTGACTGCATTAGTTACTACAGGATGTTCACGTCGCTGTACAGGGTTGCGCTACTGTTCTCGCAGCATATTATGACCAACTCGTCATGGACCCAGGCGCACATCCAGTCGCTTCTCAACGACGGCCGTCACTCGCTGCTGGCCAGCCTGTTGCTTATGGATGATGCCTCGCGAAACGCAGGTGACACGGCGCGTGTATGCGAGGTGGTTTACCCACCTTGCGACACGACGGAGCTTTCCAAGTTGGGGAACCTCGATTCGCGCAAGCGTGAGCTCGTTTCCTTGGCCCAGTTCAGGTGCGTTTCGGAGTTGAAGGTCGGATTGGAGCTTGCGCTAATGAATTTAGGCCAGAGAAGGACCAGGCTAAGCAGTTGCATGCGCTGAGCATACTGTTCGAGAAGCACCCCGAATACAAGACCGGTGCCGGTCGGGTTCATCTTACGCTTATGGGTGGATGCCGCGACGCCGCCGACGAGGCGCGTGTGGAGGACCTTGGGAAGCTGGCGAAGAAGCTCGGTATTCAGGTGAGGCGAGACTCAAGACTACGGTTGCGGGGCAACGCTAATGTGAAGGAACAGGTGACGTTCCTGGTGAACGCGCCTTACCCGGAGATCGTCGCCAAGCTAGGCTCGGCGTCGGTGGGACTGAACACGATGCAGGACGAGCACTTTGGCATCAACGTTGTGGAGTTTATGGTTAGTACCAGAGTCACGCGATAAGAAGAGGACGACTTCATTGAGAACGCCGCTGACGATGTAGGCCGCGGGACTCATTCCCGTGGTTCACGCGTCGGCTGGACCACTCCTCGACATTGTCGTGCCACATGACGGCATCAAGACAGGTACGTACTCTCAGTGCCAATTGTTGCACGCGCCGTTGGAGCCAGTTGAAGTTCCATGTCACGCTCCGGGACTGGCTCCAGGCACACTTGGACAGTCGCCGCTGAACGTCAACGTCGGTGCGGTACTGACAGCAGGCTTCCATGCGACGGACGCCGAATCGTTCGCCGATGCCATTCACGAGGCGCTGTCGCTGCCTCAACAGCATGAGATGGCGATGCGGCGGGCAGCGCGTGCTCTGGCTCGTGACAAGTTCTCGGAGGCTGCATTTGAGCGGGCCTTCTCCCGTGGATGGGGACGCCTTGTGCGGGCTGCTGCGGGAAGCGGCGCCGAGACTGGCAATGACCAAGTGGAGGGTGAGGTGGGGGGCCTGCTGCAGGTTCCAGGCAAGCAGTAGAGATGACGAGGACGAGGAGGAGGAGGAGGACGAGGAGGAGGAGGAGGAGTCGGTAGTAGAGGTGATTATAGATGAGGTAGACTTTGATAGAGTAATGTTAAATTGTCAGGGCGGGATCCCGCTGGAGCTGCGGGAGGGCGGCAAGATGAGAGTGGTAAACTGGAACCGAGTCCCGCACCCCTGTCATTGCTCATCGTGGCTTGCAAGCTGCCCTGGTACTGACTGGCATGTGAGAGAGGGTGTGAGTGTCGTGAGTGTCGTGAGTATCGTTTGAGTGTCGTTGAGTGTCGTTGAGAGTCGTTGAGAGTGCAGTGGATGAATTGATTGAGATGAGCAGGGAGGGGGACTGACTGAATTGTTTCGACCAGCGACGGATTATTAACAGGAGCTGTTTCACCCCCTCCACCCCTTCCCTCGTCATCCTCATCATCGTCCTCATTCCCTCTCCATCGCCGCATTGCCGTCGCCGCCGCCCCGCATCTCAATCCTTAGCGGGTCATCGGGACGACGACTGCAACACAAAGCAGAGGTACGCACCCGCCCAACATTTCTTGGCCCCACTCTGGCATGACCTGTGCCAACCATGCCCGCGGTCACGAGGCACCACGCATATCCTCTGTCATGAGCGATGAGAGAGAGGAGGGTACGACTCCATCGTCTCGCCTCGATCCGGTGGCCAAGCTCTGCGGCTCGCTCAAGCGCACCTCCTAAACCTCACAAGCCAAGACAAGATCCGCACATCACCTCCCTTAATGCCAATGAAGTGGCGGCGCGGCGATCAGCACGCAGCACTCAGAACGCATAATCCGCATCACCTGTCCCGCCTGCCCACCCTGGCATCCCCGGCATCCCCGGCCTCCTCTTACACGTATGGAGCCGCATGCATGGAGACACGCACGCACGCACGCACGCACGCACGCCGCATGCCTCCAACATTCCATCAAAGCTGGGACTGGTACCAGGCCCGAGGCACACTTGACGGCAACCAGGGCGGCGGGAAACTCTGGGTTCATCGTCCTCCCTTGCTTCCCCCTCTCACCCGGTGTCGTCTCGTCGCAACGTCAACCCCCACGAACAACGCACATCGCACACCATATGTGTCCATGCAACTCTCGTCTCTCGTCTCTTCTTTGTCGCTCGCTCTTGCACTCTTCGCGCTACACACCACGCCTGGCGCGTGTCAATCTGATCACTAGTCTCCTCTTCAGCGAGACTCCGACACACCTCCGCACACCGCAATTCCATTTCGTCGGTCTCGTCTCGACGCTTCCGCAAGACTCAAGCCACCGATCCGATCTGTGAGTCACGGAAACACCATGCGCTATTCTGGATTGTGGCGTGGGCAATGAGGTGGTGGCGGCAGCGTGCAGTGGCAGATCTCATGACCTCGTGGCGTCTCTGCGGGCTCGGGCTGGTAGAAGCGAGCGGCATCCTCCACGAAGTGTGCGGAAGCAACAGCGATCACACGAGCCGGGACTCCAGAGTCTGTCATCATGCATCCGACATCCCAGCAGCTGGCAGCTGGCAGCTCGAAACTACGTGCATAGCAGCTCGCTTGCTTCCCGTACGCCCAGACCCGGGCGGCGCTTAGACTGCATATGTCTCCCCGTCTCCGGCTCCGCCACGGCGTCATACTGATCGACAGCCCTGCTATCCCTGGCCCCGTCTTGTCTATTTTTCCCTACTCGCCCCTCCTCGATCCGCTCGTGGCAGCTCGTGTCCGCCGCCACAAAATAACAACATCTCGCGTCAGCTTGCACGCGTCAGGTAGCCAAGCCATCCAGCCAAGCCTCCTCTGCACAACTCGCACCAGCATTCTGCACGCCCCTCCGCCCCTCTCCCCTCGGCCACCTCCGCCCCCCCTCTGCTGCTGCACGGCTCAGCTCGCCCCGAATCCTCCCCTGGACAGCTCTCCTTCGCGGCTCGCGGCTCGCTCCCGAGGCCCGACCCCCCGACCCTCCTGTGCCCCGACCCAACCGGTCAACATCTGGAGAACTCGACGCCGGCGTCCCATCCTCACAACCTCAAAAGGATCAGTTGATCTGTTCTCATCGTTCTATCCATAATCGTTCTCTTTTCGTCGGCCGTCCACTCTCTGCGGTCTCTTTTCCTCTCTTCTCCTCTCTTCGTCCTCGTCCTCGTCTCTATCGTCCCGTCCTCTTTTCTCTCATCCACCCCTCCTCCTCCCTCCCGCCCTCTCCTCGTTTTCCCTCCTCCTCCCTCAACCTCCACGCCGATCGACCCAAATGGACGTCTCCGTCGCCGAGTCCCTCCTCACGATGCCCCGCGCTCACGTCGTGGGGAAACTTAGCGTCCAGTTCCTCGACTCTGTAAGTCTATCCCCGCCCTCCCACTCCCTCTCCCAGCTCACACCAGCTCCCCTTCCCGCTCATCATCGTGCTCTTCTTCGCGTGCCTCATCTTTCTCTTTCGCTGGCCGTGAGTTGATCTGTGACGTACCCAGCACACACCTAACGCCAGCCCCTCCGTCCGCCCTCTCCTCCCGACGAACAGCAAGGCGCGTCTCGTGCCCCTCCCAAGCCCGCGCGGCGACTTTGTCTATCTCGACAAGCCGAGCCGGCGCCTTATCGTCTCGCCTACCCCCCTCATTCCGCCCCTGCCCCCCAAGGAGAAGAAGGCGCGCCCAAACCAGCTCAAGCGCCTCTTGCAGATCTACCGCCCACTCCCCTTCGTGCCCGAGCTGCCAGACGAAGCGCTCTGGGGACCATCTTCACCTGTCTAGACCACATACACGCACGCACACCCGCAAACGCACACGCAGTCCACCATTCGGTTGTAGAAACCCGCCCGCGGCCGGCGGTACAGCAAGCACCAGCATTTCACGCACAAGCCACACGTTTTCAGCACGGACCATACGCCCAAGGGCACTGTAGGACACTAGGACGTCACCATGTATATACTATCTACTGCCGGGCGCGGCGGAATGGGGGCGCTGGCGTGGGGCGTGGCATGGTAACAGCGACGGCGGGAGCGATGGCGATGGCGAGGGCGAGGGCGAGGGCGATGAAGCGTGGGAGACTTGTCGGAGTTGACGATAGGCGTTGCAGGAATGCGTGGCTGAGGATACGGTGGGAATGAGCGACACGACGCGGATTGCGTATCGCGTCGATCTGCATTCATCAAGTTGACACCACAACCCGTCGTGTCAGTCACATATCGCCGGACGCTCGGACGCAGGCGCAGGGATCCGGCGGCCGGGCGAGAAGCGAGTTAGTCGCCGGCGCGCGCGGGCTATTCGCGCGCTGCTCGCCTCCGTCTGTACTCTAGGGTCAGAGGATGCGCGCCTCGGCCTCGTCGACGCGCCGCTCGAGCGCGTCCAACAACGCGTCTTCGCGCAGCCTCCCGGCGTCGCTGCGCTTTCCGAGGCCGGCGAGCGCGCCCTCCAGCCCCTCCATGTCGCGGGCGTCCGTGCGGTCGTACTCGAACGGCTCGTCCTCGCCGTGCTCGGCTTCGTGCGCGATCCGCTCCGCGTCGGGCGGCAGCACGTCGTCGCGCCTTACCGCCGCAAGGTCGGATACGAGGGCGCGCAGCGCGTCGAGCTCGGCTTCTGAGAGCGGAGAGGAGGGGGAGGGGGAGGGGGAGAGGGCGATGGCGAGGAGCGCGTTCGCGCGCCCGCGCAGCTGCCCGATCCGGCGGGCGGGGGGCACGCTCGCGGCGAAGCCCTCGTCGAAGCCTGCTTGGAGGGTCGAGAGCTTGCCTTCGCCAATACCTTCGCGGTATCCGGCCTGAGTTTCAGCACGTAGTGTTCGTCGGAGGACGCAACCTCGGTGCATCCAGTGCAAGGACCGCTACTCTACTCACATCCGTGTAGCGCTGCTGCAGGCGCGCATACTCTGTGTCCACGAGGGGGTCGGCTGCGCCGCCCTGCTGTGGCGCCGCGGCAAAGTCGTCGTCCCAGTCCGTGTCCATTTTAGTTGAGCGATTTGTAAGATTCAACTTTGATGTGGAGGTCGACTGAGTGGCAATTCGTCTCCGCGACGCCTGACAGAGCGCAGTTCCGAGCACTCCTTCGCATGCTACGCTCTGTGCATAGCATGATTGTTTCGACATACGAGCCTACGTAGCACCGAGTCTGCATCTCCCTCTCCCTCTCTGTGTCCTCCCTCGTCTGCTCCACGCCCCTCAGTCATCACCACACCCACCTCTCAACTCCCGGTGGCAAATCACGTGACGCCGCGAAAAAGTTGTCGTCAACACCATCCGATCTTGACACCTCCACATCCACCATGCCCAAGGCGACCTCGCAGACATTTACGCGGACACACGGGCTCTCGGCGGCGAGCAAGCGGCCGGAAAGCAAGAAGGGGGAGGGGAGCGCGGCGGCCGCGGGCGCCGGCGGCGCGCGCAACCATCTCTTCAACACCGACCGGTTCGGGCAGCATATCTTGACCAACCCGCTGGTTGCGCAGGGGTGAGTGAGCGCGCGCGAGCGCGTGCAGCGAGCACACGCGCAATGGCGGCTGGTGGCTGGCGGCTGGTGGCTGGCGGCTGGTAGCGCTCGCTGCTGCGTCGAGAAGTACAGCTGACCCCAGCATCGTAGACAAAGCCGAGCTCAAGCCCACAGACGTCGTGCTCGAAGTCGGCCCCGGAACAGGCAACCTCACCGTGCGCATCTTGCCGGCGTGCAAGCGCGTGATTGCGAGCGAAATGGACCCGCGCATGGCGGCCGAAGTGCAGAAGCGTGTATTGGGGACGTGAGTGCCGCGGCGGTGCGCGTCGGTCCGCTGACGCCAGCCCACAACAGAAGAAGCTCGAGATCATCTTGGGCGACTTCATCAAGGCCGACCTGCCGTACTTTGACGTGTGCATCTCCAACACGCCGTATCAGGTGTGTCTCCGTCTTTCCTCTCCCCTTTGCCTCCTCCCATCTCCCGCCTCGTCCTAACGCCAGATCTCCTCCCCGCTCGTCTTCAAGCTCCTCTCGCAGCGCCCCGTGATCCGCTGCGCGGTCCTCATGTTCCAGCGCGAGTTCGCGCTGCGCCTGTGCGCCGCCCCCGGCTCCAAGATGTGGTGCCGCCTCGCGGCCAACGTGCAGATGTACGCGCGCGTCGAGCACGTCATGAAGGTCGGCAAGGGCAACTTCCGGCCGCCGCCGCAGGTCGAGTCGAGCGTCGTGCGCATCCGCCCACTCGACCCGCCGCCGGCCGTGCGCTTCGAGGAGTTTGACGGGCTCAACCGCATCGTCTTTGCGCGCATGCACAAGACGGCGCGCGCGTGTTTCCGCGCAAAGGGCGTCAAGGAGCTCGTGGAGAAGAACTACCGCACGTGGTGCGCGATGAATGAGCGCGTGGGTAGAGTACACGGATCGAGCTGACTGTAGATGGTCGAGGACGACTTTGATCCGTGGGCGCTCATCGAGGATGTGCTTTCCACCACCCTTGTGCCGGCCAAGACGCTCGACGAAGACGAAGTGCGCCCCGCGTACGGCGATATGCGCGCAGCACAGTTGTCCGGCAACGACCTCCTCGAACTCCTCGCCGCCTTCAACTCCCGCGGCGTCCACTTTGCCTAATGTTGTATAGTATCGCGTATCGCGTCCACACCGCCGTCGACATGTACACTTTTTCTGCATATCACACATGCCCGCGTGCAAGAGACTACGTTGCTGGATGCTATGCGCCACGTCGGATGCTCGGCTGGCCACGCGGCGAGCCGCAGAACGAATTGAGAAACGGTGCTGATGCAATAATGTATGGGTAACTGGGGGATGGGTTGGCGGGCTGCTGGTGTGAGCTTGTATCAATCGCCACTCGCACTCACCCTACTTGTCGCCCGCCTCGCTCTCGTTCTCCGCCACGCTCGTCGCGGGCGTCATGCTCATCTTGCCCTCGTCGCTGGCAAGCACGCTTGCGCTCGAGCTGACCGCCGCGCTCCCCCCGCGGCGCAGCAGCGCGTCCTCGACATCAAACTTTGGCACCGGCGATGTCGGGATCTGCACGTCCTCGATGCCGAGCGCACTTCCGTCCCCGTCGTCGGTGAAGTTTACGTTTGGCGGGATGCCATGCGAGACCTCGGTCTCGCCGCTCTTCTTGCCGGGGCTTAGCGAGCCCGCGTGGGCAGGCTTGGCGTCTGGCAGCACCCAGCGGCGCCACTCACCGCCGCCGAGGCGCACGCGCTCCCCCTCGAGCTCGAGCAGGCTGCTGAAGGCCATGACTTCGCGCACCGTCGCGACGTCGGCCGTCAGCGTCTTGATTCGGTTGAAGCTCGCGATCATCGCGATGTCGATCCAGCCCTCGGCGTCCATCTGCTGCCGCAGGAAGAAGTCCATGACCAAGTTCTGCATCGAAAAGTAGTACTCGACCTGGCGTCAGCTTGCAAGCAGCGCACAACGCTTACCTGTCCGAGTACCCAGTAGCGCAGCGGGTCAATGTTCGGCACCGCCGTGACGGGGAGCGGCGGCGGGGGCATCCCTCGCTGGTACATGGCGTACTGGGCTTGAGCTTGTGCCGAGGTCGCATCAAAGCCCGGCACGGCCACCATGTTGGCCATGTTGGCCATAGTCGCCGCCGGCACGGGGTAGTACCCGTACCCAATGCCGTACCCGGTGCCATACAAACTTGCGTTCGTGCCGACCGGCGACAGCTCGTACATTCGGTTCATCGGCGTGTTGGACGCCGAGCGGTACGCACCGCGCCCACGACCGGCATACCCGCCCCGTCCGTCGCGGTCGCGCCCGCGCCGAGGTACAGCGGGGCCAAAGTGATGCGGGAGAGGAGTGGCACCAGTCTCAGGCGACAGCGGCGTGGACCCCGAGGGCGGCGAGACCCGCTTGCCTTGCACCCCCTGGTTGCTCCCATGCCGAGAAAGGGGAGCACTTGCCGAACCGTTGGCTCCAGGATGCAAATCGCCGTTCGGAGCATCGCCTGCCTCACTGACAGCACTCCCAGGCGCCAGTCGGCCATTAGAGTTGGCGATCGTGTGTGGCGGCAGCGACGAGCTGCCGTGCGAGCCCGACCGCTGAGCGCGCGGTGGTTTCTGCGCCGCGAGCTTCTCCTGTGCCCTCTGTTTGCTGACGCTCTTCTTCACAGGCTCGTCGCCGCCCTCGCGCAGCCTCTGCTTCAGCTTGGTTTGCCGCCGGCTCGTCTCGGCAGCCACCTTGTCCGCAGCTTCCTGCAGCTCCGACGCAGACATTTTGGTCCATTTTTGCTTCTTTCCGGCTTGGGATGAGGGTCCGTCGTCGATCGTCGACTCGCTTGCCTGCTTCGAGTGCTTGCCCTTCTTGTCCTCAGATTTGCCCTTCTTGTCCTCAGGCTTGCCGTGCTTGTCCTCAGACTTGGACTCGGCAGCCTGAGAAACTTCGGGCCACGCAGTCGCAGTGCCGTTGTGTGCTTCAGCGCCCTTCTTCTTCGGCTTCTTCCCCGTAGGCTTGGGTTCCTTGCTCTCGGCGGGTTGCGAGGCCGCTGTTGACGCCTCAGCGACGGCAGCGGGCTGCGTAGGGGCAGCAGCCTTGCTGGCAGCGGCCTGCGCCGGTGTTGGCTCCTTTGAGCCGGACGCTGCTGGGGCTGGCTGCTGCTTCTTTCTCAAATCCCATGCGTTGACCGAAGGCGGTGGCGCAGCCTTGGCCTGTGGGGCTGGTGCGGGAGGTGGGACGGGCTTGGAGGCTGGTTCCTTGCGGCGCCAGTTGTCCTCCTCGTCTGCCTTGGTAAGGGCCTTGTCCTTGTCGACGGAAGGTCTATGAGAATGGGATTGCCCACTCGCGCCACTCCCGTTGACGAGGGGCTCCACTGGCTTATCATCGACGACAGGCGTGGTCTCGACCGCCGTACTTGGGGGCGCGGCTAAGCTCGCAGGGCCCGTTGCGGCCCATGCAGACTTGGTCGGTGTGGGGGCGGCCGAGGCGCGGGGCGTCGCGGCCTTGGACGACGAGGCTGTGGAAGCGGGCTCCTTTTTGCTACTAGACTCCTTGTCGTTCTCGGCAGCCGGGGTTGACGGCTTGTCCTCGGCGCGCTCGCGCCAGTTGCGCGAGTTGGACCGCCCCTTGTCTTCCTGCTTCTCTGTGCGCTCCGAGTTACGCTCACCACGCTCGGTGCGCTTCTTTTGCCGGGGAGCCGATACAGTCTCCCACGAGCCATCGTCCTCGTCATGGTGGTCGGCTGCGCGACTTGGTGCGGGCGACGACAATGAGCTCGACGCGCCCGAGTTGGACCCGCTCTTGCCATTACTTTGCTCACGCTTGATGCGATCGGCGTACGAGCCGAGGGCGTGGAACACGCTTGTAGATTTGGACTGTGGCATGGCGCCTGGTGTTAAAGGAGGGAAAAGAGCTGCCGATTGGGAATCAAGGCCAGACGTTGTGGTGGTGGTGGTGATGATGATGAGCAGCGGAAAAGTTGCCATTGAATCCAAAGGATATGATGAAAGCGTGTCAGCACGGGGCGTTGGTGTTTTTGGAGAGCAGCAGTCTTTGAACGCAGAGCTTGGGAGTTGGGAACGTGCTGGACAAGTTGCAGACTTGATGGCGCCGCAGCGCCGAGGTCACAGCAAAGCAAAGGAGGGGAGGTGGCGGTGGCAGTGGAAAGGTGGGGTAAAGAAAGAAACTCGGAAGCACACACGGAAGACCGAGTGCCGGGCCGTGTAGCGCAAGCGCAAGGGCTTGTCTGCGAGCGGACACGATGCCTCAGGCTGTGACCTGGGGATGGGTGGGCACAAGGAAAAGAAAAGCAAAGAGGAGACGGCGGAGACGCCCAGTTGCGACGTACTTGTGGCCTGGGCCTGAAGCTGGACGGAGGGCGAAAGTGTGGTGAGTGCGGTGCTGCGAGAGACGCGCTTGGTGCACGGGATAGACGACGGATGCCGTGGCGATGCCGGCTGCGTTGTCAGACGACTGCGGGTCTCGGGAGAGAGTATGTAGTGGCGAGGATTGTGGCTGGGAGCGAAGAAGAGATATACCCACGCGTGGAGCAGAGGATGTTGCCACCGCGAGGAGTGGAGGCTCGATGAATTGCCCCGCCCGCAGAGTTCGCGGGAGGGTGTAGTGGTTCGGGGTGGAGCGGCGGTGCTGGCGCGTCGTTCAGTTGAGGCTGACGGGGCGGAACGGTGAGGTGGCGGCTGTGGAGGCTGGGTGAGTCGCGCGAGTCGCGGATCCGGGTCGTATGAGCAATCACCGGGTGGATGTGGCCGAAAGTCGTGCGCTGCGCTGTGGGGCGAGGCGATGCGGGATGAGCGGGAGAGGCTAGATTAGAGAGGGGGGAGTGGTGAAGGGGAGTGGGAGCAATGGAGAGAGAGAAGAGGAGGATGGGGATGAAGAGAGGATGGATGAAGACGAAGCGATACGAAGATGACTGTCGTCGACTCTTGCTCTTCCTGCGCGTCCCACCACTTCCTTCCTTGCCCCGTTTGGGCACGGTATAGGGTGGGATCAAATAGTGTATTTCTCCACAAGCCGGGATTACAAAAGACGATTTATTACTCCATTTGAACGGAATCTAATGACCCCTCCTCCACCTTACCTCCACCTCCGGACATGACCAGAATTTTGGAATGGCGCGTATCAACACCGCTTCAATCCCTCTCTCCGCACACTCTCCCGCGCAATGGTCCGCAAACTCAAGCATCATGAGCAGAAGCTGCTTAAAAAGGTCGACTTTCTCGACGTGCGTATCCCTCCTCCCCTTCTGTGCGTGCATCCCTCTAACCCCAGTGGAAGCAGGATGCCTCCCACCGTGAGATCAAGGTCATGCACAAGTACCACATCCAAGACCGCGACGACTACCACAAGTACAACAAGCTGTGCGGGTCGCTGCGCTCTTTGATCCACAAGATCTCGTTGCTGCCCGCCATCGACCCCTTCCGCGCGCAGAAGGAGGGCGAGATGCTCGACAAGCTCTACGACATGGGCATCCTCGATGTCGGCAGCAAGCCGAGCGACATTGAGAACCGCGTTACTGTTAGCAGCGTTGCGCGCCGCCGCCTCGCCGTCGTTATCACCCGCCTCAAGCTTGCAGAGAGCGTCAGCGACGCCGTTAGGACCATCGAGCAAGGGCATATCCGTGTCGGCCCAACCCCAATCACTGACCCCGCCATGCTCATCACTCGTCGTATGGAGGACCACATTACCTGGGTCGACACGAGTGCTCGCAAGCGCACCATTATGAAGTACAACGACGAGCTCGACGACTTTGACCTCCTCTAGGCTTTTAGGTAGTACTAGGCCTAGGACTAGGAGGACGTTAGACGACGACGACAACACTGTTCGCACGCGCGCGCGCGCAAGTTCTGGGCATTCCGGTCAACCCCTTCTGTATCATTATTTTGTATCCAATGCACCATGGTCACCGACTTCTGGCTCCCTGCGACCAAGTACTCATGCAACGTGACCTCTGCAGCTACAGGCTACCTGACATCTCACCGCGTCGACGGTATCTCTCCTCGGACGACTCGCGTTCCCTGCCTCCTGACAAGCCATGCAGCCTTCACTCCCAACATCTCAGTCGAGCTTGCTCTAGTCCCTCTTCAGTTCGGGCACGGTACCATGCTTCCCTTGCTGTTGATCGCCGTAGTGGGCTCCTTGCAGCCTATTCAGTCTAGGTCTGACGGCGGGACAACCGTGAGACTGCGACCGTTGAGTGAGATGTGCACGATCGTTTCCGCACATTGGGGGCCGAGAGGAAGCATGAGGCGCTTTGGCTTCCTGTCCCCTTTCATATAGTCGGTAGCGCTAGAGGGCGGAGGGGAGTGGAAGAGAAAGAGAGAGAGAGAAAGAGAGTGAGATAAAGAGAGAGAAAGAGAGAGAAAGAGAGAGAAAGACGACGGAGAGCTGGAGAGATGGAGAGCAAGGGAGATGAGAACAAAGTGTGACAACAGCGGGTGGATTCTACCTGACGACACCTGTGAGAGGGCTGAGGGGCAGACGGAGGGGGATGAGACGAGGATGGCGAGGAGGGTGATGAGGGCGACGAGGATGTGAGGGATGTCAGATTGCAAGGTGATATGGGAGAGTGAACGAAAGCAAGAACGAGTGGAGTGTCGACGTAGGATGGAAGGGTTGAGGGGGTGAGTGTGAGTGTGAGTGTGAGTCAAGATGTGATGGATGTCGTGGCTGAGTGACTTGCTATGCCGTCTTGTTCTGTTCAGTATGCTCAGTACCAACGCCGATGCCGACGCCGCACGTCGCACCCCCCACCCCCACCCACACGCCACACCCAACGCAGGCATCAACAACAACATCCTGCATTTGGGATTTACGTATACCATCCTCAATCTCTGCCGTCAACTCCTCCCCCCTGCTTTAACCAACCGTGTTCGCCCTACTTCTGATCTCTCTTCAATTTCAAGGACTCTTGCTCATGCCCTCTGACGCCTGGCTCGCGCGGCGGCGGTGCTCCCACGCCATCTCGGCGGGCCCGCCACTGGGCCTGCGCGTGCTCTGCATGGCGGCGGTCGCGGCCTGCGCCACCTGGCTGGGGTTGCGCGCGGGCGGCATGGGTATCGCGCCGGTGCTGCTCTTGCGCTGCGGGATCCAGTGCTTTGACTCGTGCGGGTTCATGCTCTTGTGGTGCGTCGTGGTGGCTAGTTGTGTAAGTGGTTGGGTGGGGGGATGGGCTATGCTTGGAGGACCGGGGGGTATATATGGGTGAGGACAGGTGGGAACCTCGGGCGTGGTTGCCGAGGGGAGGAGGCGGAGGACGTCAGCTGATGGGATCAGGTGATGCGTCGTCAGACCACCCAACTGTGCAACTGTGCGTGGCTGGTCGCATGCCCGGCGGTGTCAGCAGAGGGGGCTCGAATAGATGCGGGGTCGGATCTGTCGGCATGCTGAGCTGCGTCAGTCATACGTTAGTGCGGCGCACATGTACTCTAGTGTTCATGTAGTGCCTCGGCGAGTAATAGAACTGGAGAGAGAGTCGATCGATTGTGTTCGAGATGACGAGTGTCCCGCGACCAATAACATGAGTCTGAATTGTACACGACACGGGCCTACGGAACCAAATTCTGCCAGTGCTAGAATACCACGTGCGCTGGTGGCGTCTGGCTCCTACTTCTCTCACGACGCGACCTCCATCAGCTTGCTCATCTCCATCGTCTTTACGTCTTCATCAACGGCAGCGCACCACGTCGTCGCCGATCGCCGTCCGCCGACCGCTGACCGCCGACCGCTGACCGCCAACTGCCTCCGCCTCCGCTGCTACGCCTCCGCCGCCACCATGCACTGTTTGCGGCACTTGGCCATCCTCTCCGTCCTCGTCCCTTTCCCAGTACGTCTTCTGGGTGCCATTGAAGAGTACTTGTGATGCTGACTCGCGCCTGCCTTTGCATGCAACGCTACGACTTCAGTCTACATCACCATATGTGCTCCTCCTCGTCGCTATGGTCGCGTACATGGCCGTCCGGCCGTGCGGGTATTGTCTAGCTACGGTGAGTGGGCGTGATGTCAAGTGCGCGCTGGAGCGTGCCGTCGTCGGCTACAATTGGCCAGCTGGGCAGCTGGGCAGCTGGGCAGGGCGATCATGCATTACTCGGTCCATGCCATCAGGCCATCAGGCCATCAGGCGGCCAGACGGCAGACGGATGGCTGTCCGCCCCACTCCGTTATGATTACTCCCAGCTCTCGGTTATCCCACAACGTAGCCTAACCCCAGCTCGTCATCGTCTTCTTCTCGACCTCGCCCTCTTCGCCCTTTCTCGCCGCCCTCTCGCCGGACCCCACCTCGTCTCCATCCCCATCTCCAAACACCGCCGCCGCCGCCGCCGCCGCCGCCGCCGCCGCCCCGCTCTCCTCCCCAATCCCCGACCGCGGCGCCTTCTTTCTCAACGCAGGCTGGATCTTTGACCCGGCTCTCGAAGGCTACCGCGCAATGCAGCGTGTGTGGGACAAGCCCACCTGCACCTCCGCTTCGCAATACCCGCCAACACCACCGGCTCTTCCCCTCCCGAAATGGTACCATGACCTGCGGGTCGGCGGGGTGGGGCTCGTCCTGGACTTTGGGTGGCGGCGGACGGAGGAGGGGTTGAGGTGGGAGCTGGCGCAGCATAAGCGGGCAGCGGAGATTGCGGGGTATCGTGCTGCGGAGAGGGCGGGGGGGATGGGGAGTGGAGGAGAGAGAGAGGAGGAGCGTCAGCGGCGCCAGGGCGAGCCCACGGTGTCAGGCTCGGGTGGTGGAGCGTGGATGCGGTCGCCGTTTGTTGGGTCGTGGTAGAGGATGTGCATGGTATTACAATTGTCTAGTTGTCTAGCGACGAGGAGGAGATGAGGAGGAGGAGGAGGAGGAGTCGGGAAGCGGGCCGAATGGCGTGGTATCTAGCCGGGGAGCAGCGGTGGCTCATCCCGCTCAGGCGATGCGGCGGATTCGCCGGGCCGCTCTGAGATTGTCCCCAGGCCGAGAGAGACAGAGACACAGAGACACAGATGCAACGAGCATGTACAGTACAGCAGGAGCATGCACACGCTACTCTGCAGATGGTGGTCTGGATTATATATAAAATGCTATGCATGAGATCAAGATGTACAGTAGACGTCAGAGCGGAACAACAGTGCGGCCCAATCCATGCCGATCTTCTGCCCCACGATGGCCACGGGGCTCCATCAGATCCAATAGAATTTCGGCGGCCAAAGAATCGGTAAACGGCGACGCTCCGGCCACCCCCACCTCCTCTGGTCTTGGCGAAGAGCGCCGCGTACGCCGCAAGCCTCGGCCGTGGCAGTTGGCATGCACCGGCGGGATCTACAAATCTGAGAGCTCGGACGAGGCCCTCGTGCGCTCGACCAGGAGCTGGCCGGCAGCCGGCAGACTGGGTATTCAGGAACGGGCATGCGGCAATGGCTTGGTGGGGGCACATGAGCACATGATCAGTCCGCATGGCTCCGTGTGACTAGCTTGAATGGCGAGTGGAGTGCTGAGGCTGGCGCTTGGGATGTCTCGAGCAACAGGATGAGAATGAGCTCTTTAAGAGCATGAGGATGATGATGATGCACAACAAGTAGCTTGAGAATTGGAGAGTGTGGCTGGATCGTAGACTCTACTAATGGACCCTGAATAATAATACTTGTGGATTCGGTTGTGCGCGGCATGTAACCTAATTGTCAGGGACACATTCACCTCGCCTTCCCCCATGTCATCGTTTCCTGCCCCCCCACGACTCGTACTCATCATCATCTTTTCTCTCTTCATCATCATCATCATCATCATCATCTTTCTCTTTCTCTTTCTCTTTCTCTCTCACTCTCTCATCTCCTCCTCTTCCTCCTTATCCTCCTCCTCTTCTCTGTTGCCCCCCACGCTGTCATAACTACTCCTGTCCCATAACCCCCCCCCCCCCCCCAATTCCCACTCCAATGGCCGTCCAGCGCAACGTTCACCAGCCTCTCCTCTTCGAGTGCGCTTGGGAAGTCGCAAACAAGGTCGGCGGCATCTACACTGTCATCAAGACAAAGGTCCCCGTCACCGTCAAGGAATATGGAGACCGGTGAGTCTTGGGCAGACTTCCTGCCCGTCCTCTAACGTCGCCGTCGCTGGGCTGCTTCTCCAGCGTCGGGTGGTGTCCTCTCAACCGAACCCCGTGTGCAAATCTTGCAGACTCGTCGCACTCGTTTCCTAATTCCCCACTTCCCACGCCGTTTGCACACACACACTCTCTAACCCAACAGCTACACCCTCATCGGCCCCCTCAGCTACAAGACGGCCCACATCGAGGTCGAGTCCGAGGATCCGTGAGTAGTCATTCTCAGATTAATGCCGGACCAAGAACTGATCCTCCTCAGCGAGCCGGGATCCCCCATGGAAGGCACCCTCAACGCAATGCGCGACCACGGCGTAAAGTACATCTACGGCCGTTGGCTCATTGAGGGTGCGCCCCGCGTCCTCCTTTTCGACACTGGTAGCTGCTACAACAGGTAAGTTGGTCATCGGCATGATCACAGGTGAGCTATAGGCTAACTGACCACAGGATGGACGAGTGGAAGGGCGACCTCTGGAATGTCGCGGGCATCCCCACGCCCCCCAACGACCACGAGACTAACGAGACGCTCGTCTTTGGCTATATGGTCGCATGGTTCCTCGGAGAGGTGAGCGGCGTTGGCGTTTGGACGCGAGCTGTGCTGACAAGGATAGTTCTCCGGCCGCTGCCTTGACACGGCCATCATTGCTCACTTCCACGAATGGCAGGCCGGCCTCGCAATCCCTCTTGCCCGCAAGCGCAAGATTGACGTCACCACCATTTTCACCACCCACGCTACCCTTCTCGGCCGCTACCTCTGCGCTGGCAGCGTCGACTTTTACAACAATCTCCAGTACTTTGACGTCGACCATGAAGCCGGCAAGCGCGGCATCTACCACCGGTGAGCCATTTAGGTGGTGGCTTGTACTAACGACCAGGTACTGCATTGAGCGCTCGGCGGCGCACTGTGCGGATGTTTTCACGACCGTTTCGCACATTACGGCGTACGAGAGCGAGCACCTGCTGAAGCGCAAGCCTGGTGAGTTTGTTGTGGAGCGAGATATGCACCCAGTCCAAGGTGCCCAAGGCGGGCCGCTCACACCACAGACGGAGTCCTCCCCAACGGCCTCAACGTCGTCAAGTTTGCCGCCATGCACGAGTTCCAGAACCTTCACGTCAAGGCCAAGGAGAAGATCAACGACTTTATCCGCGGCCACTTTTACGGCCATTACGACTTTGACCTCGACAACACAATCTACATGTTCACCGCTGGCCGGTACGAGTTCCGCAACAAGGGTGTCGACATGTTTATCGAGTCGCTCGCCCGTCTCAACCACCGTCTCAAGGCCATGAACTCGAAGATGACCGTCGTAGCGTTTATCATCATGCCCGCTGCGACCAACTCGTACACCATCGAGGCGCTCAAGGGTCAGGCCGTCACCGGCCAGCTTAGGGACGTTGTCAAGCAGATCACGGACAGAATCGGCAACCGCCTCTTTGAGCACGCCGCAAGGTATGACGGCACGCACGGCACAGAGGTCCCCAAGCCCGAGGAGCTCATGTCGGCCGAGGACCTTGTGTTGCTCAAGCGCCGTGTGTTTGCCCTCAAGCGCAACTCGCTTCCCCCGGTGGTTACCCACAACATGCAGGATGACAGCAACGACCCGATCTTGAACCAGATTCGTCGCGTGCAGCTGTTTAACCGCACCTCGGACCGCGTAAAGGTCATCTTCCACCCCGAGTTCCTCAACTCGAACAACCCCATCCTTGGTCTCGACTATGAGGAGTTTGTGCGCGGCTGCCACCTCGGTGTCTTCCCCTCGTACTATGAGCCGTTTGGCTACACGCCGGCCGAGTGCACTGTCATGGGCATTCCCAGCGTCACGACCAACCTCTCTGGCTTTGGCTGTTTCATGGAGGACCTGCTCGAGTCGCCCGAGGACTATGGCTGCTACATTGTCGACCGCCGCGGACAGGGTGTCGACGAGTCTGTGGAGCAGCTCACGCAGGTGCTCACCGAGTTTACGACCAAGTCGCGTCGCCAGCGTATCAACCAGCGTAACCGCACTGAGCGTCTCTCGGAGCTGCTCGACTGGAAGTCGCTGGGTCTCGAGTACGCCAAGGCGCGCCAGCTTGCGCTGCGCCGGGCATACCCCGACTCGTTCAACGACGACGAGCCAGAGTTTACTGGGGTGCAGCGCGTCGGTGCACCGCTCTCTGCGCCGGGTTCGCCACGCTACCGCTCGGGCATGATGACGCCTGGTGACTATGCGACGCTCACGGAGGAGATGGAGCACCTGAACACGAGCGACTACATGGGTGCCAAGCACCCGTGGAACTGGAACAAGGAGGACAGCGACGAGGAGGAGGGGTACACGTTCCCGATTGCAGGGCTGAAGCCGCGCGGGCGCTCGGACTCGTTGGCATCTGCAATCTCTGGCACGATGACGCCGAGCGGCAAGCACCGTCTGAATGAGAGCGACCTGGCGCAGGCGGACAAGGCGTTGGAATCGCACTCGTCTGCGGCCAACGCCAACGGGAACGGGAATAAGTAGTAGGTGGGTTGGTGGTGGCTCGGGCAAGTCAAGGCCGAGGTGGAGGGTGGATTTGGTCCCGGAGGTGTTGCGTGCGTGCAGTCCCGTGGCAACCGAGGTCTCGTTTTATTTTATAGCAAAAGTAAACATATGCAAGTGATGATGGTGTCTGCCCGAGTGCTGCAAGCGAGCGAGCAAATACGGCGTAGCGGCGCATCGGCGCTCGCTAGTTGCTGCGCACTGCTGGGTTATTTGATTTAGCGGTAGTAGGCGGCGTAGGCGGCGTCGGCGGCGTGCCGTGCGGAACTCTACTCTTCAACTCGCCCCATTGCATTGCGATCGCATGACGACATGCTCGGATTCAGAGCTCGTCAGCTGCATGCTCTCCAGCCACAAGCCAACAGGAAGTCTCGGATACGCATTGAATCAGTCAGCTGCGGGCACTGCGTGCGCTGCGGGCACTGCGGGCATTGACTCTCCTCGCCCGGGGTTGGCCGCCCGGAGGGTAGTACCCCCTCGGCGTCCGATGTCCGAGCCATATTTGGTCGTCACCGAGCACTGACTGCTACTACCCAAGTTATCACCGAGCCGCGAGCCGCGCGAGCACAACAATGCATGTACATAAACACACGCCGCTGCTGTTCGTCGCCCTCCCCATCCATCCCCGTCTCCATCCTCATCAACTCGCAATTTCCAAGCATCAGTCAGCCGAGGCAATCCATAAATAGCCGCTCCATCTCACCTCATATACTCATATCTCCCCTCGTATCTTCCATCTCCATCTCCCCCTCCCTCCCCCCCATGTCCCACTCCTCGCCCACACCAACAATGCACGACGTACACGACGAAGCGCGCGACAAAGTGCCCGACTTTGGCATCCCCCCCTCGCGCGCCACCTCCCCCGCCTCCCCCGTCGTGCGCCCCGGCCTCAATCGCACAGTCACGTCCGGCACGCGCGCCAGCCGTCTCTCCCGCATCTCGTCCAAGCTCCCGAACCCCGAGCGCGCCGCCGCACTAGGCCCCGTCGCCCCGCCACCGCCGCCCCCGCATCTCACCAAGTATGCGTATCACTGTATGTCGCTGTGCTTGTGCTCGCCGTGCTGACGCCACAGTCTTTTCGCCCGAGATCAAGTTCTTCCGCGCGCTCGTCGTCAAGATTCTCGGCATGATGGTCGTGCTGACCACCGTCATCATGTGGCTTGCCGCGCCCTTCTACTGGGGTTCCCGTGAGTATTCTCGGAGCTTGGGTGGATTAGGTTTCGGATCCGCCCTCATTCCGCATCCGTTGGAGCCAAATCCACCCACCTAACCCCCCGACGCCGCTCACACCAGTCTGGAAGGCCAATCACTACACCGACAAGCTGACGGTGCGCGTGATCGACCGGGACGGCGGCGACGTCGGGGCCGGCGTGACCTCGTTCCTGCTGTCGCAGCGCAAAAAGGGCGGGCTCGGCTACTTTGTCACCTCGCCGTCCGAGTTCCCCACCGACGCCGAGCTGTATCACGACATCGTGCAAGAGGGCGCCTGGGGCGCCGTAGTGATCAACGCGGGGGCGACGGACAACCTCGCGCGCGCACGCGCCTCGGCGAACGCATCGTACGACGGCCGCGATGCCATCCAGCTCGTGTACGCGCAAGCGCGCAACGAGATTGCGACAGGCTCGTACATGGTGCCGCTGGCGACGGCGCACCTGTCGCAGATCACGGCGCAGCTCGGCGCGCGCAGCGTCGCCTCCTTCCTGTCTACGGCGGACGCGGCGGCGCTCGCCCGCCTCGCGGACGCGCCGGGCACACTCGCTGCGCCCCTCGGATTCCGCCCCGTCAACCTCCGCCCGTACGACCAGCCGGTCGCGCAGGCCATCACGCTCGTCGGCCTCATCTACATGCTCATTTTCAGCTTTATCTGTACGATGGCGAACAACGGCGCGCGCGAAATCATCTCGCCGTACCTCACGAACCGCGCGTACATCGCGTACCGCCTCATCTCGCCTTTCGTCCTCTACTTCCCGCTGAGCTTTGCGTTCTCGCTCATCAACCTCCCGTTCAAGCTCTCGTTCGGCGCCAACTCAAACTTTACGTACGCCGGCGCGTTCTTCTGCTTCTGGTTCCTCATGTTCCTCGGCATGGCGAGCGTCGGCCTCGCGACAGAAGTGTTCATCACGCTCGTCGGGCCGAAATTCGTCTCGTTCACCCTCATCCCCCTCATCATCGTCAACGTGTCCGTCGCCGCGCTGCCCTACGAGCTCCAGCCGTGGATATACCGCTACGGCGTCGCGATGCCGTTCAACAACGCCAACCACGCCATCCGCTTTCTTATTTTCGGCACGAGGAACGAGCTCGGCAGGAACTTTGGCATTCTCCTCGCGTGGATCGTCGTGAGCATGGTCAACATTGCGCTCGCGACGTACTTTTTCCGCCGGAAAGCGGTGAACGAGCACGCGAAGCAAGTGGGCGAGCGGGAGAAGGACACGGCGCTGCCGGACGGCCGTATTGTGTGAGCGCCGCGGAAGCTGCAGGACGCGCTCGAGCGCGAGCGCGAGGCATATTTCAACGCCGAGGACCTAGACAACTGTACCCGAATATTCTGTATCGCAGTATACTTTGATGTAATCAGCACTGTTTCATCTCTAGATGCGGCACGCGGATCCGGCTGCGGCATCGTTCGCAATCAGTGACTAATCCTCCACCTCCACGTCGCGCGCCATAGTAATCCTGCGCCCGTAGCGCATCAACCCCGCCGCGCGCTCCCGCTCTTCGCACGCGGCGTAGAACGCCCCCGGCTCCGTGACCTCCTCGAACCCGCACGAGGCGTAGAACGGCGCGTTCCACGGCACGTCGGCGTACGTCCGCAATGTGATGCGGCGATATCCGCGGCGGCGCGCCTCCGCGATCGCGGCGCACACGAGCGCGCGCCCCACCCCCCGCCGGCCGTGCGCGGGGTGCACGGCCAGCGCTTCGATGTGCGCCGTGCGTGTGCGTGTGCCGAGGTGGTCGAGGACATGCACGAAGCCGACGACTGCGCCGGCGGCCGTGGATACACCGGCTTCGCCCGCTTCGCCTGCGACCAGCACCCAGCCCCCCGCGGCCATGCGCGTCCTTGCGTCCTCGGCCGTGTGCCACGTCTCGGGGCGGAAAGCGGCGAGGAAGAGCGTGTCGGCTGCGTCTTCGATGTGCTGGAGGTGTGCCATGTCCGCGTCTGTGGCGGGGCGGATGGTAGGTGCCATAGTGCAACGTGCAGATGGGAGGAGAGAGAATGGAAGACAGGAGAGGCAACCGTTCCGCACCTGCCCCACTTCTCCCCACCTCTCAATCTCGCTCGGCATCTCACTCCCATCCTCCCACTCTCTTCCGGACTGTCTCACCTGCCCTACGCAATCATCCGAGCCGCGCCCCCGCCTCACCCCCAGCCCGAGCAACCGGCGCCAAGCGGACATACGTGCCGGCTTGGCGGCGCGAGTGCCGCGGCTGCGCGGCTCCGCGCATGCCGAGACACGCCTGAGACACGGCAATCCCGAGGTGCGAGGTGCTAGGTGCGAGGTGCTAGGTGCGACGGGACGGCCGTCTAGCTGGCTATATAGTGCGTGCAGTCTCCTCCGGTCCCCCACGCCATGTCCAAGCCGCACCCGTACTGCGTACGTCTCCTATGCTCTCCTACCATCCTAACGCCAGCGCACCGACGCACACGCGCGCACGTCGCTCTACTTCTCGCGCCTGCGCACGTGGTTCCGCGACCGCCTCCTGGCGTGGGTGACGGTCGCGGGCTCGCGCCCGCCGACGGTCGCGCGCGAAACGGAACAGGACGGGCACATCTCCGGCTACCTCGTCTACGAGAGCGTGTACGACGCCGAGCTCATCCTCGCGACGTGGGAGACGGCGGTGGGCGTCCAGTTCCTCGACCTGCGCATCGCGCCCGACTTTCCCCCGCCCCTCGTGCTGCCCAGCCCCACGGCGGGCCCCACCACACTCCCGGTGCCCGAGCTCCGCTCGCCCAGCGTGCATGGCGCCCCGTATTTTTCGCAGCCGTATGCGGCGACCACGCCGCGGCGCATCGTGCCTGCTGAGCGGGCAGGGGAAGAGGGGGGAGAGAGCGCGGAGGGGGAGGTGGGGAGCGGAGGCGCCGACGTCGATGTCGATGTCCAGGATGTGTTCCGGGTTATGCGGGTGTGGGGGCCTGTGAGGACGATCTCTATCGTCTCTGGCTGTGAGGAGGTGCGGGAGGGCGTGCTGGAGTACAGTGACGGCGGGGAGGGGCCTAGTCCGCGCAAGATGGGGAGGGGGAAAAGGCGTGCGGCTGAAGCCGCAACCGACGCGGACGATACCGACGACGCCGACGCCGACGACGCAAATACCAATGCGACCAACGCCCCCCGCAAAAAACGCCGCACGCCATGGCGCGTCGACGTCGCGTTCTGGTACGAAGAGGACGCGGACCGGCTGCAGCGCGAGTGGGACGGCGTGCTGGCCGGCTGGCGCGCGTGAGTACCCCCCACCCCCATCGCTGACAGCAGCGACGTGAGCGTGCCCGAGTGGTGGAGCGGGCTGCCCACATGGGCGGACCATGCGCCGCGCACGCCCTACTGCCGCCCGCCGACGCCCGTGACAAGTTAGTGTTGTACTGTAGCAGTGTACAAGCCGTAGCGGAGGTATTCTAGCACTGTACATGAGGTTACAACCTGCTCTCTCCATCAGTACTCGCCCGTCTGCGCGCTGCCGCCGCCGCCAATGTGCCACAGCTTGAGCACAAGCCAGAGGGCGACGACGACGCCAACAATCCATGCGATGGTGCGGTACTGCCGCAGCGTCGAGGACGCGGCTATGCTGCGGCTGTGGTGCCGCGAAGTGGAGAAGAGCGAGTTGGCAAACTGGGAGAATGTGTTGTTCTGGGGTCAGCGGAGGCGCACTGGGAGGGGGGACAATGTGGGATGAGGGAGGGAGGGCTAGGATGAGGGCGCCGCGCGAACCAATGGCTCGGCGTGCAACAGAAAGGACGGAGTGGGGTGCACGAGAACGGAGAGCGAGGGGGCGGTGCTGCGACGCCCAGCGCGAGCAGTGCGAGAAGCACACCGCAAACCAAAGTGTATCCCCCTCTCATCACCATACCACTCTGCCCACAAAACAAGCTCACCGTCTGATCCAGCTGGTTGTTCTGCCGGCCCGAGTCGTCCAGAATGTCGATCGTGACCTGGAATCAGCACCATCAACACCACCCGCGACGCGTCACGCCTGGACACTCACCGACCGCAGATTCTTGATCTTGTTGTGCAGCGAGCTCAGCTCCTCCTCGTTCTGCTGCTCGAGCGTCTGGTCTGTTGTGCTGGTGTGAGCGGAGTGTGGTGTTTGGCGAACCTTGGCATGGTGGGGCGAGATGAGGTGGGGATGGGGCGCGGGGAGCTGGGAGTCGGGATCCGAGAGACGTGAGAGACGAGGAGACGAGAAGACGAGGAGAAGCAAAGACAAAGAGACGAAGAGCGAAAGATGAAGAGATGAAGAGAGCGTGAGTGAGACAAGTAGAGTGGATGGCGCGATCGAATACACGCGCCAGACCATCGGTGGAGGGGTGGAGGCCTTCGGCCTCGGTGGCAAATTGGGTGAAACACGGCATTATGGCACCACCCTCACGCACTTGCTCCATATCCCGCAGTCTATGCATGCTAGTGCTATGAATGCTCCTTGTTCAGGAGAAGGAACACGGCCACGCCGCCCAGCAGCGCGTACTTGAGTTGTGGAAAGTCGTTCTGTTGTCAGCTAGCTTATTGTTGACTTGCAAGTCTCACCATGGCAATGGTCACGTAGCCGACATATGGCAGGAAGCTGGGGTTAGCTGTCAACTTGTCTGCGGATCGGCGTCGGCGTAGCCTCCTGCTCCTATTGCGCCGCGTAGCCGCCAGCCCCACTCACCCCTGCACTTTGCCCACAACGTGCTTGCCGTCGAGCCACTCCGGGCCGCGATACAGGTCATAGTCGTCCCGCGCGTTGTTGTCGCCCTTTGTGAGGAGCAGCTGTGATCCGTTCGGCCTGGGGTTAGCTTCAATAAAAGATCCAATAGCGACGTACGAGATATGAGACTCGATCACACGGTGAACGATTGGTGTTGCGTAGGGGTCGCTGGGTCTGATATCAGCTTGCAGTCTCACAAGGTTCAGATCCATCCGAGGGGGATAGGAGTGGTTGGTCTTGCACGCTTGAGCACCGCAACACCAGCGCCGCAACTCCAGGCCCACGACCACATCGCCGGGACAGCCCCGCGTCGCCAGATTGTCACCCGCACCCTCCCGCCCCTTCACCAGTCCACGTTCTCCGGCGAAGCAAGCCTGCGAGGCCCAACACACTCACACCTTGTACACCGTAATGTCGCCAATCTCGTACATCGTGTTGGCCGGGTTCGTCAAGAAGAGAATGTCGCCGCGGTAGAACGCTGGCTCCATCGACCCGCTGAGTGTCAGCTCCCTCACATTGCGCTTGCCAGCAGCAGCAACCAGTGTAACAACACGTACGACAGAACAACCACGATAGGCGATTCGGAATTGGTGACGAGGCACAGCGCCTTCCACATCATGAGCCCCGACGCGACGACATTGAGAAAGTTGAGCAGCTGGAAGAGCACCTGCAGTAAGCGGAGCTCCACGACGACTGCGCCCGAGTGGTTTCGAGTGTCACGCGACTCGGGACGCGCAGTACTCACGCCGTGCACGCCGAGCTTGCGGATGCGCGCAATCTCTTCTCCGAACATTGTGACGGAGTGGGTGTGGATGTGAGTGGGAGGAGGGTTGTCACTGCTCGAGTTATGTTGACGCGGCTGTTCTCCTCCATCGGCGTGGCTTGCCATTCCCCGTCATATCCGGCCACCACCACCCCAGCGAGGCAGGCCACGTGGGCTGTATATCCTCCCCCCTCTTATTCCCACCCATCTCCATCCCGCATTCGAGTCACCTCCTCCTCATCCCTCCAGCCAAACCTTTTGTTCTCTTCCATCTCCCCCCTCCTCACCACCAGCCATGTCGCTCACGCCAAACGAGACGCCCCGCTCTGGCCAGCGCACCCCCGGCGCCATCGCCACCGAGCTCTCCAAGCTCGAGTTCCCGCCCCCCACTAAACTCCATCTCCAGGGAAACGGCGGCGCAGGCGGCCCGACCTCGCCCCGTGACGGAAGCGAGCTCAGCGCACAGCTGTCCAAGATGACTCTGCCCGAGCCCGAGGCGCTCAGAAAAGCTCAGAGCCACCGCCGCTCCGAGAGCCAGAGCCAGGATCTCGCCGAGCAGCTCTCGCGCATGAACCTTCCCCAGCCGGAGCACATCTATGGCCCCGACGATAGCCGGGCGACCGGGCGCAAGCAGGGCGTGTCCGCCGAGGACTGGGCAAAGGTCAAGCTTGACGACGAGGTCCCAGAGGCTGTCAAGAGCCCCACCGAGATGCACTTCCGCCGCAACAGCCGCGCCGCCAGTATATCGGCGCAGCGTCCCCCGGCCGCCGCAGCGCCCAGGGCGCCAGCGCCAGCGCCAGCAAGCCCCCCAAAGGCTGCCGCTGGTGCCGCGAAGGAGCAGAAGGTCACGCCCTTTGACGTGCAGGGTGGTGTCGATGCCGAAGGCAAGGAGATTGGAATGTGCGTAGCGTAGTAGTGGAAACACGTCTGACCTCAGCGACTATGACAAACTCGCAAGCAGGTTCGGCGCGCAGAAGATCGAGCCCGCACTGCTGGAGCGCTTCGAGAAGCTCACGGGCCACAAGCCGCACCCGCTCCTGCGCCGCGGGACTTTCTACACCCACCGCGACTTCAACATCATCCTCGACCTGTACGAGCAGAACAAGCCCTTCTACCTCTACACTGGGCGCGGGCCATCGTCCGACTCGATGCACATGGGCCACCTCATCCCCTTCCTTTTCACGGCGTGGCTCCAGAAGGTCTTCAACTGCCCATGCGTGATCCAGGTCACCGACGATGAGAAGTACTTGCTGGACCGCGACGCCAAGAAGCAGCAGGCTCTCATCAAGAAGAACCCCCAGGACAAGCGCTCGCCATACTACATTCTCGACAAGTACTACCAGATGGGACAGGACAACATTGCCGACATTATTGCGTGCGGCTTCATTCCCGAGAAGACGTTCATCTTCTCGGACCTCGACTACATCGGCAAGGCGTTCTACCGCAACGTCGTCCTCATGGCCAAGACCATGACTGTCAACCAGAGCAAGGGCGTCTTCGGCTTCACAGACAACGACAACGTCGGCATGCTTCACTTTGCGGCGGTGCAATCCACGCCTTCGTTCTGCAACTCGTTCCCCCAGATCTTCGGCTCGCGCACTGACGTGCCATGCCTTATCCCCTGTGCCATCGACCAGGACCCCTACTTCCTCGTGTGCCGCGACGCCGCCGACCGTCTCAAGTACAAGAAGCCTGCGCTGCTGCACGCAAAGTTCCTCCCCGCCCTCCAGGGCGCTGGCACCAAGATGTCTGCGTCCAACCCCAACTCCAACATCACTCTCACCGACCCGCCCAACGTTATCAAGAACAAGATTCGCAAGCACGCGTTCTCGGGCGGCGGCGCTACACAGGACCTCCACCGCGAACACGGCGGCAACCCCGACGTGGACATTGCCTACCTCTACCTGTCGTACTTTGAGGACGACGACGCGAAGATGGCGGACCTGGCTGAGGTGAGTGACGAGCACAAGCTTTTTTAGTGGCTATAGCTAACCCCAGCGCTACCGCGCCGGCACGCTGTCGACTGTCGAAATGAAGGACGTGTGTGTAGAGAAGCTGCAGTCGGTCGTTGCCGAGTTCCAGGAGCGCCGCGGCAAGGTCACGCCTGAGACGGTGCAGTACTTCCAGGACCCGACGCGCGCGATCGACCCCACGCCGAGCCGCTCCGCATAGATGTTAGACAGGAGTAGTTATGGGATACAGCGATTGTGCAGCCTGATTCGAGATGCGGAAACGGACGCGACTACGCGACGCGAGGCTTGAGGGTGGAAATAGACCGGGTTATCTTGTTCGGCCGATGGGCTGATTGTTATCTTTGGCTTTGCCGATGACGTCCAAGCTCCACCCCAGCCCCCCATCCACCATGGTGTCCAGAGCTGCTCTGAATTTCTTCGAGATCATTGCAGTTGCTTTGCATGTTGACATCGTTCTCTACCTCCCTACCTCTTCACAATGGCCGCCGTCGTCTGCCCCCTCCCTAATAACTCATCTGCTGCAATAGTCAGCCGCCCTCATCCTCCCCCCACTCCTCTGCCTGTCGAAGGCCTCCGCCTCCCACTCCCCCCCGAGATTTTCCTCTTTGCACTCCAGTCTCTCTCTGCCCCCGACCTCGCTACCTGCCTCCGCGTCAACTCGGGCTTCGCCCACCTCTCCCTTCCCCTGCTGTATGAGCACGTCCGGCTGAGCGAACACGGCGCGTGGCCGGTGTACGACGACCGCGCCGTGCCGGGCCCGCTGACGCGCGAGCGCCCGTACTTTCTCGCCCGCGGCCCCCTCGTACAGCGCACCCGCCGCGTCGACCTCTACCCGCACTCGACCGAACGATGTCGCCGCCTCCCCGGCGGGTGGGGACACACGCTGCCGCCTCTCCCGAAACTCCAAGTTCTCCGCATCTTTCTCGGCACATTTTGGAGCGGGCGGCGCATCTACCACACCAACGTGGATCCGCACGACGCCGCCGCGCGGCCCGGCACCCTCTGCGCTGCCCTTTACCTCGTACACGCGCCGACGCTCGTCGTGCGCGGCCTCACCTTCTCGCACTCTACAGTGCCGCGGCACGAGCTTAGCCGCACCCTCGAAGACAGCGTGCGGCACTACATCGCCGTATTTGAGCCCGACGCGCCCTTCATCCTCCCGCGCAACGGGCTCGCCGCCGCCCGCGCCGCCGCCACGCACTTTCGCCAACGCCTCCCCGCGTACCTCTCGCACCTCACGCTCGTGTTCCACCTCCCGCGCGGTAACTGGCGCCACGGCGCGGTCACGCTTTCGTGGGCGCTCGTGCACGCCTTCGCGTCCGCGCTGTGGGCCCAGGTGGTCGCGTGGGCCTGCCGCGGCGGCGGCGGCGGGCGGCTCACGATCGTGAATGCCGGCGCATTGGCCGCGGGTGACGGAGAGGAGGCGCCCTCCGCGGGCGCGTGTGCGGCACTGCAGGCGGCTGTGCGGCGTGAGTTCGTCGCTGCCATCTCCGAACGAATGGGGGATCAGGCGCCGCGCGTGCTGGACAACATCGAATTCTTGACAATGAACGAGTATCTCGCCACGGCCGAAGCTGCCGACGTGTTCGACGCGGGTGAGGTGGCATGAAACGTGGATGGCACCGAGCGGGGTGAAGCGGTGCGCGAGCCTCAGGATCGTTGCCGTTCCGCACTGCCACCGCCACGTCTCATATCGCAATCTTCGTCTTCCAGCATGGCTTCAGCGCCAACATAAATGCGTCGCTTCCGTCTCTCAAGTCCCATAATCCACGCATAGAACCATCATGGGCGCCGCTGCAAGCTCTATCGCCTCAGTCGCCCCAGTTGACGCCATCGTCCCCGACAAGGCCGAAGGTCAGGCACCGACCGGCCCCCTATCGCCATTCCCGCCCGAAATCATCGATGCAATGCTCGACTATCTCGAATGGCCCGAAGTGCTTGCTCTCCTGCGCGTCAACAGCGTCTTCTACTCCGCGATTGCGTGGCGTGTGGTCGACCGCGTACGTATATTCGAGCGGGACGGGGTGCTCGAGCTCGAGGCACAGCACACGGAACAGCGCCTCTTCCTTCCCCCCCGTGTTGTGTCGAAGTGGCTGCCCGTGCTAGTCGAGCAGGTCGACATCTACCCGCACGCGGCGCGTTTGATCCATCCCCCTAACTGGCGGATGTATGAGCAGCACAAGTCGCCCGCGCTCGAAGCACTGTGTGGGCCCAAACGTCGCGCGCAGCCAGACCTGCCGAGCTTCCGCACGCTGCGCCTCTTCTTCGGTGGCGCGGATGGCCACAACGTCTTGCACACGGACATGCCGCCTTACGAGCAGCATTACTTGTCGTGCCTCATGGCCCCCACTCGTCGCCCCACCACCATCACGCTGCGCGATGTGCCCGCCAAAGCGCTCAAGCACCTCCACTCACTCCTCCCCGACGACTACTGCTATCTCCTCGAGCGCCAAGTGCACGTGATCGGCCCCGATCTCGTGGGCGAACACGGCACCGTCAACGGCACGATCTACCTGAACTGGTGGGCGGGCGGGCGAGCGCTCACGAAGCTCGAGAGCGCCGAAGTCGTATTCTGGACGCCGACCGGCGGCGAGTGGCTGCCCATCCCTCGCACGCGCGAGGCCGAGTGGTCCCACGGCCTGCTGCAGCGCTGGTTTGACCGCATGCTCCGCACCCTCCAAATGAGCTTCATCGAGCTGTCGGGGCCTGCGCCGCCGCCAGAGCTGGTCCCTGGCACGCCGCAGCCGCGCCAACAGCCACAGGTGCGCCTCACGATCGTCAATGCCGGCGCGATCAGCCCGGCGTGCTATGCGCGTCCGGCCGACGTCACGCAGCCTGACAAGTGGGCGAGCTACCGCGCCCGCGAGGATGCCGTCAAGGCCGCGTTCGACGATGTTTGGACGAGCACATTGCCGCCTACGCTTGGCGCGAAGCGCGCGCAGCTCGCCCAGCGCGTACGCTTCGTCTCCCTCGACGAGTGGGTGCAGGAGGGCCGGTGGCGGGGCGTGTTTGACCCAGCTGAAGTTGGGCTGGAGGGATAGTTCCGACGAGAGTCAATACAAGGACAATACAACGACAATACACAGACATATAATGAGGGTTCCACATTCAGTGCTCTATGGCTGAACATTCCTCGGATCCTCGTCAATTTATCAACTTATAAATGGCGCTGCATCCTCCACAGAGCTACGCCGACTCGCCAGCAGTGACGCTCATTGGCAGGATGCATGTGTTGTGACAGAAAGCAGGGTTTGTGCGAGCGATCCGAGCGAATACCGTGGCGTCGGGCTGTGCTGCAGTGTTCAAGCGGTGCTCACCACCGACTCACCCTCTCACTCAATTGACATATATAATGAACCCATCTACGCCATGCCCTTCTTTCTTTGCTCTCACCACCTCTCTCACCACTCAACCAAAACTTCCAATGCCCAACCCGGCCCCTCCCAACACGCGCCCTCGCGGCCTCGTACCGCACGGACTTCCCTCCGAGCTGTTCAATGAAATCACCACACACCTCGCAGACGACGAGGTCGCCCCCCTCCTCCGAGTCAACTCGGCGTGGTACAACGTGTCAATTTCGCACATGTACCGTTCCCACCGCATCGATGAGGCTGCCTTCCGCGCCTTAGAAGCCGGCGAGTCGCTCGACCGCTACGCCCCCAGCGGCCGGCCCATCTTCCGCGTTGATTGGCTAAGCAACACGAACACGCTCGAGATTGTGCCACACACCGCAGCGCAGTGCGCCGCCGCCGCCAAGCACTTCCGCCACTCGTACCGCGCTCTCCGTCTGCCCTTGGGTCCCCAAGACCCCTTCCACGACGGCGAGTGTGCCTTCTTCAAGAACAACGCGACGCTCGTCCTCACGAATTGCACGTTCGACCGCGTGATGGAGCCCGTCGTCCCGCCGCCGGACGTGTGGGCGCCCGCGCACGTCTTCGAGTTCAGCCCGAAGCCTGTTAGCACGGCGTTAATGACGGAGATATTTGACGACATGGACTTCAGCAGTCTGCGTTTCCGCGAGTGGTTCAGGCCCCTGCCACCCGTGGCGGGCCGCTACATCTTCCTCCTTCCCCCGCAGGGGCAGAACGAGGACGAGACTTGCATAGTGAGGGTCATGCAAGAGATGTGCATGATGGCCGGGGCGTACGGCCCCGTGCCCACCACGTTCGTCGGGGGGTTCATGGACGTGCGGTCCACGACCGTGGTCCGCGACCTGGATCAGCCCCTCCTCGATCTTGTGCAGAGCGAGACCGACGGTCCCGCGAGCATGTATGAGATCTTCCAGGGAATCCTCCGGATCGTGGTGGATTTGTTTGTGAACAATCTGATGGACTGGAGCGAGATGGCAGAGGACGAACTCCCCAGCGCGAAGAAGGCACACAAGCAACAGATGTACAACAACATCATCTTCAAGGCGGCCGAGGATGTTCTTGAAAGTGGCGAGCTGGACAGCGTGATACCCCGCCAGCAGATTCGCCGCGCCGTATACGGTCGTGTCCCGGCTGTCAGGTTGTAGTTGGACAGGACAGCTGTGCTGTCAGCAGAGGTGATGCGAAGGGATCATACGTGCTTCGTGATGTGATAACGTGGGCGGACTTGAGCTTGAAATGCGGCGCCATTCAGTCACAGTGAAGGCGACTCTCGCAAGTTGCGAAAGTGTCATGAACCCCGGCTAAGCTCGCATGTAGGGCGGTTTGCACCTGTTTCCGGCTTGTTGGTCCTTGCGATGTGTGTGACCGAGGCGGGGCGGGACAGGGGAAATGGCGATGGCGCGGCGCGCGGCGCGCGCGGCGAGTTTCTTACTGCGAAATGCACAGACACAAAGAGTGATTGAGAAGCGAAGGCACTCACTTCATCAATTGCCAGTAGCAAGTGAAGGCTGCACCGAGTCGCCCGCCATCGCACCACGGCGCGATGGAGCTTCATTGCCATATAAGGTCGACCATGCCGCTCGTCACTTACACTCACCCCTCCTGCAGACCAGTATGATCACCGACGCCGAGATCCTCGACATGTACGACACCATCTCGTCGTACTGCACCACGCGGCCCGGCAACATTCCACACGAAGTAGTGGCGCACATCATGACGTTCGTGCGCGACGGCGACATACCCGCGTGCATCTTGACCAACAGCGCCTTCTACCTCGCCGCCAAGCCGCACCTGTACCGCACCGTGTCACTGGACTGTTACCTGAACGTGTACGGCCCGCGCCACGCGATGGTCGACATGGACATATGCACGTCCGGGACGACGCGTCCCCGCCCCTTCTTCCGCCGCGCGTGGATGACGCGCTTCTGCCACACCCTCGATGTGGCGCCGCACCACCCCTCGGTGTGCGCGTGCGCAATGGACCCCCCGAGCCCCTTCTCCTCCGGCGCCACAGACACTTCGCCACACATACCCCCGCTTCCGCACCTCCGGTTCCTGCACCTCCCGTTCGACGTGCACCTCTCCCTCCACCGGAACGAGGTTCCCTCGCCGTGCGGCGTGCACGGTCTGAAGCCCGTCCACCTGGTCCAGCACGATGTTTACTGGACCTCGCGGCGGCCGGCGACCACGACCGTTGCGGGGGTCAAGTCGTACACCGCCAACCTGGCGGAACACGAGCTGCGCACGCCAGACTACCGCCCGCTCATCCTCCAACCTCCGGACATGCAGCCGGGCGCGCACCTGACGCTCGTGGCTCCACGCCTCTTCGCGACCTCCCCCCTGCCGCGGCAGTGCGATGTCTTCCGCACGCCCGCCTGCCTCACCATACTCAACACGCTGTCCCCGCGCGCCCGCGTGGGCTGGTACGCGCGCTCCTGCCCCGACGCGCGGTGCGCGCACCACCTCGTGCGCAAAGTCGGCCGCGCCGTCGCGCAGTTCGCGCTGCCGGACGCGCCCCGCATCCGCCTCGTCGGCTTCGAGGTGCTGTGCCGCGGCCGCTCCCTCGCCGTCTACCGGCACCTTGCGTGGCTCACCCGCGCACACTTTACCGTGTTTGCGGAGATTGCCGCTGCGGCTGCGCGCGACGACGAGGCTGCGGCGTGGCGCGCGCGCGAGGGGCCGATGGACGCGTTCCTCCTCGTCCCCGCGTCGCACTGGGACCGGTGCGACTTGGGGCGCCAGGCTGCTTCCCCTGCCCAGCGGATGCTGCGGAATGCGTCGCGGAGGACGCGAGGGCGTGCGTTGGGTGATTGGCAAGACAGCTGGTGGTGAGCGGTGTCAGGTCGTCAGAGGTTATGGAGAAGCTTGCACGGGAGCGGGGCGGGTCGAATGATAGGGGTGCGTAAGAACAGTCGGGAGCCGCCTTGATTAGCATGGAGTGAGCGAGCGAGGTCCATCGAGAACTGAAGTCGCCGTAAAGCGCGACAAAGATAGAACACGAGATGAATGAAACAATGACGGGTAAATGTTGCACCGGGCGCGTGTAGTGGCGAGATCGGCTTCGGCAATGACCGGCATTGCGTCATGTGCCCGACATCCGATGACATGTCCAAGTCGGCCACATCTCAGTCCCTAATATACGCCTCCTTCAACATCTTGTCAATCTCTCACTGACAGCATCCCACAATGGCAGCTCGAAAGATCGCGACCTCCTTAGAGTCGAGGTACACAATGCTCGACGGCCGCAAGGTTCCCGGTACGTCCTGTCGCCTACGCCGCTGTCGCTGACTCCAGCATTCGGCTTGGGCGTGTACGAGATGTCGGGCCCGCAGACACGCGCCGCCGTCGCGTGGGCCCTCGAAGCAGGCTACCGCCACATCGACACGGCCGAGTGGTATGAGAACGAAGCGGCGGTCGGCGACGGCGTGCGCGACTTCCTCGCGTCGTCCGGCGTGTCGCGCGACGACATCTTCGTCACCTCCAAGCTCATGCACAACCGCGGATACGATGCGGCGCTGCGCGACCTGCGCGCGTCGCTGCGCCGCGCCCGGCTCGACTACTTCGACTTGTACCTCCTGCACGCGCCGAGCGGGGGCAGCGCGATGCGCGCGGAGCTGTGGCGCGCCATGCTCGACGCCAAGAAGGCGGGGCTGATCAAGAGCGCTGGCGTGTCGAATTTCTCTCGTGAGGCCACGGGTGGACGGGCTGATGGAAGCCAAGCATATCGAGGAAATCGTCGCGCGCGGAGACGAACTCCCCGTCGTTAACCAGATCGACCTGCATCCGTTCCAGCGCCATCTCGAGTATGTCGAGAGCTGTCGGAAACACGGCATCCTTCTTGAGGCGAGTCGCAAGGTGGACTAGGAGCGCAAGCTGATGGCAGGCATGGGCACCACTCGCGCGCGCTATGCGCTTCGAGCACCCCGTCATCGAGACCGTCGCGGAGAAATACTCCAAGACGCCCGCGCAGATCCACCTCCGCTGGGGTCTGCAGCATGGATTCATCGTCATCCCCAAATCGGCCTCGCGCAACCGCATCATCGAGAATTCGCGCGTGTTCGACTTTGAGCTGTCCGCCGATGACATGGAGCAGGTGAGTTACGCGCGTGGTGCAGAGGGAACATGAGGCTGATGGAGAGCTTGATGCATTGGACGAGAACCTCGTCACGGACTGGGATATCACCAAGGTAAGCTATGGCCACATGCTCAGGCTGACATAAGCTCGACTAGCCTGCTGCATTATGTGCCGAGGTGTCATGATTAGGCTTTTGCATTGTCTACCGCCGCCGCGCATCGCATGTGCTGTGTGACTGACGTCTCTCACGAACCATGTTTCGGGGCAGTTCCCTCACCTATCTAACTCTAAGCACTAGGAGGAACGATACGATATCTACAGACACGCGAGACTCACGCGCCGTACAGGTAGCTCAGACCCTGCAATACCGACCGGAAACATCACTCCCGCCCCTTGGAGCGTTTCTGATCTAGCCCTTCGACAAGCTTACGCGGCAGCGTGAGCCTTGCGCTTGGGGTGACGATCCACTCCTCGTACAACATGACGCGGAAAAGGCCATCGCTATCGTTTGACATGATCTTCCCGAACTTGGCGCAGAGCTGAGCTGTTGCAGGATCTGAAAGCGTCGCGGCAGCGTGCTCAAGATAGTGCTGAGCCATGCCTTTGGTGAGGAAGGACAAGTGAGATTGTGCGCGCTTGATGGATTCGCGATCGCCGATGATCCAGCCGATGTACTCGTCGAGGCCCATAAAAACGAATTTTGCTTGCGACTCCGGGTAGCGCCTATGCGCGTCCATCATGCCCTTGGCGCAGGTTAATAAGTTGCTGTGGATGCAGTAGTGATAGTGGTTGCAGTCACTTGTGAGCCACTTGTAAGCCGCCATGGTAGAGGGCAGGTTCCTAGAAATGTCGGGGAGGGGGGTGCAGACGTAGCTTGCCTGGTCGGCCGTGAGGCTATTGTGGAAGAGGCGCACATGTTGTTGCATGGCCTGGGGTAAATGCAGCACGGGAGGCAAGATGCAGGTGATGGTCACGTCTGGGGCGAATGACGGCCACATCGGGTCGATGAAGGGCATGCCGCTCGCGAAGCCACCGTAGCTGATCATGACCGTGTAGAATTTGATCGTTCCGTTCGCAAAGTTTGTTGAGGTCGCGGGCGCTCGACTCAACAGCGTCCAATAGTGAACAACGTTGACGACCGGCAGGCTGTGAATCGCACATGGAGTAGGATCGGCCCCAGAACCGATGCAGTTGTGAATGTCGTAGGCCATATGAATAGTGCGGAGACGGAGAGGGGGAAGGTGAACGAAGAAAAGCGACCAGCAATCATGGGGTTCGTGCGCAGGGATATGCAAGACGGTGGTACAACGGATCACCCACTCGGTCAAGAAGAGCGGCCGGCTGCCATCCTCGGTCCATTGGTCGAGGAGCCAGTATCCGGGCCCGCGGACCGTAAAGTCCCTGGTCAAGTGCAGCTCGCGGAAAAGGTGGGGCATGGTAGCGTTGTAGAAGACAGAGTTGACCAAGAGGAGAGGCGTGAGAGCAGACGAGGGGACGTAGTTGAGCACCAGGTCGAGGACGTCCTTGGAAAGATGGGACCGAGTTCCGCTGGAGTTTGAGAGGTAGCACAGAACCATTGCGATCAGGATATGTCGGCCCGGAGTGGACTCGGCGTCCAACCTGGGGATCAGTTCGTGATGGCACAAGAGCTCAACCGCGAGTGGGCTCACAATAATGTGGCAGGTGGAAGTGGGGACAGGGGTGGGAGGGAGATGAAGAGGGCGACAAAGTTGAGAGAGAATAGGAGAAGGAGAGAGAGAGAGAGAAATGAAGAGAGAGATGTAGGGAGGAAGGAAGGAAGAAGGGAAGAGACCCGTTTGAGTCACATGGAGTACTTTTACTGTATCTCGACTCAACAGGCCTGCTTTAACCCTCTTGACGCCGCACTTCAGGCTGGACGAACTTCCACAGCTTCACGTGTGATGCGAGCACACAACGCAAACTGGCTACGTGGCTGCGAGGTAAGGCTAGTTGTCTCTTTTGCCAAGCACTCCGCTTCCCAGGCCCCCGCTGTGACCTCCTTCTAATCCTTCTACTGTAATAGCTGATGCGATCACATGGCAACCCACTCAGACTAGCAGCTGATTGTGTTTGCGCAAGGTGCACAACACAGCGGCAGGGCAATAGTCCCTCTCCGGAAGACGCGCCACTGAGGGCAGTCTGAAATCTGTTTAGTCATTCAAAAGATCTGTAAAGCAGATTGTCACTCCAAGGTCTCCTTTTACTGTCTAGCTATCTCGACGTGCAGTAGCTTCACCCGCAACCATCTTCAGTCGTCTGCGGAAGCATGCATCCGGAGTCGACTCTGACAGTTAGTGTGTGTCTGCTAGTCGCCGTCTTCGAAAACCCGGACAGCGGATGGCATCCCACATTGCAAGCATGGCATCCGAATTTACAACTCGAAACTCTGCGAAAATCTACAACCAGCCTTCCCACGGCACTGCCGATTCCCGAAGTTTAAACAGCTTCAACTACTGTGACGTTGTCATCACGCTTAATATCTTCAGCTCCCTCGTAAACGGGCACTCCGGTGACGTTCTTGCAGTACAAGTCGTCGTCGAGGAATGAATCGCCTTCCTTGTAGTGAGGTGGGGGCGAAATGGCGCAAATGGCCAGAAAGGCGACAAAGCCTGCCCCTAATCCGACGAGGAACGAGATGTTGAACAGCTTGACCCACCCGTTACTAGCCTTGGGGTTCTTCATTGTCATGATGAATCCCGGCCAGAATATCCACACGGTCCCAACAAAGGCCACAAGGGCCCGCCAATGAAGACCACGCCAGTACCAGTAGATGCTGGACGGCGTGCCGTTGTACAGGTCGGGAATTTTGACACGGTGCCGCCGCACGACTAGGTAGTCGGCGAGCAAGAGACCTGTCATGGGTGCGGTGAACACGCCCAGGAAGGAGATGACGCTGAGGAACGTCGAGGCCGAGGCGAGAATTTGCCATGGGTTGGAGGCGAGGCCGAGTGCAGCCAGGATGTAGGCGCCGCGCCGGATATTGATGTACTGCCGTCAGCTCGGCGCATGGTAGGCACAGCTCACTTTCGGCCACAAGCCGGCCATGTCCATGCCGGTCGAGACCGAGTTTAAGAGGACATTGATAGATAGCTGGGCACACGTGCAGCCGATGCCGGCGAACACGACCGCGGCGCGCACCCCCGGCGACGAGTTGTAGTGCTCCTGTATCGCGCCCAGAAGCTCAATCGGCGACCAGTACAGGGTGCCGAGGATTTGATAGCTGGCAGAAGTAACAACGACACCGACGAGTGCGCACATAGTTATCATGAGGGGAGCAGCAACCAATTGCGAAAGCATCGGATAATAGCGGCGCTGTGAGTAGCGGACCCAGTCGCTCTGCCCGATAGTGCCAGCCCCCCACGAGGACAGGATTGAGGTGATACCGAGCATCATCGAGTAGGGTGTGCTGGAAGCGGTATTCTCAGTTCGGAACAGCGGGCCGCCGCCACCGGCCTTAGGGACAGCCCAAGCGAGAAGGCCGATGAGGGTGGCTGCGAACGCGATGGACGACACGACAAACGGCCGCTGCAAGCGCTCCGGTGGTACGAGCAGAAGGGGAATGTAAAGAATGTACCAGATGATGACCCCGATGAGGTTTTGTATTGTGATATGTGAGCTTTCTGGAATTGTGTTGCGCATGTGCTTGAAGGAAGGAGACAGACCGCCAAGGACGAGCGCCACAGCCATGCCGCCCCAGTAGGACTGGATGCCGAACCACCAAATGGAAGTGAATGTACGCAGGATAACCGGCTAACCCGTCAGAGTTAGCTCCCAAAGACTCCTACAAAGTAACCACCACGCAGGCCCCATGTGATGCGCGAGACGACTGTGAATCCGATGTGGTGGACTTCCCCAGGAGTTCCGGAGACGACCGACAGCATACCAGTAATTATGGCACCCGTGACAACGCATGCCATTGTCTGCTGCGCTGTGAGGCCGTATGCGAGCAGACTCGAGCCTGTCGAGTATGCGCTGATACAGGCGCCCGAAACGAACCAGTAGATCTGGAGTGAGTGTGTTCCGATAGGGCAGTCGCGTCAATTTTAGCTCACGACAAATGACCAGATCTTGTATGTTCTCCGGTCCGGTGGGATCGGGATGAGGTCTCGGTTCGTCCACCGATCGTTGACATACCCTCCATCCTCATCGACGGGGCACTCCAGGCGCTTGGCGAAGTCTTTCCAGCGCGAAGTCGCCTCACCACTGTTGTGGTGAATCTCATGTGCAGTGGATGAGGTCATTGTGCGGTGTGGAGAAGGAGGTAGCCCGTGCGGGTCACTATTATACCGGATGGGCATCTATCGGTGCGCGCTCAGCGACAGTTCGGCGCACCGCGGCTCCCCTTCCCCAGCCTCATGGCTTCAGGGGTTACGCACTCGGCCTGACGGCTACATGCCATGGATCTTGATAAGGCGGAACACGATTCGGTTGTGGGGATGTGGGCGATGTGGGACGTGTGGGCGACGTGGGCGGTGGAAGGTGGGGGTGGGCATGTGGGCGTGTGGGCCCAAACGCGCAGAGGTGTGGGATGAGCTCGTGACGCTTCCTCCCAAAACTCACCTCTAAATGGATATTAGGAGGCGCCTCGAATCCGCTAACCACTACTGAAAGACCATGACCATCCAGGAGGCAGGAATTCCCATTATCGACTTTGACGGCTTTGGAGACGGCACTGGCGAGGTGAGCTACTGTTGAGAGTTATTCTAATTCAGCGCGCCAAACAGATCAGCGAGGACTTTTATGCAGCATGCCGCGACATCGGTTTCGCATACCTCGTAAACACGGGAGTACCCCAGGACGAGGTCGACGCAATGTTCTCATGGTCGAAGAAGTTTTTCGAGCTCCCGTACGAAGTCAAGATGACCGCACCGCATCCCCCGCGTGGGGACCAGCACCGGTACGTTGCTTTGCTTTACGTAGGGGAGCTGACTCCGAGCGGATACTCTGGCGTTGGGGTTGAGCAAGTGTCGCAGATGGTCTTTGACGAGGCCAGGCTCCACGAGCTGCGCGGCAAGGGCGCCGATTTCAAGGAAAGCTTCGACATGGGTGCGGCCCTCTTCCGCCGAGCTAACAGAAGGCTCAGACCACTCGCCGCGTTGCCAGAACGTTTGGATTGAAGAGCATTACCTTCCTGGTTTCCGGGCCGGTTGCGAGCATTTTATGAGCATCGGGCGCGCCCTGCAAATGAAGGTGCTGCATGCGCTTGCCTTGGGCATGCCGCACGTCCCGACTGACTTCTTCGACCGATACCACACGGACGGGGACAACCAGCTTCGCCTGCTCCACTGTGAGCTTATACCTGCTAGACATACCTAATCAGATCCCTCAGCTCCTTGGAGCGTCTTTGAGTCGGGCGAAAAAGGTCGCATTGGCGCGCACACGGTGAGCACACACACCACACCCGCTGATGGGAAGGATTTCTCGACGTGCACTTTCCTATTCCAAGACGACGTGGGCGGACTCGAGGTGGAGTCTCCCTCGCACCCCGGTATATTCATCCCGGCCCCGCCCATCAAGGGTGCAGTTGTATTCAACATCGGCGACTTCCTCATGCGCTGGAGCAATGACGAACTTCACTCGACCCTACATCGCGTACGAGCACCGCCACGTCGCCCCGAGGATGAGGAGATGACTCGGGAGCGCTTCAGCATCCCCTACGTACGTCTTTCTTTATTTGATCTGACTCCAGTTCTGCTCCGCCAACGCAGACATGACGATCGACGCGCTCCCTGGCACGTTTGGACCCGAGAACCCGAAGAAGTACGCCCCTATCACAGCTGGAGAGTACGTTAACATGCGCCTCAACGCAACATACGTTGGCTCCGGTATCAATGGCTCGGCTTAATGCCCGAGCAGAGCTTGCTTTCAACTCTTAGTACAAATAGGCGATGTACCAGCGTTTTGTCGGAAACTTGATATGAGGGTCTCATGAATGCCATGCTCAACCAGTGAGAGACCGCCGGTAATGTCGAAGGTAGCACCGACGCCGGGCAAGACCTCCAGCGAAGCAGCACGGTCGGCTGCCCCCACTCCAACACTAGCGATATCGGACCCAAGGCTTCCATCTCATTAAGCCCACTTCACGAGGTCATGCGCGCAATCGCGGCATTTAACAATCGCTTATCGGCAATCGGCAACCAGCGGCTGCCCACACCCACCCTCCCCACCCTGCTTCGCCCACATCCACATATGGTGTATGACATGTGACATGTTGCATGTGGCACCATTTGACAATCACGCAGTTATCCCTCTATGCAACAACTGACGGATGACACGAGGAGTGAAGCCTATCGTCCAGTCGCGAACTGATAATAGATGCACCGCTGGCCGTGTCACCCGAGCGTCACAACCCCATCCCAGCGTCACAAATGGTCACTACCCTCGAGACCCCACCGTCTCACATTACCCTACCCTCGGGTGACCGCATGCCCTCACTGGGTCTTGGGTGCTGGCAGGCCCCTCCGGAGCAGCTCTCGCGTGCTGTCGCTCACGCCCTCAGCGTAGGCTACAGGCACATCGACGGGGCCACTGTTTATGCCAACGAGGAGGCCTTGGGTGCAGGGGTAGCGGCTTCAGGGGTCCCCCGGTCCCAGATCTGGATCACCACTAAGCTGTGGAACAGTACGCTATCTCGGAAGGAGAGCTGACGGCAGCCGACCACCGTCCTAAGGACGTGCGTCCGGCCCTCGAGAAGTCTCTAGCTGCTCTCGGGACGGAGTACGTCGATCTGTGGCTGATGCACTATCCCTGTGCAATGGACCCGGACACAGAGGAAATCAAGGTTGTCGATGTCGACTATGTTGAGACCTGGAAGGCGATGGAGGCTTGCGTGAATGCCGGACTCGCGCGTAACATTGGCGTCTCTAGTGCGTCACGGTAGGGTTGATCTAACCTAGACTTTTCCAAGAGCGAGCTGGAGCGGCTCCTCGCTGCCGCGACCATTAGGCCTTCCAGCTAGAGCGGCACCCTTACCTTCCACAGAACGCTTTCATGGCCTACCACCGAAAGGTTTTGGTGAGCACCGTTACAGGGCTGACTTCAGATCGGGATGCACGTCACGGCCTATTCACCGCTCGGGAACACGAATCCGTCGTACGCAGACCAAAACACGTTGCCGGCGATCCAAGAAAATGAGGTGGTCAAAAGCATCGCGCACAACTATGGTATTAGCTCCGCTAACGTGCTCATCAGTCTTCAGCTGTCGGTGAGTGATCAGTTGGGAGATGAGACCTGACTTGTAGGAGGGACACTCTGTCCTTCCAAAGTCGGTCACGCTTGGGCGTATTGAAGAAAATCTCAATGTTGTCTCCCTCGCCCCCAACGATATTGAAGCCATCTACGAGAGCACAAAGGGGCTTCGACACAGGTATTGCGATTGGTCGGACGTGATTGGTTACAAGTACTATGCGGACCTGGATGACTCTGATTAGCCATACTTGTTGCCGAGCGAAATGCAACGGAAATTGGGTGAAATGATTGCCAGGAAATGCAGGCCGCCAAGTCTGCAGAATTGTGACAGACATTCGTGAGCCTTCGAGTTAGTAGGCGCCAAGGATGCTTGGATTACAATATGCTATGTACATTGGAAGGACTTGGACGGCTGAACGCGTTCGATGTCATGGAACATACTACCGATACAACGGCTCTGGGCCCCGCGCCAGGACGCCCAATAAAACACTCTTCGACTCGTCCATGACGCCCCTACCCAACGTACCAAGCAAGTGTGCGGCGTATGCCAACAAACCACCGCAGCGATTCTTGCCTTCAACGTGAGAAAGGTAGGCAACGTCATTTTCCACGCGCGAGAGGTACGCGAGAGCTCCGCGACGTGCCAATGATGGCTCAATCTTGATGCTTTCAACGGCAGGGTCTTCCGGCACTGGCGACGTTCGGATTATGTAGGGCTCGTCAAACACGACACCCCCATCGAGCGAAGTCGAGTATGCCCAGATCACCACAGACGCAATGTACTGCTGTCAGTGTCTGTGCAAAGGGGAACTCACAATACACCACGGAACTAGGCTTGGAGCGGTCTGGAACCGCACTTCGTGGGACCACTTGAACAGCTGCGTGAGGACTGGTGTGAGCCCGCCCACTTTACATGTACATACGCTCGATAGCTGTCGCACAGCTGTATGTCCCGTCTTCGCTGCGCGCCCACTGCGTAACGTAGGTGCTAGCGTTCACCCACTCACCACTCAGGACAGGGCGTCCAGCAATATCTGCGCCGTCAGACCAGTGCGCGACTAGAACCTACTTCCAGCGCCGGCGTAGATCCTCACCGCTTCTGTGTCCGTGAGGAGTAGGATCCGACCTGATGTAAGCTTACGTCTGAGCCAGGTTTACCCAGATGCGCTAGCGGTACCCCTGACGAGGAGATTGACATATCGTCATCTTCCATCTGCCGTGCAGGCAGCCGAATGTGTTCGCGCAGAGATTCGAACGCACGACACAGGAGACTTTTCCAATGTAGGATCTTTGTCTCGCGCACCATGTTCAAATCGCCGAGGTCCCTCCAAAGAAGTGTCCAGCTTACGCTGACGAGTCCATGAAGCATGATCCAGAGGTGTGTCTTGGACAGGTTGGGCGCGACGGTCCCACGGGCGGCGATCTCGTGAAGCGCTGCACGGAAGCACACTGGCTGCACCGTACTTCGCTGCGCGTCTGACCAAGCGAATGGATCGGGCGCCGCCCATACGTCGTCCTGGCAAGGCCAGTCAATCTGGACGGAGAAAAAGTGCACTATCAGGTAGTGCCGGAACAAGGCTGCGTTCTCCGTGTCCATCATGAAGGCGAGCCAGCCGACGCGTTTGCGCTCTTCGTGCTCCACCCATGCCAGCCAGTGATCGAGGGGATTGGTCGCGACTGGGCTCGGGTGTGACGTAAATGTCGGGAGAAACGAGCCGGCTAAGCGCGCCATCACGATGGAGGACGAGTGAAAGATCTGTGCAACCGCATGTTCCTTAACGCTGCAGTACGAGCGCGAGAAGTAGTTTGTGAGCAGAATTGTCATGATCGTATGAGGCGGAGCGCGGGGTTCAGCTTCGGCCATCTGGCGTGAGTACAGTATGCGTGCTATACGCACGTCGCAAACACGATTCCGTAATCGCTTGTGGAGCTTCATCGCAATGTTGAAGCCGGCGCGGTCGTCTGCGAATGCTGTACCAATGCATAACATCGTGAGGAGCAAGTCAGGCGGCAGACGGCGGTAGCCGAGTGACGGTCGATGCACGATGGGGTATAAGGGAGCGAAGTTGCTGTCGTGAGCGGTATCCATAACTTCTGGGCTCACAGGAAGTACATCTCGAGGTAAAGTTTCATCTGTGCGATGCTGAATGCCGGCGCGGCGAAGTAGTCCCGCTCGGGGCCATCGAACAGGTCACACATCTCTGAGCGAGCCTGTTCGTCGATAAGTTCTTTCTCGGGAGGCAGTCGCCAGCCAGCCTTGTCCCACGTCTCTGGAAAAGCAGGAAAGGGTGGGCCGCCGGCATGCGGCGCACGCGCGGGATAGGAGCGTGTTTCCTCGTGCGAGGTTGTATCGGCGACTTGTACAGGCTCCACATTCGACGTCGAAACGGGGCGATTTGCGAATGATTCCTCCCGAGAAGGCCATGTCAGCGCCATATTCGGTGGAGGAGCCTCCAATCTCGCTGGACCCGCTGATGGTGTCCTCACATCCCAAGCAGAGATGTTCTCGATATTTGTCATGCTAAATAGCCAGTTGAACAAGTGGTCCATGCCGCTGGCGTTGGTGGGATCACCTGCGCCCATGGGTACCTCAGCTATCTGTGGAGAGGCCACCACAAAGGCGTCGGCCCCAGCGTCAATGTCGCCGCCGGGTTGACAAAGGTGAGCGAGCGCTGGCCGTGGGCCAAATGTGCATGGGTCGTAATGGTCCGTTGTTCTTTCGGATAGAACAAATGGGGCGCCCACGCGAGTGCCCGCGAGAGAGCGGTTACCTCTCAGAACATCATACGATGCTGCATCTTCTCGACGAGGCAAGCGGCCTATATCAATGGCGTCCGTGCGCTGCGAAGTCACCAGAGATGGTGGAGACATTGGCAGGGTGAAGGTGGGTGATTCAATATGCCCTTCGTCATCGAAGTCGCTACTGCTGGAGAGGTAGAGGCCACGATGCGAGGAGTCCAGGCGCATGTCTGAATGTGGCATATCCAACTCGCGAGGCGGGGAGTGTTGGCCAAGGTTCCGTTCCCGGATATGATTCGTGGCATCGGCAGTCACGCTATCAGCAGACCGCTGTCTCCGCCGCTTGAGGTAGGTTCTTGCGTGGGTCTCTGTCCCAGAGCGCTCACGGGATGACCGCGCCTTGCAGGAGCTCGCGATGTGCCGCCGGAGCACATCTCCCCGTGCGAACCCCTTGCCACACGTAGGACACACGGATTGCGGCTGTGTATCTGTCAATCAGCCCCTCGTCGCAAATGACGCACGATTCAGCTCGTGCCGCTGCAGATAGTCACGCCGCGTGTAAGTCTTCGGGCAGTGCGAGCAACAATAGGCCGGCTCGAGTGCTGGCGCGGATTCAGAGGGGTTCGTCGATTCAGATGACCTCAAGGTCATGCTGTGGGCATGTGTAAGGAGGTGGTGAAGTGGTCAGGTGGGGGTGGAGAAATCACAAACTGGGGGTGGGCGGTGACAAGCTCATGTCTGGTGATGAGTTCAACTGCACGCAGGAGGAGATACGAAGGAATGTGGGCGGAGCGTAAGGTGATGTGGGCAGCCAGCATGTGGGCATGTGGGCGTGTGGGAGAGCGCTCAGTTTCTACTTGTCTGCATTCCCCATCTCACCGCCCACCCCCTCCTTGCATACAACATGAGGCAACTGCAGCCTTGGCCACCGCGGTCCTCGCAGGCAGCTGCTGACCGTAAACGCTGGGGCTACTAAAGCTTCCCACTACTCACAATGTTGCTCCCAATCTACGCTGACCAGAATGACCATTCCGACGGCTCCTTCACCCAACGCACCCTTGCGCATCGGTGTCGACGTGGGCGGCACAAACACGTGAGTGCTCCTCCCCCAACTCTGACCCCAGGGATGCCGTGGTCCTCGACCTCACCCCGGGGTGCGCAAACTCCGTGCTCGCGGCGTGCAAGGCGCCCACCACGCCCGACGTCACGCGTGGTATTCAAGCTGCGATCGCTGCGGCATTGGAAAAGGCGTCCGTGGATTGCGGGCAGATCCAGGCCGTCGCGATTGGGACGACAAGCTTCGTGAACTCCCTCGTCGAGCGGGATGTCGCCAAGCTTGATCGGGTAGGCGTCATCCGACTCTGTGGGCCATTCTCCCGCCTCTGTCCACCGTTCGCATCATTCCCCTACGAGCTTCGGGCTGTGCTCGAGGGCCCTGTCTTCTTCGCAGCGGGCGGGCTCCAAGTTGACGGCTCAGAAATTGTTTCCGTAAGTCCTTTACGATAGCGCACTGCAAGCTGACTGTAGGTGGACCCACTGGAGATCCGCGCGGCATGCGCCGAGATGGCGCGCCTCGGCGTGCGGTCTGTCGCGATCTCCGCTTGCTACTCTCCCATTGACACAATGTATCGCCAAGAGGAGCTTGTCCGGGACATAGTGTCCGCAGAACTGCCAGGCGTGTACGTCACGATCTCTAAGGAGGTGGGGAATATCGGGCTTCTCGAACGTGAGAATGCCACGATCCTCAACGCGGCACTGCGCACCTTCGCAGCTCGCACCGTGAAGGGGTTCCAGGAGTCGACGGGCGCGCTAGGCCTCACCTGTCCGCTCTTTCTCACTTCTAACGACGGGACTCTTATGACGTGTGCGCAGGCGGTACGGTTGCCCATTCGCACCTTCTCGTCCGGCCCAACCAACTCCATGCGTGGGGCCAACTTCCTCGCAGGCCTCAGCGGAAATCGCGCTCGCGAGACTGCCCTTGTCGTCGACGTGGGTGGAACGACAACGGAAGTGGGCGTGCTTCTCCCGACAGGGTTTCCACGGCAGGCAGGGGCCTTCCACCAACTATGCGGGGTGCGACTCAACTTCCCCATGCCGCACGTTGAGTCTATCGGCCTTGGAGGTGGGTCGCGTGTGCGCAAGCGCGGCGGCAAGACTACCGTTGGCCCAGATTCTGTAGGGTACCGCATTACCGAGGACGCGCTGTGCTTCGGAGGAGACACCCTGACCGCAACCGATATCGTCGTAGCGGCTGGCAGGGGCGACTGCATTGGCGACGCACAACGGGTGGATCATCTTTTGCAAGATGATGTCGTGGCTGCGCAGGCCCGCATAAAAGCCATGATCGAGCTCGTCGTCGATACCATGAAGACGAGCGCGACCGACATTCCGCTGTATCTGGTGGGTGGCGGTGCCATTCTCGTGCCAGACGAGCTGCATGGTGTCAGCCGCGTCCACCGCTTCCCGCACTACGAAGCTGCTAATGCTGTCGGTGCGGCCTGTGCGCAGATCTCCGCCATTGTTGACACATTTGAGGATACGAGCAGCAGGTCAATCTCTGAGGTGCAACGTATGGTTGAGGCAAGGGCGGTGCAGCGCGCGATCGCCAACGGCGCCGACGTGGCCAGTACTGTGGTGGTCGAGAGCGAAGCCATCCCGATCGCGTACACTACTGGCCGATGCCGATTCTACGTTAAGGCTGCTGGCGAGTGGACAGGCACGGCAGTGCAGGACGAGGACTTTTCAGAGGAGGACGAGACACCGCCGCCAACCTGGGATTCTCAGACCCCTGTTATCGCCGCCACGACTGCCAACGGCAAGCTGGCGCTCCCGGTCGTCGACCCCATCCTTACCGCCGCCGACATCCTCGAGTACCGCCCCAACGTCCAGGGCAGGGAGTGGTTCCTGTCGGAGCTTGACCTGGAGTGGATCGCAACCGGCTGCTACATTCTTGGCACAGGAGGTGGGGGCAATCCGGCGACGACAATGCTAGCTGTGCGCGAGCTCGTGCGCAGCGGCGCGAAAGTGCGCGTGGTCGACATCGACTCGCTTGGCGCCGACAAGTCCGTGTGCTGGGGTGGGGGGATCGGCTCGCCGGAAGTGGTCCTCGAGCGCCTCGACGGTGGAGATCCGGCTGCAGCGATATCTGCACTTCTCGAGTTCATGGGGAAGACGAACTGCGCGGCCCTCGCCGCCCTGGAAATTGGCGGCAGCAATGGCATGTTCAACATGCTTGCTGGATCAAGCCAGTATCTGAATTTGCCGATCATCGATGGGGACTTTATGGGACGTGCGTACCCGACTGGCTGGCAGACGACGGTGCAGGTGTTTGACACGAGCGAGCGGGCCGAGATGACGCTTCCGAACGCCATGGTGTCGGGCGACGGCTCAGACATGTTTATGACGACTGCGAAGCACTACAAAGATGTCGATCGGGTTCTACGCGCCGCTTGTGTCGAAATGGGGACCCACGCCAACGTGGCGTGCCGTCCATTGCCGCGCGCATTCTGCCAAGACAGTCTTGTGCGCAACACCGTCTCACAGTCGTGGCGGCTGGGTCGGGCAGTCTCTCTGGCAACCAAGCAGTCACGAATCGGAGACGTAGGGCGCATCCTGGTCGATGCGGTAGGGGGTAGCGCCGCTGCGCGCGTTCTGTTCGCGGGCAAGATTACGGCCCTCGGGCGGTATATTCACAAGGGACACACGTATGGCGAAATCACCGTGACTGCTCTTGCGCCGGGCGAGCAAGAGGAAGACTTGCAGGGCGAGACCTTCTGCGGTACAATGAGGATTCCGTTCAAGAATGAGAACCTTTACTGCAAGCACCTCCTACCGTCCGGAGAGGAGGTGGTGGTCGCTGGCGTGCCCGACCTCATTTCCGTCTTAGATGCGCAGAACGGTCTGGCACTCGGCACACCAGAGTACAAGTACGGCCAGCGGGTCCTAGTGCTCGGCATGACAGCGGCGCCACAGTGGACTGGCACCCAGAGGGGTCTCGACCTCGGGGCGCTGCCTGCCTTTGGGTATGATATCCCCTACGTCGCCTTGGGTGAGTATGTGCGTCCGCGTAGTGTCATTGAGGAGTATGGCTCGTAGTCCGTAGAGTTAGGGCCAAGTCCCCGAGACCAAAAGTTAGCTTGAGCAAAGGTTGGAAAGCGCGTTGTTGGCAAGAGAGACATATGAATAGCATGGCCGGCACTTGTTCGATCACTGCGGGGTGGGATCAGATACATTCCGCGGAGCGACAAGGCTCCGCCCCCACATCCATCCCCCGAGAGATGTACTCAGTTCATTGCCACTCGACTCACAACGCCAAGTACGCACTATGTCGACGCCCACGCTCTGGCCATATCCCGAGGATGTGCCACACCTCCTCGTCCCGCACCTCCCTTACCCTACGCTCACGAGGCTAACTCGCGTGAACACGCTGTTGAACATGCTCCTCACGCCATACCTATACCACACAATGATAATCGACGACCGGCACCGCGGCCTGCGCCTCCGCCGTGCCCTCCAGTCCCCTGGGGCCATTCATACCCGCGTGCTCTACATTGACGCCCAACACTCCTGCGACGAGTGCCACGCCGCGGGCCCGCCCAACCTTCCCAACCTCTCGCGCGTCGTCCTTACCTTCGACCGCGGCGTCTCCCTCACGAAGCCCGACGGCGTATGGCCCGACGACCCGTGCCGCACCCTCTCGCGCGCACGACCCGAGACACTGGTCGTGCGGGTGCGGAATCACTTCGTGGACGCCGTCTATCCCGCACTGCGGCATCATATGCGCCGTAAAGTGTACGAGAATGCCGACGTTGTCGTCTCGACGCTGGTCACAAGCCGCCAAGACATTCAGCCCGCACAGAGGGGGTGGCAGGGGCATGCCACCCAGATCCTCCTTCCGGCTCCTGACATCGAGGCCGCACTGGCATGGCGCCGCTTGAGGTGTCTCGCGGAGCACGCGGGCTCGGGCGAGCACACGCTCACCCTGGTTGGTCTCGAAGCATATGGCGTGCCAAACGAGGTCTTGGAAGAGGAAGAGCGAGTGTACGAGAAGGGGCGGCTCGAGGCGAGTATTGTGAAGGAAAGCGAGCCTCCGCCAGTCGTGGAGGACGAAGGAGAATCTGAGCACGCGTTCCGAGGCGAAGTCGCGCGGTCAGCGAGAGAGAGGGCACGGAAACAGGGGCACGATCCTGGGCAGGTCGAGGCAGAGGTAAAGCAGTGTTTGGGAGGGCTGCGTCTAGTCCGTATGACTGAGTATCTGCGTGGGCGTGATTGGGAGGGCGAGGTGCCACCGACCATGGCTCTCAAGGTGATGCAGGAGCCGTAGTATGCAAGTGATATGGAGTAGTGCTACAGTCTTAGGCTTCGCGAGTTCCTTCATCTCGTTATGCATGACTTCCAACAAGCTGCGCGTCGCTCTGGCCACCGGTCGCGGCTCACGCTGGCAAAAGTGGGCGAGCAGTTCGAGCTGAGCACGTGACCTCGACTTACTCTAATATTTCACCGAACAAGCTCCAGTCGGTGGACCGACACGATTTGATTCCGGCTCAAACCACAAACTCCGAAGCCACGTGTGTTAGCGCCGACAGCGTCTGGGTGGATCCTGAACTCGAGCCGGGCGAGGGTGGTCGACCTCGAAGCTGCGGCCAACGTCTTCCTCAACCTTCAAAACACTTACACAGTGGGTATCCACCACAGCCACACAGCCAGCGAGGCCAGCGAGCGCGCACACATTTGCGGCGACGAGCACTGCGACGACCATCTTATTACCCTCCCTTCCGACTTATCCATCCCCCATCCTCTTCGCACGCTCGCTGCGCCTCCGACTTGGCACACAACGACAAAAGCTCACTCCAGAAATGACCAAGAAGCGCAGGGGAAACGGCCGTAACAAGAAGGGACGCGGACACGTCCGCTTCCTCCGCTGCTCGAACTGCGCGCGTGCCGTTGCCAAGGTGAGCCACGAGTCGAAGGTTTGCAGGTCTGGCTCAGTGTGGTGGTGGAGCGAGGATCGAGGCTGGCAAGAAGGCGGCGAGCGCCATGACTCAGTCCGGCGTCTTTTGCATCTTGGATGCTCTCGTGTCCTGCCGCCCTGTCATCACCGACCAGCCTGCAGACTAGCAGCACATCTACATGACAGCCCCCACTAACCTCCAGGACAAGGCCATCAAGCGCAACTCGGTCAAGAACATGGTCGAGGCCGCCGCCGTCCGTGACATGTCCGACGCGTCCGTGTACGCCGAGTACGCCCTCCCCAAGCTCTACATCCGCCTGGTGTACTGCGTCTCGTGCGCGATCCACGCCAAGGTTGTGCGCGTGCGCTCGGACAAGCCCAATGCCATCAACTCGCGCAAGAACCGTGCCCCGCCTCCCCGCGCCATCTTCAAGGACGGCAAGCGCGTTAACCCTGCCGTCGCGGCCGCCATCGCCGCCAAGCAGGCCCAGCAGCAGACTGCCTAAGTCGGCCTGGGATTTGGGACTCGTAGCGTGATGAAGTAGTCCTACACTGAGCAAACTCGGGCGGGGGAACAATGTGGGAATGGAGATGGGGACAGTGGGTCAGGAATGAGCTGCGGAGCTTGGTGTCAGCGGCGAAGAAAGTTTGAGAGCGCAAGACTCTGCGATCGCGAGCGGCGTAGGAAATCACATTTTTTTGAGGGTCACGTCTGTCCTGAACCTTGGAGGTCACCACTGGGGCGCAGCAAGTGGCGAGCTATGGACGACACAGTCTCTGCTCATTAACAAGTTGCATATCCTTACGTGGATTGACTGAAAGCGGCCCACTGAGGCGCCGTAACCATAAACAAGTAACATACATCCAGACCTCTACAGCTCCCCCCTCGCCACCCGAGCATTCACCTCCTTGAGGTGCGCTACACTGCATCCGCCCACACTCGGCTTCCCCACGCTCCGATACTTGCGGGGGAGCGCACACCCCTGCGCGGCACACACCAGATCTCCGGGCTCCGCGGCCTCGAACCGCGGCACATGCTCCTCGCCCACGGCGATCCACGCCTCTCGCCCAGCTTTGACGCCCACACGCAGCACCACGTCCTCGCCATGCATGCGCGACACCCAGCGCACGGCGTCGGGCACGACGCGCGCCTTGACGGGCGAGACTTGGCCGCTGCGCGGCGTGTCCGTGTCGTCGAGCTTGGTGCGTGAGCGGCCTGTTTGCGCGCGCAGCAGGCGGTTGATCGTTTGGTCCTGGTGTCAGTGGGGAAGACGGGCAGATAGTGCGCGGCGCTTCGGAGATGCAACAGATGATGGGATGAGAGCGCGATGGGCCTCGTTCTGCGCTGCACTCCCGATCATCCACTCACCTGTTCGTCCTGCAGACGCTGCTCGTTCTGCCGCTTGCGCCGGCGCGCCATCTCCTCACGCTTCTGTAGTCGCTCGGCCTCAGTGAGTTCAGGCTTGGGCTTGGAGAATCCGTCTGCCGTCAGCGCTTGCCTCGAGATCTTCTAGAGTGGGGCCACCGCGGGCGTTATACCATGTCAACCTCCCTCGTCATCGAGCAGCCTCCTCTTACCCACAAAACTCCCGTCTCCCCACCACCTGCCCTCACCTCCCCCTCATTCGACTCACCAGGAAGCGCCATCAAATGGCTCTCGCCCTCCGTCAACCGCGCCCTCTGCCGTGCCGTCATCTTGCTGGGGCTCGGCGCGCGGCTCCCGCTCTCCTCCTCCACCTCTTCTTCCTCCACGTCCACGTCCTCCGCCTCCTCCTCCTCCTCCTCGTCCAACTCGTCCTCCTCCTCCTCTTCCTCCTTCGCGCTCGCCTGAGCCTGCGCGACCGCCCGCGCGCTCGCCTTGATCGCCGCCGTGCGTGTGCTCCGCTGCGGCTTGCGCGCCGGCATGCGCAGCCGGATCTTCGGCCGTTCCGGCTCGGGCTCGGGCTCGGGCTCCGGCTCAGCCTCCTCGATCTCGGACACTGCGTCAGCCACGACAGACGGAGACATACCGTCCGAGTCGCCGTGGTCGTCGTCGAGCTCGTCGACCGCCTCCGAGTCGCTCTCGCTGTCAATTACGCGCGTGGCGCGGCGCGCGGCCGAGGGGATCGCGGGCATCGTGTCGGCGAGAAAGGAGAATGAGAATGAGGCAGGTGTCAGTGTATGCGCGTTGTTGGTGGTGGCCAGGCACGGGTGGAGGTTGCGTCTGAGGATCTGAGGTGGGGAGCTGGGAGATGTTGCAGTGTCGGTAGTGTGGGTGAGCTACAGAGACATGGAGATCGGAAACCGGGGGATGCATGCACGGCGTATGAGATGTCAACAGCTGCGCTGCATCCGTGTCGCTGGCATGCCCAGCGCAATGTAACGATTTGTTGTCGCCGCGTTCGGCGGCACCGAATTTTCCTCCGCACCCCGCCGTTCATCTCCCCCTTCTCACCATCGCCACATCCGCCATCGCCACCGCCAACATGGATTTCTCGCAGTTCAACCCCGCCGAGCAGGCGCACATGACCAAGCTCATCGAGCGCAAGCAGGTATGTGGTCGAGGTGGTTGCGGTCGGCGGATGGCGGTTGGTTGGGCTTGGCCCCACCACCCACCGAACGGCAGGAGACACCGAGACAGCTCCGCGGCCGTACACCCTCCCCGCGGGCGAGCATGCATGCTAACCCCCAGATGCAGGACTTTATGCGTCTCTACTCGGGCTTGGTCGAGCGGTGCTTCAACGCCTGCGCCCAGGACTTTACGTCCAAGGCTTTGACAAGCAACGAGGTGAGTGAGAAAGGCGGGGAGGCGAGAGACGGTGAGAGCAAGTGGCAGCCGGGCGATCTGCATTGGCAGAGGAGGGTGACGGCGGTTCTACTGGCCCCTTGGGCGTTCGCGCTGGATGCTAATGAGCCGGCAGGCTGGTCCGCTAGTTTTGGTGGGCTGGTCTGGTCGTTGATGGCCAACCTGTCCACGAGCTGCGAGCATTTCATCCACTCATCTGTCTGCTGGCTCGGCGCGTGGTCCGCGGTTCTTTCTGCCCGCGCCTCGTCGTCTCAGCACTAACCCCAGACTACCTGCGTCAACAACTGCGCCGACAAGTTCCTCAAGCACTCTGAGCGTGTCGGTGCCCGCTTCGCCGAACACAACGCCGACCAGATGAAGTAGACATCATGTATGATATTGTGGCCGCGCTTGTCATGGACTCGATCGCCTGACAGCTCAGAAGACAATGCATATGATACGGTGGGGTCACAGTGACTGATGATGACACGCCTACGCCTCTGCCCGCAAACCTACTTGCCGGCGCGCTTGTTCTGATGTCAGCCCGAGTCTCTGCCTCTTCGGCGCTTGCGTGTACTCACCTTCCACCCCAAATAGCCCTCCCGCTCCTCCTCGCCCGCGACGCGGCGCGTGCGCCGCTGCGCCGGCTCCTCGGGCACCGCCTCGAGGCCCGTCTGGATCCGCCGGCGATGGAACCCGCCCTCGAGCTCCGTCCACCACATCTTGAGCGTGCGCTGCAAATCGAGGTCGCGGCGGCCCCGCGGATTCAGCCAGTCGTAAAAGCTCTTCAACTGCTCTGGCGTGTCGTACACGGCCCACTCGCCGGGGGCGAGCTTCGCCTCCCCCTCCTCGTGTGCACGCTTCTCAGCCAACGCGCTCGCGGGGATCTCGACGCCGAGGCCTTGAGTGACGTGCGGCAAGCCTTGGCGGCTCAGCTCAATGTCCAGCTCATCCGCGCCTTGGATGTACAACCGGCCAGTCCCCCATACAACCTTGCCGTCGTTGAGCAGCGGCGCTGAGCCGCCCCCGTCGAGCCACCACACGCGGTTGTGCCACCGGTCCACGCCGAGCGGGCGCGCACGCAGCGTGTAAAGGTGTCTGCGGAAGTCGCGTTCAATCTCGTGCAGCTTGGCCTCGAGTGCGGCTTCCTCGTCCTCCAGCCGCTTGCGGTCCAGCGCAAGCTGGCGCGCCTCGGCCCGAGCAGCCTTGACTTCCTGGCGCTCTTTGGCCGCAGCAGCCGCCTTCATTGCCTCCTCGGCCTCGCGCTCCGCCGCGCGTTCCCGCATCGCCCGCCGCCGAGAAGCACCTGTGTTCCGTTCTGGCATGGGCGAGGAGAAGCGCGACGGGTTGTCGTCGCCTGCCGCCGAGTCCAACTCATCACGCTCGGTGTTCGTAGCCGTGCCGTTCGCGATCCCGTTCGGTGAGTGCAGCCGGCTCTCGGCCCCCTCCTCCTGCTCGCCGTCCTCATCGTCCTTCTTCTCCTCTTTGGGCTCGAGGGCTTCCCGTTCCGCCCGTCTGCTGTCAGCTCCTTCCCAGCAAAAGCACTTACACTCGCTTGTGCTCGCGGCGCACCTCCTGCTGCTTCTTGCGGACTTCAGTAAGCTCGGACGTCGCCTCTTCCATAAAGTCGCGCACGACGCCAGTCTGCGCCACGAGCTCAATGAGGAAATCAATGATGTCGAGCTTTTGTGTGAAGTGCAGCAGGTTGTACCGCTTCTCCGGCTTGGCGGGTATGAGGCCGGTCGCGTTGTTATGGCTGGGACCAGTGGACCACGTCGGGCGCGTCGGCGCGGGCTTGTTCTCAAAGGTGAGGAACAAGATGAGGTCGAGATAGGAGGGGAAGACCTCCAGCGTCGCGCGGTCCCATAGGCATCCGATCAGCGCCTGCTCCCACCCCTTGCGGCCTTCGCGGTGCGACAGCTCCTTCCGAGTCCATGCGTCGGCCATGGGGGCTACGACGGGACGAAGCGTCTCGGCCGTCGCACCCTTAGTGCCCTCCCAGTAGTCGATGTCGTTCTCGGGCACCATGCCGGTGTAAAGCAGAGAGCGTACGGGCTCGTTGCCCGCTTTGAGGTCATTTGAGAGCGCCTTGACCAATACCGCATGGATCTCCACGAGGAGCGGTGGTGCGGTCGACCACTGGTCATTGTGGTAGAGAGATTGTTCGAAGTCGTCAATTGTGAAGGAGGAGATCCCGAGCGGCTTGCCCATAACGTTGAGGAAGCTCCACACCATGAGGAACTTTTCAAAGTGCTCGCCGAACGGCAGGTCCCGATTTGGCACGGGCTTGACCTCTATCCGCCCAGCCTGCTTGTCCTTCTCCTGATATTCGAGGAGGAAGTCTGGCGTCAGCGGGCACACAGCACCAGAATAGTCACCTTCAATGGGATACTTGATGCCGCGCGAGGTCTTCTTCTTAACCTCCTCCTGCTCCTTCGCCTTTTCCTCAGCCTCCTGCTCCTCCTGCTTGATGCGGTCGCGATCCTCCTTGCTTAGACCCTTGCTGGAACGCTTCTTCTTCGCTGGCTGCTCGTGCTCGGTCTCCTCGCCGTCGTGCGTGATGCCCAGCCTTTCATCGCGGTCGCGCTTGCGGCGCTCCATCTGCGCTTCGCGGTGTGCGGTGATCACGGCACGAAGCTCGTCCGTCATCTCGGTCGGAAGCCCGTACCGCATTGCGATGGGCTTCTTGACGATCCAAGGCGAGTAGATCGCTGCTTCACGGCCCACGCAATCGCGGATGAAGCGCTTGAGCATGGCGCGAGAATAGTTGATGCGGTCACGCCTGTCGTTAGTCAAGGCATAACGAGATGCGACTCACGAAATCTTGTCCGCCTGCACTTCCATCACGCTGCCGCCCCACTTCTCGTCACCCTCCCGTTCATGAGGGCTACCATTGCGGTCGCCTTCGCCACCCTCTTCGATGAGGCGGACCTGGTAAAAGTATTTCATTGGATCGTCGAGTTCGATCACATCATCCGGTTCCAAGTTCAAGTCCATCGCGTAGGGGTGACAGGGCGAGCCTCCTGGCGGTGGGTTGAGATCCTTCGGTGGGAAGGTCTTGACGACGCGCGCTAGATATTTGTCCCCTTGTACGTCGACGAAGACCTCTGGTTTGGTCAGCAGGTCCTTGTGGAGCCAACTCACTCTCATCGTTAAAGAAGCGGTTCAAGAAGCGGTCGTGGACCTTATCGGCCAAAGTGTCCAGCTTGCCCTCGACCTGGAAGTGGACCGACTGCAACACGGCCTTCTTGAGCGGGCGCGGGAAGCGGGCATGCAGCTGCTTGACCTCACGCTGCTCGTTGTATAGTGCGTCAAAGTACGAGAGTGCCGACTTGCCAGTGACTGGTCGTTAATTGTGATGTCTGGGGCCTACCTCCACTCACCTTCACATTGAAACACCTGCTGGTCGTAGAATGCGCGCCGCAGCGCGAATGTCCTGGTCCAGTCAGTCTCGTCGATTATAGTGCACTCACTCGTAGTCGAGGAAGATTTCGCCTGTTTCTGGGAGGTAGAAGCAGTCGACATTCTTAACCCGATATCCTGGCACAAGACTGCCATGTCCTGGTGGAGGTTGGCCTGCGCCGTTGGGAGGTGCACCGTTAGCCTGCAAGCTCGCGCGCGGCCTCTTTGGAACAGGTGCAGAAAGCGTTGGGTCGTGCAGAACAGAAATGAGCTTGCTCAGTTGCGCCTCGTCGTCGTTGGAGTCTTTGAGATGTTGGTCGGTAGACTCGGATCCCGGTGCTGACGCGCTTGGTGATGACTCTGCTTGTGCCGTGTTAATGGGCTGCACGATGGCGGAGAGAGATGGGAGGGGGTGCATGTGCACCGGCTTGCGCTTGAGAAGGGGCATGGTGGCGGGGTTGAGCTTGCGATGCTGGCGTGATCAAAGTTGGGCTAAGGGTGGGTGAGGTTTTGTTTTGCCCGACCACTCGGCAACTGTGCTAGCTCTGCCACACACCAAAGACGGGGAGTGGCACCTGGCACCTAATGACGAGGCGTCGTTGGGACACGAGTGTAAAGGCGGACAAGCGAGGGCTGGATGTTGTGGCTGGCAACGAGGACGGGATGGGGGGTGTGGTTGGACAAGACGGGTCAGCTATGCAGGGTGACGAGCGCGTGGACGCGATGGGGCGGCAATGTACAAGTCGCGACGGGGTTTGCGAGATGACGAGAGGTCGATACGAGGTTGATGATGGCGATGAAGAAGGGCGAGAGAGAGAGAGATGATGAAAAGAGATGGCAACGCGCGCGGGGCAGTGAGACGAGGGGGATGCGGCGGGGGGAGGAGGGGGAGGAGGGGGGCAATGGCGCTTCGGGCTACTCAAAGCCCACAGGCGCGGGGTGGGGGGTATCAGGCAGGGCCCACAGACAAGTCGTCTCTCTTCAGCAGTCTCCAGCGTGTCACTTGGCTTCCGTGCTAGCTAGATACCATAATGATCAGACAGGTGAGCGAGCAACGCGTCGGTGGAAGAAAGAGCTGTGAATGCATGCATGTTGACTGAGAGTGATGGAGGATTTGTTGTTGTGAGACGCGTTGATGATGGGGGGTGGAGGGGGTGGAGGGGGAGGAGGGGGACGGAGATGAGGGAGCTCATGTCCGAGCAATCAAGCAAAACAGAGTGTGCGCGTCATGGCCTCCACCGCTGTTCATGGTGCCACTTTCAACCACGTGCAGGTAATACCGTATTGCCGCTTGAGTGACAGCTGTCCTCCACCCCGGGGCCTGCGCCCTGCGCATGCGATGGCCTATGACGAAAGTCGGCGTGGCTGGAAAGCGGTTAGGCATGCGAACCAAATCAGACAAGGCATTAGGCGTTCAGTCACAATAATACCCCCCCCCCTCCCCCCACCACCACTCACGCTCACTATCACTTTCATCTACCTCGCCATCCATCTGGCATCTCTCATCGGCTCTTCCACTCTCACCTTCCATCCCCCCTCCCCTTCCCCCCTCCCCACCCCCACCCCCATCCCCATCCCCGTTCCCCATCCATCCTTTCACCCACTCCGCTCCCCCTCGTCCTTTCCTCGCGCTCTTCCCCTCCGCTACTTCGCTCAACACCAACACATACCACTAACTCAACTCTCTCCGAGGTCGCTTTGTGAGTCTTGCTCTCCTCTCTCTACATCTCCCTCTTCCCCTCACCTGACCTCTCCTTCACTTGTGAATTGCATCCATCCGTCGACCTCCTCACCATCTCCCTCCTCCACCACCTCTCCTGGGCTCGCCGCCTTTCTCCCGCCTTCCTCGCTTCTGTAATCGACACTCGCGCATCACGCCCTCAACTTCTTGCCACGCCCTACTCATCCACGCGTCCCCGTTCCACGTCCCCCGTCCCCGTCTCCGACTCCGACCCTCTTCTGCACCCACACCCACACCTGTACTCCGTATCCTATACTCGGACCCGCATTCGCACTCCTCTCCGGCCTTCATTACCGTCCCACTGACAGAGTCTCACCTTGCGTCACCTTGCAACCCGCCATGTCGGACAACCCTGCAGCTCACAAGCGCCCCGCATCCCCCCTCCTCGAGAACAACAACGCCAAACGCGCACGCGAAGGCACTTCTTCCTCGTCTCCTAAGAAGGACGCTTCCAAGACCGTTGTTGACAAGAAAAAGAAGATGGACGACAATGTCGAGACGTAAGTCGGACTCGCCTGACTCGAGAAACTCTAGTCAAACTTGTGTGGACTAACACATATACAGTGGTAGCACCGGTGATGCCGGACCTTCGACTGGCGCGACCATCTCTGCGCCCCCCACCACGATCCCCGCGACTCCGGCGAAGCCTTCTTCGGACTCGACCCCCACGGGCCAGCAGATTTCTATGCGCGCTCTGATTGTCACCCAGGACGCCTCGATCATCATTGGTCGCGCTGGTGCCCATGTCAATGAGATTAGGGTAAGAGTCATTGCGCGCTGCGAGTGACTGACCGTGCAGGAGAAGTCTGGCGCCCGTGTCACCATCTCCGAGTCTATTCCCGGCAACCCCGAGCGGATACTGAACGTTTTCGGCGCACTCGACGCCGTTTCCAAGGTGAGTAGTGGCGCCTCGCAAAGGACAGAAAGAGAGTTTTTGCTGACATGTTTCAGGCGTTCGGCCTCATTGTGCGCCGCATCAATGACGAGCCATTTGACGTCGCATCTGTCCCCGGCTCGCGTGCCGTCACCATCAAGTTCATCATCCCCAACTCGCGCATGGGCAGCGTGTAAGTGTGCGGAGTCGACTGCGCTGACTCTCCAGCATCGGCCGCGGTGGCTCCAAGATAAAGGAGATTCAGGACGCTTCGGGCGCTCGCCTGAACGCCTCCGAGGTCATGCTTCCTGGTTCGACCGAGCGCATTCTCTCTGTCTCTGGCGTGGCCGACGCGATTCACATCGCCGTCTACTACATTGGTACCATTCTCCTCGAGTACCAGGAGCGTAACCCTGGCCCTCCTGGTGGTGCCTATCGTCAGCAGTCTGGCGGATACCAGCAGCCCGCGAGCGGCGGATTCTCTGGCCCGCCTCCTCGCGGCGGCGGCGGTGGCGGCGGTGGTGGTGGTGGTGGTGGCGGCGGCGGCGGCGGTAGCGGCGGCGCCCCGCCAGTCGACATTGCCAGTCCCGGTTCGGCAACTCAGCAGATCTTCATTCCCAACTCGCTTGTCGGTGCCAGTGAGTACCCTTTGCGGAAGCCCTTCTAACTCGCAGTCATTGGCAAGTCGGGTGTCAAGATCAACGAGATCCGCGCGCAGTCTCAATGCCAGATCCGCGTCACGGAGCCGGGAACCGCGCCCGGCCCCGGCCAGGTTGCGAACCCGGACGAGCGCCTTGTCACGATCACGGGTCAGCCCAACAACATCAACGTTGCTGTGCAGATGCTCTACCACCGTCTCGAGGCCGAGAAGGCCAAGGCCGCGCAGGGCGGGATGTAGACAAACGAATACTGAGTGCCGATTATTACAACTCCTTCCTTATTCCCATGCCTCCTCCCCCTCCCCTCTCTCACCCCGCTCCCCGCTCCCCGTCTCCCAAGCCCCCCACCCTCGTCCCCGTCTCCCTGCCCATCCGAACATCGAGAGATTGATGATTTTGTGATATCTGCGGCATCTGGGATCTCCTATAGCAGTATGGATTGCGCAGTACGAATGTGTGGAGGAGTTGATGGATGAGCGGACGTCATTGCCCGATGACCTCCACCTTGGCTCACCACCAGCGTCATCGGGTTCTCGCTGAACGCCACCCAACTGAACATGATTAGAATCTTGTGCTTCTCCCATCTCATCATCTCAGCTACTCTCTCTGCAGCTTCGCGAACGTAGGCCATGTCGAACCACGACCCATGTCCAGACGAGCCTCCGCGCCTGGACGCGCTCCCACCTGAGATCCTCGAGGTCGTCTTCAGCTTTCTCCCGCGCAAGGACCTGGCAACTGTACTTGGCGTCAACACGCGCCTCCTCACGACAGCCTACCCGCTTCTGTACCGGCACTTGGTGCTCCACGCGCGCTTCCCCTCTCTCAGAGGAGGAATACGCGGCCTCTCACCGCTCGACCACATCCACTCTCTTCACCTAGGGCAGCACGACCCGTCCACCTGCGCCGCCGCGCTCTCCACCCTCGACACGACGCCCGGCACCTCCCACGTCCTCCCCCTCCTCTCCCTTCCGGCCACAGCACACCCAAATGTGCGCGACACATGCCCGCTCGCCTCGCAACGCATGCACACGCTAGTCATCCGCGCCGCGCCCCTCCTCTACGTCCGCGTAACCTACACATTCCACGCGGTGCGCGTGCCCCGCGCCATCGTGGTGTTCACGCCCGACTCGGCCGTCGTCGGCACGAATTTCAAGTACGAGGTGGCGCCGGACGGGCCGAACGGCTTCCTCCGCCGCTTCCCGAATGCGCGTGTTGTCGTGTGGGTGTTCGCGGCGCGCTGCTGGCGCCCGAGCCCGCGCCCGCGGAACACTGAGCCGAGGGCGCACTCTCGCGACGAAGCGGAAGAGGATGGACAGGTAGAGGGAGAGGGGGGCGCAGAGGAGGGGGAGAAGAAAAGAGAGGCAAAGAGACGCATGGAGGAGCGCAGGGAGCACGCGTACCTCGCCCGCACGTGGGTCGGGCGTCTCCTCTCCCCGGCCGTGTTTGGTGCGCTCAAGCGCCGATGCCCCGCTGTCCGCGAGCTGGTGCTCGTCAACGTCGAGGCGCTGGATCCTATTGCGGTCGTCGAGGCGGATTTGGGGCCGGAGCATGTTGGGCGCGTGGTGCGCAGATGGGTGGCGCACACCTTGCGAGGCATGGAGGGGTGGTCTTACGAGGAACGCGGGGATCACAACAGTTATGGGGTGGTGGTGGAGGAGGGAGTAGAGCAAGGACAGAAAGGACAGCAACGACTAGACGCGGACGACGTCAAGATGCGCTGCGTGACGCTGGAGGAGTTTACGTACGAAGAGCGGATGCGCGGGACTGCTGAGGGGGGTGTGCGGCGCGAGGAGATCGAGAGCTGGTTCGAGGAGGAGTGAGGAGGTGGTTATTGTAGAATAGTACGGCTGGGTTGTCGGGTTAGTGTATTGACATGCATCGCTTCTGATCGTCTCCGACCCGTCTCGCCCACACCATCTATCCATCCTCGTACATCTCAGAGCTGCGCGACACCTCCTACTCGAGCTTCTGCCCCTGCCCCCAGCGGTGCTGGTTCCAGTATCCCTCGTCCTCATCCACGTCGCTGTCCTCGGGATACTCTGGCTGGAACTCGTCGTCGTCATCACGCGCCGCCGTCGGCGCCACAGTCATATTCGGGGCTGTCTGGGGATGCGTCTGCCGCCCGCCGCTGGTAGGCCCGCGCGCCTCGTGGCGCGCCGCGCGCGCGCGCTCCTCGGCCTCCTCGGCCTCTTCCTGGACCTTGCGCTCGTGCTCCGCCTGCGCGGCGGCCGCCGCGCGCGCGTCCCGCGCGACCCGCTCCCGCTCCACGCGGTCCTTGACGGCGTTCCGGTCGTCCTCGATCTGGCGCTTGGCGGCCGCGATCCGCGCCGCCTCCTCGGCCTTGTGGCTCGTTTTGGACAGGTTCGTGCCCGCCACACGCGCTTGCAGATCCGGAAGCTGGTGTTAGCGCGTCGCGGCGAGCCAGCTCACCGCCTCCTTCAGCACGTCGGCGGCAAGGCCGAGCTCATACATCCGCCGATCGGTTTGGTCGAGCACGAAGCTCTGCACGAAGTCGGCCGTCTGGACGCGGAAGCCCATCTGGCGTCAGCGGCCATATCACGGAACCGGGCCGTGACGAGACTAACGAGGATGAGGAACTCGCGGCCACCGGGCACGGAAAAGACTTTGGTCTTGAGCGCCGCGTTGTCGCCCTTCAGCGTGCGGTACTTGGGGTCCGGCGACGTCTGGATATTGCTCGCGATCTTGACGAGCGTCTGGGATGAGCTATCCCACTCAGCATACTCGGGCACTCACCTCGACACACGTCGCAGCCTGCTGGTACCCGCTATCGCGAACAATTGTGCGCTGCAGCACGCGCGCAAGCTCGCGCCGCTTCTCGCGGTCTTCGCGCTCGCTGGGCCGCGTCCACGCCTTCGGGAGGTGGCGGGGCGCCGCGAAGAGCGGCGTGCTCCCGCCTGAGCCCGAGGGGGGCGAGGTGGACTCCGCGTCGGGCGCGGGCGCAGGCGCAAGACGCGCTTGGATGGCGGCGAGGCGGCGTTCGCGGTCGTCCATGATTTGGAGTGAAGAAAGTGGGAGACAGTCGAGAGAGATCGAGGTCAGAGAGAAGATGACGAGGGGTGACGCGTGCGGGGCCCAGCGGGAGCTTTTGGGTGGCGACTACAGTGTGGCAGTGATAGGTGCATGCATGGTCTACAAGAATTCGACACCGACGCCGACGCTGAGGCCGCGCCCCAGGCGCTCGCCTTTGCGCGCGATAATCGGCATCGAGAAGTTGAGCTCGATACGAAGCGGGTCGAATCTTGGGTCAGATGCGTGGTGATGACTAGACGTACCGGTATAGCAAACCCACGCCGACCGACAGCGACGGACACGTGTAGAGCTTGGCAATGTTTTCGGCGAAGTTGCGTGCTGGTGTCAGCTGGCGGGAAGACGAACCAGGCAAGCCCAGTGACGCCGACTCACTCTGGTCATATCGCAACACCTTGCCCATGTTGAGGAACGTGTGGAGCTTGAGGGGCCAGCTCTCCTTCTTCGGGATCGGCGCGATCATGCTTACGCCGAGCGCGTATGCGAGGTCGCCGCCCAGGCTGTCCGCCTTGTCGCTCATGCCCAGCCCGCCGACCTTGAAGCCGCGTACTGAGTTCGGGCCGCCCAGGAACGTCCGGTCTGGAAGGTACGTCTTGCCCTCGCCCTTCCAGAGGGGGTAGAGGATGGACGTGAACGAGGAGACCGAGACGAACTGGGGTCAGTAGGAGTGAAGGGAGACGCAAAGGTGTGCTTTGGCAACTTACGACATTGGATCCTGGGAAGATGGGGCGCGAGGCCTGGCTTTGCGTCGTCGATTTGAGGAAGTGCGCCAGCTCAGAGCTACCCGGCAACCCGGCGTATTCCTGTTGTCAGCCGAGATGAGGGCTGATACTCACATGAGTCGCCTTGAGCAGCCGCCCGGCGGTGCCACACCATGGGTCGTCACGCGTGTCGCTGACCCATGTGTGCGAGATGGCCGACTTGGTCGAAGGCAATGCCTGCTCGCGGATACTGGTGTCAGCTGGACCTCTGTCTTGATGGTCGTGGATCCAGGTCGACTCACGATACACTCGCCTTGGGCTGCAGATGCCCTATCTCGCGCGAGACATATTCGTACATGAGGTCGTGGTTGCCCCATGGTGTCAGCGCAGCGAGCTTGAGCCGCCCGCCCTGCGAGAGCTCGCGGTGGCTTGCGAATGCCGTGTTGTCACGGTCGAGCGAGAACGCCGACACTTGGAAGTTGAGGTACGGCGATGCGAGGACGGGGACTGAAAGCGATGCCTGGTGTCAGTCCACCTCTGTCGCCGACCTCACCTGGTACGCAGAGCGGGTTTTCGTGCCGAGGCTCGCGTTGACTTCGAGCGCCTCGCCGCCGCCAAGGGCATTGCGGATGCGCGCAGTCACATTACCACCACCTTCGTTGCCACCAAACTCCGTTCCGGCCTTTAGGAACAGGCGCCCGCGCTCGCGCAGACTCAGCACAAGCTCAAGCTCGTCCGGGTTGCCTGACGGGCTCGGCTCGAGGCGGATGCCAGTATGCGCTGCGTCGAAGACGCCCAGCTGGTCGATGTGCGCAAGCATATACTTCGTGCCCATGAGCACCTCGTGTAGCGTCTCGCCCTTCGGCGGGACGTTGTACAGCCACGCCGGCCACGTCGGCTGGAGAAAGGGGCGGAGCATGGCGTCGAGGAAGTCGCGGCGTGTGGTCGGCGGCGGCGGACTCAGCCGGATCGACGTCACGCGCATCGGACGCTCCATGCTGCTCCAAACGACGTCGCCAACGCTGCGCTGCGCCGACTCGTACTCGCCACGCAAGCGGCGCTGAAACTCCTCCTCCTGCCATGCCGCCACTTTCTCGGCGTCCTGTTCCCCCAGCGGACGGTCGTACCCCGGCTCCTGTGCGGAGCGGAAGATCGAGCCCGCGAGCGGCGGATCGAGCTGGCTTGGCGAGGCCGCCAGGTCACGCCGCAGCTGCGCCTCGATGCGCGCCTCGTCCTCAGGCGACAGGGTGGGTTTCGGGGGCGGAGGAGGCGGCGGCGGCGGGATGGGTTCTTCGTCTGGGATTGCGGCGGGGGGGACGTCGACCTCGGCGGCGACGGCGATCGTTGGCTCCGCCTTCTCCTTCTTAGCCTTCTTTGTCTTCTTCGTCTTCTTCTTTGGCGTCTCCTCGACAGGAGCCTCGGAGGGCACTTCGGAAGCCGGCGCGGGAGGAGGAGCTGGGATGTCGGCGGCAGGCAGGTCAGAAGGAGGAGCGGATGCGGCAGGCTCGGGTGAAGGTGCAGGCGCGGGGGGAGCAGCGGGGTCGGCAGCTGCGGAAGCCTCAGGCGCAGTCCCTACAGCCTCGCGGTGCTCCGGGATGCGCCGCTCCGCAGCTTGCCTGAGCCGGTCGCCGCGGGCCGAAGCGAAGAGCGCGGCGGCCGAGGGTGGCAGCACGGGCGCTTCTTCAGGCTGCGCAGGCTCGACGACCTGGGGCGGCGCGGACGGCGGGGGTCCCGGAGGCGGCGTGAACTCTACGCCGACCTCGGCGACCTCGGCCTTGGGCGGGCCGCCTTCAGCGTTGGCGTCCATTTTGATGGTGAGTGGGTGACGGAATGTCGGAGGATGTTCGGCGAAGCGCGAAGTCGACGCTGGTGGAAGAGCGGGATTGGGCGAGGCCGAGTTGGGGCTCCGAAAAAGTTCGAGACTACTCACTCCACGACCATGAGCACCGACAACTTGCCAGAGTCGAACGAGGAGTACGGCACGAGAGAGTACTGGTGAGTATCTGACGGAGGGCGGGTGGAGAAGAGGAGAAAACGAGTGGGAGAGCGAAGACGTTAACGATAGGGAGAAGCGGTATGCGGCCGAGCCGGAGGGCCACCACTTCGACTGGATTCTCAAGCCTGATTACCTGCTTGGCCTGGTGCGCGAGCTCACGACCGAACGGGGGACAGATACGCGCATGCTCATGCTCGGATGCGGGAACAGCTTGTTGTCAGAAGTGCTGTACGATGCGGGATACACCAACATTGTGAACATCGACTACTCGGCGGTTGTGATCCAGCAGATGAAGGAGCGTCACGCCGAGAAACGGCCTCTGATGACCTGGCTCGAGATGGACGTCACAGACCTCCAGTTTGAGGAGGAGTTTGACGTGGTCATTGACAAGGCGACGATGGAGTAAGTTGGGCAGTGGGGTGAAGCCACAGCGAGATGACCATTCCCGTGACACTCATGCTAACCCCAGCGCCATGCTCACGACCAAGGGCGACCCATGGGTGAGCTGAATGTGTTAACTGGGCTGACGACAGAATCCCCCGGAAAAGGACATCTACAATGCAACGAAGGAGGTCGACGAGGGCCTCCGAGTACTGCGCAAGCGTGCTGGGTCCAAGTTCATCTACTGGACCTGGTTCGCTGGGCCGTTCCGGAGAGTGAGTACCGCCGGCAGGAGTCTGGGTTGGCGCTGTCGAGGCCCGAGACTGGTGGTCTCGAGCCAGCCTCGCACACCCCTGCATCGCTAACCCCAGCGCTACTTTGAGAACCGCGACGGGTGGAAGTTCAACACACAGCAAGTAGGCCCTCCCGAAGGCTTCGAGTACTACCAGTACGTGCTCGAGTATGACGGGTGAGACGGTGGCCAAGATATCGATATCTACAGTGTACAACGGCCGTACAGGCATGTAGGACTACAACTCTACTCTAGCGGCTTGGGGGCTCCGAGACGGCGTCCCACTCCGAGTCGGCGCCGGCCTCGGAGCGCCACTCGTCCTCGGTCCACGACGAGACGGAGAGGACGTCGTCGGGGCGCGGAGAGTGGGTGGATGTCGGGGCTGATTGGCGGTGCGTGGAGTTGGGCGCCGGGAACGTCAGGTCCGAGCCGAGCATGCTCGCCGCGACCGGGGTCACGGGCGACGGGAAGGCGAGCTCGCTGCCTGCCATGACGGGCGAGAGAGGGCGAGAGGCACCGCGCGAGGCAACCGAGCCGGTCGCGTTCGGCGACAGCGAACCCGGAGTGTAGCTCTCCGCATCGATGTAGCTCGTGTTCGTGCCCGAGACACTGACGATGTCGATGTCGCTCGACATGTCGGGGCTCGACGGCGCCTCTATGAGCGTCGAGTGGCTTGGTGCGGGCGAGTCACTCGGGAGAGAGTGTACCGACGAGATGGTGGGCGAGAGCGCTGCCGAGCTCGGAGACTCGCTGTCAGCAAACGGGTTCTCCATGGCCGGAACGGGCGGGGAGGTGTACGGGACATCCTTGTCCATCACGATGAGGGGTACCGCCTCGTCTGGGGGTGCAGCGGAGGATGCACCCGACATGGGCGCAGGCTCAGGAGTGGCGTTGCGCTCGTGCCGGAATGGGGCGTCCTCGTCGAGAGGCGGGACGGGCTTGCGCCGCCGCGGAGTGTACGACACGGGCGCGCGGTGGGTCTCGACCATACTCTCGTCGAGCTCGTACTGCTCGGCCGGGCGGCGCCGGTATGCGTGGCCGCTAGCTACGGCCGTGCTCCGACCCTCCACCCGCTCTTCTTGTTGAGAAGGAACGGGCACGGCCCGTCGGTGGCGTCGGTTGTGCAATTCGCGCTGTTGCTCAATGAACGCCTCGATGACCGGCGCGAGGTGCGGGTCATAGACGAACTGATGTCAGCGGGAGGGGCGGAACGGTCAAGTACCTTCTTGAATGCATAGCCGGTGGCGGCGACGGCGATGGTCGTGCCGATGATTATGGGGATAGCGGGGGCCATGGTGCTCGTCTACAGTCCTAGGGGATGGGAAGAGAGGGGTCGGGGTGAGGGGCGGTGCGGTGCGGAGCGGCGCTCGCCGAAATTGCGGGTGGCGAACCGGCTTGTAGGGCCGGGCTCGTGACGCCGAGGATGAGGGTCTGCTGGACGCTGGGGAGAAGCAGACGTCGATTCGAGAGCAACGAGGAGGAGACGATGAAGAGGATGAGAAAAGTAGCGTCGTGCTTGTCGGAGAGAGATGGACGTCAGAGAGGACGCATACGTGAGCCACAAGCCGCAGTCCGCCCAGCCCGCCTGACGATCTCCACCCAGAGTGATCACGGGATCTCGTCATCTGCATCCGCATTTCTCTCACTCTGCTTACTATGCCCACTCGCCGACTCATTGCACCGCACTAACCGAGGCACTACACTGCCTGTTCACTGCCTGCTCAACAGGAGGCGTCACTGCACTCATGCCTGTCGAGCTCGCCAATCACCAACAACAGATCACGCGCGCGCGCGCGAGGGGATATTTCAAGATGGGTGGCGAACTCATGCCGTGTCGTTGCCCTGCGTAGCCCAATGGTGCCTGCGCCTGTACATCTCAGCCTCACCGAGACACGGCTACTACGAGTTTCCACTTGGACTATGACTTGGAGGGGCTCCGAGGGGGCGCCAGATGTCATCGTCGGCCCCATGGGACTAACGCGCGACCGGCGAGCACGAAGTCAAAAAGCGTCCAGCCAACATACCCGTTCGTCTACGGCGCTCTCGCCCGTGCATGCTGCTTTGCTGACGACCAAGGTGCACCCCTCCAGTACACTCCATGTTCGATCTCGGCAGCGCCGAAGCCTCTCTTGCAGCGTTGCGTGGTCCCGTACACCATTATGCGCTGCAGCGTGCCTTGCTTCTACGGAAGGCCTCCTGCCGCTCGATGCATGTGGGCGTCCCCTCCTCAATTGACGGGATATCGCGTCAGTATCTGCGATGGGCGGGCTAATTCCGCAATTCAGAGGACGGACTCGGCTGTGAACTACAACCGGGACCAGACGTGGTTAACACTCAAGGCCATAAAAGTCACATTGCCAGAACTTCGTATTACAACCCTTCCAGTTTCGCACACGCAAGACAGAGGCTTCTCCGCTTGGCGCTTGGCTATCTTCCCGGAAGATGCATTCGGGGTGGAAGCCTACTCATTCCGGCCCACTCACGCTCCTCTGACTTGTTCCTGCCACTCTCACCTCGACTACAGATACTTGCTGACCTCCTCCATCATGTGTACTGAGTGGTTTACTCGCCTGTTTTCTAACTGTGATATTACGCGCTATTCCCTGTGTCGTTATCAAACTTCTGCCTCACCCTCCTAAGAGACGAGATATGCGGGCGTCTTCGCCATCTCTCCCAGCGGCAACTTGGCGGAGTGGTTAACGCGATTGACTAGAATCCTCGGTGCTCAACAAGAGCAGGTGGTGATCAATTTCCTTCGGGAGCGCATGTTCGAATCATGCAGTTGTCGAGATCTCCTTTTGGCTGTGGAGGGGGCGTGCATCAGCGCCGGGCAGGCCCCGTAGAAGATGAGATGAGATGAGACCAGGCGACATGATAGGAAGGAAGTTCGGAGAATCCATCCTGCTACTGTGCACGGACGGATACATCTTCATTTCGCTACGAGATAAGTCTCCGCATCGGCCGCATGCGCAATACGAACGCGACTTTGATTGTTGGCGGTACCGATTTGCTGCAACGGGGGATAAGCGAGCTGACTTTTGTGTCCTCGGGAATGACGATCGGAACACTGCGCGGCGCGGGACCGAAAAGGCTGTTGAGGTGTGCGTCGTGCGGGTACTCGTTACATTTGGCCGCCACGACCCGCTTGCCGGGATTCATGACACCGCCCAGGGTGCGCAGAATCCACATCAACGAGGGGCCAGAGTACATGGGAATGGACGGGGATTGGAGCCCGTCGATCAGCATGTGGCAGGTCATGTCTTCGATGACCAAACACAATGTAACGGGGAGGGAGTAGTGACCCTCCGGTGAGTTCACGTCGTCATACGATGCGGTGGACATAGGGAAGACGCTGATGTTTTGTGCCCTGCTGTCCTTTGGGCGTGAGTTCGCTGGGCGGCCGGCGCTCTCTGCGTCCGAGCAGTCGCTGTCCGATCCCGTGCAACAGGCCTCCGAGCACCCTTGATCTCTCTCTTCGCGGTCGCCTTGAAGTCAGCAGTGCTGGGTGTTGAACGCACCTCTCACGGGTTGTCGAAAGAACCAGGGGTCGCCAAAAAAGCTGGGCAGGGTGGGACGCTCGCTTCCTCCATCGTCATCGCTGTCGCTGTTCATGGCTAATGGCGGACGCGAGACGGCAATAGTCGAGTTGATCATCTGCGCTAGCGGTCAGCCAAGGCAGTGTGCGGCTCTCACCTTGATCGTACGCGTCCTCGCGTAGCTTCGCCACGGTCTTCTCCAACAGCTGCAGCCGGCCCTGCATTATCTGGAGGCTCATGAACACCTGGTCAAGCCTATCATTTATCGCTTTCTGCCTCCCCTCCGTGTCGGCGCTGAGGGTGTCTATGATCCGACGTTCGACACGCGTCAGCTCCTGGCGCAGATCGCGCACCTCCTGCGCCCCCTGCGCTCCTTCGGAGCTGCCCGAGTCGAGATGCTCGATGACGTCCCGAACACCCTTGGTAATACTGCGCCGGACGACGCCGCCGACGCGGGCAGACAGATGTCTGGCGAGGATTGCCATGAGCTGGTTATCCTCGAACATGTCCATGAGCGGGTCTCGAAGGTCTTTGAGGGAGTCGGGGGGGTGGCCGGGCAGCTCGTCGTCGTAGTCATGTCCGTCGCTTTCGCTGTCACCACTGTCGCCGCTGGTTTCGCTGAACTCAGTTCTGTCTCCGGAGTGGACGCGGCGCCGCTTGGTGCCCCTGGGCGGGGTGTCGAGCCTGGCTCGCGAGCTCCGCCGCGCCGTGGTCCCACCGGGCATCGATTCGGCGGACCGCCGCTTCGGTGATGAGCGGAGGTCCATGGCGAAGTGAGTAATGGATCATTGTTTGGTCGCCCGCTGGGACATTTTATGTTGGGATCTCAGGGTTAAGAGTTATTCTTCGCGTCCGCACGGGGCGGCTGGTTAGCTGTCGTGATTCGCAGAGTCGCGGCGCCCCGGGGTGCGACGGTGAGCGTGACGGGAGAATGCATGATTCAAGGGCCTTGAGGGGTCGCATCGCGACGCGCTGAGAGAGCACGAGCCGCATTTGGGAGGCTGTGTCTTGAGGAGTGTTACTCAAATGGAATAGAATTCAGTATTACTGCATATTGCCTTGCGGAGTGGATGCCACATTTAATGCAGAGGTTGGTTGAGACACAACGCTCTGCAATTCACTGGAGTGGCGCTTCTAAAAGTTCTGTGTGAACCACAGTAGCTACGCAGCCTGGAAGACCCCGCCACCACCTATTCGCAACGCCATGCGTTTTACTGAGGGGGGAAGCGGAGGAATGAATACCAGCAAAGTTGACCAGCAAAATTAACAGGCGATGGAAGTGGGAAGAAGTCGCACGGCTGACGATCTGAACGGCCTCCTGCTTCCATTGCCTGCCCTCTTCGCCGTCGACATCCGTTGGCATGAACAACACCTTGTGTGGGATAACCGCCTTTTCCACGACAGCTGCTGAGAACACATACACCATGCCTGCGACTCTGCTCTTGCTAAGTTTGGTAGCGATGTTAGTAGTCGTTAGGATGGGCACGACACCTCATCATTCCCACGAGCGTGCACTGAGCCGTTATGGACAGTCATTACTGGATACTCGGTGCAGAGCACCCCGTGTGACACTGCGTATTTGCTCCTCCTTCCACCCCCTCTGTACATGTCGTCTCTGTGCATCAATGCGTTCATGCTCGGCACCACGCCAATTTAGGCTCCCTTCCAGCAAGATGCAACCATCCCCGGCCATTCAAGAAGCATGCAGCAAGTACGGCTTGGGGGCTAGTCGGCAATCTACATCAATGTGGTCTGGTAGGACGGAATTTTGGGCGAAGAGCAGTTCCTACATCTCATATGGTGCAGTGGTTTAGCATATTAGTCTTTCACGGTAGTTAAAGACACTAAAGACCCGGGTTCGAACCCCGGTATGAGAACAAATGTTTTGTATCCTCCTCTGATTTTGGGTGCGTAGCACTTCACTGCAATCCAGTTTCATGTCCATGCATGCAATGTCTCATCTAGTGGCCGTTGGTGACCTTGCCCTTGAACTTCTCCTGCTCCTCCTCTGTGCGGTCCTCGCCTGCGCTACCAAGGCCGCCAGCAGGCGCGAAGAATGTGCTGTACGGCACGAGCTTGGCGTTGGGATTGAGCTCAAGACCCCACCCCGGTGCATCGCTGAGGTCAATGCGGCCGTTGGTGGGCAGAACCTCGTTGGTGAAGAGGTCACCGAACGATGGGTGGATGCTCTCTCCATCAGGCGAGTTGGCAATGTACTCGCAGAAGTCCGAGTTGGGGAAGCTCATGATGGCCTGGAATGAGTAGGGTCCCGACCCGTGCGGCACAACGGGGATGTCGTACGCCGCCGCCATATTCGCAACCTTGATGAGCTCAGTGAGCCCGCCAAGCCACATGACGTCTGGTTGGATGATAGCGAGGTTGCGCCCCTCGATAAGCTTGCGGAACCCGTATTTGGAGTACTCGTGCTCGCCCGTCGTGAACTTGACGTGCGGGAGTGCGCGGTGCAGCTCGGCATGCCCATCGAAGTCGTCCGGGTGCAGGCACTCCTCCCACCAGTGCATGTGCAGGCCGGCGGCCTCGCACGCGCGCACCAGCTCGATCGTGTACGGCACGTCGAGCGACATGTAGCAGTCTACCATGACGGGGAAGTCGGGGCCGACGCTCTCCTTGGCTGCTTTGAGGTAGGCGACGTTGGCGCGGATGCCCGCAGGGCCGTCGGGCGGGCCGTGGGGCAGCGGGACTTTGGCGCCCCAGAAGCCCAGCTTCTTCGCCACAGCGGGCTTCGGGCCCGTCAGGTAGAGCGGGATGTCTTTCTTGGTGCGTCCGCCGATCATCTTGTAGATGGGCTCGCCGCGGATCTTGCCGATCAAATCCCAGATCGCAAGGTCGACGACCGAGATGGCAGCGAGGGGGAGGCCTGGTAGTGAGCGGGTCTCCTTGAGGGGAGGACGCCTCCGATCGACAAAGCTGGCTTGTGCCATCTGTACTTTCACCACTGCGCCTGCCACGCTGGGTAGAAGCTCACTCACCCTTGCGTCCGTAGAACATGCTCGCCCGGAACATCATGTCCCACATCTTGTTGGTGTCGCGAGGGTCCTGGCCCACAATGAAGCGCTTATAGTGCTCCTCAATGAGCCAGCACGCAGGCGGGCCGCCAAAGCCCGTCGCGTACCCAACTGTCCCGTCGGACGCGGTGATCTTGACGAAGATGGATCCGAGCACGCCGATGCCCCACGACGTGCGCGAGCTACGATACTCGTCGTACTTGTGCATCGGACACGAGATGTTGCCTTGCACAACTTCTGTCAGGAAGGACTGGAAACAACTCACTCCAGTGCTCGTTCGCCTGGCGGTGATAGTCACCCCCCGACCCCGTCGCGGACGGGATGAACGTTTCAAGCTTGGCCTGGAGTCAGCGAGGGACAGGCGTGGCAGGCGCACAATAGTAGGCCACTCTGGCATGGTGATGGGATGGGAGATGGTGATGGGACGAACGGGAACCCGGCGAGCTTAAGACCTTGGAGTCGAGCGATGTCGGCCCCGCTCCAGCAATCAGCGGGCAGAGAGCGCGTCGGCGCATGTCAACCCGGTCTCTCGGGGGAGGATTAGTCCGGCCACCGACCGGACACCGTGCCGGTAACGTCTCATCAGTAGCGCCGCATCGGTGACCGGCGATCTCGACTTGACCGGCGCGCCGGCGTGCCGGAGCATGCATCCTGATGGGCCTGTGTACCAGTGGACCACGGGCAATGCGGTTCTTTATCTAGCACTGTCAGCAACAGAATCTTGAACGATAGGACCGTGATGTAGTGATTGATGTAGTGATTGATTCTCAGCAGTCGGGCAAAAGACGTGCCGAACTTCGGCCCGCCCACCCGGTGCCCACCAAGATTAAGATCAAGAACGCGACCCCCGCCTCCGAAATACAGCATGTCCACCCGCCTGTTCCGTCCCTCGGCTCGCTATGATCACCACACACCTTTTGGAGGGCAAGACTGTAATCGTAACGGGGAGCAGCACGGGCATCGGCGCGGCGATTGCGATAGGTACGTCCGCCCCCCTACAATTTCATCTAACGGCAGCGTGTGCGAACCATGGCGCGCGTGCCGTGGTCCTGCACCACCTGGGCGAATCCACGCTCGCAGACGTCAGTGAAGTAGCCGAGCGCGTGCGCGCCGCCGGCGCCCACTCAGTGCTCGTGGAGGGCGACATCGCGTCACCTTCCACCGCAGAGTCGCTCGTGAAGGCCGCGCCGTACGGGCGCATCGACGTGCTGGTATCGAACGCCGGCATCTGCCCCTTCCACGCGTTCCTCGACCTGCCGCACGACCTCTGGCGGCGCGTGCAAGATGTCAACCTTAACGGCGCCTTTTACGCCGTGCAGGCCGTCGCGAATGCCATGGCGGCGCAGGATCCGCCGGGCGGCAGCATCGTAGCGATCAGCAGCATTTCGGCGCTCATGGGCGGTGCGGAGCAATGTCACTATACGCCAACGAAGGCGGGCGTCAAGAGCTTGATGGAAAGCTGTGCGATTGCGCTGGGACACCTGGGGATTAGGTGTAACTCTGTGCTGCCTGGTGGGGCTGATGTGGAAGTCGCTGATAGCAGGGACCATCGAGACGAATATCAATAGGGACGACCTTGCGGATCCACAGAAGCGCCGGGATATGACAAGGAGGATTCCAATCGGGCGTCTCGGCGAGCCGGACGACATTGCGCAGCCTGTCGTCTTCTTTGCGAGTGACATGGCGAAATACTGCACCGGCGCGAGTTTGCTCGTCGACGGTGGCGCGGCGATCAGCCTGCAGTAGGACGTGAGGGACGTTGCGCCAAATACACTATCGTCACCGTGCACCCCCCATAAACACTCGGTGCTGCCTCGGTGTCAGCAACGTAACCGGCATGCCCGAACGCTTACGTTCTCCCGAGCCGCGAAGAACGAAGTTGTTCTCAGGCAGACATGGGGTTGGCTAAGGTTGCGGGAGGGTCTAGTGAGCAATGAAATGCATGGCTAAGGTTGCGGGAGGGTCTAGTGAGCAATGAAATGCATTTGAACCAAGCTATGCTACATCTGCCAACTAAATCTGAAGGCCGCCGATACTTCCACGGAACGACCTCCAATCTATCTCTCAACTGATCTCGGCCTACCACCGCGCATTCTCATCGGCTTCGGTAACAACCCGCCGACTCACTCTCTTCTCGCTGGCCCTGCGCTGGGCGATCTTATCGCTCGCGCGGCGCGCAACCGCTTGCGCCATAGACGCGATCGGTGACCCCGGGCCCGACTGCGTCCGCAGTGACACTATCCGGCTTGCGGGCATGAGCGGCGCCGGTGCCGCACGCCGTGGCGTCCTCGGCGACCGGCTCAAACTCGCGGGCGGCCGCTTCGGGGTGAGCCTGCTGGGTGGGGTCCCCACCTCCCCTCTCGGTATTGCCACCCCATCTCCCACCACACCCACAACCTCAGGCGCCCCCGCTCCACCTCCAACCCCCACACCCGTGCCTGCACTCGTCCGCCACTCCTCTAGCCTCTCGCCAAGCTCATCGGCAGGCGCGTCAAGGAGATACGTCGGCATATCGACGAACTCGACGGTGCAGCACGAGCGCCCTTCGGCGCGTAGCGCGTTGCGGAAGTGTGTTTCGAGGAGAGCTTGCCCGCGGACCGGATCCCACGCATCCGTGCCGAGTGTGCGGTGGTCTACCGCCCCCGCATTTACGATGCGGACGGTCAGTGGTAGATGGGCGAGGTGGGCGGCGAGCTCGGCAAGCATACGACCCGCCCAGCTTTGGTGTACGTCGCTGTCGCCGCCTGGGGTGCGGAACTCCATCCATGGCACCGGAGGGACGAGAACAAGCGTGGCGCTGCAGGCAGTGGTATGTGCGATGTCACTGGCGATTGCACTCGCCAGGAGTACTGGCGCGAGCGGGTCGACGTTGTCGTCTGGTGCAAGGAGGAGGACGTAGTGGTCTACGGCCGCGAGCGTGGCGTACGGCAGCGACGTCAGGGGGGACGAACAGGGTGCGCCAACAAGCACGAGCTTTGGCGCGCGGACGTTCTGCAGCGCCGCGCATTGGGGCACGATATCGCGCTGCCCAGTGTCAGTGTGCAGCGGGGCGTGGACGCGCAGCGTGCGGATGCGTGGCAGGAACGGGATGCGCTCGGGGCAGTTGTGCGTGGGCGGCGCGTACTCCGTGTCCGTTTCGTGCGCGTGCGCGCGCATACATCGGCGGCTGGGGTGGGCGTGTACGTCGAGGGTGTGCACCCATGCCTCGGGGGGGTGGGCGGTGAGCCAGTCCTCGTATTCGCGGGGAGCGGGGACGAGGGGTCGTAGTCGTGGCCACGGGGCGCGGGGGAGGATGAGGTGCGTATGCAGAACTGGGGAGACAAGCCAGTAGAACGCCGTATTGAGGCGCAGAAGCGTGGCTTTGTCCGACCGCGGGAGATGAGGGAGCACAGCGAGAAGGAGCGCCGGGTCGAACGGCGTCAGGAGGAGATGCGTGCGCGCCGTCGAGAGAAGGGTGCGGAGCGAGGGCGTGCGGCGCAGCTCGTACGAGCGCCGGTTAGCTGTTGGGAATGGTGTGGTGGGGTGTCGCGGGAAAGACATTGTGCGGGGTGAGCTGGTGAGCAGCGCGTTTTCAAATGGAGCTGCTGGCAAAGTGTCGAGGCGTGGAGATGTGAAGGGGTGGAGGCTGTCGATCTGGCGAGCTGGCGATCTTTGAGACAGCGATTGCGCGCATCTCATGCTTCACAGTGCATCGGGTCTGACGCGCCTGACTTGTTTGCTTGATTTCTCATGAGCGACGACAACATTGCGACCCCGTGCCTGGACATTGCCCGCCATGACGCGAGGGAATGAATCTGGCACGTGAGCATGGGTGGGCCTGGCGGTTCAGCCGCCCCGAAATGGACATCGTCAAAGGCCGCGGCCCATACGTCACATCAGTTTTTGCAGGATGCATGAGTGAACGTGCAAGCAACTCGACTCAGCTGAACGGTAGAACGTGAAATGCTGGGATGGAAAGCATGGGTGTGCCTCCACTAGCATCTCATTGCACGGCGCATGTGATCTTGTGACTCCCACTGTCCTCTCGCACGCCCCTTTCGTCTCTGCGCGCTATTCCAGAACCTCCCATCTTCTACACCCCCAATGGCGCCCCGTGTTTACACAAACTCGCTCTTGCGAGATGCTCCGCCTCACCAATTCTCATTCCAGATACGCAGCATTTCTCCGCCTAGGGTGGTCCGTGCTCGTTGATTGTTCGCGGCAAGTGCCGTCCACGTAGTGTGATTGCATCGCGGATCGCGGAATGGAAGCGGTCCATGGCGTCGAGGGAGTGATGGGAATCCCGGACGTTCCGTCCCTTCGTGGCCATCACTCGCTACGTCTGCAGCAATCAGTGATAACCTGTCAGTGAGCCGTGGTTTTACCGCGAGCTGCTGGACATGACACGTCTCCTTCGGCAGCTCTGGCTGTGATATCTCAGGTGACCCCACCACTTGTCGCGACCTCCCGGGCGGTGCTTGTCATGCAGATCTGCTTGGCACAGTGCACTGTGCGCTGCTGATCTAATGAAGGCAGGGAGGACAATAGCGGGGGAGTGGGGAAATGTGGCGCCACAGCCACCATGCCGCCCCCGCCTCGGCCTTCAAGCATCAGACTGAAATTTGGCATCAGCCCAATACGATCGCCCGCCCCACGTCGGCGAAATTAACGAGAGCGTGTCACCTGACGTGGAGAATGTGGATGCAAGTGGTGGGCAGTGGGCTTGACGACGAGGTGACGGCCAAACCCGCTGCGTTTGAGTCAGAAGTAGTAGCTAGCTTGCCCGCTTCCGCACGTTTGCGGTTGCGGGCGGAAGGTGGAAGTCTACAAATACAAAATACCAATGGCCGACACCCGCCGCCAACCACATGCATGCTTGGCATCGCCGGCCCGTTTTCCGGTGCCGCAGTCACTCACTCACCGAGGCCGAATTTGTATTTGCGTATATCTCGGCATGGGCGAAGCCAAGCCAAGCTCAAGGCAGGGCACAGTGGAGGGCCCGCTTTCGTTCGTTCAGTCAGCCAATGTGCACGTGGGCGTCGCATTGTGGTTGCATAGTGGCGCTGGGAGGAATGAGCTGCTTTGTGATGGAAACAACGTGCCCAGCAACTGGGAACGCTAGATCTGTGCCTGTAACAAAAGTGGGGCGGTGGTAGAGGGAGTCACAGCTGGTCACGCGCGCTTGAACACGTACGTTGGGCGACAGACTGGTACTGCAACGCTAGGTGACAGCATGGTGCTAGTAGCGACGAGCTCGACGACCATCACGAGACGCGACAGCGGTGACACTACCTACTCCGCCGCTACTTGCCCGGTCCGGCATTCAATTCTGCAATCAGCAAGGCAATCAGCGTGATAACACCGAGATGTGTCGGGAAGGAACGGAGTGGAGGCGAGGGGTACGAGCCAGGAGACATATTGCGCAGCGCTCGATCACCTCGGCCTCAATGGCATGGCAGGAAAGTAGCCGGGCCTGCCGGGGGTGTCGGGGGCCGAGTGATCGCGGGTGACGTATAGATTTGCCCCAAAAGATGGAGGCGACAAGATACGAACACGCGATGGAAGCCCCGGTAACTGCTGCCCGGGGATTGATATGGCGCGTCAGCATCAGACGCTGACGCGAGATGAAATCAGGCACGCCACGATATCTGTCAGGTACGCCGCGCCAACATGCTGGTCCCTGATTCTCCCTTGCGCCCCCCAGCGCCCGCCTCGTCTTCCGCCGTGCCTGTCCTCCACCCACCCCGCCTGGCCCCACTCTGCACAGACCGTAGCCCCAGGAACATCAGGGTCATGTGTGCCGGCATGCTCCGCGGAAGGGTGAGGGCAGAAGAGCAGAGGAAGCTTGATTGCGACCCTGGATCCAAACGTGACCTGCACCCAGAATGGGAGCCATAATTCCTCATCAGCAGCGTCCAGCACCTCCGGTCATTCACTTGGTTTGCTTTGCCGAGCGAATCAGCGCGCTCGAGGCACGGGACGCCACGTGGACAGTCAGCTCCAACACTGAGATTGTGACGCTAGCCGGATAGCCGGTGGGAGAGATCACAAATCCGGCGGCACGTTTGGTATCATGTTTGGTATCACGGCCACCCCGCCACCCCGCGTTTGGTATTTTCGCCCTCGCTATCCTCCTGGCCGTCCTCCCTCCCCCTTCCCGTCGTCCTGCTCATCGCTCAGGGCGCGCCCGTCCGTTCAGATGGACCCCGTGACGCCGCCGTCAGTGTCGGCGGCGCCGACGATCAAGGCCATCAGGCTAAACCCCACACCCCGCAGGGCTGCTGCGTGATTCACGCGATTCATCGTAGAATACTGGGAGCAGCATGCAGGGGGGTGCGGGGCACACGCTGGGGATACAGTGTGGCGCGGTGTTGTGATGGCTAAAATGGCTGATGTGATGTGATGAGATGAGCATAAGGCGCCGAATGACGGCGGCGTTGCGCAAGCGAGCTCGGCGTCGACGTGAACACCGCGCGGTGGTCAGTAACGAGGTATCTAGCGGTATCCAGGACCTTGAGCGCTCGTGCGTTGCTCCGCCGGTATCTATCATCATCAAGCATCAGACCAGAGCACCAGAGCTGCAAGAAAATCGTGCGAGCTGTTCCGAGTCCAGCCTGTAGCATCTGCGACGGAAGGAGAAGGGAAAGAGGGAGGGAGGGAGTGGATGGAAAATGAGCGAAATGAGGGGAATTTACCCAAAACCTTGTGATTTGAAGGGAGGGAAAGGGAGAGTGCGGGGTGTGCGGGGTCGTAGATGGGTAAACCTCAGGCACAAAGGGTTTTTCATCAACCCCCCCTGAGCCCCTGCTCACATCGGCGGCGCCGACTCTCCCCCTCCTACCTCCTCTATTCCTCCTCACATCAGCTTGATCTCCTTGCGCTCTCGCTTGCTCGCTCTCTCGGTCGTGGCGCTCACAACTACAGGCACAATCCCACAGGACAATCTGTCAAGCATGCCGCCCCCAAGCTTCCACCTGGTCTTGGGCAGGTGTCAGGCCCACACAGCGCTCTGTTCGAATCGTCGTTTCCATCGCTCGCCCTCATTGTTGGTTGGCAGAATGCATAAAGAGCTATCCAACTCTTCTTTCTTGGCCCCGTCCCCCTCGTCTTGCTCGTCATCACTCTGCTGTTACAAGCTAGCAGCTAGCAAGTTATCGCACCCAGCTCCAAGCCAAGCGCATACCACTTCACCTCCCCTCCTCAACGTCGCCTGTCAACGAGAGCGTCCTCGACCCTCACTGTCGTCGTCATCAACGCTGTGACCCCCGCTGGCCCTGTTCACAACGCAACAACGCTCAGACCCCGACGCGCTTATCTGGATCTCGAGCATCGCCTCCCGTAATTACTTCCCACCTTTTCGTCGACACCATCGCCATCACCATCGTCGACATTGACGACGGAGGGACCACCACCATCTAAAAGGCCGATTTTGAGCCACCGATCCACCGAGCGCCACATACCCCGCACTCTTCCCCACTCCAATCCCACTCTACACCCGCTCATCCGCACATCCCTTCCGCCTCCACTTCTCCACGCTTCGAATCATCGCCGGAGCCACGCATCGTCGCATCTTTTTGCCTTGGCTGGACACGGCTCTCATCCCCCCATTTTGCCGAGTAGACCCGAGGTTCTCCCTTTGCTATCAGTCCACTCCACCATCCATCCTCTCGCCGTCGCCATCCATCCCCTCCCCAGTTTCCTACGCCGCAAGGCATGACAGACACAATGGCAGCACGACAGGGCTCATGGAGCGCGCCCTCCGGCACCGCCGCCGCAGCGCGCAAGCTCTCCAAGTCCGAATCTGAATCCTCGTCATCCCCTACCTCCACCAACCAGACTTCCAACATTGGTCCAGTTCGCAAGTCCCCCCCACGCAAGGGCGAGGCCAAGCGCAACGCCGACGGCAAGCCCACTCGCAAAAAGGTCGCAAAGGCCTGCCTCGCATGCCAGAAGAGCCACCTCACCTGCGACGAGAGTGAGTGGGGCCGCGTCGCACTGCGTCAATAGCACACAGGCTTGGCGCGCAGCATCCTCCCGCACCAACATACTGATCATCAGGCCGCCCATGTAACCGCTGCATGAAGAAGGGGATCGGAGACCAGTGCGTCGAGGGTGTGCGCAAAAAGGCAAAGTACCTCATGGAGGGCGATGAACGGGGTGAGTACATTAGTTTGCCCGTCGGCTCGTGGTCGACTCGTCGAGCTTTGCGGCTTTTCTATACACAAGCGCTTACACCGCAGCACGCCCACCCGTCGCTCCTACCGCCGCTCCTCCCGCACCACTAGTCCAGCCAACAGCTGCACCACCCGCAGCACCGCCCTCGTTCCCCTCCACGTCGCCGCCAAACCACGCCAACAACTTTGGCCATGTCCCCGTGTCAATGCTCCCTGGCGTCGTCGTGCCTCCGCCCAACTTGGACCCCGTCCGCGTCCCCGATAACATCTGGCTCACGGCACCTTTGCCCGAGGTCCAGACCGCTCCCCAGACACTCGACTGGTCTGCGCAGGACAACAACCCATTCAGTGAGTCATGAGCCACCAAGCACAGACCACGCGTCCCTGTGGCGTGCGCAGCTTGGGTCGCGCGTGATCGCCCTCGCGCCGCCTTCGAGCCACCGTGCTGACCCTAGACTTCACTGCCTCCGCCGCGGCCAACCTCGAGTACGAGATGTTCGACTCCATGTTCGGCTCCCTCTCCCCGTCGTTCCCATTAGGTGACCTGGGGAATACGACGGATGCGTCGACACCGACGGTCTGGTCCAACCTCGGGTTACCTGACCCGGCGAACGCCTCGCACCCGCCAAGCGTGACCGATTTCCTCGGTACCAACGACTCAGGACTGCAGCAGACGCTCGGTGCCGACCTGTCGCCAACGACCATGTTCCCCGGGACTTGGTCCGGCAACGACGAGATGGGCGCCATCCCACACTTGGACGTCGAGACGAAGCCGCGCAAATTGACCCCCGACGACGTCTACCGCACCGTCCTCAAGCCCTACGACTACACGGAAGGCTACCACATCCTGATGCAGTACCTGACGCAAAACTTTGAGAAGAACGACATCCTGCGCGTCGTGCGCGCCCTCGCGGCCTTCCGCCCCTCGCTGATCGCCCTCCAAATGCCTATGAGCGAGGATGACGAGATCTTCCTCGAGCGCTCGTTCCAACGCACCCTCATCGAACTCGAAAAGCTCATCTCGTACTCGGCAACGCCGACCGCCGTGTGGCGGCGCACAGGCGAGATCGTGTGTGTGTCCCCCGAGTTCTGCCAGCTCGTAGGCAAGAAGGAGGAGGAGATCGTGCGCAACCGTACCTGCATCTACCAGCTGTTCAACAAGGCGGGCACGATCGAGTACTGGGAGAACTTTGCCGAGCACGCGTTCGAGAACACGACGCAGAACTTCTTCCAGGCCACCACGCTCGAGAACGACAAGAAGACTGTGCCGTGTGCGGCGTGCTTTACCATCCGCCGCGACGTGTTCGACCTCCCCTCCGTCATCATCGGCCAGTTCCTCCCCATTCCGCCTGAGGCGATGGCGTGAGGCGGGTGTGCGGGTGTGCGGGTGTGATAGCGGAGTGCTTGCGCGCCGCATTGACGTGTTTATGAGTGTACGATGAACGGAGGCGAGTGTACGATTAGTGTAGTAGCTATCTGTAAGGCAATAGGCATGGCACTTGATCTGAAGACACTGGGAGGATGAAGCCACAGTCGCTCGCCTCGTCACACGAAGACAGATCACCACAGACTTTAGCGAACTTTTGCAGGTTGCAATGCTCGTCATTCAGACGGAGCGCTCCGACGTAATTCTGTTCCGGAGATCCGTTATCCAGAGGTCGGAAACGTCCAGTGCCTGCGTGATAACGTCATGGCGGGAGCAAATCCACCTCTGGCACCGAACGGCAGAACAACATGCCGACGCCGAGCTCTCCACTTGACATCTTCTGCGAGGCTTACGGACCGCTCCGCACCTACGCATCACCCTCCCGCTCCGTGTCTCAGCAACACCACCTCGCCGCCGCACTCACCTCCACTTGGCATTCCCTCGGACCGCTCGGTCCACTCCCCTCCCCCTCTCCCCACCCTCAACTGCCTCCCCACCATGGGCCGCTGGGGCGACCCACCACCCACACCCATACACGGGCACAAGCGCCGACGCGAGAGCAGCATCGAGGACAGACCCCTTGCAATTACATGCACGCCGTGCCGTGCGCGCAAGATCAGTATGTAGCCTCGAGACCGTTTCCTCGTCTCCTCTTGGGCGCAAGATCAAGCAACGCAGGAGCTCACACCAGAATGCGACTCGACCAAACCCACATGCGATAATTGCGCCAAGAACCCCGCCGAGTGCGTGTACCCTATCAAGCTCAAGCCCGGGCTGCGGCCCGGCACTGGTACGGACATGACGAAGCGCATCGAGGCGCTCGAAGAGCGTGTCGCGGAGCAAGCGGCACGGCTGGCGGAGCACGAGGCGCGCTTCGCCTCGCTATCGCAGGCGCAGGCACAGGTGCAGCCCAAGCCTGCCGCGGCATCCGGCTCCGCCGCGGCCCCCGGCCCCTCCGTCTCCCCCTCGACGTCGCAGTGGCTCTCCGCGGGCGAGCTGCTCACGCCCCTCCCCTTCGCAGGTGCGACGCCCATCATCTCGCCCGACATGCCGCTCGACCTAGGCTTCGGGGGCACGTCTCCCGGCGCGGGCAGCACGACGAGCTTTCTCGACCCGCACCTCCTCCCTCCAGACGACATAGTGCGCGACCTCATCGCGCTCTACTTCTCGCACATTGCACCGTGGGCCCCCATCTTGCGTCCTGCGACCTACGCGCCCCCCTGGCCGATTACGGTATACGCGATTGTGGTGGTCACGCTCCGCCTGTCCTCGGACCCCCGCCTCACCTCCTCGCGGCAGCAGTACTGGCGCGCAGCCAAGTCGCACGTCCTCTCGCACGCGATCGAGAGCACCTCCATCGCGTCCGTGCAAGCGCTTGCGCTGCTTGCCCTCGACCTTATAGGCAGCGAGCAAGGCCCGAGCTCGTGGGGCATCCTCGCGCTGCTCACGCGCTCGGCCGTGCATCTCGGCCTGATCAGCGAGGACGAGCGGCGCGCGCCGGCGCACAGCCTATCGAGGACGAGCATCATCCCCCCGCCCGCGGATTGGGGGGAGGACGAGAGCCGCAGGCGCCTGTTTTGGCTGATATTTTGTCTCGATCGATACGCGTGCGTCTCGACAGGATGGGACTTTGCGCTCCCCGACTTTGAGATCAAGCGGCGCTTGCCGTGCGCCGACGAGCTGTGGGCTGGGAGTGTGAGTGGATGCGAGCGCGAGCGCGAGGAGTGCATGCAATATACGTAGTGAGTCGAACCGCTGACGCCAGGAATGGCACACCACCCCGCTCTACACCCCCGTGCTGCACCGCGACGCGCCGCCCAACCCCGCGCAGCTCAGCCCAATGGCATACCTCGTCGAAGCGCTAGATCTGCTCGGGCGCGCGCACACGCTGCAAACGCGCACGGTGGAGCCGAGCGACGCGCGCGAAGTCGAGCACCGCAAAGACATGACGATGACGCTCACATCCGCTGCGCGGCGGTGGTTCAGCGACCTCCCGCCGCTCGAGGCGGGCAGCATGAGTCTTGTGATCGTGAGTGTCTCCCTCCTTTCTCCTCTTTCCCCATCCCCTCCTCGACTCTACGGCCCTCTTGCGGCCCGCCGCGCAGGCTCGCCCGCCGCCGCCGCTCACACCAGCAAGCAATCTACCACGCAACCCTCCTCAAACTGAACGCATACTACGCCTATCCCGCGCTGGGCACGGGCACGCCGCCCCAGCCCTTCGGGGACACATGCATGGCGTCCGCGCACGCGCTCGCGCATCTCTGCAGCGCGGCGCGCGACCTCGGATGGCGCAAGGCCAGCTCGCCCCTCTTCATATGGAGCACGTGGGTCGCGGCCCGCGTGCTTTTCGTGCACGACTTTGTCGCGCACCGCGACGCACCATGTGCCGAGTTTGAGGAGATCCTCGCGGCGTTGAAAGAGCAGGCGCCGTATTGGAGTTTGGCGAGTGAGTATGACCTACCTACCCGTCGCCGGACATGCCTGACACCAGACCAATACACCAAACTCCTCGAACGCGCCAAGCGCAAGTGGGCGGCGGGGAGCGCGTACGATGCCGAGGCTAACCCCTCCCTCCCGGACGCAATCCACGTCCTCCTCGACCTCCGGCGCACGGCGTATTCTGCCGTCGGCGCGAAGGGCGAGGCGACGCCGTACGTCTCCCCGCCAGACGTCAGCCTCAGCCACCTCCCGGCATGGGCTGTCCAGCCGCTCCTCGGCGACCTGCACAACTGGTTCGACCTGCCCGCGGGATTGTTCACCGAGGGAGGATAGTCGACATATATATGTTACATTATACAAAATATAGCTACTCGCCAACGAGACGGATGCCGATGCGCAGCCACCCATCCGCACCCGCCATGCATGCTGCGAGCCAGGCTACGTCCGCGTCTGGCGGCAGCAGGATGCCCTGTGCGATCGGCTGCGCGAGGGCATTCCCATCTTCAAAGAGGAGCGGGAGCATTGTCCTGAGCATCTGGAGGAGCGTCGTCGGCTTGCCGTCCGTCAGCGGCGCCACGGGGCATTGTATCGGTGGCGCGCCGTCGGGGAGGTACACGCGGATCGGAAGGCTGCGTGCAGTGTACGCGCTGTCCGTCTTGGCATCGGGTTGTGGCGACGTCGGAGGCGTGTTGGGAATTGGAAGGGGGACGATGCGGCCAGCCATGCGCGCATGCAAGTCGTAGTCGCCAGCGACAACGCCGTCCCACCCAGCCTCAAAGTCGGCGCGGCGCAGCCCCGTCACGCGCTTCGTGTTGCCCCAGCGCACAAAGTCGGCCTCCTTGACCTGGCTCACGAAGTAGGTCTTGATCGCGTCCAACGACGGGGGGACTACCAGCTTGTCTGCCGGCGCGCCTTTGAGGTGCAGGATGAGCTTGAGGGGTTCGGAGACGGGGGATGGTGGGGAGAGAGATGGGGGAGAGGTGCGCGTGTTGAGGGACTGGGAGGGAGGCAAGCCGCGCAGCATCGCCGCGCTCAAGTCGACGAGGTCGAGCGGCCAGTGCCACCGCACCACGTCGCCGGCGAATGGCGAGTCTGTTGCGTCGAGCTGGAACCACCATTCGGCCTCGGATGTGCTTGCCAGCGCGTCGTCGTCGAGCGCCAGCTCAACCAGATGTTCCCGGATGGTCGGGAGGAGGAGGGCGAGGTAGGTGTAGCGTGGTGCGTGCATCTGGGGTTAGCTGGTGGGTGGGCGGGTAAGGCGGAGGTCAGGGGCAGGTAGAGTGAGACTCGGAGGCGGCCGACATGTCCGCATTGACGAAGGAGCGCCTTGTCATGGACAGCCGAGATCAAGCAGCGGCGAGCACGCCACGGCCTTACGCCTCCATCCTGTTATGCCACTGTCATTTGGCCTCGTCCCTCGATCGATCGTTCATGGTCCGAGTCCAGACCGCTCCAGCTCTGCCAAGAAGCGACCTCGCCATCACTCACAAAGTAGCGATCGACTGGTCCTGTCGCGTTGGCCAGCCGGATCTCAAGTGGGACGGTCGCGCTCCATGCCAGCTGCCTGAAGAGGTTTGTCGATGTCTGGACGGCGCCGGACATGGTGAGCGATGGAGTGAATGTGGAAGGAGGAGGTGCTGTGGTGGACGCGGCGCGCGTTCGAGCGTCAATAAGGGATCAGTGCGGGGTTGGCGTGCGCCTAACATCTCCTGGGCGATAGGCGTTTGAGTGGCAAACTGTAGGCACACGTAACCCAGGATAGGCCCATGGACATTCATTCCACGTGCCTCTTAAACAGCTTAATTGCCCCCTGATTCCAGTGCTCGGCCACAGCAAGCAGCGAGCGCACCTCTTTGCATGGCGCCCAGTGAGGTAATGATATCTTGATCGTGATGGAATGCACAACTTCGCATCCCAAGGACGCCGCTGGGAAGTGGTCGCTGGTTGGAGGGTGCCAGAGTGTCGGAACCCCAGGGCGAGCGCTCACTGCGACGGAATGTGGCCACGGACATTCCGTCGTCATCCTCCGTCTCAGCCGCTCGCCTCGGCTTGTTGATGCCTCCGTCCCCAGCCGCAACCACCACCACAATGCGTTGCCGAGCACTCGGACATGCAGAGACGGACATGCTCTGCATCCAATGTCCAGAGCTTGGAGAGACCGTGGAGGAGTAGAGTCCGCGAAGCATGCCAAGCTGGAGGATGGTCAGAGGATGGATGGCTTGCATTCATAACGCCACCGACGCTCTCTCTCTTGGCTCAACATCTCTCTCGTCTCCGCCCTCTTCTCCTCCATCACCCCTCTTTCACTCTTCCCCATCATCTCCGTCCCTCCTCTGAGCTCAACGCTCCCACGCTGAAGACGCGTCCGCCTGCTGCACTCAGCTCAACCGAGCGCTGTGAAGAACGCGACGCGATGGTTGCCGCGGCACCGGCAGCCCACCCTCGATCCCAGCCACCGCCACCCACTCGTCCCATTCTAACTCTCCCGATCCCTCCGCCTCGCCGCCGCTCGGCTGACGCGGTCACGTCGCAGTCATTTACCGCCAGTCCCTCTGCGTTCTCCTCATAAGATCACAAACTCACAGCCGCTCACGGCCATCGCAGAGATCACAGTCGCAAGTGTCTCTGGAGGAAGCAGATACACACGCACTGCTCTCACCAAGATCCCCATTCCCCACCGTCATCCCTCCACCCCGACGAGCACGGCAGAAGCATCCTCTCGACGCAGGCCATGAACATGTCTCGCTCATCGTCTCTCTTTGCGAGCGACTACTCTCTCACTCCTACTCAAAGTCGAGACGACCCAGCACAGCCGCGCCTAAGCCCCTCGATTCCTCAGCTTCCGCAGCGGTACCACAGTCACCCCAGCAGCACCACCTCGATCAGGCCAATGCACGCGTCATCCCTGCGTCCGCGGACCAGGGCGAGCATGGCCAAGGCCCCCACGCCACCCAGCCCGCGCATACGCACGAGCGGAACAGACTGTGTGTCATGCATGGAGAGTGAGTTGCGGGCGTGCTTACCTGGGGTCAAACTGACAGCAGCGGGGAGTGCACACGAGACACGCTCTCAGGCGCTGGGGCACACAGGTCCCGGCGCCGAGCGGCACCTCCGCGCAGCCGCGGGGTTGTTCGAGGCTGCGCTCGCACAGCAGCCAGGCGGATGGGCTGCACTGCGACTCGCGACCGTTCTCTACCATCTGTCAACGCACTGTCGCCGCTCCGAGGCCGTCGAACACTTACGCGCCGCCCGGGCCCTGGCGGCGGGCTCCGGACCGGCGCTCGAGACGCGCGCGGCGATCTGTGCGCGTCTCTCCGCCCTCCTGAGAGCGCCAGGGGACGATCTCACATCGGAGGCTGGTGAGGCCGCCACATCCGCCCTCGACGCGTTTGAGGATGTCGCAGCGGAGAAAATGGACTACGCGTCCTCTCTCTCCAAGGGAGACTTCGAGCTCGAAGCTCCTGGACTCGCGGCCACGTTCCTCGCTCTCGCAGAGGCCGCGGCCGCCGTCTCCACCCTGAGTGATCCCGATGGTGCAGAGCCACACGCCGAGCTCGCCGATCACGCGCTCGCTCACGCAGCCAACATGGCCAGCCTTGCGCGCGCACCGGCCTTGGTGACACACATCCAGCTTGTGGGCGCCCGCATTGCGGCCGACCGCCTTGCGTTTTACGCCCGGTGGGAAGATGTCAACTGGGACGATCTCCTGTCTGAGCTGTCCACACTCGCTTCTCAAACTCGCGAATTAGCCCAGCAGCTCCGCGGGAGCCGGGGAGCCGCGGCAGCCGAGCAGGCTGCCGAAGCCGTCAAGCTACTGGCTGATGCGCGCGTTATGCACGCCGGCTCCCTCGGCAAGGATGCTCCACCGCCAACCCCCGGAATCATGAGCGCGCGCAGCTCGATATTCGCCACGTCCCCGGTGTCCGTCACCCTCGCGACGCCGCATACCGCCGAGTTCTCGCCGCCAGACCACACGCCCGGTCTGAGCTCGAGCTCGGGCTCGTGGCTGTCCTCAACGGGATCGCCGCCCATCCCCGAAGAGCCAGAGGAGGAGAGCAGCCTGGCACCCGCCATTCCCGACCCCGCAGCCGTGACCTCTCCACGCAAGCGCGCCCCGCCCCCTCCCCCCTTGAAGCTGGTGCAGCGTCCTCCGCGCCCCGTGATCCAGCCTCTGTCCCCTCTGTACCCCCCGCCCGCACTCTCGCCTCTCAACCCCGCGCGGCAAGCCACGCGCCCGCGCCTAGTCCGCAATTCGAGCTCGGCCCTCTCATCACTCGGCGCCGACGCGCCCCTCCTCGCCGTCCAAGTACAATGGAACGAGCTCGCCTCGGCCGGCAAGAGCTACAAGCTCGCCCTCTCGCTCCTCTCCGCCGCGAACCTGCCGCCGCACGACCGCGCGCGCCGCAAATCCGACCTCCTCTTCGCGGTCGCCGCGGCGGCGCTCGCGCGCGCCGCCCTCGTCCCCCGCGTCGCCGCGACGCCAGGCATATTCCAGCGCGCGAACAGCGGCTCCTACTTCTCCCCGACGGCACCGCACGCCTCCCCCGAGTCCCTGCGCAGCTTGAACCTCGCGTCGCGGCGCACGTCGTCCCCGCGCGTCGTGCCCCCCACCCCGCGACACGACCCGCGCTCGGGCGTGCGCGCGACGGGCGCGGCCGCGCTGCGCGCCACCGCCGAGGTGTATGCTGCGTGGGCGGCGAGGGAGGTGGGCTGGTCCGCCGTCATCGATCCGCGGGGGCGCGTGGCCGACCGCCGGACGGGGACGGCACGGGGCGACGAGGCGGGCATGCGTGCCGTCCTCCTAGCGCTACGGGTATGGTGGGTGCGTGCGGTCGCGGGGGACGGGGACGGGGACGGTGCTGAGGGGGACGAGAGCGGGGAGAGTGGGGCAGAGAGCCCCGCGAAAGCGGACGAGAGCCGTCGGCAATCGGGAGTTGAAGACGGCGCGGCCGAGATCAGCCCTCACGGTCACAAGTTTGGCGTGCCCCCGTCAACTGCTCGCCGCATCGCGGGCGTGCTGCGCCGCCTGCGGGATGAGGGCGCGGACGCGGACGACGTGCGCCGCTTTGTGGCCCCGCTCACACTGGGCGAGGACGAGGGACGGTTCTGGGCCGAGGTGGAGGATGAGCTAGCGCTGGCGTAGGCGGCGTAGCTCGCGTGTATGTACGTGTACGCGATGTGCATAATGTATATCAGCCGTGATCGCAGTTACTGTGGCTGGCCAGAGCTTGGGACTGGCTCTGGAGGTTCGTCGTCAATTTGTTTCTCAACCAGCATGTTCATCTGAAATTACCACTCTCATGTCGACCCTCCCCCGTGGCAGGAGAGCAGTTACGCGAGCAAGAGTAAGGATGAGTGCATTAAAAGCGTCGTGGCATCATGACCTGTCGCTGGCAGCGGGAGGACGGTACAAACCTTGGCATGCGCAAGCTCCCCAATTGATCTGCGCGCGGCAAGACACCGCAAGGTTAGAGCCGAGCGTTCAGTCAACGGGGTGAGCATTGCAAGAGGAGATGTCAGTTGCACCGAGCGACCGCCAAGCCGCGTGAGCGTGCCAGTCCGTCGTTGACGAACTGTGACTCTAGACATTTCATCCCGACCTCACTACCGCACACGCACCGACAGACACGTCACGCACCCCTCGAGCGCCTCGAACTCGGAGATGCCCGCCGTCGTGACCGTGTACCCCATGCGGCGGAGGAGGGCGGCGGTCTCGGGCGCGTCGCTCGACATGAGCACGTGCTCGTCGGAGAGCACGACGACGGCGACGCCGTGCTCCTCCGGAATCGGCATGAAGCGGGGGAAGATGTGCGGGTTGTCCACGATCGGGAGGTATCCGATGACGGTGCCATCCGGGAGGGCAGTGACCGCGGATTCTGTGTGAGCGTCTTGCTATTGCCTCGCCTTTGTGTTCTTCTCTCTCTCCTCTCTCGCCCCCTATATTCTCCGTCCTCTGTCTCCCGAGCCCCCACTCACTGAGGTGCAGCGCCTTGGTCACCGGCACAGCGTGCAGCGTATACCCTTCAGCATGCACGATCCGCCGCAGCTGCTTGATGCCCTCGCCGTTCGTGCGTCCCCCAAGACCGACATACACGTCCTTGCCGACCTTGAGCACGTCGCCGCCGTCGAGCGTGCCGTCCCCCGTGATGCTGTGCACGCGGATGTGGGGCAAGCGCGCGCGAATCGCGGCTTCGACGGCCACGGGCTCTGCCGCGCGGCTCGGCGTGCCGGGCGCCGTGATCACCGCCACGTCCCCGAACATGACCACCGCGTCCTCGACGAACACGCAGTCCGGACAGTCGTCCGCCACGGGGACTTGGACGACCGCCCAGCCCTCGGCGCGGAAGATGTCCAAGTACGCCTGCCATTGGGCGAGGGCCGCGGTGTATGATACACTCGCGGGTTTCGCGATGTGCGTGATTTGGCCTTCGGCGAGGCGGGACGAGGGGGGGCGGACGAGGAGCGTCTTCATGGTGGTGAGGGGAGGTGGGGAGTTGAGTCGTGTTGGATGGTCGAGAGTTGCGGAACGGCAGGTGAAGCGCGCGTAACGAAGCGCGCATCCCGCGGCCATCGCCGATTGCTCGGAGATCTTCGCCCGGTGCCGGTGGGTGCATGGACTGCAGCTCGAGGTCGACGGAGCGGAGATGGGGCAGAGGATGGCCTAGATCTGCACGGTCTACCATGATCAGAACGTGCTGCATGCACTACCTATCCGTAGGCATCTTCATGTCCACTGCGCCCACCACCATACTGGGTCCCTCTCAATGTCGGTCGACGAATGGCTGGGGTTGAGACCGGCGCTGGCCTCCATGACTGCAGGAGTATGGGCCGAGATCAATCGCCTGGCAGACGAACTTTGAGAGGTCAAACACTGCTTCACGTGGGAGGCTTGGCTCGACAGCCTCGACCACACCGAAAGCAAGGTGCAGGGCTTCAAAGTACGGGTCGCCAACTTCTGCACCGCATGCAATGGCGATGGCGCGAGCTGCCTGCGCAGTAGCCAGCTCAGAGCTGGGATGAGCTCAGCCGTTTTGGCACGTACAGAGCTGAACCAAAGGCGATATCGAGCGCGAGCGCCGCCCCGCAGATGACAAGCTGGCGCATCGCCACGCGCACAGGACGCCACCACAGCCAGAGGGTCTTGGATGATGGGCAGCCCGGGCTAGGCGCCCAGGCCGGGGCGGGGAGAGCGGCGTCGAGCCGACCCGCGAGGGGACGGAGGGCAGCCTCGAGACGGACGAAGGGGGTGACCAAAGCCGCGACGGCCACCCTGTCGACAAGGGAAGATGGGAGCGGCGCGGCGAGGCCGACGTACGCCAGCGGATGGCGACGGAGGCCGAGGAGGACGCAGAGGAGGAAGCTGGAGAGGTAGCTCGCCATGGCTTTGTGCGCGCGTTGGGGGTCGGACGAGAAGTGTTGGTAGACTTGGATGGCCACAGAGCATGCTGAGGCATATACGAAGGCCAGCGTGTAGAGGAGAAAGAGAGCTGGACTGAGGACGGGGCAAAACGAGGAATCGTTGGAGAGCGGGAGGCGCCCCGTCGCGAACACCGAGCGGAGGGCGTCGGCGAGCTCTGGCATCATGTCGTTGGTCAGTAGCTGATCAGTAGTCGACGAAGTGGTTAGAAGACGAAAGGTGAAGACTGACAAGAAGAGTCAGTAGCAAGGAAGGTGGTCGACCACGCACTGCAAACACTCTCACATAGCACCATACAACCCAACCATCATCCCTACGCACGCTGCGGCGCAAGCGTGAACACCTCACCGTCCCCGTTCGTCTTGCCGACCTTGACGCGTGCCGTGGCCTTTTCGAGGTCCATGATAATGCTGAACAGCGTCTCGGAATCACCTGCCGAGGTCTTGTCGCGGCAGATCGAGCCCGGAAAGTTCTCCTCGTCGGACAGCCACGCCGTTACCGCGCCCGGCGTAACGGGCCCCTCGTCGGCGCGGACGAGCTGCTCAATGCGCGCGAGCCGGTTCGGCGAATCGTGCAGGAACGCCGCGCCGAGCTTGACCTCCGGGTGCTCCTCGACATAGTGGTTCGAGTGCAGCACCGCCGTGCCGGCGGGCACGGAGGTGCGGCGCACCTCCACGGCGTCCTTGCAGCTGACTTCGAGGCCGATGCCCTCGTGCTGGTCCGCGACGAAGATGTGTGCCGCGCTCGCCACGCCTTCGCGCTTAAGCCGGTCGACGATGGCGCGGGCCTTGCGGTCCTCGGTCATCTCCTCGGCCCAGTCGAGGGCGGCGCGCAGTGCGAGGTGCACGGGCAGCTTGTCGTGCGCGACGCCGAGCGCAGAGATGGCGTTCAGGCACACGCCGACGCCGGCGGAACACAGCCCGATCTTGCCGATGATGCCCGCTTCCGTCACGAAGCTGATCTTGCCGTTGAGGTTGAGCGTGATGAGGTTCTCGCGCTGCGCGACCTTCCAGTCCCAGTTCTGCGCGAGGATCGCCGTGCCGGGCGCGTGTACCGACAGCGACGTGCATCCGTCGCTGTACATCCCAAAGGCGACTTCGGTGCGCACATTGAGCGCGATAATTGTCGCGAGGGGGAGGTCGGTTGCGTCCGCCAGGCCTGGTATCAGCCGCTGTAACAGATAGACCCACCCTGCATCTCCTCAACATATTGCGGGTACTTGGCGTCAAGGAAGGGCTTCCACTGCTCTGCGGCGGCCTCGACGCGCGGCCAGTCCAGCTTGGCCATCTTCATGAAGAAGGCCTCGTAAAACGCCTTGGTGCCGTACACCAGCTCGCGCGCCGCCTCGCCATGCTGCTTCCCGAGCTGGGGTCAGCGTTGCCGCTAGCCGAGCTTGCCTCGTAAGGGCTCCCCGTGGCGTTGACTGTGAGCATAATGGTGTGTGGGAGGTGAGAGGTGAGCGAGGTAGCTCGAGCATAAGTGCATAAGTCAGTCTCCAGCCTGCGCCAGCCGGTCGTGGCATGGTGGGCAACCGAGAGGCGCGAGCCTGCGCGCGCAAGTGTCGGATAAGCCCGACCTCATCTCGGCGTCCAGGTTATGCCTGAACACTGGCCAAGCGGCGGCGTTTCCAAGTTCGGAGCGTCTCTTGTGCCGAGGGACCGCCGCATTTCGCCGTCGAGCACAGAGACGGCGATGGAGGGCGGGAGGCTCGTGCTACATGACTTGAGCGGAGACGCGGAGGTCTTGGGCTGCCGTGCGCGACACCATGTCCCGTAGAGCTCCACAGCCGCCTGCTTCGCGCTGATGCGGTGGCGGCGACTCTTTTCCAGCTGTCAGCGGCATCCTCAGCCCGACCCGGAGAGTCACATCCCCCACCCGCGGATAAACTGCAACATGACTCCTCCAGCACCCACCACGCATATGCACATGTTGGGAGCGCGTCTCTATAGCATGCGAAGATGCGACGACGCGTGCAGCGCGTGCAGAATGCATTGGGAAGGGGTGTGCGTAGTGTGAAGAGTCTGGCGTAATGCATGACAGCTTGTCCGGAATTGTGACATCATTTGCATTTTCCGAGGATCGAGTCGGAAGTGGAGGTCATCCGGCAAAGGGGCCTCTCTCACGCTCACAACATCCATCCTCGCCATCTCTCCACTCTCCATCATCACTCTCCAGTGTAACATGAAGAACAAGACACCCGCACTCATCCCCCTTCCTGGGGTCTACGTACCCCTCCTCTCATGGACCAAGCCCAATTCAGACGCGCTCGACCTCGACGCGTACTGCAAGCAGATTGACCGGTACGCCACCCTCCGTTTCTCGCTGATCCAAGCGTCGTCGCCGAAGGCGTCCAAGGCATCCTTGTTCACGCAGGTCGCGGCGATCCCACCGACCTCCCCGTACCCGAGTACAAAGCCGCCATCCAGGCAGCCAAGGATACCATCTGCGCCTCCGCCAAGCCGGGGCCAATCTCGCGCACGTCATACCCCACCCTCGTCGTCGGCACCAGCGCAAGCACCTTGTTTCGGACCATCGAGAGGTGTGTGTACGCCCATCAGCTCGGCGCCGACTACGTGCTCGTGCATGCACCCGCCGACGCGACGACCGAGCACCAAATCGCCTCATTCTTCACGAGAGTGAGTCAAATCAAGGGGGTACAATGGGGTGATTGTTCCCACGTCGCTTCCCACAACGCCTCCTTTCGGTCTTCCTTGAGACATGCTGACATCAGGTGGCAAAGTGGTCCAAGATCCCCGTCATCCTCTACGAGACGGCCGGCACGCCCGCCATCTCTTCGGCTCTGCTGCACACACTCGCGGCACACGGCAACATCGTCGGCCTCGTGTCGTGGCGCCCTAGCACGGGCGGTAAACACATCACCGGCTTCGCTACGTTCCAGTGCACCTCGTCCCTCCACATGTCTCTCGGCGGAAGCACTGGCATCATCGCGCCCCTCGCCAACCTCATCCCCGCCGCCGTCGTGCGTGCATGGACCAGTTGGGCGAGCGGCAATGTCGCCGCCGCCCGCCGCTTTGCCAACGACATGGAGAACGCTGGCGTGCTCGAGGCCGCCGAGGACGTCCCGGGCATCGCAGTGCGCGCGTGCGGCCGCCGCTGCCCCGAGTGCCCGTTCTGGCCCTGCGAGGAGGCCGGCAGCTGGTGGGGGCTTCAGAACACCTATTACGATTTGTGAGTCTAGTGGGCGAGGGTGAATCTTGACTGACGACAGCACCCCCACGCAGTCGTGCATTGACTTGGCTGAGTTGGCCACCACCTCTCCGACTCCAACCCCGACGGTTATCGCCAGCGCCAATCTCAGCTTCGACTAGCGAGCTTGGCACATCGCGAACCCGTCCCAAAACCTCCGCGCGTCTGCCGAAGCGCGGAGGACGAGATTCCACCCTCAGGAGGCGACATTGTAGCCTAGTAATTGTGTGTATAGCAGTACCGGTACTCGGGTCATAATTTGTGGCAGAGTAGATAGCGAGATGAAGGTTGTACTCTATGAGGAGGTGGGCGGCGACACACCATGGTATCGCAACAACACACCGCCTTACGGCCTACATTGGGCGACCACCCTAACACCGCCTCGTCAACTCAAATCTTGTGCATGCAAGTGATGTTCGATGATACAACAAGCCACAGTGTCCTACACCCCGCCCCCCGGCGCCGCCCGTGGCAACCGAACAGGGAGGAGCAACGCAAACCCGCACCACGCGACCGCGCCATTCGCGGCGAAGACGAGCGTCGGCAGCCCCGCGTCGCTCAACGCGGAAAACGCATACCCAAACACGCCAATCGTCGTGACCTGCGCGAGCTTCTCCACGAGCGCAATGGCGCTGAGGGCATGCGCGCGCTCGTGGCTCGGCACGAACTCGAGCGTGACGCCCTTGCTCGCGGGCCCCGTCCCGCTCGCGAAGGGCAGCACGCCCGCGGCCGCATACATGTGCCACGGCGCGCTCGCGAGCGTCACCGCGCCGGTAAGCAGGCCGTCGAGGAGGATCGAGTAGCGGAGGAAGAGGAGGTCGAAGAGCGGTGCGCCGGGCGAGGGCGGCGGCGCGAGGTCGAGTACCGGCGCGCCCGCGGCGTCGGGGAGCTCGGCGCCGTCCGCGTCGAACGGGTGTTCGGGGGCCGGCGCGAGGAACGAGGACGCGGCCGGCGAAGCCGAAGCCGAAGGAGAGGCCGAGTTGCGCCGCGAGCGCGAGCGGCGCCGTGGGATGTTTGGGATGGGCGGGGCGGGGAGGTTCGGGAGTGAAGGGCGCCGCGACTTGCTCCCGGGACTATGGGAGGTGCGGGACAACTTGGTGGGCGAGGCGGGAGAGGGCGGTGTTGGGAGTGTGGGGGAGGAGAGCATTCCGGGTGATGGTGTTTTGGATGGGGATGAGGAGGACGACGACGACGACGGCGACGGTGAGTCGACAGGCGCTTTCGCGGTCGTCGTAGGCGTGGGAGAGAGCCAGCGCCGCCCCGCCGTAATCATGTGCGGGAAACATTGGGTGAGGAAGAAGCCGCGGACGAGGAGATTCAGGCTCAGCATGTATCCGCTCGTGTCGGGCGTGAAGCCAAACACGTTTGTCGCGACCAGCTGGAGCATCATGGGCACATACCCCGTGGCGAGGACGGAGAAGAAGGTGCCGAGGCCGAGGAGCGTGAGGTTCCAGTCTCTGCCGCCCGTCGCGCGCCGGCGCGGCACGAACACGCGCAGCGGGGCGAGGAAGCTCCTCCGCTCCTCCGTCTTCGCTTCGGGCGTGAAGTGCGGCAGGAAAAATATGCCGAACAACGTCGACAGGACGAGGAGGCAGAACGCGCCCTGGAACGGCGCGAGGTATCCCCACACGCGCTCGCTCACGCCGCCGGCGGTGTATCCGATCCCCGAGCCGAACATGAACACGCCGCCGAGAACGCCAAAGTTGGCGGTACGCTCGGCGTCGGGCGAGAGGCCGGCGACGAAGGCGTTCGCGCAGAGCTGGAAGCCGCCCGCCGAGCCGAGCGTGTTGAACAGCTGCGTCGTCGTGATGATCAGCATGCCGGCGCGGCCACCGAGCGTCTGCGCATATATTTGGGTGAGGTTGCGCAGCGCCGCCCAGAATGTTTGCTGGAACATGGCGGCCTTGACACCGAAGCGGGAAATAAACCATGCTGAGGTGAAGAGGTTGAGGAGGGCTGCGTGAGCGGCGTCACGAAGGCACTCACTGCATCCCGTCGTGATCGAGCTCATGAGCGCGACGCTGCGCGCCGTGGCGCTCTCGATCGCGTGGATCGCACACCGGTCCCCCAGCCCGTCCCATTCGTGCGTCTTGTAGTACTCGTCGCATGTCATCGTGCGGAACGAGTAAATCAACGCCGTCTGCGTGAAGCTGAACGTCATCCCGACTACAAACGACACCAAGTACACGCGGTACAGCTGCGGGAAGCACGAGCGGCGCGGCGCCAGCAGCGGCGTGCGCTCGTGGGGCGGCGTCATCTGTGGTCAGCCGTCGTGCTCAGTGGCAACCGGCACGGCATCGGACCGGCAGAACGGGACGAGCGGCGCCGGGCAGATCCCGGCCGCCACCGGCCAGCCTCACCAACCCATCCGCCAAGTCGCCAATGACCCCGGCAGCAAACTCACAGTCGCTCGTCGTGGATTCTATTACTCGAGTATCGAGGAGTGGGCGATGCTGGCAGTCCACATGCGATGGCGTCGACATGGCGGCGTCGTCCGACCGATTGCACAGGGGATGCGGCAACATCCGCCGGGGCCAGCCCCACCCGTCGCCGAAATCTATATCCGTCGAAACGAGCCGCGCTTGGGCAGTCGCGCGTGATCCAAATGACTTAGACCGCTCGTGACCGCGTCCAGTACTGCGCCTCGAAACGACGTAGGCCGTTAAGAGTGGCACTGTGTGATCGCTGTGATCGCCGCTACAGCACAGTGGCAGCCTCGGATCGGCGCAACATCGAGAGATCTACACAAGCGACGTCACCCAGGTTCCGCACCAAATCTCCTCTATCAAGTACGCAAAGCCTGCGCTCTGTGGATCTGACTTCATCTCACTCGCCGCTCCTAGCCAAATTCTGGTTCTTTTATGCACTCCGCTACAACATCCGCTGCTCCCTTGCTTATCCCTTGACAACTTTACAATCCCTCCGCTCCTCACTATCATACTCTTAGCTCCTCACCCGCGCTGGGTGAGCGGGTTCGCATTCGCCTTGCCCGGCAGCGGCTTGTCCGCCGCCACAAAGTGGTTGTAGATCATGCGCTTTAGGTGGTCAAAGTACGTGAACGGCTCGACAGCCTTAGCGCCGGGCGGCACGAGGCTCTGCAGCGGCGTAACGAGGAAGTCGCGGGGCGGCTCGAAGAAGAACGGCATCGATACGCGGTACCGCGAGCCCTTGTGAATAACGCGGTGGTACGTGCTCTTGTATGTGTGGCTCGTGAGCGTGTCGATAATGTCTCCGATATTCACAACAAACGCGCCGGGCACGACGTCGGCGGCGATCCAGCTCCCGTCCTTGGCCTCGACCTGGAGTGCTCCCGGCGTGTCGTCCGCAAGCAAAAACGTGAGGCAGCCGTAGTCGGTGTGGGCGCCGCACGAGATACCTTTCTCGGGGTCGAAGTTGTCCGGGAGCGGCGGGTACCCGATCACGCGGAGCACCCAGTAGTTGTCTTGTTGCAGGGCATCGAAGACCTCAGGGTGGCCGAGTGCGTCACACATCGCGCGCATGAAGGCGTGCCCGACGCGTGTCATTTTCGCTGTGTACTCGAGCATGGCGGCCTTGAAGCCTGGGAGGTCGTCTTCGCTCGGCCACAGCTGCGACCCGTTCAACTGCTCCGCCGAGAGAACCATCGGCTCGGGGTAGATGTCTAGTGCCTCCTGCTGGTCGCGCTTGGCGTACGTGACATTCTCTCCGATCTTTTGGTATCCTCTCACGCCATCCTGGCTCTTGAAGATGTGGATCGAGTTCTTCGTCTCCTCTGGAAGCTCGAAAAACTCGTGGCCGCGCTTAAGCAGTGAGTCGAGGTACGCGGGATCCAGACCGTGGCCAGTGACATAAAAGAAGCCTGGGGTAAGCGGCGACCCGTGGGGTGGGGGGAGGGTGCGGAACGCGACTCTCGCACCCTCTCTAAACCCATCGTGCAATACCATCGTGCAATTACATCTACTTGCCTCTCAAATGACGTTTTACTATCCTGTCCCAGCCACGCAGCACTCACCAAACTCTCTGCACGCGCTGTCGAGTGCATCACGAGCCTTCCGCCTATCTTCGTCCGTGGCCGAGTCGTCGAGGTAGGGGCTGATGTCGACGATGGGCAAGCGCTCCGTGCTCATCGTCCCCACGGCGGAGCGATCGGGCTTGTTCTCTACGGTCATGCTGCTGCGTATACGATAGCTCTACTCGGCTCCGTTGGCAGCTTAGCTATGTATCGCATCCCTATCGCACTCGGCGGCTCCCGGCGCCTATTCCCACATTACTGGGCGCTTGCTGGCGCTTAACCAAGCTGACACGAAGCGAGGTGGCCCTGACTCCGCTTCCTGTCCTGCCCACCCCATCCACATGTCCAACCGCGGACCTTGCGTGTACCTCGGCAGCGTATCGCCCGTCGGAGCTCCACTGCGATAGCGACTCCTCGGCCGGGGCAGGCGATGGACGGGCGGCAAAGCACGCACAATGCTGATAGCGATCCGAGATGCTGAGACATATAAGCCGCGGATCGCGGAATGCTCACCTCATCATCCACCATGAACGAGAAGAGCAAGGCTAGCGACGAGGGCGCGGACGTCCTCTACCCCGAAAGTACGCCGTACGACCATGACAAGAACTCGCTGGGCGACCGCGTCGAGGAGGTTGGGCCTGTGACAGCACATGTCCCCGACTCACATCGGTGAGTTTCCAGAGAAAAGCTATGTTAACGCCCAGTGGCCTGCGCATGCGCCATGTACAGCTCATCGCTATCAGTGGCTCCATTGGCTCTGCGCTCTTCATTTCCATCGGTATTCCTTTTACTAGTGGCGGCCCGCTCGGCTTGATCATCGGTATGGCACTGTGGTGTACCGTCGTGTGGGCGAGCGCCAACTGCCTTATCGAGATTACGACGCTACTTCCCATCGACGGCGGTTTCATCGGTTACGCCACGCGTTTTGTTGACGAGAGTTTTGGAATGGCCTTGGGATGGAATGTAAGTGACTCCCATCGACCGTGCACATCGGCAGCCAGGAGTGGCGCTGACGGCAGTACACAATCACGCAGTTCGCTCTAATCTGTTATGACATTACGGTGAGCTATGACGCTCGGCTACTTCGACAATGCAGACTGACCCCAGGCCATCAATCTTATCGTCGACTACTGGAAGCCACTGCATCCCGCGATTATGATCACGGTGACGCTGGTCGTCATCCTCCTCCTAAACATCTGGAACGTGCGCTTCTTCGGCGAGGCCGAGTTCTGGATCTCGCTCAGCAAAATCTTTCTCATCATCGGCCTGACGCTCTACACACTCGTCACAATGTGTGGCGGCAACCCCCTCAACGACAAGTACGGCTTCCGCTTCTGGCGGAACCCGGGCGTTTTCGCGGGCAACACGGAGGCGAAGAAAATCGTGCAGGGCATTTGGGACAGTCTGTGCTGGAGCACATTTGCCGTTGTCGGCCCGGACTACCTCTCCATGGTCAGTGGCGAGGTCAAGAGCCCGCGCCGCGTCATGCCCCGCGCCTTCAAGACGACCGTGTACCGCATCTTCGGGTTCTACCTCATGGGCGCGCTGTGCGTGAGCATCGTGTGCGCGGCGAACGACCCGGCGCTTCTGGGCGCGATTGAGAACAAGGCCGCTGGCGCTGCCAAGAGCCCCTACGTGATTTGTGAGTCGAGGCGCCTGTGTCTCAGGAGCGTTATCTCGAAACGCCACTCGGCTCAAGTCGCTCCCCTGACTATGACTCTTGACACCAGCAATGAACCGTCTCGGCATCCCCGCGCTTCCGTCGATCGTCAACGCCGTGATCCTCGTATCGTGCATCTCGACTGGCAACGCGTTCACGTTCACCGGCTCGCGTGCGCTCTACGGCCTCGCACTCAAGCGGCAGGCGCCGCAGGTGTTCGCGCGCGTGAACCGCAACGGCGTGCCCTACGTCGCTGTGCTCGTCACACTTGCCTTCGGCTGCCTCTCGTACCTCTCCGTGTCAACCAGCGCGTCCAAGGTCCTGAACTGGTGGATCTCGCTCGTCGGCTCGGCTCAGCTCGTGAGCTGGACCGCGATCGGCATCACCTGGTTCCGCTTCACCGCCGGTCTGAAGAAGCAGGGGCTGTGGCCGCACATGCTCCCGCAGCGCGGATACCTCCAGCCGCTCAGTGCGTACTGGCTCGTCGTTTGGTCGCCGCTCGTCTTCATCTTCCAGGGATACTACGTGTTCCTAGGGGGCTTCGACGCCGTGTCGTTTGTGTTTGCGTACGGCTCCATCTTTATCTTTGGCGCCATTTATCTTGTGTCCAAGATTTACGACTACAGCATCAACAAGCGCCACCGCTGGGGCATCCCGCTCGAAGAGCTCGACTTCAACACGGACATTAAGGAGATTGAACATATCACGGCTGAGTCGGAAGCCGCTCGCGCGGCACGTAGTAAAGGAAAGGGGCAGAAGGTGTCGGACTTCTTTTTCTAGCCTCTTGGGATAATAGTTGTAGAATTTATGAATCAGGCAGCAAACACACTTTGCGGGCGGCTGGGGTATGGTGGCGGGCTGAATGGAGGGAGGTTCAAAGGAGATAACGTGACCGTAAAGTGTTCGATCTCAATCAGTCGACGGCGCCCGTCGGAATTAGAAAGGGACGACAGATACAACAGTGAGAATGAAGCCTAAACAAAATACAGCTCCCAATCGTACTCGAGCACGATGTCGAGCCAGTCTACGAACGCCCGCCCCTCCTGATTGCGCGCCCACACCTCGTGCATGAGCGTGCGCGAGCGCGGCACGTTCATGAACCCGCCGATGCGTTTTCTGTCGTCAGCCACGCTCCTCTCCTCGAGCAACTTACGAATACTCGTCGTACAACCGCCCCACGCGCTCGCGGTCGTTCTCCCCCAGCCCGCCCGGCAGCGCCATAACGCCGATTATGAACAGCACCCAGTGCATGGAGCATACGCCTGCGAGGTTGCGCTCGATCATGGTCTCGAGGAGGGTGAGGCCCTGCCGCACAAGCAGGCGCAGCTTGAGCGAGCACGGCGATTCGCACAGCACGAACCCGCGGATTTGGACGAGGGTCGCGGTCCGGAATGCCTCGTGGTAGTGCCGGTGAGCCCCGAGATCCGGTTTTGCTGGCATCAGTCGGCTATCGGGTGGCGGACTCACTGCGTACGAGGGTCTCGATGCGCTGCCGCTCGGCTTCGAGCTCGTCCTCTAGCTTCTCGGCGGCGCTGAGGACCTCGAGAAGCCCGTCGCCTTGTTCGCTCGCTTGCCTTCGCTGGCGGATGAGTTTGATGACTCGGTACATCAAGCAGAAGACAGGGAGGTTGACACCCGTAAGCGTGTGCAGGGCTGAGAGTTGGCCTTGTGTATGCTTCAGAATGAGCGCGTACGGCACCATCGGGCCGCGGGTGTAGGCGAACGAGCTCAGCACGTCGTGATAGATCAGGTTATCGAGGCTGAGGTTAGCGTCCTTGTTTCCATCATGGAGTCAAGTGCAACAGCAGTTCACATCAGTAGAGTAACTCACAACTGTGCGGCTCGCACATTATGTGCACTGTCCACACGCTCGAAGAGGGACGACGCAAGCATACCCCCACGTTCGACGAGGACGTCAAACCCCCAAACGTCCCCACGGCAGATCTGATATCAGCGCGCCCGAACCATGACCCACCCTAAACTGGATAACCATAAGCACAGTAGCAAGCACAGTCATGGCGTCCTCGTCGTCCATCCTCCCCGCCGAGCCCGGCTGCCCGACCTTCTCGAGCTCAGCGAGCACCATGACGCCAGCCTCGGCGCCCAGCCGCTCGCTGACGGCCTCGTACCGCGCCGCGCCCATGTTGGCCATGTGCCGCCCCGCCCACGCCAGAATCGACAGATACAACGACGTGCTGCGGTCCGCGAGGTCGGTGAACGCCGAGAAGCCGCCCGAGTCGCCCGAACACGTCACGAGACGGCTGAGCGTGCTCTGGAAGTGCTGGAGGAGGTCGGCGTGGCGCGGACCGTTGCGCGCCGTCGCCGATGTAGGACTCAGCACGGTCTCGGTCGGCGCGGCGGCTGAGGCGGCACGCGCTGGCGACTCGGGCCGTGCGTACCAGCTCAAGTCGAGCGCGGGCCCTCCGTTCCCCGGCGGCTGCGGCTGTAGGCAGTCTGCGGCCCAGAGCTGCAGCGTGGCCTGGAGTCAGATGGGCGATTGCAGGACTCACGGCATCAATTTCGAAGCCGCCGAGCATGTCGTTGAACGGGAAGCTCGGCATCAGATCGACGCCCCCCACGACCGTCTGCGACATGTCCGCGGGAAGCTCTGGTGCGGGAGTGGCAAGCGCTTCGTGCATGCCGAGCGCGGAGGCGAGGACGCCGAGCGGGTCGAACTGCGGATGGGTATCTGGTGGGCCGCGCTGCGGTGTCCCGCGCATGCTGCGTGCGGAGGGAGTAGCCCTCGCGGGTGTGTCAGGCCACTGACACGTCTGGGATCAGCGCTGCCAAGACTGCCGTGGCGGGCTGTAGGACGGTCGCCGAGTTGAAGACAGAGGCTTCGCGCCAGCGCCGGCCGGCGCGACTCACGAGCTTGAGGCGCTGGCAGGTGCGACACGACGGCCCGGGCTCGAGGTCGCAGCGCTTGCGGCGGCGGCGGCAGGTGAGGCATCCGTCCTTGGACCTACGGAACTTTGGGCGCGTGCGTTCGGGGGGTGAGGGGGAGCGCGGTGACGATGAGCTGCGCGAGGAGGCGTCGGCCATGATGTGGTGGGCGCTTGAGAGAGCCGCCGAGACGTCAGCTGATTGTGATGGTGTGGTGGGCAAAGTAGCTGGCGGATATAACCGCGGCTAAGCGCGCGTGCGGAAACGGATTGGGGCGGAGTTCGCCAGGCAGATAAGGGCGATAACGACTGTTCGTCAAGTCGCAATTGTCATCGTCCGTGCGACTCTATGCATTGGGCTTGGCTAGGAGGGTTGCTGACTCCAGGTAGTATCAGTGAAATGCCTGGGCAGACAATCTGACTGACTTGGAGTCTTGAAGGACATGACCAAGGTCTGTGGAGGGTGTAGGAAGTGCGTTGAAGCTTGGCCAAATGCTTCGCCACGCTGGGTTGACATATTGGCATGGCCCCCCCGTGGGAGGGCGATGCAGGAGATTGTACTCAGCAAGCCACATGAATCTACCCCAAGGCCACCTCAGGTGGACCGACACAGGCTACCATCTACAGCCAACGTGCCCCATTGCGCAACAATACCACCAAACGGGACCCAACATGGTAGTACATCCACGATCTAGAACAGACTCCCCAGCACATCGTCCATGCCTTTTGCCGCGAGCCCGTGCGCGCGGTCCGCAACCTCGCGCTGGCGATACACGCGCTTGCCCTTGCCCTCCTTGCCCTTGCTTTCCTTGCCCGCGTTCTCTGTCTCGGTAGGAGGCTGCTGCGCGGCACGTTCCTCGCGCTTCTTGAGAACGCGCGCGAGCTCGACGTTCTTGAGGTACTCGTTCTGCTCCGTCTTGGAGCGCGCCAGCTCGGCACGCAGGCGTGACTGGTGCACCTGCCGCTCGTAGGCCACCTGCTCGCCAAGCATCTCCCACTTGTAGCCTGAGAGGTACTGCATTGTCCAGATGTCGTCGCGCCACCTGCCGTTAGCTCCCATCGCCCAACTGCTGCCTGTCGCCCTTTCCTACTCACCGATCGCCCTTCTTCCCACCAATAACCTGCGCATTCAACATCGGCGCGACCGTCTTCGCGACACTTTTGTCCATGAACTCGACCCATGCCTCGGTAAAGTCGGCGCTCCGGTGCCGCTCCTTCTTCTTGTGGTGGTCCGGATTGTACCCGGTCGCAGCTGGAGTCAGACCTACAACCCCTGCGTAGTAACTCACCATCCCGGCGCTGCGCATACACCCGCCCCACCTCACCCCACTTAGCCATAAGGTGCCGCACTTTATGCGGCGTCATACCGGGCGGCAGGCGCGAGATGTAGACGATGCCGGGCGTCTTCTTCTTCTTGGACTTATCCTTGGACACCTCCTTTCCCACTCGCCCCTCCTCTTTCCCTTCCCCTTCGCCCTCCATGTCCATCTCGTCTTCGACGGCTACAGGCCCGACTACGACCTCGCGCTCGCGCGCGGCGTGCACGTCCGCCTCGTCGCCGGCGCCCACGATGGGCGGGAGGGCGTACTTCTTCGCCTTGGGCTTGGGCTTGAGTTTGAGGGTCGAGGGGCCTGCGCGCGTCTTTGTGCGGTCGGCTGGCATCGTGGATGGAGTGTTGTTGACGCAGCAACAACAGGCATGGACATTTGGTGGCAAATTCGCAGGCCTCCACTCTCTACTCTACTCCCACGTGGTCCAGGCACCGCCACCCTCGGACTTCGCTCAACTGTGGGCAGTCGTGGGCACCAACATGGCTGTGTATTGCTGAGACGGAGGCTACACGGGTGTCGCCTCGCCCGGGCTGGGAAGCATTGGTCGTCGCTCAGATGCACAGCTAAACTGTTCGGGCAGGGGCAGAACATTGGCGTGGGATGGGAACTGGTTTGACATCGGCTCACTCTCACACGCTGCACAGTCTTCAGAGTCCCCGCTGTGCCCTCATGCACGACCAAGCTCTGTCAACTAACAAGAAGCGCCTGTTTCCGGGCGTCACTGCCGCGCCCCTCCTCTGTTGCAACATGCGAGTTCACCGCCACACAGCAATGCGCCGTTATCTATTCAGCGGAACCCGGCTGTCCGAATCTCGGCCGGCAATGCGCCGACTTTCCCCGGCCAAACAAGACGAATTACTTCCGCTAATACAACTTCGATGGAGCCTAATAACCCCCAATTAGACTCAAACGCCGCTGTTGGTCCGCGCCGGGATCGAGTCGACGGCAGAAAAATGAGCCCCCACAGCCAGGAAAAGATAATAGCCTGGCCCGACTCGCTTTCTCTCCATCCATCATCCAAACAATCATCATGCCTGCCGACAAGAAGGGAAAGGTTCTCCTCGCGTACTCTGGTGGTCTCGGTGAGTGCTGGTGCGGCTTGGTCGTCGCCGGTCAAAGGGCGCAGGGAAAGGGTGTGCGATACAGTGTGCGAGCCGCTTTCTCGACTCGGAGTGAGAGCGTGCGCCGTGTAGCCTCGACCGCCGAGCTGATGTACCTCACTGACCACGCTAACACCAGACACCTCGTGCATCCTCGCATGGCTCATTGAGGAGGGCTACGAGGTCGCTGCCTTCATGGCCGACGTCGGCCAGGAGGAGGACTTTGAGGCTGCGCGCAAGAAGGCCATGGACTGCGGTGCCGTCGGCTTCTTCCTCGAGGACCTCAAGAAGGAGTTCATTGAGGAGCTCATCTACCGTGAGTGGAGATTGGGCGCGTCAGTCGGAGAGCGCAGTAGAGCGATAAGAAGCGATAAGGGCGGAAGGGTGGCTCTTGAACGCAAACGAGGGTTTCTCTTGATGCGCACGTTGACGAGTACCTCGAGACGCGGCGGGTGACTCTCGAGGTACTCGCTGTATCTGTGCGCTCCCGTACATTCGCACTCCGCACTCTGCTCTCGACTGGACTAGATTCGCTGCCCGCTTTGACCCTCCCCCGTCCGAGGACTCACACCAGCCGCCGTCCAGGCCAACGCCATCTACGAGGGTGTCTACCTCCTCGGCACTTCGCTCGCCCGCCCCGTCATTGCCCGTGGCATGATGGAGGTTGCCAAGCGTGAGGGCTGCGACTTTGTGTCGCACGGCTGCACCGGCAAGGGCAACGACCAGGTGCGCTTCGAGCTTGCCTTCTACGGCCTGGACCCCACGATCAAGGTGATCGCGCCGTGGCGCCAGCCCGAGTTCTACAACCGCTTTGCGGGCCGCTCTGCGCTCATCGAGTTCGCAGCGTCCAAGGGCATCCCCGTGACGCAGACGCAGGCCAAGCCCTGGTCGACGGACGAGAACCTGTTCCACATCTCGTACGAGGCGGGCATCCTCGAGGACCCGAACACGACGCCGCCCGACGACATGTGGAAGCTGACCGTGTCGCCGCAGAAGGCGCCGGACGCGCCCGAGAAGGTCGAGATCGAGTTCACCAAGGGCCTGCCCACCAAGGTCACGTACCCGAAGGACGGGACGGTGGTGACTGACCCGGTAGAGATTTTCCTGTCGCTGAACGCGTGCGCGCGCCGCAACGGCGTGGGCCGCATCGACATTGTCGAGAACCGCTTCATCGGCGTCAAGTCGCGCGGCTGCTACGAGTCGCCGGGCGCGACCATCCTCCGTGTCGCCCACATGGACCTCGAGGGCATGACGCTGGACCGCAACGTGCGCGCGCTGCGCGACCAGTTCGTGACCATCGAGCTGTCCAAGATCCTGTACAACGGCTTCTACTTTTCGCCGGAGAGCGACTTTGTGCGCGCGGCCATCCCCGCGTCGCAGAAGACGGTCAACGGCATCGTCCGCCTCGCCGTGTACAAGGGCAACGTGATCGTCGAGGGTCGCGACGCCGACGAGGGCCTGTACGACGCCAAGTTTTCGTCGATGGACGAGCTCGGCGGCTTCGAGCCCACCGCCACGTCGGGCTTTATCGAGATCGAGAGCATCCGCATCAAGGCCTGGGGCAACGCGAACAAGAAGCGTGGCCAGGGCGGCCTCGCCCCCGAGGACGTGTACCACCGTGTTTAATTGTAGCCGAGAGGGGTATGCATTGTCAGTAGCATTGGGTGGAGTGTTTCTGTCGTGTGTGCGCTCCTCGGTCGTGATCTCGAATCCTCGGCGCGTGCCGCAGTCGCGTGCTTGCGGTCGTGCTCTGCTCTCGTCTCCTCTCGTCTCGTGCTCTCGTCTCCTCTCGTCTCGTGCTCTCGTGCTCTCGTCTCCTCTCGTCTCGTGCTCTCGTGCTCTCGTGCTCTCGTGCTCTCGTGCTCTCGTGCTCTCGTGCTCTCGTGCTCTCGTGCTCTCGTGCTCTCGCTCTCACTCACATCACCGCACCCCTATCTGCCCCTCCCTACGTTCCATCGCGCCAGCCTCTCCGGCGACTGCTCACAGCCGCGGCAGCTGCCGTAGCCGTGCTGGCCGTCCGCCGCGCCCCGTGCCGCGCCGATCTCAAATTCTCCGTCCCGGTCGCGTCGGGCTCATGGCTGGCCGCCGGCCGGGCCGATTTTCGGGGGCGGAGGAGAGGGACGAGCGCACAGAGCGAAAGAGAGAGAGGACAGGAGACCGGCGGCGGCGGGACGCACGAGGGCTGAGGCAGGCAGAAGCGGCAGAAGCAGGCAGGCAAGGGAGAGAGCGTGGGACAGCGGCGTGAGAAATCTCCGACCGTGTCGCCGATTAGCCAGATCTCCCGCGCCACGGCGCCATGACGGCGCAATGAGCGGTGGCGGCTATTGATTCACTTCAATCTCGCAGCTCGCAGGTACAACGTGTATGCATCCTAATCCCAATATGTAGCGTTGCAGGGCATGGGCGGGCGTGGGGGCGTAGATGTGGGGGCGTATGGCATTGATTATACGAGCACATTGACGGCGTCGTCGCCGAGGTCGGTGAGGAACGCGAACGGGTCCTTGTCGTCCGCGAGGTCGAAGCCGAGGTCAAAGTCGCCAAAGCCGTCCTCGGGGAGCGTGAATGCCGAGGGCTCGGGCAGGGCCGGGGCGTCGGGCGCGAGCTCGAACTGCGGCAGTGTCGTGTACGACTGCCGCTGCGGGAGCGGGGGCGGGGGCATGAGCGTGGAGCTAGAACCCGAGCCCGAGCCCGACGTGTGGGCGTGCAGCGCGGACGGCGAGGGGCCTTCGCTGGGCGCGTTCGAGCCCGTCACCGTCGACGGAGACGCGTCTTGCGTCGGGATGTACGGCCCGCCGCCGAGCGTCGGCGTCGACGCCGTGTGCTCGTCGTACCCCTGGATGTAAGAGGCGAGGGGGGAGGGGCGCATGCCCGCGCTCGACGACGACGACTGGCTCTGCGACGAAATGCCCAGCAACCCGATGTTGTGCAGCAGGTCGGCGGGCGCCGAGGCGCGCCGGATGTCCGGGTCGAACCCGGGCGGGTTCAGTGGCGCCCAGTCGTCGCTGCCGTCGCAGGTCGACGTCGCGTCCGTGGCGTTGCTCGTCACGGAGTTGACCGATGCCAAGGATGCCAAGCGGCCGCGCTGCAGCGCCATCCACAACGCATGGTCCGACCCGGGGCCGGGCAGCACCGGCGTCGTCGACATGGACGTGTGCGCGCTCTCGTCGATCGGACCCGAGGGCGTGCCGCCAAACGTGAAGGTCGGGTTGGGCAGGGGCGAGTTTGGCGAGAAGGGCAGGCCATTCGGGTTCAGCTGGTACTGCAGCTGCTGCGAGTCGTGCTGCATGTTGAGCAGCGACTGGTCGATGCCCGGAGGCGTCACATACACTCCCACACCCGCACCAGATGGGCGCAGGGTCGGGTCAATGTCCGAGTCGTGGTCCATGTCCCGTATTGGGCTCAACTCGCGCGTCGAGTTGCTGCCGACCGGGTGCACGTTTATCGTTCGTGGGGGCGTAAACGTCGTTTGAGAGATCAGCTGTGCCCCACCAGGCATGGAGGCTCGGCGCATCGTGTTGTTTCGCATGGCCGTGAGCAGCAGCTGCTGCGGCATGCGCCCGTTTGGAGACACTTTTGGACTCGGGAGCGTCGGCCGCAAGGGAGTGACAAAATCCTCGTGGTGCGTAATGATCTGCGTCGGATAGGGCTGGCTGCTCCGGCGCGCCGCAGCCGCCATGCCCATGGGCGAGTTGGCAGGTGAAGGCGTGTTGAGCGTACTTGCGAGCTGCTGCCTTCGTTGCCTAGCCCACGTCTCGATGCTGGCAACGTCTCCTCCTGCGAGCGAGACACGCCGGCCCATGGCCAGCTTGTCTACTGAGAGCGTAGGGTTTCGCTGCGGCCCAGAAGATGACGTTGGGCGAGTAGGCGTCGACTGCGCACTTAGTGATGCGGCCGACATCTGACTTCGCCCTCCGGGAGTCACAGGCTGTAGTTGCGGCGGCATACTGCCTGTGCTGACGTTCACTTCCTCGGGAGTGACGGGCTCAGTCTTTGTTCCAGCAGTGCTGTCGCTCGAGTTCGCAGCAGCGGCCGCAGCCGCGGCGGCAGCCTCCTTATTTTTCGCCTCTTGGGCGGCGGCTTCTCTTGCCTTCTCCTGATTCTTGATCTTTGCACGACTAAAGGACAAGGTTAGCTCTGTAAACCTTGCTAGGGGGGGCGTGACTGAATGCACCACTAACCGATTTTGGAACCACACCTGGACATTACGTTTGGTGATGCCCAACTCGCCGGCCAAAAACTCGCGGAGCTGGTTGTCCGGCCGCGGATTGATGCTGAAGTAGTGTTCAAGGACTCTGAGTTGTTCTGGGGTTGTCCGGCGCCGGTGCTTGACCTGCAACAGAGTTAGCACTTGCGCCTCCTAAACTTTGTTTCGACGCCACGGGTCCCTCGGCAACTCACCTCGAGATTGCCGTACAGGACTGCGCCGCCGTTCTCCTCATAGTCGCCATCCCACTCGGCCTCGCCGTGCCAGCCGGATTCCACGACATATTGCGGCCCGCCGAAGCGGAAATCTGGCACGTGGGTGGCGGCCATATGTGGGAAGGCGATGCCTTGAGCGGGGTGGGCTGCGGTCTGGTAAAACTCCATCGGGACGCCGGCAGGGTAAGCCTGCGTAGGTGGAGCTGTCGGGACGGCAAAATGATGTTGCAGTAATGGTATTGAGTGTGTTGCGTTCATTGGGACACCGCCCGCGACCATTGACTGCATTTGTTGGTGGTGGTGGTGCTGCTGCTGCTGTTGCTGGTGGTGGTGCGCTTGTTGCTGCTGCTGTTGCTGCTGCTGCTGCTGTTGCTGTTGCTGCTGCTGTTGCTGTTGCTGCTGCTGGACGTGGATCTGGGGAATTCCTTCAACAGTCTTGCGCATGGAAGGTTCGCCGGTTGTCATGTATGGACCGGCGGACTGCTGCACAAGATGGTGTTGGGGGATGCCGGCCGAGATGCCCACAGCTTGTCCTGGCTGGGCGTAGGTCATCTGCTGGCCGTTTGGGGCGACAAAGACGTACTCGCCGCCGCCATTGGCGGGGTGATGGCCGTATGTCACTCCGGACATGGGGGGATGAGGGAGGGGCAATGTCTGCGCACTAAGTGTGAGCGACATGGGGGAGGTTGTGGGAGTGACGGCGCGACTGGGGCTCACCCTTTGGTGCTGTCAAGGGCAGGGAGAGGAGCAGAGTGTTATTGATACGCGTTGAGATGGATGGGAGAGTGTCGGATGTCGCAGGATGGAGGAGGGGAGAGGAGGAGGAGGAGGAGGAGGAGGAGGAGGAGGAGGAGGAGGAGGGGGAGAGTGTAGAGGAAAGACGAGCAGGATGGGCGGGGGTGGATCCAGTGGAGACGGATCAGTTCAAGGATGCCACGCGGGACGCCTTGACTCGCGACGGCCGTGGCGATGTAGAGTGGTTCGCGTCGACAGTGAGGGCTATGGCCGCGGAGGCGGGCGGAGAGAAAGAGGGTGGAACGGCGAGAGTGGTTTGGGTGTGAGAATGGCGGGGTGTCTCAATGTCTCACAAGTGAGACGGAGGAGGGGGGTGTGGGCCGAGGGGGGTGTGGCTGAGGGAATGTCGAAGAGCAAGAGCTGGACGACGGTTGTGTGGGCGTTGAGTGCGTGGGTGCCCTCGAGCTGGGCGATGGGCGATGGGCGATGGACGATGGGCGAGATGGACGCGCGAGTGAAAGAGAGAGAGAGAGAGTGGGAGAGGGAGGAGTTGTGTGATGGGCGCCCTCGTTTGGAAACTGATCAAGCGCGTTGACAGGAGGGATGGGTTGATTGGGGCGAGGCGTGGGGGGGGGGGGGGGGGGGGGGGGGGGGGGGGGGGGGGGGGGGGGGGGGGGGGGGGGGGGGGGGGGGGGGGGGGGGGGGGGGGGATGGGGAAGAGATGGAGGAGGAGGAGGAGGAGAAATGGTGGATGATGGAGAACGAAGAATGATGG